ACCAAGGGCAATCGAGAAAGTAAAAATCGATCAATCAGCGTTGGCTGGTGTTGGACCGTCTGTCATTCGCAATATATTGGATAAAGATGGATACGCTTATGTAGCAACGGACTCAACCGAATGCCAAATGATTTTGAAATATGCTAAAAATGAAAATGTTAGACGACAAGTTTATGAGTCAATGAATTCTGCCACAAAAGAAAGCATCATGACCTTAGAGCAGCTAATGACAACAAGAGCTGAATTGGCCACTCTGGTCGGAAGAGAATCTTACGCTGAATTACAATTACAAGATAAAATGGCTAAAAATCCCAGTAAGCGAGTTCCATCAATGTACTATAAGTTTTTTAACAAACTTCTCTAGATAACGTCGATGCCTTTTTAAGAACCCTTTTACGACACCAAGATCCCACATTCAAAAGCGACATAAATTTATTACAAAAGACGAAGCAGCAGGTTCTGCAACTCAAATCTGTACCTACCGTAAATGCTTGGGACCGTGATTATTTTATGCAAATTTACAGTTCTAGCCAATCCTCGCCTATTAATACACCCTATTTCTCTGTTGGATCTGTTATACAAGGTCTTTCAAGATTATTTAAAAACTTGTATGGTGTTGAATTTGAACATGCTGCATTAAAACAAGGCGAAGAATGGCACAAGCAAGTTCGAAAGTTGGAAGTTGTATGCGAACGTGAAGGAAAGATTGGGACAATTTATTGCGATTTATTTTCTCGGCCTGGAAAGACAACCAATGCAGCACATTATACAATAAGAACCTCAAGACGTGTTGATGATGATGATTCTGTCAACGATGTAAAGTATGCCTTCCCAGGTCGTAATGTCGATATCTCTAATTTCTTACCGCCAGTGGATCCTCCAGCAGAGCGTATACACGGACATGATGGCTTATATCAATTGCCAGTAATTGCTTTGACTTGTGATTTCTCTCATAATGCAACAGGGAAGTCGGCATTATTGTCTATGTTTGAGGTAGAAACATTGTTTCATGAAATGGGCCATGCTATGCACTCTATGCTTGGACGTACAGATTTTCATAATGTTGCTGGTACCAGATGTGCATCCGATTTTGTTGAATTACCTTCTATCTTAATGGAGCACTTTGTGTGGCACCCAAAAGTACTTCCACTGTTTGCAAACTCAAATGGTGGTAAACAAGTATCACCTGAAGCTGTTCAGGCGTTTTTAAAACAACGCAAGAGATTTAGTGGGATTGAAGTTAATAGCCAGATTTTGATGGCACTTGTAGATCAACAATATCACTCCTCTAAAGTAACAGACCCTACTTTTTCAAGTGTGACTGAATGGTATAAACTTCAAGATCAAGTTGGTTTATTTCCTAGTGTTCCGGGTACGATGTGGCCTGTTCAGTTCGGTCATTTGTTTGGTTATGGATCAAATTATTACTCTTATCTCTTTGATAGAACGCTTGCAAGAAAGGTTTGGGAAACAAGTTTTGAGGCAAATCCACTAGATAGAGAGAAAGGGCAAGCTTTCAGAGATAATCTATTAAAATGGGGAGGTGCTCGTGACCCCTGGAAATGTATTGCCGATGTTTTAGGTGGCGAAGATGGCACAAAGATAGTAAATGGAGACGAAGAAGCAATGCGAACTGTTGGTGATTGGGGAATAGACGTGTAAATAGAAGCAAAATAAAGTTTAAAAATGACCGCATTTGTATTTTTTTCTGGGTTTTCTCTTTTTTCTCTTTTCTCTTTTATTCATAGTCGAACTAAGTCTTTGTCATATAATGTCAAGTGTACTCGAGTCGAGAAGGTAAGACGCTCAAGGGCGGGACATCAAAAATAAAAGAAAAGAAGGAAAACTTAACCCCTTTTTACATTATACAAAGAAAAGCGTGGGATGTGATCTTTAGTGATCCGAATCTATCCTTGAATTCACTTCGACATCGGGCGATTGCTGGAACCGTTTGTCAAAACGGGCTACGTTCAGTTTGTTGGAAGGTGAATATCTCAAAAAAGAGATTTTTCGAAAAATAACTAAAGCAATAGCATAGGTATTTTTGGGGTACCTTCCCACTTTGGAAGTTTCCACTTGGCCTTCTTTGTTGTTGGAAGAACGCCAACGTTATACAGCTTTAAAAAAAAAGCACATCGAAGAGCCTGCAGAAAAAATGAACAAAAAAGGGGAGGAGGATCTCACAGATAACAACCCACTTGCACTAAACGAGAGTGTAATATATTTTATCTTTTTTTTTTAAAAAAAAATAGCTTGCTTTGTTTACAAATTATCTTGTTTAGAATCCATGGCAACAGTTTTTTGCTGATTCTGAAATTCGCAAAGTTATCCGACAGGATGTGGAACGCACGTAAGAAAGCGGGGTTGCTTTTCCCGATTCTTTTATACTTAAAATGTTGATATAGATTCCCTGATGTTGATTTTTTTCGGCAAAATGATGTTCAACAACGTCTTACTGATATTTTATTTATTTACTGCAAGTTAAATCGTGACGTATCCTACCGGCAGGGTATGCATGAATTGTTAGCACCTATTTATTGGATTGTTGCACTCGAGAGTCTGCATAGTTCAAGCGTTGATTACGACCTTTCAGAGTAAGTGATTCGCGTCTGTTTTTGTTGTTTCCCTCTAAATTGATTTCCGTTCTTTACAGTCCCGTAACAAAATTAATGACTCAGGTTTTAGACGCCGATTATGTTGAGCATGATGCATACATTTTGTTTGATAAATTGATGACTTTTGGTAAATCTTGGTATGAATTTAATGACGATGTACCAAACCGTAAAGCTCAAACCAAGGCAAAGGTAAACAATCCAACTATCAACCACTTTTTATTCAAACTTTATCTAGGCCAACGTTTTGCCTGACAATATACCCAAACCTACTGATGTGAGTTTTTTTTTTTTTTTTTTTTTTTTTTTTTTGTATTGATGTTTGAATGTGTTTAACGTACTTACTAAAAGCAGAGTGCGAGATTAAATCCTATCGTTATGACGTGTCATCGAATTCATCATCAATACCTTCGTATTGTTGATCCTTACTTGTATAAACACTTGGAAAACTTTGGTATTGAGCCTCAGCTTTATGGAATGTAAGCATTTGTAATATGATAACCCCATTTTTATATCAACTAAAGAGTATTATAGTCGTTGGATTCGATTGCTGTTTGGTCGAGAATTTGATATCTACGATCTATTAAAACTTTGGGATGCTATTTTTGCCCAAGACCCAACACTTCAAATTGTCGACTATATTTGTTTGATTATACTCTTAAGACTAAGAGACCAATGTAAGTACATTTTATATAAGTTGAAGATATACTGTTCCTCAGTCTAAATTTTTTGAATCTAGTATTACAAAAAGATTATGCCGAATGTCTTAGTTTATTGATGAGGCCACCTCAAATTACTAAGCCAGCATCTTTAGTCGAACAAGCCAAAGACTTGCAAGAAAATTTGTCCCAAGATACGGCTCTACATATTTTACAGCAAAATGACATACGATCTGGAAAGGAGCCTAGAAACTCATTATCCGATGGTATACCTGAAATGATTTCTCCTCATCTTAATCATACAAAACAACAACGCACTCTCCAACACAGAGCATCTCAGGGTTCCAATCTTGATAACAGTTTTCATAGAATTACAAATGGTATGATGAAAAACCCTCAAATGAGGGACTTTAACAAAGCAATTGCTGGTGTTATGGGAACAGTTCAGGTAAAAAAAAATTGATTATCAAGTTATACCTGACACGGACTAATTTTTGAATAGAAAAACGTCAATACTTTCGGAGAAAATGTTCTAGGAAGAAACGAAAGCATCGGATCCAGGAGATCTACAGTAGCATCCGAGTTTCCTTCTGGTATTGACCGTGTTGCGACCAGCTATAAACAGGAGCGCTATAACCCTGTATCCAAACCCGATGACCGTTCTGCTGCAAAATTACAAGCTACCAACAAACACATGGGTGAGATGATGGCCAAATGTATATCTATGCTGGAAAATGAAATATTCGCACCTTTATCGTCTTCCATTCAATCTTCAGATGCAGATCCAACTACTGGCGAAGAGACGCAGCTTTCAGATAACGTGCCACCAAAAGTTCAGGAGGACAAAAATTCGGATCAAGAAAACGATGTTGTGGAGTACGAAGGTAGTGAATCTTCAGTTCTTTTAGATGAAGAAATCATAAAACCGACCGAAGAGCCATTGGTTGATAATAAGTCTCCCGTACAAAATGAAGCCACGATGATTATGGCCCTTGTTGGGCTTAAGCATGTCAGAGATGTTTTACTTGGGAAGCAGCAATTCGATTCCAGTGTGATTGATATGAGAACAGACGAGCGAACCAGTGCAGACAGTGATGAGTGGAAATGGGACCTGGTAGATCGTAAAGAGGCAGCGTTAAACTCTCCCATTCCATCGAATGATGCTCAGCCCTCAAAACCATCTATTTTTATTCCCCAAACATCATCGTCGCTCATTTCTAATGACATTGATAGCCAATATCAACAGGATAAACCCTTACCGCCTATTATCAATCAAGGACAGGTCAGTTCTCCTGCTATGATCATTGAAACCAAGCTACCTTCCGTTCCTACCACATATATTGCTGCTAACCCTACACCGCCTAAACAACAAATCAAGTACAGAATAGAAGACCTTCTATCCGATCCCGAGCTTCAATTGCCGAGTCCTAAGGCAGCCACTAACGCTAAATTTAAGTGGATGTTGTCGAATGAGAAAGAAAATGACGATGCATTGAGCCATCACAGCAGTAGCAGTGATTTGTTTAAGTCCGAACAAGCACCTCGTATGTCTCCCAGAAAACGTAGTAGTTTTATCATCAATAGGACTACTACAGTAATTGATCAAACAAGTGAAAGCTCAATCGATCCTTTGGATGCTAAAAATGTGGATAACAGAAGATCTTACGAGTTCGACATGCTTTAGTTTATATGCTAGGAATTTCAAAAATAATTAAAATATTATGCCTCATTTTTTTATGTCAATAATAAAAAAGCAAAACATGAAATTAAATTTACAGGAGGCCTATCATATAGTAATGGGAGATTATGAAGATTGCATACACTTTTATTAAAGGGAAATTACTTACACATGAAGTTTAACAAGCAGGAAGATAAGCTCTACAGACAGGACATTCTAGCTTAATTCGCATCCACTATCATATGCAATTGATTAGACTATTTCTCATTAATATCTCTCTCTTTTGTATCTTACTCTCTCTAGGCACTCGGTATGAAACATGTGATGACAAGGTGTTATCATGTACGTTGTCCTTGAAAGCACATTTAATCCAGTATGCTTACCATGACTTATGTCTATGGGCAACATACAGATAGCACAATCTCTAGATTGATGAAGAGATTTTGCATCACCATTCTCATCCCCTTCTTGTATAGCCTCTTCATCATCCGTAGATATAATAGGGTGATAATTGTAAGTTTGAGGTAGATACTAGTATTCGGACAGTTATGTTTATGTTCTAAGAAATATAAAATGGATACTTACCTTGGATGGTACAAAGAATCGTGGACCGAAAGCATCTTGTAGTAATAATATAACTACCTGTAAACCAATATATGCCACTAAAGCCCATACCCAAAGTGTTGTTTCATGACCTACAAGATTGTTTGGACATCCATAAAAGTATAATGGCACAGATAATCGGGTGATGCTCATCACAGCAATGTAACGATGACTTAATGGATGTCTACAGCCTCTAAAAACATTTCGCACAATTTGGGGTACCCAAAACGAATAGAACAAAAATCCAAGCGAGCCTACGATAATATTTTGAACAAGGGCTGATCTTGTAACCGACTGATAGAACAAGAATAATCCGAGCAACAAAACAGCATCTTAATGAAAAAGTTAGTATAAATAACAAATTAGGTATACATAAAAATGTTTACATAGTCTATAGTACAGATAAGTAATGTCACGCTGGGGATTTGATTCTTCATTAGTATTAGGTCTTCTCACATTGGCGACGGGGAGTAAATTCTCTGTATCTGGTGTACGGTTACTATCAGGCACAGGAGAAGGTGGTGTACTTGGACGAACAGATTCTGGCCTTTGAATTCTCCATACAACAAGCAAATACCGCATTCCAAAAATTGAAACCAAGACAAAAGTGAAAAATGCTGCTGTTGCAAATGGTATAAACACATTTTCTATGACAACACCTGTTGTTAAAAACAATAGGCATAAGTAGCCGTCCATCACAGCTTGCATTGATATCGTCCAATATGAGACATTAGACACGCTCTATTTGTACGCAGTTAATAATTCATGAAAAGTCCTATGTTCTTTGAGTCTTACTGATGGCGTTGGTGTGTATTCCATTTGATGAATCAAAGAAAATATTTGAATCACAGCAATTACACTAGCGATTCCTGCATATGTAATTGCTTTATTGTAGTAACTTTCAATTTTAATACCGGCCTGCTTGTGGCTTGATAATAGCAAATTGCAATTTGGAGAAAACATCTCTGATGACATTAAAAGTGCAGGTGGGTATATAGTTGATACGCCTAACGGATGTTCAAGCTCTAAAAAAAATGCTAAGCCAATGATAATTGCATGAATTATGGGTAAACTAACCTCTTTCAAACTCAAGCAATTCAGACTCCTTGATACTTGAAGGTACAGGATGAAGTTGCGCAAACATTTGAAAATTACACGTAAAAGGTACAGAATTTGAGCGATCTTGATAAAATATACTAAATAAATTGTTTCAAACTATCGAAAGAACTCTTACCGGAGGATTCATCTGAAGGCTGCCAATCCCAGTATTTTTCTCTTTCCAATTCATCGATACGCTTGTCAATCTGCTCGTCAATAACTTCTCTAGCGGCGACCAACGTTTTATTTGTTGGGAGCATATGTAATAAATCCTCTAAAGGAATAGGATTTCTACATGAATGTGTATATTTAATAACGGATTTTTATCGAATTTGATCAGTATTTACCCATCAGGAACTACCATCAAAAACAGTGATCCGTTACCTAGAAAATGAACACCTCCTGCCAGCAGTAAGGCACCGTAATCACTTTTTTCGTGATCCTTTATTCTTACATATCCCTATAAACTTAATTGGTCAATCGCCTAATGCTCTATATTCGCGATCAGCATCAGGAGCTATACATACCTCCATATAGTTTATATCTTTATTCATTGTTTCTGTAGCTTTCAAATTTATTGAAAAAGAGCCAGGTCCTTCGAACTTAAATTTACTTCTCGCTTCGTCTAGTGCAGTTTTGTTCGCATTATCTGGGACGCTGATATTTCTATTTTCCCAATTTCCTTTTAAACAAAGAATTAGTGACGAGGTTTTCCAGTGTACTTAAGATATATACCTCGAAAAATTCCAGTGATATTATGGTAATAGACAGAGCTAGACGATTCATGAATAGCCCTAAGATTTTTCAATGGCTCCAAAACTGACTTGGGTAAAGGCTTGTTTTACAAAAAGTGAAGAAAGTAAGTTAAATAAGACAATAAAATGAGGTTGTATTTTTCGTTGTAGTTTACATGACTGACATTAACACCAAAAGTCAAGTTGTTCAAAATTTCTTTTTCGAGTTGCAATTCCTCAAGTAAGTCTGCTTTAGTTGGTTTTCCATTTCTGACAGTACCATCGTCCGAAAAATTGAAGAATAACAAAGAAAACAAAAACAATAGCATGTATAAGCTTGAGCGGTTCATTTGGGGACGCTGCGTAGTTTCTTGCTGATCATTAGCTGGCGTTGGTGGTCCTTCCATCTTTTAGTGTCCAACAAAAATAAAAATGTCGTATAAAGCCAAAAAGGAATCTGTTTTATTTGAAGCGGAGAAAGTGCTGTGACGTCGTCTTAAAGCGCATATAAAGTGAAAAAGGATGAAGGATTTTTTTCTTCTCTTTAGCTCTTTTAAACAATATGTCAAACCTTAACAACCACTCTCCTGCTAATGCTTACGCCACCAATGAATTTACTCCCGATCCATATGCTACTGCGGACAATTCCATTGTAACCGATGCCAGGGTTGTTGATAGCACACCTGTTGCTATCACTTCAAATCCTCCTCAAGTCACTGACTTTCCTCCCGCTCCTCCTGGTCCCAATAACTATGTTGCTGATACATATGTTGCTCCCGATACTCCCTTAGTCCATGAAGCAAAAGCCATTGATACCACGCCTGTATCTAGTTTTGCAAACCCCCCAGTAGCCGAGGTAAGAGAATTTAAGCAGTCCGAGCCTATCGTATCTGTACCAAAAACCGAGAATGCCCCCCCTCAACAAAACACTGTTCACCAAGAACAGCCTCACAGCAATACTACCCCTTTGGTCCCTTCTGAGGATGACGATAATAACATCCCAGCCGTTATCTTTGAAACAATTTCCTCTAAACTCAATCCCATAGCCCAAAAGTTCGGCAAGGGAGTAGGCCAGCTGAGACAGGTATGACATCAAGGGCTTGGTATCCCAAGAAATAATATGACTTTTAACACCATTTCATTTTTTAGTACGCTGAAGAAAAGTTTGGGACCGCCGAAGGAATTACTGAACTTCCTCAAGAATATAGGGATCTAGAGAAGGTAATTAAAAGAAAATGTCTATTAATAGCTTCGAAATAAAAAAACATGCAAACAATTTATTAACATTTATGTAATTATAGCGCGTGGATACACTTGCCCAACTTCATCACAATTTTCTCAAAGTGGCCAAGACATATAACACTCCTGCTTATGACTATCCTGTGCAACTCCAAGAGTCTCTTTTAGGCTTTACCAGTACTGTATCTAACCAAATCCAACAACTATCAAAATCAGTCTCCGATCGTGCACAGACTGATGCACCAAATGTTCCAACAGTAACTAAACCTGATCATCCCAAAACTTTATCTCATGCACTCTCCCGTGTTGCTTTAAATGGGTCTGATCAATTTGGTAGAGATGAGCCTTTAGGTATTGCTCTTGGAAAATTTGGTGTTGCTTCTGAAAAGCTAGGCAATGCTAGATTGACCATGGATCATGAAATTGTTGCAAAGTTTAATACGCCAATGCAAGTCACCCTCAAGACGACTATCGATGGTACAATGAAGGCAAGACGTCAGGTACAAGTAAAGCGACTAGCACTAGACGCTTCAAAGACACACTATAGAGAGTCAAGTCCCGGTAAATTAGATGCCGCTCGTCTTGAAGTAGAGCAAGCGGAAGATGAATTTGTCGGCGCTGTTGAAGAAGCAACTCATGCCATGAAGACTTTATTGGCAGACGTAAGTCAATGGAAAACACTTCAAATAGTTTGACATTAACTCATATATTTTTATCTTTAGCCTGAAACACTTCGCGATTTAGCTGATTTTGTTCAAATCCAATTGTCTTACTTTAGAGAGGCCCAAGACTTATTCTCAGGATTAGCTCCTGAACTCGAACAACTTCGGGTTGAGCAAGAGGTGTTATATCGTGGTTCTACAGATGAGTAAAACCACTGATAGACCAGTCTGCAATTGAACTGCTTGTGTTTCTGTAATTATATGAATAACCTGTATAAAACTTCAATAAAATCAATGTATAGCCTTTTTCCATTTTAAGTTAGCTCTTATAAACGTCATTTAGCTTGTGTAACAATATTGTGGTGGGACGTTATAGCAATGATGACATTATTTGTTCTTTGTAATGACTTAAAGCGGGTTTTTGATAAGGTGCTAAAATAAAGCTTTTTTTAAAACTTTTTCGGGTATCCGGTAGATACTACTACTACGGCTTGACACACCGGTAGTAGACAGTGGCGAAGCATTTATATAAGTGTATTGAATGATTTATACGTTACGGGAATAAATAGAAATGACATTTCCCTCCGATACTTGTTTCAAGAGGTTTGCAACAAGTCATTGTTTTGCGCACTTCTAAAGTTTAATTTGCGTTCATTCAACTGGCAATCATTGAATACATCAAACGAGATCTCTGTGCTGTGTTGGAAAAACTAGAAGAATCAATAAGTTATTTTAACGACATATATTTGCCTCCATCCACCATAATTTATTATTTTACAATAAAACACTCGATGATACTTGTTCTAGTCTTTAGTACATTACTGATCGCAAAGCTTGTAGACGAAAGTGAGTACTTGTAGGAACCTCCTATATGATCTGTCCACAATAAACAATTTTTTCCATGGAAAATTAACTGATTGTATTATCTCTGACAATGCCTTTAAGCGGCTATAATAGTTGATTCTGACTGTTTTATAGATTGTGTTAAGCAGTTGCAATTATTGAGTCAGTGAAGGCAGGCCAAATACTATATATTGACAGTTAATTGTAATGTCTACTAAAATGAATAGCACCAATCCTATTCTGAATTATTCAGTATTTTATAATGAAGTTGGAAAGAATTATAATTCGCCATTGGAGAGCGACTTTGCTTACTAGAGCTAAAAATATAAACAATAGCAGTGTCTCACTGTTTATGGAAATACTTTAGTGAAAGATAGCATTATGTAATCAGATCGACCGAATACAGCATCGGATCGCGTAACTTGGAATTGTCCAGGGGATTGATACGTTTCTTAAACTAGTGCTCTTGTATGCATAACTTAATAAAGAAAACGACGGAAGGATGTAAATCTGCTCAAATCTCTCGGTCTATTATCTGTAAAAAAAGAAAGTGGTCTGTCATCATTCAGAACACAACATTGCTTATCCAAGTCACAGTAATATGTACGGTTTTCTTTCACTATCTTCTGGTTTTTAAGAATTATGTATGGATTTTTATGAACACTAATTTGTTCCCTTAACAAGTAAGAATTTATTGTTACACGGAAAAGAGTTTACTTCTTGCTAAAACTCAACAAAAAATCGGAGTATGGTGCCTCTTTATCCAAACAATGAATAAAGACGAGATTAATGACATTGCACGTTATTTGACTCAACAATGGACCAATTTAATACGCTCACGTACAAAAACAAACTTGCATTCCAAACCGTTTCTAGAACAGTTGGAATCAAATAGTCGCGTCGTACTTAGACATGAAGATGAAACACTATTGGTAAAGTACACGAATTAGAGACCTGTATTTAAACTAAAACAACCTAACAGGAAAAAGCATTGGACATTATTCCTCTTCAAAAACTATACGAAGAAGCAGAGATTATTTTAGAGGAAAGAGATGAAAAAGGGTCGTTAGAAGATCATGTAGTCCAACGACTGTTACACTGGTTTAAAACTGATTTTTTTACCTGGGTTGATAACGCTCCGTGTGATAACTGTCAAAATGTAAGCCGCTATGCATAAATGCCGATATGTCATAAGCATTAAAAAAAGGTTCTATACAGACTCAGACAAAATCAGTTGGTACTACTCAGCCAAATGAAGTTGAATTGAGCTATGGAGCCGGAATGGTTGAAAGGTATCTGTGCTTAGACTGCAACACCATTACACGTTTTCCACGATATAAGTAAAGTCTACCTTCCTGTGATTTTCTTGTAAAGCTGCTTACACTAACAACAAAAAATTGCAGTGATCCCGGGAAATTGCTTGAAACGAGGCGAGGTAGATGTGGGGAGTGGGCTAATGTAAGCATTTTTTATTTTTTATTCAGATACTGACAGAATGTAAGACCTGATTATTTTTTTCAGTGCTTCACCCTGTGCTGCCGTGCGGTAGGATCGGAAGCACGAATTGTGTACGATACAAGTGACCATGTTTGGACAGAGGTATATTCAGAATATGAACAAAGATGGATACACTGTGACTCATGCGAAGAAGCCTGGGACAAAGTATGTATATCACAATTATTGATGGCATGTATTAATAATATCAAATTAGCCTTTACTGTATAGCGTAGGATGGAATAAGAAACTTAATTATTGTACTGCATTTTCTGCATATGAAGCGTTAGATGTGACGAAGAGGTATACTAGAAACTGGGTTGATGTTTTGAATAGACGTAATTTAATAGAGGAATCCGAGTTAGCTTTGGTAAAGCATACATAATAAACAACTGTTTACGTTTCGAGCTGACCCTGTAACCACAGTTTCTAGACAGAATGACTGTAAAACGTCAACAACATTTTGATCAACCCAAGCGGGACGAATTAAGTGCTAGAAGACTAAAGGAGTTGATTCAATTAAATGAAGATGTTAAAAAGGTTATAACTGAAGATGCTAATCTTCCGGGTAGACAAAGCGGTATGTATATCGTACTTTACATGAACATGAAAACTGAACATATTAAAAGGAGCTCTGATATGGCGGACAAGTCGAGGAGAAACTTCTTTGATTACTGAGAACTATATGGCTGATCTAGAACAAAATAATGCTTTAAGTAATGATTTTTAAAAAGTTAACAGTCAGTTTTGATCTATATTGATTTTATTTTGCATTAGAAAAGTACCCAATATTTATCCAAAACAATGAAAGTCAATTGGCCTTATTGGGAACGGCTCACATGCAGTGTGACAGTAAATCATTTATAACTGGTGATCCTATTATTCGACTTACTAAGGCAGTTTCAGACCAAAGAGGTGCCGTATATTGCAAACAAACTGTTGATTTGGACGATTTGGAAGGCATCGAAATCGAATTTGCCTTTCGCATCACGGATGAGAAAGGATTGCCAGCTTCAGGTGGTGCCGATGGATTCGCCTTTATTATTCAAGCACAAAGTGAAAGAGAATTGGGAGGAGGTGGATGCGAATTGGGATATGGTGGTATTAAAAATAGGTATGAAGAAGACACAAAGCGATTTAAATTATAATTTTTATTTAACCAGATTTGTTGTTGAATTTAGTATGGCGGTCGAGTTTGATACATATCAAAGGTAAGGGTTTATAAATATTTTTGTACATGTTTGTTTTGCTTATAAATGCACCACTTCTTTTGTTGTTGTCTTTACTTTAGCTTGGATCGATGTGATGACCCATCCAGTAACCATATAAGTATTCAAGCACGACTACCGCCGCTGGAAAATTCAGCACATCATAGATATTCGTTAGGTCATACATCACGCATACCTTTGCTTGCAAATGGCAAATGGATGAAGTCAAAGATCAGACTTTTGAGTAATGGCAGTATTGAAATTGGGTTAGGAGAGTCTAATGATCAAAACTATATTCAAGTACTAAAGATACAAAATCAAAACTTCAAAAAATATTTGAATGGTTCAAAGAAAGCATGGATTGGATTTACTGCAAGTACAGGTGGAATTTCCGAAAATCATGATGTCCAGTTAATATCCATTTTAGAGTATCGCGCATCTTAATGATTCCTCCCCTTTTCCCCTCCTTGTTGGTTGTTATTTGGATTTCAATAAATAATTATTTTTAGGCTTTTTCCTTGTTACATGGATGTTCTCCCCGTATTAATGATGCATCCCTTATACTATACCTCCCTTCCTTCCTCTGGACCCCCTTTTTATTTTTATATATATACGGATTATAGGGGATCAAAGATGTTATGATAAACAAGGAAGCAATATATACAAAATCTGTCTTCTCTCTTTTCCTCTTTTCTCTCTTATATCAAAACCAATATATATCGATGCGTATTTACATAATATATTTTGTTTTATTACTACCTATTGTCTGGACAGTGGATGCCCATGGGCAATACATCAAACGAGCTGAAGAAACAGGTATATATACATATAGTTATATTTTCACAACAAGTTTTAATCCATATGATAACTAATGCCTCGATAAAGGTGGTGTACAGCCATCTTTACCACAGCCAACAGATGCTAACACTAATCCACAACAACCACAACAGCCACAGCAACAGCCACAACAACCACAACCAACACCAACAGCTACGGCTGTTGTAACCGCCCAGACAAATTCTGGAGGACCACCAGTTGGAAACAGTATGCCCCAGCAGCAACAACCAGGAGGTGGACCAATGAACACCGCTGTTTCCCCACCTAGTAACGGCACACATGCGAATGCAACACAATCTGTTCCACCTAATAACGCCAATCCATTTGTTGGAAAGCCAACATATGCGTCTTTCTCTAATGATATCCCACCTGCTTATTTAACTTGGAAAAAGCCTATCCCTAATCAAACTTTCCCACCGCTTTATAAAATTGGCGTATCTAATATTACTTTTGAATGGACAGTTGATCCCAATGTGCTCAAAGTGCAGCCAGCCAATTTAACAGTTGCATTAGCTAATCCTCAAAAACAAACGTTTACTGCAACAATCGTACCAGGTACAGCTACTTCAGCTAATTGGGACCTGGCCCATCTCCAACCTGGTTCTCCTTTGATGGTAGGATATTACACAGTGTGGGTATACGATCAGAGAGGTCCCAAGGCTTTCCCTAGTCCTGGTTGGCTGATGCCTGATTCCCGATTAGTCGTTGCCATGTATTCGACTGAAGCTTACGTAGGACGAACCGATTGTAAGTTCTTGTCTTTTTTTCAAAATATTGTTTTTCTAATTCTTTTGTTCCCAGCAATGTTTTGTCCCACTTGCTATTTAGGCGGAGGATCTTCTTTCCGCGAATCATTTCTGCCCTTGTTGACCGCCGTAGGAATAGCTGTTTTCACGTCTGCCGTTATGATTATTTCAATTCTCAACTAAAAAAAAAAAAGTTACATATAATAATTAATAGATGCATTTTGTACACAATCACCACTTTATAAATCGAACCCTTTTTCTTCACATTTCGAATAAAGTCGCGAAATCCAGTAAAAAAAGCATATATTTTTAGTTTAAATAAAGCTAGTATGATTGGGAACTAAAAATGCAAAGAGAAAACGTGGCCGTATTTTGGTAGAATGGAATCTATACAAACCATAAATATGTAGAGCTATTAACTGCATGTCGAACATTTTTCTCATTTTAAGCAACTGATGCTGCTTTCATAATGACATACCTCAACTAAATAAATAAAAAAAGGTGGGAAAACTTTAATTGAAGTAGCATTGATCGAGAATGGACAACAGTGATATGGAATGTTCAAGAAAACAAATTTAATCCAAAAAAAGCAACCCGGGTCCTTTATTTTTTTCATTCCTTCACTTTTGAAGATTTCTTTATTTATATTCTAACCGAGACTTGCTAATAAATAAAATAGAGACATACCAAATGTAATTAAAATTCTGTAAGGCCTGACTATTGGGATGATGTTTCGCCCAAGACTTAGTGCCTTTTTAGTTTATCAGTTATATTGGCTGTGTTTCTAAAAAAAAAAAATGATCTACGAGCTATTTGGGCTGAATTCAAAAATTCTGCAATTCACTATAAATACTCTCCAATTTTAAACATCATTTTTATTTTGTTCTTTGCATTTTTTTATCGCATTTTAAACATCTTATCCCAAAATGAAGGCACTTATTCTTGTTGGAGGTAAAGAAAAAAAGAGTGACTATGATCGATCACAATAGATACTAATCAACTTATATTTAGGCTTCGGTACACGTCTCAGACCTCTTACCCTTACACTCCCCAAACCTCTTGTAGAATTCGCCAACCGACCCATGATTCTTCACCAAATTGAAAGTTTGGCAAAGGTAAAATTAGAAGGGATCTAAACCATTAAATGATATGACATCAATTTTAAACCCTTTTTATTTTTAGGCTGGTGTAACCGATATTGTCTTGGCTGTCAATTATCGACCTGAAATTATGGTGGCAGCTTTAAAAGAATATGAGGCAATTTACAATGTGACAATTACCTTTTCTGTTGAAACGGAACCATTAGGCACTGCTGGACCTTTAGCCTTAGCTCGTGATATCTTGACCAAAGATGATTCGCCCTTTTTTGTCTTGAACAGTGATGTGATTTGTGATTTTCCTTTTGAGCAATTAACGGAGTTTCATCTGTCCCACGGCGGTGAAGGAACCATTGCTGTCACAAAAGTGGACGATCCTTCCAAGTATGGTGTCGTAGTGAATAGACCTGGCTGTACAAAAATCGAAAGATTCGTTGAAAAACCCAAGGAATTTATTTCAAACAAGATTAACGCTGGTATGTACATTTTGAGTCCATCTGTCTTGGACCGTATCGAGGTATATATATTCTTTATAAACAAATACTACCCGTCCAAATATTCAACCCATTTTACATAGCTTAAGCCCACGTCTATCGAGAAGGAAGTCTTTCCATTCATTGCTCAAGAAGGACAATTACATACTTTCGACCTCGATGGTTTCTGGATGGATATTGGCCAACCTAAAGACTTTTTAACCGGAACTTGTCTTTATCTATCTCATTTAGCCAAGAAAAAGCCCGAAGATCTAGTACACCCCTCCTCAGAATACGTTCACAAAGGCAACGTTATGGTCCATCCATCTGCGAAGATTGGTAAGGATTGTCGTATCGGACCCAATGTTACGGTTGGACCAAATGTTGTTATTGGTGACGGTGTTCGCCTTCAACGCTGTGTTATTTTAGAAGGCGTCGAAATCAAGGATTTTGCTTGGGTTAATTCCAGTATTATTGGTTGGAACTCCACAATCGGCCGTTGGTCTCGTATTGAGGGGTGTTCTGTTCTTGGCGATGATGTAACTGTCAATGATGAAATATATATCAATGGTGGATCCATTTTGCCTCACAAAGGTATTTCTACAAATATCACTGAACCTCAAATTATTATGTAAATATATATCTTTCCCTTTTCCAACCACATCATTACTACTATTCAACTACCCTTATAATTTCATTCAAATTGATCCCCTAACGACAACACCATATTAATTCTTAAAAAAAATTTCTTTAAACTAATAAAAGTTCTTTGTTTCAAAATATTTGGTTAATACAATTTATTGTTCGCGAAACGCCCTATCCATAATTTATTGATTATTTGGATTTGTGTTTTGAAGCTTTCGTATCGCTTCTTGATAGTTTCGTTCAATTTGGGTTGGGCTTAATGTAGAAGGAGATACTAGTGAAGGGGATACAGAAGCGGTTTTTTCAAAATTATCAACTGCATGCTTATCTGGAACAGGAGGTGGTGCGTTAAATAGAGAGCGTTTCATTTCTGGACTGACATTTTGAAAGTATTCGGCATTCTTTCTGGAGAGTGTTTCGATTCCCATTATATTAACATGGTATGGGTCAGGCGGTGGATTCATACCTTCGTATGGCGGTCTAGGTGACGAGTTTTGGGAGTTAAGGTGTGTGTTACTGGTCGAAATCATATCGCGGGCTAACGCATCCACCCGCAGTTTTTCATTACGTGCTTCCTCGGCCTGACGATGTTGTTCTGCTACTTCTGCTGCTGCTGCTGCCTCTTTCAATTTTTCTTCTTCACTCTTCTTAGACATGCTGCTAAAGAAATCTTGTAAGTTAACTTGCTGTCCTTGGTGCTGTATGAGATAATTTTGTAGTTCCAAAGCCATCTCTGGGGTAAGTTGTGTCAATGGTTGCACAGGAGCAGAAGACTGAGACTGCAGGGAAGCTTCTGGCATTTGCTTTTCTGGCTCGTTCTCAAAGACTTGTTTCTGTGCTTGCTGCGTCGCAATAGATTGTTGACGTTCCAAAAGTTGCTGATGCTGCTCTTCCTTTGCACGGGCTTCTTGTTGAGCAACATGTTGTTGTTGAGCGGCTTGTAGTTGAGCGGCATGTTGTTGAGCAGCATGTTGTTGAGCAGCATGTTGTTGAGCAGCATGTTGTTGAGCAGCATGTTGTTGAGCAGCATGTTGTTGAGCAGCCTGAAGTTGAGCAGCCTGAAGTTGAGCAGCCTGTTGTTGAGCAGCCTGTTGTTGAGCAGCCTGAAGTTGAGCAGCCTGTTGTTGAGCAGCCTGTTGTTGAGCAGCCTGTTGTTGAGCAGCCTGTTGTTGAGCAGCCTGTTGTTGAGCAGCCTGTTGTTGAGCAGCATATTGTTGAGCAGCATATTGTTGAGCAGCCTGTTGCTGAGCAGCCTGTTGCTGAGCAGCCTGTTGCTGAGCAGCCTGTTGTTGTTGAGCAGCAGCTTGTTGGACAAGAACTCGCTGTTGAGCCTCATTTTGAGCGTAATTTTGGGCATAAGCAATTTGCTGCACTTGTTGTCGGTCAAGTAATCCAGCATGTTGTTGATGGGGCACAGGTTGCTGAGCCGGTTTTTTTTGTATTGGGACCAGACCAAAATGCATTTGATTATCTGTTGCATTGCCTCGGCCTTGTTGATTGGAAAACACGGCCTCGGAGTTTTTCTGCTCATCTTCACGTCTTATACGGTCGTGTTCTCCAGAAAATCTATAATCACGGTGCTGAGTCGTTGGTATTCTTTTCCGCATGGCATACAGATTATTAAAATGCATTTCCATTTCGCTGCGGATAAAGACATTGAGACGGTGTTTCAATTCCTGTAATAAAGTGATTTGCGATCTAAAGATACCTTGCAACACAGTTTGATCAATATTTCTTGCTAAGCCAGCTCTAAATTGGACAACGAAGTCACGCTCAATAAATCGATCATCAATAGCTTTGTCCAGTTCGCTGTATAACACTTTCGTACCATTTTGGTAGGCTTCGGTTAAGTGAACGTTGTCATGGAAGGCTTTACTGGCTATGTTTTTCATTCTATTAAAAAATGGAAGTGATACATTAAACATATCAGTATATAAGTTTTCTTGATAGGATCGGCCGAGTGGAATTGATGGAAAATTTGATATGTTCTGGAAAGAGCTTTGTTCGGCATGCATTATCACAGGTCGGGGTGCAATTTCTTTAGTTGAGAGCCTCTGTTTAGGTTGTTCAATAGCTTTCTCTTCCAAATCTTCCAATTCCTCATTATCATTTTCCTCAAAAATAAATTCTGGATCTAAGATAGTTGAACCTTTGTCTTTTGTTGGCATTGACTCTTTAGTTTCACTATAAGTCTTTGAGAAATCATTAGTTGAAAAGTTGAAACATAACAAATGATATGCCTTACAACCACTGCTCTTTTACGAGCACCGCGACCAAGATTTTCTGCAGCTAGGCGCTTTTCCTCTCTTTTCCTTTCTGCTTCAATCTCTTTCTCCTTAAGGAACTTTTGCCAGAAATCAGAAGAAGCATCGTCTTTTTGATTACCATCCTCATCAGACGGAAGCTCCTCCACTGAACCATCTACTTTCCATACTTTAGCAAAGGAGAAATTCACACCTTGCTCTGCTTCCTTTGTCTTTCCTTCTTCAGCGGCACGAATCTCTTCTTTTTGATTTTCAATTGCTGCCTCACGGTATCTTTCACGATCTAACAATTTATCGAGCGCGGCAGAATCATACTGCACATCTGTGGAATCATCGTCGGCAAACAAAGCTTCGGCACCAAACTTGAGAATGGACTCAATGTCCTCAATCTTATCCTCTTCATTTTCTTTCATACGTTCGACTACGACATGCTCAAGGGCCATTTTCTTTTTACCGATTTGAAGTACCTTTTCCTCTACGGTTAAACGAGTCATTAAACGAAGAATGAGCACCATGTTAGTTTGTCCAATACGGTGAGCACGACTAATGGCCTGTAAATCAGCATAAGGATTGAAGTCTGAGTCCCAGATAATAACTGTGTCTGCTGTAGTCAAATTGATACCGACACCACCAGCACGGGTTGAAAGTAGAAAGACGTCAATCTTTGAGCCAGGAGCGTTAAAGGCATCGATACTTCTGACACGACTACGCTCATTACAACTACCGTCCAAACGAACATACCCAATATTTTCAAATGTCATATAATCTTCTAAAACATCTAATACACGGGTCATGGTGGAGAATAACAAGATACGATGTCCAGCAGCCTTCAGCTTAGGAAACATTTGATGGAATAACATTAGTTTTCCACAAGCATTAATCATAGCACTTTGGGTCTCCTCAGGTGTGGGGTGACTTGTTTCAACACCATCTAAAAGATAAGGATGATTTAAGACCTTTCTTAAATTCATGAAAATACTGGATAAGCCTCTCTGAATTTTGGAGCCTGTGGCAAGATTCAATGTTTCATAAATTTCTCTACTGAGGCATTGCTTGTAAACTTCTTTTTGTAAGGGGGTCATGGAAAGAGGTACGATCAGTTCATATTTTGGTGGCAATGTCTTTAACACTTCTTCCTTGGTACGTCTTAAGAAATGGGGTCTTAATCGACTATGAAGTTCATCTACCTTCAACTTTGTCATGTCAGCATATCCAGCCGCTTCACTACCATGAAAGTCTTTAGGCTGAATGAAATTCATGATGTTGAATAATTCCCGTAAATTATTTTGAAGCGGAGTGCCTGTCAACAGAGTAATTTGATCCACCTTGTAGTTCTTGAGAGTTTTAAATAATGAGGATTGGTCATTCTTGAGACGTTGTGACTCATCCACCACCATGACTGCCCAAAAAATATTTTGTAATCTTGTTGATTCCATTGACGATTCATACGTAGTGACAACAACATGACATTTTATGTTAATTCGGTTGTCAAAGATTTCATTGTCCATCGCTAATGTACGACCGGTCTGGCCACCAAAAAATGGCGCCACTACCATTTCCGGCGCCCACTTATTAAATTCACGGATCCAATTGGTGGCGGTACTGTTGGGTACAACAATCACAAACGGATATATGTTGAATTTTTTATACAATGTATAAAGATAACCAATGATTTGAATCGTCTTTCCTAATCCCATATCATCAGCCAAGATACATGATTGCTTGTTTTCCCATTGATATAGTAACCAGCTAATATTAATATTGTTAGTATACTAATAAATAAAAGGGAGGGGCGGAGGGCATATTTTACTTTAATGCTTCCAGTTGATGCTTCATCAAAGTACCACCAGTAATAAATCCAGGTTGCGATTTAAGTTCATGCTTTTCGTAACTTTCAGTCTTTGCACTTTTACGCACATCAGAGATCAACTGTCTAACACCGATTGGGGGCTTAACTTTACTGGCTAGGATGTATCTTTTGAGGGCAATTTCGTAATCTGGATATAATTCAGTTTCATCCTCTGTAGGTGGATCATCCCATACAGCTAAATTTAGAATAATGTTAAAAATAGATAATCTTCAGAATACGATTCATAGAATCTCTTTACCGTCTTCATAACTAGTATCTTTATACACAGCCAAAATTCTCTTTGCTTTCAATTTACTCTTATCCAACCATTCGACATTCAAAATTCTATCCACAGTCTTCCATTCGATAGGAATGCCGTTCTGTGTGACAAAGTCCTGTTCTGAACGTTTCTTGATATAAGCCCTGTAGGCAGTGGACTGAGCTCCTTGCATCCAACTCTCTAATACCCAATTTGTGTGGCGATAAGAAACATTTTTCCATTTTATCAAAAATTCGGTTTTGTTGTTCACTGTTCTTTCGGCAACGATGGACCCATGCTTTTGACCGAATTTTGCACACTCAAAACAAATTCCATTCGCGTAAATGGCTTCTGGGTCCGTATCTTTGGTTTCTTCGATAAGATCAGACGACACACCCTTTTTAATACATTTGTTGTGAAATCCTCTAAAGCAAAAATTACACCGGAAGGCTAGCTTTGTATCGTTTTTTCCAGGAATGGCTTTGTGGCATTCAACACAAGAGTTTTTTCGTTGACATTTCACACAGGTCATTTGGCCGTTTTCAAAAAAAGGGCTGACAAATTGAGGTAAACAGTTATTGTGAATCGAATATGAACATGATTTACATAATAATAAGCGTTGTTTTTTAGCGTCAGTGCCCACGGGTACATCAATAGGACCTTTATGATTTCCCGATTCGTTACAACGATAACATAGTTCTGAGTGATGCGCAATAAAATTGGGATCCTCTGGTATAGGAACATGAAGTATTTGTGTGTTGCGCTTTTTCTCGCCTAATTTTCCAGCGTAAAATTCGGTTTGATAAGTCTTACTTTGAGTAGATTTTCGTCCGCTTCGGGTGGCAGATACTGCGCGTGTATCATCTTCGCTGTCGCTGTCACTGTTGTCTGAGCTTGGAACACTCGCTGGAGCACTGTCATCGTTGCTGCCGATTCTGCCTCGGAGACGAGCTTTCTTTTTAGCATCGATTCTAGGTTTGAAGGAATTGGTGGCTCGTTTCCTGGTGACAGGCTGTTGTGAATCACGAAATCGTTGAAGTTCGAAATCCTCAACTAATTTCTTTTTGGTTACATTTAAACTTTTTGCAGGGATCTATTTTTTACAAAAAAAAAATAGTTAGGAGAAAAAGAAGGGGTGTTCTTTGTTATCAGTTAGTTTACCTGTCTAGTTTGACCATCTTTAAATTCAACAATGTAGTTAACCTGCCCAGTTTGAGTAGTTTCGCGGCGTTTGATACCTTTGATAGAGGTTACTGCAAAAGGCCAAGGTGAAAAGGTGGCTTTTAGTGGTTTGAACCGCTCCTCTAGTTCCTAGACATGATTATGAGATTATAAACTTGAGGTTCTTCATTCTTTTGGATACCTTTCGGCTGATGGACTCGTAAATCTTCATTTTTTCCTTTTCGTGCCCTTTCCAAAGTGATAAAAAAAATGTTTTAACGCGTCTCTTTTTCTTTGTTTTTTTTGGAAGGCGACTCCTATGAACAGTCACAGAGCCAAAAAAGGGGAGAAAGTAAAAATAGCAGTGTGTAGCCAAAAAGAAATTCAACGTTGCACCAAATAATAGGAGAAAGAGTGTTTAAAAAACAGGGTGAATATTATAATAAATGCATCTGATTTTCTCTTCTTCTTTTCTTATATTTCGTTGGTCTTTTCTTCCTTTGCTATCTTTTTTTCTTTGAACTTGATTTGATCAAGAAAGAATGCAAGACGATTCCCGTATAGATTTGACATGTTTGCTAAGTAACGGGCAACAACAGCCACCTACGGAAGATAGTATCACAAATCTGTTGTCTAGTCGATTTAAGCGCAATCAACCTTATACTCGCTCTGGTCACTCTAATCTGATTGTTGTCAATCCATATCAACCCTTGGAAATATTAAATGATGTTACTCTCAAATCTTATGCTGATATAGGTTATAGAAATGTTGCAGAGAATAAGTCTTTTATGCAACCCCATGTTTATGATCTAGCTGCGAGGGTTTACTTCCATATGCGTAGAACGGGTGAAGATCAAAGTATCATATTAAGGTAAAAAGCTTCTCAGTCGGGGTTAGCAATTGGTCTGGTTTCTATTTTACCAGGAACATAAAGGGGGGCAGAGGAGAAGAGATAATACACACATATAATAAGGGCAATTCTATTATTGGACATACAAAATTAATCCTTTTTTTTTTCTTATTTCTTATTAGTGGCATAACTGGGTCTGGTAAAAGTACAACAAGATCACATCTATTGAACCAAATCCTTTTATTATCAACCCATTCTAAAAAAGAAACAAAATTACAACAACAAATTCAAAATTCGCTTGTCATTCTTGAAGCTTTTGGTCATACCAAAACCCTACAAACTTCTTCCGCTTCAAAGTATGGTATGTTTCAAGAGCTGCAGTTTTCCGAAAGAGGTCGTATTCTTGGAGCGAAAACTTTGACCTATGCGTTTGATAAATCAAGAATTACTTTTGTTCCCAAAGAAGAACGATCGTTCAATGTATTTTATTCACTGTTGGCCGGTACAAGCCAAGAAGAACAAATAGCCCTTCATATCAACTTCCCTCCTGAATCTTTCAATTATCTTGCTCAATCCAAAACCATCAAGGTACCTGAAATCAATGATGAAATTGCTTTTGCCGATCTCAAGAGTTCTCTTAAAGTTTGTGGGTTCAAAGCAAAAACTGTCACTCAAATCTTCCAGTTATTGGCCGCTATTCTACACATTGGTAACCTTCAATTTCAAGATGATAACGACGCCGGAAACCAAGCACAGGAAGCATGTTGTATTCGAAATCATGATGTTTTGGAAGTAGTCGCCGCTATATTAGGTGTATCACCTACAAAACTCGAACAATCATTGACTTACAAGCTTAGATTGATCCGTAAAGAACTATGCACAATGTTTTTAAACACTCAAGGTGCAACTGAGCAAAGAGATGCTTTAGCAAGGGCTCTTTACCATGTTTTGTTTTTATGGATTGTCGAAACTTTAAATACCAAAATATGTTATAATGATGGTGAACCTGCTAATTTCGTGGGTATTCTGGATCAATTTGGTTTCCAAAATTTTAAATCAAATGGATTTGAAGAATTCTGTGCTAATTTTGCTAATGAACGGGTTAATCAATTTATCATCGACCAACGTTTCAGCGACACTGAAGGCATGGGTGGCGCTATGATGCGCGACGGTGTTCCACTTCCCAAAATAATTACTATGGACAACTCTGCTTGTCTTGAACTACTGATCGGCAAAGAACAAGATACCCAGAAAAACGTGAACAAATCTGCAGCTTTAGGGCTCGGAGGTATTGTCGGTGCAATGGATCGAGACTGTGCCAAATACCAAACTGGAGCTACAGATGCTACCAATGCAAATTTTTTGGCTAATGTTCAGCGTACGTACGGCTCGCATCCATCCTTTTCCAAATCAGGACATGCATATTCATTCGGTATCAACCATTTTTCTGGCTGTGTGCATTACACCGTGGACTCCTTTTTGGAAAAGAATTTGGACGATCTTTCGCCGGATTTTGTCAGCCTGTTGCGAGAGAATAGTACTAACACATTTGTTTCCAACCTTTTTGAAAGCTCGGCTATGGCAACCGAATCCCATCCTAAGGACGACCGAACCATTGTTAAGGCACAATTGACAAGTAAGCCTACTCGTGCACCTTCCATGAAACGACCTAATAAACGTCGTGGCAATAATGTGCGAGACCCAGCCATTCCTGAAGGTGGAGAACCCGATGCAGATGAAATGCGAAAACAAAAATTAATTCATGATGCAGAAGATGCTTATCAAAATATGCAAGTTACTACTGTGATGGATCAACTCTACATGACTTTACGAGATCTATTTTATACCATGTCTGATACTCGTATCTACAATATTATTCATATCCGACCCAATGATACCCAATCACCGGACGTATTTGACCCTAAACGTGTTAAAGCCCAAGTCCGTGCATTCTTATTGCCCGATTTAACCTTCCGTAGTGCTGTAGACTACGCTAATTATTATACTTTTGGTGAATTCCTGATGCGATACGAAAACTTTGTAAACTCGTTACAAATAGATCATACAAAGCCCGAGAGAGAACAAGTTGAAAATGTGCGCGCCATCATGAACTGGGTTGAGCCTCAAGCTTTTATTGGTCATGATATGATTTGGTTCTCTTACGAAACCTGGAAAGAGCTGGAAGATGGTTTACGTGCTGCTGAAAAAGAAGAACGTGATCGTGCTAAAGGATTAGAAGCTAAACAAGAATTACCTCATCATATTGATCAACATATGGCGGCTAATGCAGCAGCTGCTGCCGCTGCAGCTGTTCCTGTAGGTCACTATCAAGATGGTCGTTTATTGCCTCCTAACCCAGTGTATATGGGTAATATGGGTCAAGGTGGTCACTTTGAAGATGGCGCTAGTTACATGGATAGTGACGATGGCATGAAACGTGACATGGAAGGCAGTCAATGGGGTGAAGAGTCTGAATGGGGAATGAAAGGACTTTCAGACGGGTAAGACTCAAAATACAAATTATTCCTACAAACTATACCTAACAGTTACTTTATTGTAGATTTGGCCCAAATATGGACATGAGTAAAATGGTGGAAGACTATCACACACCGCAAAACGAATCTGTAGAAGAAATGCCAATTACAGCTGTTCGTATTTGGTGGATCCGATTTGTTTGGTTAATGACATGGTGGATTCCATCTCCCTTCTTAAGCTGGTTTGGTAAAATGAAGCGTGAAGATGTACAAATGGCTTGGCGTGAAAAAGTGACACTTTGTATTATTATTTTCTTCTTTTCTGCTATTACCATCTTTGTTATTGTTGGTCTTGGTGAGGTTATTTGCCCTGGAACAAGAAATATGTTTTCCGGTGCTAATGTTCAAGCACACGGTACACCCGATGATATGTATGTCAGTGTCCGTGGACATGTTTACGATATTACCAATTTTGCAAAAAGTCAGCATGGTGCTTCCGCCTATATTGGTACCCCCGATTTAATGTCTCAAGTCGCCGGTTTAGACGTCTCTTACTCTGTCCCCCCACCCTTAACTGTGGCATGTGCTGGCTTGGTCAATTCTGCTAATATCAAAATCATTCCTAATAATACGATTGTCTTGGCTAATTTTGTACACAACTCAGGCGATCAACGTACGGTGCCCACTTTACCCAAATTGGCCGATCCTCGTTGGTATTGGGATTACTTCATCCCTACCATGACGCTTTATCGAAAGGGTAAAGTAGTTGTTCCCATCAATCAATTGTATGCCGATTATCAAAGTTGGAGTCGTTTAGCACTTGCCATTAATGGCAAAGTGTATGATATCAATGACTACATGTCTACCAGCAAAATCTTTGACTCTGGATCTACTGCCACAGACTATCATTTTTTAAATCCAACTGTAGAAGAAATATTTACCAAGTTCAGTGGTACAGACGCTACCGATAAATGGAATCAATATCGTGGTTCGATGACTCTGGAAGAGCAAGAGATGAACTTGAACTGTCTCAACAATTTCTTTTATATCGGTGATGTGGATGAACGAGATTCTGCACGCTGTATGTTCACGAATTATATGCTTTTGACAGCTGCTGTTCTCATGTGTTTTGTTATTGTCGTCAAGTTTTTGGCAGCACTTCAGTTTGGTGGTGCACCTACGCCGGAAGACCACGATAAATTTGTTATTTGTCAAGTCCCTTGTTATACTGAGGATGAAGAATCTCTCAAAAAAACCATTGACTCTTTGACTGTCATGAACTATGACGATAAGCGTAAATTACTTTACATTATTGCTGACGGTATGATTATGGGTAGTGGTAATGATCGTCCTACACCTCGTATCGTCCTGGACGTTTTAGGGTATGATACTAAAAACGATCCTGAGCCCTTGATGTTCAAATCTATTGGTGAAGGTTCTAAGCAATTGAATTATGGTAAAGTCTACTCTGGTCTTTATGAATGCGAAGGTCATGTTGTCCCCTATGTTGTGATTGTCAAGGTCGGTAAAGCTTCTGAACGTGCCAAGCCTGGCAATCGTGGTAAACGTGATTCTCAAATGATATGTATGAATTTCTTGAACAAGGTTCATTTTGATAGTGAAATGACTCCACTTGAATTGGAAATGTATCATCAAATCAAAAATGTAATTGGTGTGAACCCTTCATTTTATGAATACATACTCATGGTGGACTCCGATACTGAAGTTATGGCAGATGCATTGAACCATATGATTTCTCGTATGTTGCACGATGGTCGTATTATTGGTCTTTGTGGTGAAACGAAATTGGTTAATGAAGATAGATCTTGGACTACCATGATTCAAGTATACGAATACTATATTTCCCATCATCTTGCAAAAGCGTTTGAGTCACTGTTTGGGTCTGTTACTTGTTTGCCTGGTTGTTTCTGTATGTACCGTATCCGTACTCCAGTAAAAAATGAGCCGCTTATTATTTCTCCTAAGGTTATTTATGACTACTCGGATAATCATGTTGATACACTTCACAAAAAGAACTTGTTGCATTTGGGTGAAGATCGATACCTTACCACATTGATGATGAAGCATTTCCCTCAATACAAAATGAAATTCACCGCGCATGCTCAATGTAAGACTGTGGCCCCAGATCGCTGGCAAATTTTGTTATCACAGCGTCGTCGATGGATTAATTCTACGATTCACAATCTATTTGAGGTTGTGTTGCTTCCGGATCTTTGTGGTTTCTGTTGTTTCTCAATGCGATTCGTAGTCTTGATCGATTTGATTGGTACCCTGACTTTACCTGTGTCTGTTATTTATCTCGTATATCTAATTTATGTAATTGCTTCTAAATCGGGTCCTATTCCTATTTTGGCGCTTTGTATGTTGGCTGGTATTTACGGTTTGCAAGCCATCTTGTTTATCTTAAAACGCCAATGGCAGCATATAGGTTGGATGATCTTTTATATCCTGGCTATTCCTGTCTTCTCCTTCTTTTTGCCCATCTATTCTTTCTGGCATTTCGACGATTTCTCTTGGGGAAATACGCGTGTGGTGGTTGGTGATAAAAAGCAAAAGAAAATTATTGTTGCTGATGATGAAAAGTTTGACGAAAAGATGATCCCGCTAAAGAAATGGAGTGTGTATGAACAAGAGCTTTGGGAATTAGGGTCCACAGGAAGTAAAGAGACAGGTGTCACTGGCAATACTTACAAGAGCTATCAAACACATGGATCTCGCAATAATCAATCAGCCATGTACGATAGCCGTACACAATACGGTGGCAGTCAAGCAGGTGGTGAATATGATTACTACAGAGATACTAATGTTGCTGGATACGAAAAACGAGGAGGTAACAGAGCACAGAGTCCGATGGGATTCACGGGATCTGTCATTGGGGGTTCTGAATACGGAGGGGCTGCTACACAAGATTTTATGATGACACCGCCTATGCCAAGAGGCTCTCAAGCAATGTCTGTACATAGCTTTGGACCGGATTATGCTACCAGTGGACATATTACACCCATGATGGGAGGAGGAAATGGTAGCATGATGTACGATCGTTCCAGTGCCATGATGGGAGGTAGTATGATGGGAGCGCAACCGCACATGATGATTCCTGGAGCCAATCAAAGTGAATATGAAATGCCGATGCGACCCATGAGTCAATTCTCTATACCTTTATCGCAAGGCGGTATGCAACCAATGACACCGCCTGGGTTCCCTACGGATGAAGAAATTTTATCCGAGATTCGAAATATTCTTCAGACGGCTAATTTAATGAGTATCACTAAGAAGCAAGTACGAGAACAATTGAGTGCTTTCTTTGGCTTTGATATGACTCCCAAGAAGGAATATATCAATACAAGCATCGAATACATATTACAAGGTCGTCTTTAATTATTTCTATTTATACCATTATTTCTTACATGTAATCAGCCCCAAAAAAAATATACACAGCATTATTCAACCGCAAAGCTTTTTCATTATTAATTATCCATTTTTTTTATTAAACCCTATATTTTAAAACTTCCGCACTAAAATAACAATGTTTCATTCCTCTTTTTTTCTTCTTCGTTGCTCTTTTTTTCACTGCATAAAAACGAAGAAAAAATGTTACCTACCAGCCATGACGTGAAAAAGGAAAAATTAAAAGACACTATGTTAGGTCTTCATTGGGCCGCAATTACTGGCAATGTCGGTAAATAATACTGCTGCTATCGACTTCCTGTTTATATTGAAAGACTCCCCTTTTATAGGCCTTGTAAAATTTGCTCTTGACCATGGTGTACCCATTGACTCGACTGTGAATGGCTTTGTGCCATTACAATTAGCTTGCATTAGCGATAACAACATTGCTGTTGTTCAATACCTCATTGATCGAGGGGCCGATGTCAATATGCAAAAGTAAAAAGCAACTCACTTGAATCATAATATTACACGCACAAAGATGCATATTGACCTGTCACATATTTTATAGATGGTCAAAGAAACATTGTGTCGACAAGTCACAAGCAGTACCAGGAGCAACAGGATCCACTGCTCTTCATGTGGCGTGTGCTAATGGGTGCATTAAGATTGTTGACCTTTTACTACGAAATTATGCGACGGTGGATCTCAAGGATAAGTATGGTTCCACGCCATTAGACGTCGCACAAGCGAAACATGAAACCGAAATCGTCCACCTATTAAAAGCCGCTAAAGTTAAACCGCAAAAAGACGGCCTATATAAACGTACCGATAAACAGAAGCGAAGACCGAGTATGCCATCTATCTTTGAAGGAAGGCAACAACAGCCTTTGCCGCCAACGCCTCCGCCGCCACCTTTGTTGACCATGACGCCTTATGAGTTTACTCAAAAGCGGAGTTTACCGCACAGACCATCTGTGGATGAAAACTCTGTTACACTAAGTTATGTTAGCATACCCTCGTCCCATTCCTCTTCTGATGAATGCCCTCGTATTATACCATCTTCTCCTGCGACAAGTCTATCTACAACAACGGACGGTTCTGAAGGACAAGATTATTATGGTTATGGTGTTGTAAATACTTATGACGAAGATAACTATCTATTATCATTAGAGAAGCGAGCCTACAATTTGGGGACAAATAAGAATGGCGAGCTTGAGCGTCATTCCCAGGACATTTCAAGGTTTGATTATATCACCCCTTGTTCACCGCCAACCGGTCTAAATTATACGCATAGTACATCATCTTCATTTAACGAATCAGATCACGAGGAAGAAGAAGATCATACATTTGATGATTACCCGATGCGGTATAGCATGGACCAGCCAGAAACCAAGCGAGGCTGGTTCAGCGGATTTGGCAAGGAAGTTGGGCGTCATTCCTTGGATAGTATTCATCGTAAAGAACACCATGATCTTCGACCTGATATTTTTATTGGAAAGAAAACAGACGATCATAAAACAGGATTTTTTTCAAGGTGGACTCCTGCATGGTCAAAAAAATAATTCTTCTGAATTGTATTTAACTGTAAATAAAAAACAACTACTCCTTTCTTTAGATTATGACTAATTAAGCAAAAAGAAAACAAAGGAGTTGTCATATTGCAGTTTCAAACTCATATGTTGTATAACATACCTTTAATAAAAGGGGTATGATTTTACTTCATGAGGACTATTTATAAAATACACGCATAAACTTGTGATCCTATGTCTGATAAACAAGACCGCAGATTAATATCCTTCATGAAACTTTTATTAGTGATGACAATAAATATAACTCACCAAGTCAACTCTATGGACGGTAACACTAGATCCTGTTTCGGTCAGTTCTGGCTGTTCACCGCGAAATAGTAAATTTACTGCCTTATTGATCAACCTAACTTTAATGCTGCAATAATCCATATGTAACCCACCGTATGTTTCTGAAATAATCAGCTTTAATTGTTGGACGCAGAAAAGTTACGTTACCTTTGATTTACCAATAAGAATTACTTCAAACGTTATTTTTATTTTTATTTTGTGTTCAAGACCGATGGACATTCCACTTAAAGCTATGATCAAATGTACTACGTAAAGTGTTACATCCGCTTTGGCAGGTTTATCATTTTGAAATAAAATCCCCTTACAATTGATATTGAAGTTAGGTTAAATCTTGATTCGTCTGTGAATAAGCGTAGATTTTTTTAGACTTTATTTGACTTACCATTCGAACATTTAGTAAATATTGGAGCCAGAAATCCAATAGATGTGGATTCGTCTTTCAAGTATTTTTGTTACATAATCAATGAACAATGCATGAGATATTCCAAGAAATAAACGGTTAAATCATTTGAGACTAAAACTAGATATCTTTTTATTAAATGGAAAAGGGGATCCTTTTTATAAGGAAGGATTGAAATAGATTGTTATCCGGGAAGATCAGATCCGGCTTCAAGGTAGTGGAGTTCTTTGCTGCCAAAAATGTGAAAAGGTGTGGCAAAGGTACGTGAATGCTGCCAGAAATATGATGATAATCTCAAAGGCGAAGGAAGACCAGAAGCTTTTAAACCCAAGAAAACTAAACAATAAGCCTAATATGTTCTCATTATCGTATCGCCATATCAAACACGGTTTCCTTTTAATTAAGGATTAAGATCATTACAGGTAAAAAAGCAATGTTTGTCCGAAAATTCATTTCTTACATTTTGTCCAAAATTAAAAAATTGCTAAAAAGTAGGCCCGGGTAGAGAACTTAAATGAATAGTTATGACAATAAAAATAAAATAGTGGTGATAAGATAAATGGGAAATCCCTTAAACCTTATATGTAGTAATATGCAATTCCTTCATCACGAGCCATGTGTCAAAATCTATTATCTTGATCGAAAAAGACTCACTGGTATCAGTCGCATATAAACAGCTGATGTATGTATTTGTTTTAGCCGCTATAGTAAGTAAAAAGCAAGAATTACTTCCTTTCAATCTGGTAAAAAATCGACTTGCATCCTTAAACATTCATTATTCAATAAGACTAACCCAAAATGTAAAACATTTCTTATGGCAAGTTGATCAGTAAAGTTCCCTTTTTAGATTAAAGTTATATTGTGGTTTGATTTTATTGTAGATTAAGATAAAAATTATTACTGATATATGTTCCACTCCATAAGATAAAGAACTCGTTATGCTACTACTGATTATGCACCATCGGGTTTTTGTAAAGACGGATATCTCGCTACACCACTAGGGCCTTCTTCGTCAATGGCATTTGGACGTTGATAATCTAACCCTTGTTGAATCAGCATGGGACTTGGTTTATTTACTATTGGGCTACTGCTGACAATTGTGGTTGAATCATCATTTAGGCGAGGAGAGTAGGTAAATTGGCTTGGTAGACTTGTAGGGCTCATAGCATCCGCATACTTTTCAAGTTCTACCCAATTAACATGCGTCGGTTCTTCGATTTGCTGATCTTTTTGTTTTTCTGCCTCTAATGCTTCACGCTTTTTCTTTTCGGCCCTTTTCTTTCTTAAAATAAAAAATATTATAGCCCCAATCCCAAGCAAACCCTTAAAGAAATAAATTTTAGTTAAATTAATAATGTTTTTAGAGTAATCTATCATGCATTAATACGTACAGCAGCAGTAGCACCAACAGCAATACCGGCTATAGCACCTGTGCTCAACCCCGTTTCTGATCCTTTGGAATTCGTTATTCTTGGTATCAAAGATCCCTTAGGGTCAATGTATCTATCTACCAATGTTACATTGGTTGGATTTGTCACATTCAAAACTACTACTGACAAAGTTGGTGAATCAGAGGAGTCTTTTCCAAAAACCATGAAAACTGTTTCGTGGCTTATTACTAAAGCTAAATTATATTGAAAAGCAAAGGTTTGGTGAGTATCTAATAAATCAACTTCTCTATAATTGACACGTTTGTGTTCTTACCGGAGTGATCAGTTCTAATTAAAACAACGTTAGGGGAAGAGACAATGTTTTGTTGTGTCCATTGATATGTATCCAGATTTAGAGTGAAGCAAAAATCCAAAAGAGCTATATATATTGGTAAACTTGTTACTGGTAACTCTTGCTACTTTTTTTTCTGTCACTATTACCTCTGTTATTATTTTTATTGTTGGTTCCTCCGTATATAAGAACATCTCTTTGATTAGGTCCGACTGTAAATTAAGCATTGTTAAAGATGCTTGTTATTTGATCCGGAATGCTAATTTTAATATTAAAATACCTAAGGTAGCTGTATGACCGTATCTTGGACTTGGTCCAGATCCTGTAAATCCTTGGGTGCCCCACTGACCCTTGGTTAAGTTGAATAAAACAGAGCTCTCAAAAGTATAGTCAAAAGTATTGTTAAGAGAAGACGTTTGATATATACCACCGAAGAAAAAGATGCTGTTACTTTTGGAGTCAAAAATAGACCTTTGATACATGGAAAATACATTCGGCTTATCAAGCTGGTTGGGGTAGACTGACCAGGGCTATTTATACGACATTTATACATTTAGTTAATTGTAAGTTTAAGTTTCATTGACACATTAAGCTTACGTTCTCTGGCTGATCAATATTAAAAAAAGTAAGACCAGTATAACCTATATATCGCAATTGTTCTGTTTCATCTTGGTATTGCGATACATTTATACCAGGGTAAGACCAACTAGCATTGTAATTACTATTGTAAAGCTCTGTTAATAACAGTAAACATTCAAAATAAGTGTATTTACGTTTCAATACCACCATAGTATCCAACTCCATAATTGGGTACATATACTGAAGATGCGTAATAGCTATAGTAAATAATTAGTCGGGTGCTGTACGTATTTATATTCGGCATAAAACATCTGCCTTACATTTGTCTATCCCCATAAGGATATTCTGTATAATTTGCAAATCCACGCCATCCCAAGTCTTCTGCATTGAACGCTAGTGTCTGTACAGCTAAATTGGTGTAATCGTTGTTCCATCCTCCACTGATTAGCAAAGTTTTACCATCGGAAAGCTGCATAGACTGGGTATAGGCTCTTGTTGTGATATCGAGTCCGTTTGGAAAGGTAGTAACAGTTACCCATTGATCTTTTAATTCATCTAACGTGCTTCCACTACCATTTACAATGTCTAACATCACCATTGTAGAATCCGGAAAGCTTGTACCCGCTGTTGTCAAACCCCCAAAACAATAAATCTTGTCGGATAAGTAACCACATGCTATTTGTTTATTCAATTAGCGAAAAAATTAGAGCTTAAAAACGAAGTTAGAGGTTTGATCCTACCAGGGTCATATCTAGCTTGGACGCTCTGTGATAAGGTGGGTTTTGTGGCTGTCAAAAATAAAAGTGAAACAATCAAACAAAGTTTCATGCTTATTTAATCCCAAAAAATAAAAAAAAAATAAAAGAAAATTGAGGTGGCCATTCCTTTTTATCTGTTATTTATATTAAAACGGAACCTTTTGAAGTGTAACATGGGTACAAGCCATCAAAGGTCCTTTCTTTTTCTCGCTCGATCTTTATTCTTTTATACGGCATAATGAAAAATAATATTACATCGTTATGCTTGCAAATTATCAATATTATTCTTTCAACGAGAGCTGGAAAATATGATTTTAGGTGATGCATTTTTAAAAGCTTATCCACGTCTATTTATTTTTGGAAAATCCATGGGATCCGAATAATTTTTCTTTCGGTCCTTGCCAAAAAAAGTGCAGTTCCTCTGTTTGGTTCCACAAATTCATGATGTGGCACTCACCTGATTTAATCGTAAAAACTGGTGTGTTTTTTTAACAAATAAACACATGCGCCTCGAAAGGAAACAATACGCAACACAGTCAACCCTTTTAATTTTAATATTATGATAATACGGTGTATTGATATAAATGTCTCGAAAGTTAAGTCTCCATTTTGTATTCTACGTAGTTCACATCAATGCATACTATGGATATTACTAGAAAAATAAATTTTGACAATTAGTCATGTAAATCTGTAATAGCAATGTGTATTCAAGACAACATATCTTTTATTGGGAGCCCAAGTGATATCCGACAAAAAATTTCACCACCAATAAAGTAATAAAAAAAACAAATATTTATCATTCATTATTTAGTCACCTATAAAAACCAATTTGAAAAGACACTATTGAGCTCTTTTCTATTCTTATATAATAATGACAATAAACCATCCTGATCCCTACGAGAAGCTTGGTTTTTTAAAATTTGTGTTTTCCGTTGAGTTACATATCAAGTGAGAATAAACATTATTCATTTAAATCTGGAGTACTGTGTGATTAAATATAAGCTTACCTCTTTTTTTTGTATCTTCAGACGAATACATGTAGATAGGACCCAGTTTGACAATAAATAGGATAGAAATAGGCAATTATTGCCAGCAAATACACGTAGTAATTTAATTAACTACATGGAGTATATCATTTACTTGGTTACTAGTCCATCTTTACTTACGGAAACAAAAGTCATCACTCGCTCACCGATAATTAACACTTAGTGATATAAAGAAGTACATAAAATTTTACGCGGTTTAAAACAGTTTTAGCCAATCGCTTTTAGTTAATGTTCATACTGCATTGGTCTATCTGATTGAAGACGCCTGTTTCTAAAACATTTGTGTCACTGTTTAACTATGACACTGAAATATAACAATTACCCAAAGCTTCGGTAAAGTTGTGTTAAGAATAGTATAAATGTGTTTCATTTTTTTGGGGGTACACAATCAATGATCCAAATAAACATGCACTCAATACTGGGTCGTACTACTGTAATTGGCTTTATGGATCTGCTGATTCTTTACAGCTTGTATGTAATACAAGAAACAAAACGCTTATTGTCACCGAATGTGGCGTAGACATTCACAATATTTGGAAGCACATACGTATGCATATCGTATTTGGACCATAGTGAACATCTCCAAAGACGAACTACAACTTACTTTAACCTTATCTAGGATGACGATAAAATTATAACTTTCGAATCAATGTCATACTAGAAAAAATAACAAAGGCGGAATGACTAAACAACAAAAACAACTTATTTTATTAACAACAACAAATAATTTTTTTTGGAAAAACTGCAAAGAAGAAGAAAATAGTAATATTAACGATTTTCAGACAAAGCACATAACAAGGAAAGCTCGCGAGGGGAATCGAATTCGGGCATAACTACTTCCAAGAAATGGATTTTGTCGGGTTGTTGGTTGACCAATTCCATTGCATTCTCGAATTCCTGTCGAGTTTCAACCTTGGCCTCCAATCCAATCAACGAAGGGGTTTTGCCATTGCTCTTGTTTGTTTCCAAGTGTCCACCAAAATATTCCAAAGTCTTGCTGTAATCCCACATTTGGAAGTTGTTATAGCTACGCTCAGGTCCATGGATCAACTTCTCCATCAAATACCCGTCATTGTTCAACAAAAATATAACTGGCGTAAGTCCTTGACGAATAAATACTGAAATCTCCTGAACAGTCAATTGGAAAGACCCATCACCGACAAAAAGGTACACTTTTCGGCTGCGGTCAGCAAATGCAGCGCCAACAGCAGCACCAACAGAGTAACCAATTGATCCCCAAAGAATCTGTCCAATAAACGTAGCACCCTTTGGACTTTGCATGTTGGCTACACCAAATTCAGCGGTTCCGGTTTCACTTACAACGATACTGTTAGGTGCAATATATTCAGGGACCTTGTTCCAAAGATAGTTATGCGTGATCTGGTTGCTACTGGTATCAATAGGTGCTGGCATAACACGAGGACTAAGCTCAGCCTGATGTTTCAAACCGGGAAGAGCCGCCGTCAAAGAAGGTAAGAGTTCATGCATACCTACACCGGCGTATTCCGCGTGACCAATGGTTGTACCATGGCTGTTCAAACAAATCTTTTTGGTATTTTGGAAACCGTAAGAGAAATTACCCGTATTGAAGTCTGATTTGATGCATCCTACTTCGATCAAAAGATCTGCCTTTTCGATCTCTTCTCTGACACCTTCAAGTGTGACAGCGCCAGTGTAAATACCTCGGTAGTTGGAAACTGTTTCATCAATTGCGTTTTTACCCATCATGGTTGAGAAGGTAGGAAATCCAGCACGGTTTACAAAGTCAGTGGCGGCAGATTGAAGTCCATGACGGATAACAGCACCGTCCACAATAATCACAGGATGTTTAGCCTCACTAATGGCCGACAAAATTTGCTTTACAGCGACCTCTTGTACTTGCACTGGGTTCTTGGGAGCAGCAAATTCCAAAAGAGGAAGTTCGACAGGTACTTGAACAGTGGCATGAATCAAGTCAAATGGAAGAGCAATATACCCAGGTCGCTTATTCATATAGGCAGCCAAAATGACACGATCAACTTCAGCTGTAGCATTAGCAAGAGTCAAGTTAGCAGCAGCAACTGTCACCATAGATCCCATCTTAAAAAAGACGTCGAAATCGCCATTACCCAAAGTGTGATGCAACAAAGCACCGGATTTTTGAGAAGCGGTACGAGGTGTACCAACAATATGTATGACAGGTACCATTTCAGAGTACGATCCAGCAATACCATTGATAGCAGAAAGCTCACCAACACCAAATGCTGTTACAACAGCACCCATGCCACGGACTCGAGCGTATCCGTCAGCTGCATAGGCCGCGTTCAACTCGTTGGCATTGTTACCCCAGGTCAATTCAGCATCGTCTTCAATCAAGTCCAATAAAGGCATGTTGAAATCACCAGGTACACCAAAGACAGTGTCGATGCCGATCTGCTTAAGACGAAGGAGGATATAAGCACCGATAGAAAGAGAGTTTGTGTTATCTGAAGTCATTGTTGAAATTTATGTTTAAATGATAATAATAAAAATGATAATTAATTGTGTATTCTTTATATATATCTATGCTAAAATGCGCTAAAGGTAGTATGCACATACACCAAGTAGCTTTATCTGATAGATAAAAGTCTATCTTCGGGTGAAGTGGGGTGGTGGTGGGGGTTTAGTTCGATGTAATTCGATCGTTTATGATTAAAAAGGTACTGGTTGTAAGTAAGATAGATATTAAATTTGAGCTTTTACTGCACCACCGCATTTTTTTTTTTTTTTTTTTTTTTTTTTTTGATGAACCATTAACATATACCATAACGGGAATGTGCAAAGTCTTAAATGTTAACAAAGTGGTAGTGATATGCTGAGTGTCTATTACTATCTATAAACTTCGGTCGATATTAAAATGTTTTCCTACAGTCAGGTAATCAATAAACAAAAGTCGGTGCTTGCATCAAGAGATGTATATTAATAAATGGATTTATATGCTTATCTTTTTTTTTTTTTTTTTTTTTTACATTTAAGTACATCCGAGGGTCTGTCGTCAACTGTGCTTAGCACTCCTAATGTATGTATGTATGTTTCATTGATACAATACGCATTGTCCCGATTAAGTTAAGGGTGTATCATATGGGGTAACCTATTTTAATTTTAAAAAATATTCAAAGGCGAATGTATAACTTTGAAAATGATTAGTTATAATGTTGTTTTTATTTTAGTTTCTCAGGCCTCCGATATGAGCAGATATAAGGTCCAGACGTTAATAATATCGCTAATTTCAACCGCTCCGAGTTAATCATTTTGAAAGTTTATTGGATTGATGTCATGGCTTGATATCACCGATTCATTTTCAGTTACAGTTTTTAATGATAACACAGAATTCGATAAACTCAATCGTGCAAGTAGTTCTATCCTGTCGTTTTTTTAACCCACGTGCTATACATCTGTAATGGAATTAAGACAATATCCGAAAAAAAAATGAATAATTTGAGAGTTGATACGCAGATTTTGTGTGTCTGTAATTTAGATATCATTGATTAACAACATAAAGCAATAAAAGAAAAAAATTGCCGTTAAGATTAAAAAGCTCGGGTTTAAGGACAAACATATTTTAGTTACACAAGGGTGCGGAAGTGACTCCACGATGATTTATTTCAATACAAAAGCGTCACATAATGCTAGAGTGGGTTTATTGTACGACCTAATATTTTAGAAATGGTTTGTTTGTTGAAATCTGGTTAAGGATAGTAGTTTATATTTATACTGAATAGCAATTAAATGACAAGCTATTATCGCTTTGTTGAAATGCGTGTGATATTAGCACGATCAATGTTTTTAAGCAATAGTGATGTTCCTTTATTTTCACATGCTTTCATTTAACGGCATGCACATATACAAAATCAATGTATCATAGAAATCAAGCTTTTGTGTATGTGGCTTCCTTACACTTTTTTATAAAATGAGTGTCAAAAAGTCAGCAGAGGACGACATAAAAGGAACCAACTCTATTGCCTTGCAAAAAATGAAGTCTGCACACAAGCAGAATGCAAAAATAATTGATACTTGCTTGATTTAAGGAACTGTAAAAATTCGCTTGTTTCTTTACCAGCACCAAAATAAAATCGTGTGATTGTAAGACGAGCATTTGTTAGTAGTATGAAAACATGCAAAAACCATCTCAGGAGACTCTATTATATGAAAAAGCAAGGAGCGTGTAAACATTGTGATATGAATACTTATGATTGCGAAAAAGATAGAGTACATACTAGGACTCTAGTGGTAGGATTACGATATTCAAATATAATAAAACTGCGATCTATTATTTTTTCTTAAAGGTCCTTCCAAATAGATTTGGGCTGAAAAAGAAAATGGTATAAAACCTAGTTATTACTACTTGCAGCTTCTTTGTTTGTAAGTATAAACCCAGGCTCTGGATGCATTTTTAAATTTAGGTGAGTATAAAGTCACATACTCCTTTACAAGATATGCGCGATGCATAGATTATATCATTACAAAACACACATAGTATTGAGGGGGTGCTCAAAACACTTGACGACAGACTCTAAGACTTATTTCAATATACAGAAAAAAAAAGATAAGAATGTAAAGTAATGTAATACAATTAAAGACCTATTTTGATGTTATTGCCCATTAATTTGGTGTCCTTTAAAATAATTTTAATAACAACTTAAGTTTGTAGATAGTAATAGACACTCAGCATATCACTACCACTTTGTTAACATTTAAGACTTTGCACATTCCCGTTATGGTATATGTTAATGGTTCATCAAAAAAAAAAAAAAAAAAAAAAAAAAAAAATGCGGTGGTGCAGTAAAAGCTCAAATTTAATATCTATCTTACTTACAACCAGTACCTTTTTAATCATAAACGATCGAATTACATCGAACTAAACCCCCACCACCACCCCACTTCACCCGAAGATAGACTTTTATCTATCAGATAAAGCTACTTGGTGTATGTGCATACTACCTTTAGCGCATTTTAGCATAGATATATATAAAGAATACACAATTAATTATCATTTTTATTATTATCATTTAAACATAAATTTCAACAATGACTTCAGATAACACAAACTCTCTTTCTATCGGTGCTTATATCCTCCTTCGTCTTAAGCAGATCGGCATCGACACTGTCTTTGGTGTACCTGGTGATTTCAACATGCCTTTATTGGACTTGATTGAAGACGATGCTGAATTGACCTGGGGTAACAATGCCAACGAGTTGAACGCGGCCTATGCAGCTGACGGATACGCTCGAGTCCGTGGCATGGGTGCTGTTGTAACAGCATTTGGTGTTGGTGAGCTTTCTGCTATCAATGGTATTGCTGGATCGTACTCTGAAATGGTACCTGTCATCCATATTGTTGGTACACCTCGTACCGCTTCTCAAAAATCCGGTGCCTTGTTGCATCACACTTTGGGTAATGGCGATTTCGACGTTTTTTTCAAGATGGGATCTATGGTGACAGTTGCTGCTGCTAACTTGACTCTTGCTAATGCTACGGCTGAAGTTGATCGTGTCATTTTGGCTGCCTATACGAATAAGCGACCTGGGTATATTGCTCTTCCATTTGACTTGATTCATGCCACTGTCCAGGTACCTGTCGAACTTCCTCTTTTGGACTTTGCTGCTCCCAAGAACCCAGTGCAAGTACAAGAGGTCGCTGTAAAGCAAATTTTGTCGGCCATTAGTGAGGCTAAACATCCTGTGGTTATTGTGGACGGTGCTGTTATCCGTCATGGACTTCAATCTGCCGCCACTGACTTTGTAAACCGTGCTGGATTTCCTACCTTCTCAACCATGATGGGTAAAAACGCAATTGATGAAACAGTTTCCAACTACCGAGGTATTTACACTGGCGCTGTCACACTTGAAGGTGTCAGAGAAGAGATCGAAAAGGCAGATCTTTTGATCGAAGTAGGATGCATCAAATCAGACTTCAATACGGGTAATTTCTCTTACGGTTTCCAAAATACCAAAAAGATTTGTTTGAACAGCCATGGTACAACCATTGGTCACGCGGAATACGCCGGTGTAGGTATGCATGAACTCTTACCTTCTTTGACGGCGGCTCTTCCCGGTTTGAAGCATCAGGCTGAGCTTAGTCCTCGTGTTATGCCAGCACCTATTGATACCAGTAGCAACCAGATCACGCATAACTATCTTTGGAACAAGGTCCCTGAATATATTGCACCTAACAGTATCGTTGTAAGTGAAACCGGAACCGCTGAATTTGGTGTAGCCAACATGCAAAGTCCAAAGGGTGCTACGTTTATTGGACAGATTCTTTGGGGATCAATTGGTTACTCTGTTGGTGCTGCTGTTGGCGCTGCATTTGCTGACCGTAGCCGAAAAGTGTACCTTTTTGTCGGTGATGGGTCTTTCCAATTGACTGTTCAGGAGATTTCAGTATTTATTCGTCAAGGACTTACGCCAGTTATATTTTTGTTGAACAATGACGGGTATTTGATGGAGAAGTTGATCCATGGACCTGAGCGTAGCTATAACAACTTCCAAATGTGGGATTACAGCAAGACTTTGGAATATTTTGGTGGACACTTGGAAACAAACAAGAGCAATGGCAAAAACCCTTCGTTGATTGGATTGGAGGCCAAGGTTGAAACTCGACAAGAATTCGAGAATGCAATGGAATTTGTCAATCAACAACCCGACAAAATCCATTTCTTGGAGGTAGTTATGCCCGAATTCGATTCCCCTCGCGAGCTTTCCTTGTTATGTGCTTTGTCTGAAAATCGTTAATATTGCTATTTACTTCTTCTTTGCTATTTCCTTCTACATTTGTGGCTATTAAAATAAATTATTATTGTTGTTTAGTTATTCTAATACGTCTTCAAATTGCTTCATGTCTTCCTATTAGTGATGGTGGGATGATATGGCACATTTCCTTAAGGAAGAGGCAGTTTCCAGTGATATTCTATGATCTTGGAAAGGAATATCGATAAAGAAAGAAATTTATATGACCATTTATGTAGCCACACTTAGTATTTTCAAATGTCAGAAAATATAAAGAACGAACTTTTTATATGGATAAGCTATAATCGTGTAAAAGTAGCAAAGTCGGAAGGGTCTCTTTTTATATCACTGATTTAAAATTAAATAATTTGAGGTTTTGGCATCCTTCTTTATTGCAATAAAGTCTTCATCTCATTGATTGTGATCTAAGTAAGAAAATTCTTGATTCTAAAAACTTGATAATCAAATGGCACTTATTATGATCGTTGTTACTTAATTACATTATTTAACGGATCCACTAAACATATTAAGTACCATAGGTTAACTCTTGGTTATGGAAATATGACCTATGGTTTGGCATAATGAAGCAAAGTAAATAGAATGTTAAAGATATTAAAAAAAAAATGCGTCAATCAAAATTAATATGAATGACCGCGGCAAATGTCAACATATGGTCCATAATATCCCTTCTAAAACAGATCGCCACTGGTTCTTAGTTTGCCTTGATTTCCGTTCTTCCCTTACTTCTGAAATCATACTTGAAAAATGCCTGAACTCCTTTTCAAACTCTTTTGGTGGTGAAGGACTGCTCCCCAAATGCTTTTGATGCAATATGATATCTACGACATCGTTAAATGATAAAAAAAAAGAGTCCAGCATAAACTGTTTTGGATGCTGGTTTCCGTATACTGCAGAAAAAACATGTATTGGCCCAGCATTTACAACACAAATATCTTTTGGAAAAATTTATTATGTGAATACTAGTGAACAAAATTGATATTAAATGACATGCGATCTAAGTTAATCCCAGACTGAAACTGTAAAAAGCATCTTAAAACCCCCATCATATAATGGTAGCCGTGATATTCCCTATGTCCCCATGGTGAAGATCAAAACATGGCTTTTTACAGATAAAGAAATATTCTTTCATAAATCTTTGTCATTTATTAATGTTTGCTTCAAAGAAAGAGAAATTCATTGTTAATCAACCTTTTTTTTATCAAGATAAATAAGTTTAAAAACAGGAATAAAAGTAAGTAGAGGGGAGCTATTTATGATGCTTAAACAAGAACTGGTGTTTGTGTCAGGATGAGATAATTGTTTATTTATAAGAAAGACTGACTGTGCTTCTTTATGTCATGCTACACATGGAAAATATTTCAATCAGTGATTTAGCAATACACACCATGGGTATAAACAAAATAAATCATCATACAACTCACGAATAAAAAAAAAAAAAAAAAAAAAAAAAAAAAGCAGATGTAACACATTAAAAAAAGTTAAATCAGACCTGGCTTCATTAGCAATCATTTCAGTGCAAATCAATAAAAGATCAAATTGCATTTTTTGCTTGAATTTTCAGTAAAATGCATGGAGCTTCTTTCTCCGTTTGAAAATAATAATAAGAAAAAAAAAAAAAAACTGAAAAAGTCGTGAAATTGAGTAGTGAGGACTACTCTGACCGGCCGTGATAAACTTATTCTGAGCAAGAAAACCACTTTTTTTGCAAGAGCCTCCTATTCCATGAAGGTATTGTCTCTCTTCAATGCTATTTTTTAGGGGTTGAGACAATATTTACAAAATATGTAAATCATAGGGCCAAATATGAAACAAACCCTACATAATAATTTATGCTTTTATACCGAGCCAATTGTAGCGGAGAGAGGCATTTGCTTATAATACACATAGGCTCTGTTTATTGAGCCCAAAATAAGTGAGCAGGACATTGGTATACTATTCCATGTTCCAATTTTTAATTATTATTTTTTTCTAGATGCCTCGCCCTGAAACTACGGTCCCTAAAAACAAAAAAAGGCTACATCAGCTACCCAATCAAAATAGAGATAGAGGAATCCTAATGAGAGTTCATCTGTTTATTATATAAAATGGGGCAGGGTAAAGTTTTAACAAAAAAAAAAAGGGTGTATATGAGTGTGAGTTTATATGTGTAGTGTGGGTATATTTGTTTATTCTTCATCTTCTTCTAAAATCATTTTACTCTCAAGTCTATTACGTAAATTATGTATTCTTTGTTCATCTAAATGGTACCTTGAACGAGGTAATACCGATGGCTTTTTTTTTATAGAAAAAATGTATACAAAAGATTAAGTTTGTTGTTGTGCGTGTGACTTTATTTATACCTTACCATCATCATGGTGACTCGATGCAGGTCTTCCTTTTCGTCATCCTCATCTTCCTCAGCCACGGAAGTAGCAGGCGAAGACTCCGAGCTAGGGTCAAAATCATCGTCTGCTGTCGAGCTGCAAGTAGAACAAGTATGAATCATTTCATCTTCCTCTTCCTCTGGTAGCACTTCTTGTTGACGACCCTGTTGCTGTTGCTGCTGCTGGTGGTGTACAAGAGGTGGTGCAGCGCCCAACCAGGATTGAATGGAACCCGACAGAGTAGAATGATGTTGTGTAGCCAAGTTGTGTGACTTTGTGGACACCAACATGGACCACAAAGTACGAAGCATTCCCATTTCTGTGGACTGCATTTTATCAATGACAGATTTCTCAAATCCTGCTTTGGCAAGATGAGTGGCAGTACAAGATTCAGTACGATGATATGTTGCATTTGTTTTGGAGGGTCCACGCGGTTTGGGTTGTGTGACGTCGGTGTGTAACCAAGGATGGGCGAGAATGTGTGTTATGCTGGCACGGTCGGATGGATTGTAGACGAGGATGGACTGGATGAGTTGGGTCACGGTATCCGAGAAATAAGTGGGGATGGTGTAGTCCAAATGAATGACTTTGGTTTGTACTACGGATTCACAATCATCGTCAAAAGGCAATTGTCCAGCCAGCAATGTGTACAGAATGACACCTAATGACCAGACATCCGTTGCTGTTGTAAAAAAAAAAAGAGGGGTTACACACGCATTTCATAGAAAGTAAAAAAAAAAAAAAAAAGAAAAAAAAAAAAAACTAACCTGGGCCGGAATACTTTTGACGTTGAATGACCTCTATATAGAAAGGAGATTAGGAGAGATTTGAAAATGAGCTGATAAGGATGACAAGAAATTTTTTTTTTTACCTGGTGCTGAATAGGCTAAACTACCACAAAATGTATTTAGGAATTGGTTTTTATCGGTTTGACGTGCAAAGCCGAAATCACAAATTTTAAGGTTCCCATGTGCGTCGAGAAGGATATTTTCCAACTTGAGATCCCGATGGATGATCCCCAAGGAATGACAATAGTGAATGGCACTCAAAAGCTGTTTGAACCAAGTTCTTGTGTGGGATTCGGAAAAGCGAGTATGACGCGCCAAGGCATCTAATAGATCACCATGGGGACAATGTTCGGAAACAATAAAGATGTTTGTTTCGGTGCTTAATATTTCGTACAAGGAAACGATATTGGGATGAGAAAGTTGACGATGATGATGAATTTCGCGTGCCATCAAAGGTGCATGTTTCTTGTGGATCTTTTTAATCGCTACAAGTCGACAGGTTAGTTGATGTACGCCCAATTTCACTTTGCCGTAGCTTCCCTAATTTTGTTATTGTCAGGTTACTTTTTTTTCTTTCCTTTGCTTGCTTTTTGCTCTTTTTTATATATAAATATATCAGATAAATACCGTGCCGATGGTTTCTCCTAGTGAGTAACATCCGATAGATTTTAATTTAGGTGATGCCAATTCTTTCAAGAGATTGTTATAATCAGCAGCCAACTAGAATAATCTCACTTTTTATTAAAAGAAAGTTCAGTGCAAACTTTTTTTTTTCTTTCTACCTTGGCTTTTTGATTTCGGTTGACGGACTGGGACATGAAATCTTTTTTTTTTTTTTTGTATTATATATTTTTTTTTAGAATTAAAAGATCAGAAAAGAAAGGAAAGAATAAAAAAAAAAAGAGAGAGAGAGAGAGAGAGAAAGAACTGTATCATTTATTTGAAGCAAGTCACGATGATCATTGGCTAGGAAATCATTGTTAGGGGAACAAGTTCATTCTATAGTGGCACACCCTTTTTTTGTGTGATAAACAAAAACGTAATGGGGGGAGGGTAAAAAGGGAGGTAGTAATAAATTAGCATGGCTCCATATAATTTTAATATGTCATGTGGTATTCTCACCGTCATCCTTACTTTTTTAAGGTGGTGGTTGGGGGCGGACTACAGAAAAAAAGAGATACGAAATAATAATAAATTCCTTTTTTTTTTCTCTCTTTCTTTTTTCCCTTTTTATTATACAAATACATACACAAAATGGTAATTAGATTTAGAATAAGGAGAGATATGATTGGTTACTAAATGTTTATAGAATCATGCCGGGCCAATGCCATCGATGAGCACACCACTGTTCCAGCATACCGATAGAAGGACCGAAGAAAGACAGAGAAGAAGAAGACACACAATCATTCATCGACCTGATTCGGGCATGGGATTACTATCAGATATGGAAGACACAGATGATATTGAGGGACAAGAGACATTTGATCGGATATCAGGTATATTGTCTAGTTTAATACAAGAAGCCAATGAAGCAGTGCATGGTCCAGAAGTTGAGCGCGTATTAACGAGTCATAGTAACAAAAAAAAGATCTTAACGACCAGTCCCATCACCATAACAACCTCAGAAAGCAGTAAAATACCTCGACCTAGCAACCGAAAGAGTCGCACTCCTCATCACATTCGTAATGTCAGTACATCATCTTCATCGAGTTCCACAACCACCTGCTCAAATTTATTCTCTCCAATCTCAGCTAGTACCAGTACAACAACATCAAGATCTCCTTCCCCAATTATAAATAAAGCCTTTCGACAATATACCGTCCTGCGTCCCAGATCATGTCCTGTGGTAGCTGTCCAACGAAGATCAATGACGCCTATGGTGAAGCAACATCATCAAAAACGAAATAACAATAATAGTAAAATTGATCCCATCACAGAGTCCTTTAAGCGCTTGGATTCCTCCATGGCTTTGGTTGATTCTCTCTCACGTGATTTAGCCGTATCGACTCACAACAATAGCGAATCGAATCTAACCTTGTTACTCTTGGTGCCTTTATTACATATACCACATTCATTGATCACCATGATTTTCGACTTTTGCACGGCCAATCCAACGAGTCCTAATTACAAGTCGTTTAGCATGTCATCCATGTTTTTCTGGGCCTGTGTTTTTGCAGTCACCAATCTCATGGTGGATCAGGTTGCTGTCCTACCCAAACACTACTTGACCATATCGAGTCAAAAGCAATCTACACGACGTATGTCATTGCCCGGTACCTATGAAAAACCATTGCCGCCAAAGCGACGACAGAAGCAGACATGGATTCCTACTACCGTACAAAAATCGCCCTTTTGTCTTGAAAAGCCTTGTGTTCAGAGAAGAAATTCCATTTAAGCTACCTTTATCCCATTTTCAATTTTTTTTTAAAGCAAACAAAAAAAAATAAAAATTTTATATGTATATGTGTGCGTGTGTCCCCTCCCCTTTTTATACTTTCGGGTGATACCAATGCTTGTTACCTGCATGCGCGGATCCTCAAATATCTCTCTCTCTCTCTTTATATAAAGAGGAAACTACATGCACTTTTTAAATGTCTTGGCTGTTGAAGGGAGGTTTTTGACATGCGATTTTCAATATGGGTAAAGGGGAAGAAAGCGTAACCCTTTGCACTGATTGGTTCCTCTACTGTAAGAAAATTGGTGATTACAACTAACAATCATATGTGTATGTGGGTCCAAGGAGAGGGGCTTTTTATTATTATTCACGTGAGGAGTTCTTCTTTAATTAAAAATAGTTCATTTAAACATTTGATTGTTTATTTATGCAAAATTTTTTTGTATATTTTAGGCGAGTTTATTGAAAGCCAATTAGATTTTGATTCTTTTTTCCCCGTTGTAAATGAAAAGTGATACGCCCTTTGAAAAGGAGGCTGAATGTTTTTTTTTTTTTTTGCTGTGTGGTAAACACAAGAATATTTGTAATAATAGACAATAAGATGAAGCACGGGTAAAAATTAAACACCAAGATGTGAGGGGAGTACACCTTGAAGACAAGTGACAAGAAAAGCTTAGTATGAGTTGCCTAGAAACAATAATAAATAAGGGTCTCATTTAGCAGATATATAATCTAAAAAAACAGGTTTTTACATGTAAATTTAATTGCTCTCTTTTTAATGAATAAATGTCAAAATAAGGTGAGGGTCTAACTACATGTGGATAAATATAGAATGTTTAAATAAAGGCACGGTGATTTCGGGATACAAGCTTTTTAAGCATTTTATCGTGGCAAAAAAGGACGGGTCTTTGTAACGCCGATTTTAATGAAAAAGAAAAAGGCTATTTGAAAATCCGGATACCTTTTTCCCGATATTTTGTATCCGGGACACAAAAAACGGCTAAGCTACTAAGCAGGAAGTGCATACGCGTCCGACGGAGACAGGGCGCGAGAAGGACGAGAAGTGAGACAACACGTTATCCAGCCAATCGGCACAAGTAAAAACGCCAATTTGCAGAACGCCTCCCATTTTACAAAAAAAAAAGGGCGCAGCATTTTTATCAGTCATTTTTTTTTTGCCAAGGCCTATAATATACAAGCGGGAAAAACTTATGGCACCATTTTATCCACGTTCAGGTACAACAAAAAGTCAGGCAATTCCGGACTTTTTTTTTTGAATATAAAAAGGGACCCTCAATTTTTTATTTTTATTTTTTTATTTCTTCTTTCTCCTTCTATATATAAATACAACAATTAAAGATGCCTTCCATTGATAAAAAATTACTTGATACATCTGCCAATGCCTACACCTTTTGTCCCAAGTGTGGTGTGGATGTCACTATTTATTCCCATGAAGATGATTGTCCTTGCGTTCGCCATCATACACATTCTGTCACTCTGCTCACCAAAGACTAGACTATTTCTTACTGCGGATCTGCCTCACAAGAAGAACAAAAAAATAACTCTAAATCACAAATCAAATCAAATCAAATCAATCAAATCAAATCAAATCAAATCAAATACCCCTTACTCTTTCTCTATTAGACTGTACAGATATCCCACTCTCTCTTTTTTTTTTTTGTATACCCTCCCAACTTGTAAATACCTCTTAAATAAATCATTTATATATCATAAAAAAAATTATCGCTTGTTCCCAAATAGGAAATATCTGCTGAACAATCATTTCATTATAAATCAACCTCCCCGTGAGGCGCCATATTAAAAAAAAAAAAAAGTCGTCCCATATACACGTAAAATGAACAGCTCATCTCTGACACATGCAAAGAAAGTGTAAAATCAAAAATAAAGTGTGATACACATACACCATGGGGTCTACTGTTACACACACTTAAATTAATTGAATTAAAATATAAAATTTATGACCTTTATGGATTCGATGTTTGCGTATCCCAGCAACTGTTCTTGAGATCCAGCGTATAGACCTGTATTTTTTTTAAAAAAAGAAAAAAGAGTGAATGCATGATTGGCATGAAATGATTCTCACTTACGCAGCGTTTGGGTGGAAATGTGGCATAGTTGAAATACTCCACATGTGTGACTTTATAAACTAATAAACAGAAATTATCAAGCGCAATATCATGTACCACAGAGGCATCTGTACCAAGTGAGCGACAAGAAAATGCTACAGAGGAAGACTGGGGTATTTCTCCTCGCGAAGGCCAAGTAAAAGTAGCTCTTGTCTCCGGATCCAGTCCTTTCCATTGTCGTATACGTTCCTCTTCCCATTCCTCCACCGCACTACTATCAGACCCATTGCTTATCTTGGGTGGAGGAAACCGTGTGACTTGAATAGGTGCAGAGGCAATATAGAATTTACCCTTGAAATTATAGTATTCCTGGGTCGAAAATGTCCAGTTGATCTTTGCGTTGGGGTTGGATTTAATGTCACCCATCAAGATATGATCGTTCATGGCAAAGATAAACTGAAGGAATCCATTCTCTAGCATCTTGTTAAATTTAAGGTTATGCATTGAGATTTCTCCAGATCGTTTAATATTGCACATGGGAAGATACACTTATTCTTATGCATTAAATTATCAAATGTATTCATTACACCTCTCTATTATTATGTTCTTTACCTTGATCTGTTCGTGCGTAATTCTTTTCGTAGCTTTGCGATAAAAGTGGAAACCATGGTGCAACCGACATTGTTGTATAAATAAAAGAAAAAGAGAAAGAAGAAAAAGTAGTGGCTCTAATTCTAGTTTCTTTTTTTTTTTAATTACATTTCTATGTGTGTAACGGGTATTGTTGTTTGTCCCATTTAAAACACCGGCGTGATCTCTCTCTCTCTCTCTATTTTTATTATAATCACCCAAGTGCCTTTTTTTCTTCTTCTTTTTTTCTTGTTTTAAACACACTGTAATTCACCTCCTTTATAGAAGGCTTCTTCATGACGATACCAACACAGCCCTCGCAAGGTGATCGGAGGTAACTGAAGCATGTTTTAATCTTGTTACACGTTTTTCATGTATATTTATTGTCAAAATGGATTAAATAGGAGACCATCTGTCTCTACTTCGTCATTGCCCAATGTAGGACCTCCGTTTGGACATCGCTTACCAACCTTGACACAACATACACCCACCTATCGCACGGTTAGTCCGCCTTATCAGTCCATGTATGCACCCTACCTTGCTTCTCCCACAGCTACTGCTACTGCTGCTATCGGTGGTCCCACCACTGGAGGAGGAGGAGGTCTAGTGACTGCCAACCACAAACAAGATAACAGTCCATCTTCACCCACAAATGCCTATCGACCTTTAAACGTGATTGATGCTTTAGCCTATCTGGACAAGGTCAAGGGACAGTTTACAGACAAGCCCAACGTCTATAATCAATTTCTAGATATTATGAAGGATTTTAAAAGTCAATCGTAAAAAAAAACTATATATATATTTTTTTTGCATGAATATCTACAGGAGTGGTGATTTTTAACCATCCATTTATTTTTTTGTAGGATTGATACGCCAGGTGTGATTGATCGTGTGTCGAGTTTATTTAAAGGTCATCCTTTATTGATTTCTGGCTTCAATACGTTTTTACCAGCAGGGTATCGTATCGAGTGTTCGATTGATCCGCGTGATCCAAACCGAATTATCGTGACAACACCCAATGGTCATACCACGACATCTACTACCACTACTGCAGAGGAAATGTTGAAAATCAATACACCTTCTTATCATTCACCTTATTATCCTCCTTATTACTCATCGATTATACCACCACCACCACCACCACAAGCATCTTCTCCACCACCACCTCCACCGCCACAAACATCATTAGCCCCACCACCCATAACATCTCCACCTGCATCTTCATCGAAACCACCTGTTGAATTCAATCATGCCATCAACTATGTCAACCGAATCAAGGTAAACTATCTAGACATGTTTTTATCTCTTTTTCTCTCTCTCTAACCTTTTCTCTCTCTCTAACCTTTTCTCTCTCTACTTATCATCAACAGAACCGGTTTGCACATAATCCAGGCATCTATAAACAATTTCTTGAAATATTACAAACATATCAAAAGGAACAGAAACCGATCAGTGAAGTCTATTCACATGTACAGTACCTTTTTCAAGGCTCACGTGATCTTTTAGAAGAGTTCAAGCAGTTTCTTCCCGAAATGGCTCTTATTGCAGAAGACGAAAAGCCTTTAGTGAAGAAGACCTCTTCTGCTACCCTTATGACGAGCAAGAAAAAGCAGTCGCAGCAGTCGCAACAGCAACCACAGCATCAACCGCAGCCGCAGCCGCAGCAGCAGGGATCGTTTGATCCTACCAAACCCAGTGTGTCTTTACAGGAAACCGATTTATTCGACCGCATCAAGAAACATATCGGTACAAAGCCTTCCTATGAAGAATTTTTAAAGACCTTGAATTTATACACGCAACAGATCGTGGATCTGGATACCCTCATGATCCAACTCAAGCCTTTCCTGGGTTCCGATCAGGAACTGTTTGCAGCCTTTCAATCCGCTGTAGGCTACACACCCGTTTCCTTCTCCATTGAAAAACCCACCACGTTTGCTCCAAAACCGGATTTACTGACCTGCAAGAAAGTCGCTTCCAGCGCAAGTTACCGTCAAGTCCCCAAAGACGTAAGTTTTTTTTTTTTTTTTTTTTTTTTTTTTTTTTTTTTTTTTTTTGAAATATATGGACGTTGACACTCATCTATATTTTGACACACACAAAAATTTGGTTTTTTTTAGTGGCAAAATCAACCTTGCTCGGGGAGAGACCAGATGTGTTGGGAAGTACTAAACGATGAATACGCTTCACACCCTATATGGAACAGCGAAGACAGTGGATTTGTAGCATCGAAAAAGAACAGTTACGAAGAAGCCCTACATCGATGTGAAGAAGAGCGGTACGAATACGATCTTAATATCGAGGCCAATTTGAACACGATTGCTCTGATGGAACCCATTGCACTCGAGATCGAATCCATGACAACGGAACAGCAGGCTCTATTTCGACTGACACCGGGTCTAGGTGGTGAAACAGTGTCAATTTACGAACGCATGATTAAGAAAGTATATGACCATGACCGAGGGACAGAGATCATTCAAATGCTGTACACGAAACCCGCCACTGTCCTGCCTGTACTTTTGAAACGGCTCAAGATGAAGGACCGTGAGTGGAAAAAAGCACAACGTGATTGGAACAAGATCTGGCGAGAATTGGATGCCAAAAACTTTTACCGGTCGTTGGATTACCAAGGCACGAGCTTCAAATCCAATGATAAAAAGGCGTTTGTGAATAAAACGTTGATTGGTGAGATACAGGAGCAACAACAACAGGTGTTTACATTTACGGATGAACAGATTGTGCATGATATTTCAAGGTGCATCTTTTCGTTTATTGAGCATCAGACGGGGTTTGCAAAGAGTGATAAACAAAAAATTCGCATCTTTTTAAGAACGTTTTTACCCAACTTCTTTTATACGAGCGAGGAATCATTGGATGTAGACATGGATGGTGTCTCTTCCTCATCATCGTCATCAGAAGAAGAAGAGGGGGAAAGCTCGGATAGTGGCCCCGCTTTACATTTGGTGAAATTGGATATGCATGAACAACTGGATTTATTCTCGGTGGGAAAGAAACCGTCCATCTTTTTCTGTCATTCGCATTATTACTGCCTGATACGTCTTTATCAGCTTTTATATGATCGTTTGGCTCGCATGAAGGCCTTGAACGTTCAAAGCGATACAAAACTACAGGGGAAAAACAAGACTGCTTTGGAGCTTGATTTATACACGAATCGATTCGAAGGTAAAAAGATATTGGTTAACACCAAACGTATTTTTTTTTTTAAAAAAATTGTTGAACTAATCTATTGTTAGACATGGATTTGAGCAAAGGGAGTTATGCAGCACTTCTGGACACGATTGAGCATTTGTTTGAAGGAGAAATTGACTCGGCCACATTTGAAGAAGCGGTACGATACTTGTTTGGGATAGAAGCTTATACGATGTTTACGGTTGATAAAGTTGTACAAGCCCTTATCAAGGGGATCCAAACCGTGCTTTCTGATAAGAAATCTATCCAACTTGCTCACTTGTTTCGTCAGTATATTAATGGACATCAACCTCTTTCTGTCTATCGCAATATGGCAGAAGATATCTTGCTAGGTGGATCCGACGACACACTGTTCAAAATCAACCTCGTAAGTTTCTAAAGTATTATTATATATCTCTTTTAGGCTTTTAATATTAGTGTGTGTAAAAAAAAAAAAAATAGGATGCGGATAGACAGATGACTTCGATTCAGTTATTAGACAAGGAACAAAGCCCGTTTTCGCAGGGGGAGGAATATCAGAATTACATGACGCATTATGTTGATTGGTCCAACCCAACGCACGGTATTGATCCACGTTTATTAAAACCATCCTTTCTGAAGCGAAACTTGTCTAAACAAGGCAGTCGTGGTACAGAGACTTTGGTTCGATCTAAATTACGTTACAGGATTCAAGAAGAGTCTTACCATATGTACTATATCGTGGGTTCCGAAGATGCGTTTTTCAAACCTTCTTGTAAAGGACAAAAGAGAAAAGAAACTGCATTTCGTTGGCAAGATTTAATAAAATCCACAGCTTAAAAAAGAGAGAAAAATTGACAACAAGAGTTAATAATTTTTAACAACAATAATAATAATTTATGACAACAAAAGAGTTAAGGGTTTATTAGGATAAGATGGGGAAAAAATGAAAATGTAAAATTGTAAGGGTAGAAAAAAAAAGATGAAAGTTATTAGTTCATGACGACAGCTCTGTAACGAGGCTTGGCTTCACGAACAAATTCAATAGCTTCGTTGATTTGATCCATGGGGAAAGTATTCACCCAAGTACGAACACCATGCTTGGAAGCAAAATCGAGACATTCTTGGATATCAGAGGGAGAACCAATGAAAGAAGCAGCAATAGTCAATTGCTTACCAGCCATAACAAAACCAGAAATACCAGAGAGTGGGACTTCAGGGATATCACATTGGATAAAGACACCATTGTTCTTGAGTAACTTTAAGTATTGGTCCCAACACTTGTTAACAATCTTGGTAGCAATAATGTGAGTGAAAGTGTTGTAATGAGGTTCAACTTGTTCCTCCTTTTGGAAAAGAACGTAATCATCACAACCAAGCTTCTTTGCATCGTCCACCTTATTGGGAATCACATCAAAGCCAATGACGGTAGCACCCATTGCTTTAGCCCATTGACAAGCAAAATGGCCAAGTCCACCAACACCCAATACAGCCACCTTGGAACCGGGGCCGACATTGTAACGCTTTAAGGGAGCATAAGTAGTGACACCACCACAGAGGAAAGAGGCAGCAACCTCAGAAGAGAATTCATCGGGAATGTGGACAGCGAAATGGGCGGGACCTCTCCATTTCTTGGCGAAACCACCATAGGCTTTTTCTTTGGTATCATCATAACGATCATTGAAACTCCAGACAGCATGAACAGCACATAAGTTCTCCATACCCTTCTTACAGTAATCACACTCACCGCAAGAAGCGGATTGACAACCAACACCACAACGATCTCCAACCTTAATACGGCTGACATTCTTACCGACACGAGTGACAGTACCAATAATTTCATGACCGGCAACACAAGGGAATTCAGTAGGTCCCCAACCTTCATCAATGGTGTGGACATCAGTACCACAGACACCACAGCAGATAACATCCATATCAATCATATCATCATTCCAAGAGCGCAGGTTCAACTCCATAGGTTCAAGCTTACCACCTTATAAAAATATAAATGTCAGTTATTATTTTTCATAAACGCGTTATTCTTGAATGCTTACCCTTGGTGGTAACAGCGTATCCGGTAAAAGTATCTTGAGAAGACATATTTTATTATTTTATTTTTATTCAGTAAAGTAGTAGAATAAGGATTTTCTTTTGAAGTAAAATAGGGCTTACTTATATATGTTTTTTTTGAAAGTTTCATGCCGATGCCTTTATTTTTTTAAAGTACGCGGTGAAACCCTTGGGGGAAAATATAAGTCCAGACACTTCACCAAAATCAGCCGACTATTTTTTCAGCGATCAGATTAGAGACAATTTTTTTTTTTTTTTTTAAAAAAAAAAATAGATTCTCTTGATGTGATAAAGCAAAAAGGTCTTGCTATTTTTTTCTTTTACTTTTCAGCGTTCAAAGCAAAGTTTTATCATATTATAACAAAGTTATCCCAGGTTTACACAAATGCTGTTTAGACGTACAAAGAACTTGTTTGGGTTTACACAGAAGCTGTATACAGTGGAATTTTTTAATTTGTTTATAAAAATGACATAATGGGACACATACACAGAGAATGGGTCGGTTTTTTTTTTCGTGAGTCTGTGTCACTGTCGTACCAAAAATTATGCGTTTATCTCGGCAATCAATGCGTTCATCTTTTTCCTTGCGGGCTTTTTTTTTTGATATGTACACGACGGGGTCCTTCCTCTCTGTAACCTTTCCGAATTAATCAATCTTTTTAATCACGTACAGTACAGGCTTATGGGAATTGGCGTTTTCTAAAAAAAAAAAGGAACTACGCCGTCCTTTTTTGTTTTCGAACTCAGTGGATGGCGCTCTTTGTTCTTTCCATTTTTATTTTTGAATACTCGTGGACAATATAACACGCGAGAAGGCAACTTGCATGCTCTACTGCAAAGTCTACAGCAAAGATCGCGCCAAAGATTTTTAAATGGAATAGACTTGATATCTGTTTCAGAGACGACCCAACAATGCGCATTGTACTTTACGTCAAATCTATCGATCAAAATTCGTACAAGAACAGAAGATATCCCAATGAAAGTATCATTTATGACAGCATTCAACCTGAAGCTGAAATACAGCATAAAATCGGTTGGTATTAGAGGATATATATTTTTGTGTCTTTGGAATATTTATATCCTTTACCCAGTAAATCAAGCACAACGCGTGGAGTTTCTAAATATAAAATATTTACCACTTGGTGTAGATGATAGTGGTAGATATGATCCCCATGTGGTCCCCCACCATAGTACTAATTGGTCAAGAAGTTTATCCTTTGATGAAATATTTAGCTGTGCTTTGAAAGTTACTCATGTTCTTGATGACAGAACTGTCAATGGATTTACAAAATGGTACACATACAAAAAGCTCAAGTTGATGGATCCTACGAGTAAAAGAAGAATGAGTGAAGCGGGACAAAGAGTTGAATCTCGTTTACTTTACACATTAAAGGACAATTTTGTTGGTAAGAACCATTTTTCCTATAATATACATATATCTATGTTATATACATGTATGTGCTAAGAATATCGTACTTTTCTAAAAGCGGCGTTATGTGACATTTGGGTATTTCCCCGAGTTTAAGACAGTTTCAGGAAGACGAAGGAAGATGAAGGAAGCCGGTTATGAAATAATCGGATATGCACGAAGTTCAAACGGTAAAAAGGACGACCTGAAGCGAGTCTCATTACTTAACCCCAGGATTGAAATATTAAAGACAAGGTCACTGGAAGATTTAGCTTCCATCAGTCCAAATTCTTCTGCAGGAGATCCGTTCCAGAAAAAAGATGAAAAAAAAAAAGCGAAGAGCTGATGACGAACGTAAGTGCCGACGGAGACACTCAAGGTAAGAAGAGGATTTGTCATTTCTGTTGACTGTGAATGGATATTGACCTGTTTTATGCTGTATTTCAGCTTCAGGTTGAGTGTTTTCATGGATGATACTTTCATTGGGATATCTTTTATTCTTATATGGATTTTGATTGATTGATTTGACGCAAAGTGCAATGGGCATAGTGGGATCGTCTCTGTAACAAATATCAAGTCCAATCTTTTCTATTCCATTCAAAAATAAAATCGTAAAGCCTTTGCATTGTTCAGTCTACCTATTTATTATATCGTCCGCAAATATATGAGCGTCATTGTCAAGTAGCTTGGTAATGTACTCGTTATGCTCAGTTGTAAATGAGTTTTTTGGACCACTTTTTTTTATTATATTTTTTTTTTTTTGACTTTTCGCCAATTTACTTAAGCATGACTGTACCCGAAACTCTTCCGTTAAGAAAGTCCCACAGGGGTGAGGGGACACCCAAAAAAGCAAAAATGGGATATCTGTCGGATGCTTAAATAAACCTGCCCACTATAATCATCATCATGCCATTTTGACCTTTTTAAAACCCCTCTTCTATGCAGTAATAGATATACAATTGATAACGGGATTTTCGAAATGATACATGCACTGCTTTTTTTTTATCGATAAAACTGATTAAATGGGAGGTCTTGTGATAAAAGAGTTCAAGTCTGTATCACAACACTTATTCAAGAAAGCCTCTACCCCACACTAAAACAAAACAAAAAAATACACACACACACACACACAACTGGAATACATCTTGTTTATTTTTAATTTGCAGGATTTCACACGCACCCAGAACAATCTTTTCTGAAACGTTATACTACGCCATTCTTAATGCGTCATAAGAAGCCCGCCCCAACACAATGTATCATTTGCGCCATTTGCTAAAGAGCTTTAGAATAGCATTTTTGATGATATTGGCAGCTTTGTCGTTTTCTTTCAGAGTCAAACCAATAGTCACACTAATCTTGATACTTGGACTAGGACAATGACGTTCTTGATCCTCGACATAATGAGCTCTTGTAACCAACACACCTTGGTATGCACACTCATCTACCACGTCTTGCAAAAGATACTCTTGCTCTTGTCGGGTCGTATCCGTCTGTAAAAAATCCGGGTGGATACGTATATGAAAGAACGGTGCGGGATTCTGTAGATCACCTGAAAAAAGTTGAATATAAGGTGCCAGGGCCTTGTGAGAAAGTATTTGACGGAACGAGGTTGCACGTTGAGAGAGTTCGGCTAATTGTTCTGGATGCTGCTTGATCACCGCGATGGCTTCACTGGCAGCTACAGCCAACATGGCTGGAATCGAGGCTGAGAAACAATAAGCAAGACCCGATAACCGTTGATGATCCACAATCTCTTCAGAGCCTGCACAGAATCCACCCGATGCACATAGAGCGTTGGCCATGGAGCCTACAATCATATCTACCTGAGTAGCAGGAATCTCAAAGAGATCCGTGAGTCCCGCACCACGACTTCCGATGACCCCAATAGATTGTGATTCGTCCAAAACTAACCTATACTTGTACTTGTACTTTAATTCGATCAATTTAGGTAAAGGAGCAATATCGCCAAAATTAGCAGAAAGCGCCTCGGAAACAATAAATCGACGCGTGAGACGCTTTTTATGCAAGACGTCTTCTAATTGGATTTCCGTCAAAATACGTTCCAAATCCACCATGTCGTTGTGTTTATACCAACGCACCAACGAACGAGAGATTTGAATACCCTTCTGAATCGCAAAAGAAACACCTTCGTCACAGACCAGAATATCCCCCCGTTTACAAAAGGCTGGGATCACGGAAGAAATAGTCGAGAATCCCTGTGCATAAATAATCGCTGCGTCTGAGCCAAGGAATTCTGCAATGTCTCGTTCAAGATCCATATGCACGTCAATCGTACCATAGAAACCGGGCGGTCCACAGGATCCCACACCGTATCCGCGTAGTGTACTGATCGCCTTCTCTCGAATTGTGTCAGCAGCAAGTAGATTCAAGTAATTCGTCGTCGCCAAGTTCATCAAAGGTTTGGCATATCCTGCTACTTTAGGCTTAACGGATTGAGCTCCCATAATTACTGGCGTCTTTGTCAAATTGAAACGATCAAATTTTGTGAGTGGAGGCACCAGAGGTTCGGGTTGCCATTCTTCCACTAGATCATCTATTTCCTGCAAATATGGGATGAATAAAAATAAAAATATTTGACATGTTATATCCGTTCACAAATGAACCTTTTCAGTGAGTTTGACAGCATTGTCATGAGGTTTGTATTTGGCTGAGAGCATGTAACGAATAGCAAAAAATACGAGAAATAACTCTAGTGCGATTCGGAAAGGGTCGTCTTGATATGCATTTTTAAGATACAAGAGTGTATGATGGGATCCAGGAATAGCCGTGATTACTTTATAAAGTGAATTCACGGTTGAATTAATAATTGCTGCATCCTCTTCATTTAGGGTTGTCATCTTTATAACAAGGAAAATATAAATATATGTAGAAAAAAAAAAAAAAGAAGACCGTTGAATTTAATAATAATAATATAATATATTTATTTCTGTGCGGGTCTCGGATGAATTTAAGAAGAACCACTGCTGGCAAACCACTTTAAAGACTTATCATCGGAACAAGAGACTAACTTTGTTCCTTCAGGGTTCCAGGCAATTCCCCACACTTGATCCGAATGCACTTCATGTGTTTCTAATACAGATCTCAATGCAAGATCCCAAATCTTGACTCGCTTATCTGATCCACAACTGGCTAATTGTTGTTTGCTGATATCAGGGTTCACAGCAACGCTCAGGATCCAATCGGCATGACCTGTCAAAGTAGAGGCTAATTGCCCATGCTCAACGTCATAGACATGGATACATTTATCGTCACTTCCACTGATCAATGTTTTGCTATCGCTTGCAAATGAAAGTGTACGCACCGCCATAGCATGACCTTATTTCTCTTTTTTGTAAGCCTTTACTTTCTCTGCTAGAATACTCACTCTTTTTCTTACCTGATAATGTGTGTGCTAATTGATTTGTCTCCATATTAAATACATAGATGGCCCCGTCTTCAGCACCACCAGCAACGTATTTTGCATCAGGACTCTATCGAAATGATGAGATACCAAAAGAAAAATAGAAAAAAGAAAACTTACATAAGCAACCGACATGAGAAACATGTTTTTGGTAGACAAAGTGTTTATTTTTTCTCCCGACTCGACATTAAAAAAGTTGATATCACCGTTATGAGAACCTGCAATCACGACTCTAGCGTCAGGACTGAATTTAGCTTTCCAAGCCTCGACAGGGTTTGCAGTGATGGATTTGATGAGGGCTCCGTCGTTTTCGAGATCCCAAATGCGAATATTGGAATCGACTGAGGTAGAAACAAGACCTACACTTTGACGTATGAGTTGTGTGCGTTGGGTTTCTAATGAAGAAAAAGAGGGGAGAACTTACGTGTGCCATCGACTGATGCATCGACAGAGATAATACCCATGGCATGACCAGTAAGTTCGAATTTCAACTCGCCTGAGGTACCATCCCTACCATTTTATGACGCGTTAAGTTTTATTTAGGTGCTTTTTTTTCCTCGTTGTTTACCAGCATTTAATCGTGTTATCTTCGGAACCAGAGATGACTAAATTGGTACGATTGGACCAAGTAACGTCCCAAATACCATCGTCATGAGCTATTTTTAATTTTTTAATCGCCTTGTCATGGACCCTTTTTTTAAAAAAAAGTGATAACGCATACATTACCATTATCGTTTACGATGGTAGGAATATAGGTGGTAGGCTATACGTTGCATTTTCAATTAGCGTTATTCTTGTCGTCATCCTCAGGTTTTCTTACCATTTCTTGTGTATAATTATAAAAAGAGTTTTTTTGACTGGCAAAAAAAAAAAAAAAAAAAAAAATGCTACTGCAGGTCGGAACGTGTAAAAAAAAAAATTGACACCTTAAAACAGTGCTACGCCAGTTGAAGCGGTAACTTTAATGCTGTCATGGTTAAAGAGTACAGGGCTGCTTTAGTAAGCTCCCGCTTTATCCATATTAAGCGTTTTGTTGATCAAAACTTACCCGCCTTCTTTTCCCAGACTATAATCCAAAGATCCGAAGGGATGGCCCCCCCCCATTGCGCCCCAAAAGTTCTAGAATGATTTGATAAAAATGCTTATCTATCATGGATTATGCAAGAAATAGAACATGAAAAAATCTCGGATATGCAGAACTAAAAAAATAAAACACGCTATACTTTTTACTAGCATCAAAACTAGTGTTAAATTTTTCTTGTATTTCGAAACATGAAAAATACAAGTTCTTTTTGTTTTTTTCAAACAGAACTTTGTTCAAACATACGACTTTTTTTTTAACCAAAAGGGAAACGGGAAAAAAAGACTTGTTGATTTATTTGGGTACGCGGTAAAAGTCTATTAAGAGGTTGAAGATAAGAAAAAAACGCTCATGTTAAAACTCTTTAGTGTATTGTCGCACAATGATATCATTGTCAATAGATATTTCGGACTTGAATCTTAATCACTGTATAAAACGTTATTTTCTCCCTCCCCACATATACCTTTCTAATCTTTTATCTTTTTTTATTTCGAAAAACAAACAAAAAAAATGACTACAACTATTTCAATTGGTAACTACTTACTCAGACGTCTCAAGGAGATTAACATTGAGACTATCTTTGGTGTTCCCGGTGATTACAATATGGTAAAGTAAAATCTCTATTACTAAAATAAGCACACATTGCATTTCTAACGCTTTCTTTCTCTTAAGCCCTTTTTGGATCTTATTGAAGATGATAACGATTTAACTTGGGGAAACAACGCAAATGAATTAAATGCTTCTTATGCTGCCGATGGTTATGCTCGTGTTCGTGGTGCAGGTGCTGTTGTCACTACCTTTGGTGTAGGTGAACTCTCTGCTGTCAATGGTATTGCCGGTTCTTACTCTGAAATGTTGCCCGTCATTCATATTGTCGGTACTCCCGTGACTTCCTCTCAAAACTCACATGCTCTTTTACATCATTCCCTTGGTAACGGTGATTTCCAGGTATTTACCAAAATGTCAAGTTTGATCACTGTCGCTGCTGCTCATCTCTCCCCCGAGAGAGCCTTGGAAGAAATTGATCATGTCATCAAGACTGCTTATTTACGTAAACGTCCTGGATATATTGGTTTCCCTTTGGACTTAATGCTGAAGAAAGTATCCGTGACCGAGCATCAATTAAAGCCTTTGGATTTGGCTAATCCTCCCAACCCTAAGGAAGTACAAGAGATTGCCTTGCAAAAGATCTTGGAACATATCGCAGCTGCTAAAAACCCTGCTATTATCGTTGATGGCTGTGTCCTTCGTCAACATTTGGAAAAGGAAGCCAATGCCTTTGTTGTTCGTTCGGGTTTCCCTACTTTCTCTGCTCCTATGGGTAAAGGAGCTATTGATGAACGTTTGCCCAATTTCCGTGGCTGTTATAGTGGTAATGTCACATTGGAAGGTATTACCAAGGAAGTGGAAGAGGCAGATTTATTGATCGAATTGGGATCCATCAAGTCGGATTTCAATACCGGTAATTTCTCTTATGGTCTTGAAAAGAAAAAGACCATCTCTTTGCATAGTTTCGGTACAACCATCTATCACGCGGATTACAACGGTGTCTGCATGTCTGAATTGTTGCCTCTTTTAACCGCTAGCTTACCTGAAAACCCCAAGGAGTTGGAATTCGGTGCTCGTGTTCGACCTGACCCTATTGATGAAAGCACACAGGAAATCACTCACAATTATCTCTGGAACAAGGTCCCTGATTTCATCGAACCCAACAGCATTATTGTAGCAGAGACAGGTACTGCTGAATTTGGTGTCTTTAACATGAACAGTCCCAAGGGTACCAGCTTTATCAGTCAAATTCTTTGGGGTTCCATTGGATACTCTGTTGGTGCAGCTTTAGGTGCAGCCATGGCAGACCGTAGTCGACGTGTCTATTTGTTTGTGGGTGATGGTTCTTTCCAATTGACTGTACAAGAAGTCTCCGTATATATCCGACATGGTATCACACCTGTCATCTTGTTGTTGAATAACGACGGTTACCTTATCGAGAAATTGATCCACGGACCTCATCGCTCTTATAACAACTATCAAATGTGGAAGTATAGTCAGACATTAGATTTCTTTGGTGGTCATCTTGAACACAATCGTACAGGACAAGGCAAGAATCCTTCCGCTGTAGGTGTAGAAGAGAAAGTCACAACACGAACTGAATTCGAAGCTGCCATGGAGAAGGCACATACACAACCTGACAAAATTCATTTCTTGGAAGTCATTATGCCTCGCTTTGATGCTCCTCGTGAACTTAAGCTCTTGGTTGCCTCTTCCGAGAACCGTTAAATTAGTCTAGGAAAGGAGATATAATGGACATTTGTGTATATAATATTTTAAATCATGACGTTGTGGCTTAATTCATATCGTGCTTTATTATCGTCTATTTCTCTCTTTTTTTTTTTTAATCATAATCGTAATAATAAAAAAAATTGGGTTCTTTGCAATTGTATATTATCTTCTACATGATTACCTTATTTTTTTTTTAAAAAAAAACTGACAGATATATTATCCACTAAAGCGTTCATTTCATATGATTTCTTTCCAAAAACGTCAAGACACACACAACATTTAGGGGTATTGTGGTAAGGCGAGATTTTAGGGAACGAATCACTCTGGCGCCTCAATAGCTCTCTGTGACGGTGTTTTGATGATAATCCTCTCTACGTGACTCGTGCTACCATATCACAGTATCAAGACAGAGGAGTTTAAATCACACATCTAGTTTTACGTCATTGATTTTTTTTTTTTTGAAAAGAGGTATCATGGCTTTTTTTTTTTTTTTTTTTTTTTATTTAATCTTTAAAAGTGTGCAATATATACCTGCGGTTACCCGGCCGAAAAAGACCAACCATCTATGGTGCAAATGCACTGTTTTGGAGGAGTGGAAGCGATAAGCCAAGCATAAAACTTGGTCGCGTTATTGTACACTTTTGGAGCAACTGAATGTATAGTAAACACCTGCGGTTACCCGGCCGAAAAAGACCAACCATCTATGGTGCAAATGCACTGTTTTGGAGGAGTGGAAGCGATAAGCCAAGCATAAAACTTGGTCGCGCTGCTATATATTCTAGTTGCCCCATGTTTGACGAGGAATTTGCCTCATTTTGACAAGGAAATTGCCAAGTAATCAACCCGACAGCAATAATCTGACTACTAACATCTTTTTACAAGCTTTAGGTTTAGACAGAAGAACTTGATGACTCTTATATGTTGAATCAATTCAATTTCTTTTTCACCGTTAGCAACACGTGCAGACACGCCTAACCGAAATCTTTGAACGGGTGCTAGTCCATCTTCAGTCTGCACAAAGACTTATTGAGGTGCATCGTTCATGGCGTAATAATGATTGAAACCTGGACTGCTGTTGTGGATAACCGCCCTCACCTATATGGAGCTGCCATCGCTAGTTTAACAACACTCCCTTCATTTTCATTCATCACATTATTATCATTATCATCGCCTGCCTTTAACAATGGAGACAATGACAAACCAATATATATCTGGGTCTTATAGGTTCTTTGTACTGTATTAAACGGATTGTTCTATCAGCCGCTAGGCAGTAATTCTTTCCTGTCAAATAAAAAACTTCCGAATAATCATGAAATTGTCTTAACCGTTTTTTCCCTCTATTTTGTACTGTTTGAATGAATTATTGAGGTTACGTATTGTCGAGCTTTAAGGACTGGGAGCCATCGTAACTAAACTGATCTCTCAAGGCTGTTGAGGGGTTTAACAAAGTAAGGCAGCATGTTAAAAACGCCTTCAAATAGACGACAATATTTGCCTTGGCTAAATGAGAATTTGGGAAGTTTTAACTACATGAAGACCTCTAAAAAGAAGTCTTCGTACACTTAGTTACGACTTATTCAAACCCTATTTAAGCCCTAAAAAGTGGTCTGCAAACACTTAATTACTGAGAAAAAAAGATTGACATATTTATTCTTCAGAATATGGATTTTCATCTTGAGTTTCGTTCGTAATCTTGTTGTGCCATTTGTCATTTTTCTTTCCCCATCCAAACTGATCATAAACGACCCCTTCTTCGCCTTCTGAATACTTTGTTTTTATAAGCCTCAAAACTAAATTACTGCTTGGTGAACCAAATAGCACCAGAGGTACCCTTGCTTCTTTGTTTTTAGGAGGTGTGTAAAACGTATCTCTCCTCCAGTTCAGAATCGAAGTGGCTTCACCATCTTTATCAGCCTCTTCATGTTTACCAAACTGTTGGTTCAACGAGTACTGGCTTGATCGTAATCAATCTAAGCTTCGGCTTGGATGCACTTGCGGTCTTTGCCTGCCAACGACAATTTTTTCTGGGGGAAAAAACTAATGTGAAACGTAGCCCATCTCGGTGGGTGTTATAGTCCGTAAAAAAATACCCTGGATTGGATTGAGGTTTTTTGTTACAGCCTTTTCAAGGATGTTCGAAATGGTGATGACATGTTGTTGAAAGCTGAGTAGTTTCTGCATAATTGGTTTAAAAGATCCAAGTTCTTCAATACAGGAAGGCAATGAAAAGCTATAAGCTGGATGATATACGTAAAGGCCATTTCGTGTCAACACATGCTCAAATAATTTCAAATAGTTTTCGTTCTGGTTGTTTTGTTTTGAATAGATTTTGTAGATGTAGTTTAAGCCCAATGTGATGTTGTTTGATGATACAACAGCCTAGTTAAAAAAATCAGTCAAAATATATATTGAAGTAGTGAAAACTTACTGTAGAAATAATCAACCAGGAACTAGTTAAAATACGTGAAATTGGTAACAGTTCAAGACTAAGTTCTGATTCAAACTGAGATGTAATTTGAGTCCAAGCTTCATCAGAAAATAATGACTTTTGAGAAGAACTTGAATGATCAACTAAGTCTAAAACTGAAGACAGCCCAGTTCTAATATACCAGATTAGAACGTAATTCTCCTTTTCTATAGATAAATAACTATACTTGCGTCATGATTTTTCTTTCGCGAGCACTAAGATTACGGGTCTTGCTTTCATGGAGATATTGGATGACTTCCAAAACACAAAATAGAATTAAATAGAATAGAATTAACTTCGGAAATTTGATTTTCCGAGTTAATTTTACTTTTGTTCCAAAACACTGAAAATAGAATTAACTTTTTTGAGCCGTACCATATATGCAAAACTCTACCTAAACAGCTGCATTATCAGATGACAATGATGTCTGAATACGTCCAGACACCGGTAACCAAGATAGTTTGATTATTATCAATGATGCTCCTTCCATTCGCACTAAACTTATCATTTTTATATGCACAGTAGCAACTCACTGTTACTTCTCCTGAAAGGGCAAAAAAGACGGTTCTCAGAAGCGTAAAAGAGCCAAATAAATAAACTGTTTTGATAAATATTATCCATAGATCTCATATTTATTATATGAATGTTATTAGCGTTTATCAGAAACGAATTACTTAATAGAAATATGACTTTTTTGTCAATTTTTTTTTAATTAGGGGGGTAGGGGGGGTCGAATTAACTTCAAAAATTTAAGCTGCAAAATTTAAGGTTAATTACGCGTTACACAACCCAAAAAATTAAGTCTATTCTATTAAATTCTATTCTGCGTTTTGGAAGTCATCCATTGTAGAGCTGTCCCTTTAATGATTGTACCGACTGAAATATCATTTTCTCCTACATGAAGACCATCGTATTCAACCCGTTCCATGTCTTGGGAAGCCTTTGTTTTTTCTTTTTTCTTTTGTTTCTTGTCTCCATGGGCGGCTCGTTTTTACGTTTATTACTGGTGGAGGCATCGATCAAATCCGCAGCTTTTCTTATATCTGCAACCATTAACTCCGCTTCTGCAGCTGGCTTTTCGTAGTTGACCCTCATTAATCTAGGCGCAATATCTGACAAACAATTATATACAAAGAGCCAGACGTGGTGGAGTAAAATCTCCTTCTGAAAAGTCTTCTTTCTCGGTATGACTGGTGACATCCCAGGTATTGGTGACTTGATCAATCATCGTGGGCATACGAGCAAGTATGGTTGTAGAATATGTCGAGTAGCTGGTAGTCATCCTGAAGGTAACAATTATGGTATGTACTTTTTGAAGGCTGGCGAAATGCGAACAAGACAACAGTTGATTGACGTGACCTGGTAACTGATCCAGAATATGAATCTCAATATAATACTGATAATTTAAATTAGGAGTTTGATATGCTTGGTGACGAAATGCATCTTATCGGTAGAGGACTTGGTACTTTGGTCTATTGTCTTTTGCACCCCCAAAAGAATCAAAAGTTCTATGACACAATAGTTGGTTGCAAAAATTACACGTTCCAGTTGATTACCCAAGACGGAAAAATTTTCGATTCAATCGATGAAAAGGTCAACCAGATTAGGGTCAATATCCCATCAGCTTTCGAAGGAACATGGAACTCAATTGTTGGTATCTCCAGAGCTGTTGATTACATCGACTTTCTTTTGTATACTGTCCCAACAATTATACTTCCACTTGTACGAAGCAGTCAGTCTAGAACAGCTTTGATGAATTTGGTAGAGGGGTGCTCTATAGCTCTTCAAAGGCGTATCTCACGAGAGGATATTTCGAAGATGAAAAGGTAATACGAGTTTCTGATTCTACATAAACAAAATGAGACATTGATGCAAATTATTAGATGTTTCAACAAATGGCATACCTTTTTGAATACCGAAATCCGCGATAAAAGAATTAACGCACGAGAAGAACTTGAATGATCAACTAAGTCTAAAACTGAAGACAGCCCAGTTCTAATATACCAGATTAGAACGTAATTCTCCTTTTCTATAGATAAATAACTATACTTGCGTCATGATTTTTCTCTCGCGAGCACTAAGATTACGGGTTTTGCTTTCATGGAGATATTGTAGAGCTGTCCTTTTAATGACTGTACCGACTGAAATATCATTTTCTCCTACATAAAGACCATCGTATTCAACCCGTTCCATGTCTTGGTAAGCCTTTGATTTTTCTTTTTTTTTGTTTCTTGTCCCCATGGGCGGCTCGTTTTTACGTTTATTACTGGTGGAGACATCGATCAAATCCGCAGCTTTTCTTATACCTGCAACAATTAACTCCGCTTCTGCAAGATAAAGTCTCGAATATAGAGGATACGGCAGCTGGCTTTTCGTAGTTGACCCTCATCAATCTAGGAGCAATATCTGACCAAAACGCCTTGTTGCTTTCATCTTTACTGGCGTTTTTTAGCTTTTTTTGCAGCGACTTGATGTGATGAAGTAGTTAAGCATTTTCTGAAAAGTGTTCAAGTATATACTGAATGTCTGTTGTCAAATAGTCATCACAAGTCTGCTTATTGATCACTTTTTGTTTGCATAAGAATTCGTCGTATTTGGTCACGTCAAATTCTTCTTCTTCAATGCTCGCCCAGAAGTCTATCAAAGCACTGTCAATACGTGTTAAAGTCAGCCAAGAAGTACATTAATACCATAGTTTTTTAAGTTGGTTTTGTGCTCGTCAAAAGGATTCATACTCATGTTAAAAAAGAAAAGAAAAGGGTGTTGTTAATCAAACAGCCGCCATATTAAATGATTTATTTTTATTTTTTTCCTGTGACTGTGATGTAAACTAGCAGCCATTTTCTCTAATAGTTTTATTATGGGTCATGCTTTCTTCTGCCATCAAATCGAAACATGAATCTTACGCGCAAGCAGTCGACTCTAAATCCATCTCCTTGCTCCACACTGACATTTCTCCTTATCTCGAATGCCAAAGCTTCACGAATTCTGAGAGCCAGAATGTACCGTTCACCTCGATCTCCTGATGCTTATCTCTTCGACCTTTTTGCCTGTAAACAACATTACACAGATCAACAATGTATGGTGTAATTGAAGAGCCAACATCCAAACGTACACGCTCTTTTAATTCTCAATGAAGGACCTACGAGATATCTTGAGGTTTATGTCCAAAAATCCAAAGATGTTAGTGACATTTTAAAGAACCGAACCGTTTCTGCTGATGCAGACATTATTGCGTTACCTTTCCATGCAATTAGTGACCAACCACAAAATATCTTCTAAAATTCACTCCTAAATAAAATTACACTTTGTCAAAATAAAAATAATTCTCAAAAACATTTCTATTGGTCTAAAACAATCGTATTTCTTACTCCGTGTAACATTAATTTCCTTAGCCACAGATCGAGGGTCTGTGCGGGAAACTCCGCGAATTGTATTTTATAAAATCACACATCGGTGTAATGGTAACTGGACAATCGGGACAAATGCTGGACAATCAATCCAGTAGCGGTGTAAAGTTGAGAGTTTAAAAGCAGTAGTTGTATTGAGCACCACGCTGTTGGCTGCGATCAGATAGTCATTAGAATGAGGAGCGAAGTATATTACTTTTGGGATAAATTAAGCCTCTTTAGATGACTTAAGAGAGGTTAATTTATATAAGAGAAGTAAGGAAAAGAGATTTATATTATAGTCTTAGCAACAAGATGAGAATAAGATCGGCAATTATCATATAACACTTGTGACAGTGAGCACTAGACTTAGAGTAGTCCACTTGAATTATTATTTTTTAAAGGAATATTTCGAGAGCGATGTTTAGATGATATGATATTAGATAAGACGTTTAAAAAAATTAAAATCAAATATCAGTGAGAATATATTCTTAGATGTAAGTGTAATAGTTTTCAGCAGATTTTTGTAAGAAAGCGTTATGATTGTAAAATCACAAAAGACAAATTGTATTAACCAAAAAGTGGAGGGGATACAATTGTTATCAATTACGAAGACAAATACCGAAATTAGGTGAAGAATATTGATTTATCAGAAAAGAAGGGGAATGGTCCTTTCTTGTGTAACAACAATTAGGCTAATGCCTGTGCGTATTTATCAGACATGATCCTGTATTTATCTAGATTTGTGATCTCTACTATTTTTTCTTACTATACTTGCTTTATTCCAATCCGCAATCCTCTTTTTTCGTTTTTTCTTAGGAAGCTTTAAGGGATCAACAATATCTTCGTAAACACACATATTGTAAGTACATTAATGTCCTTGATGACATATTTACATGTATTTGCTGCTTACACATCTCCCCCCCCTTTTTTTTTGTAGAGATATTTGTTGAAATGAGCCGAAAGGAAAGCTCAAACAGTAACTTGAAAAGACCACCGGAGAAAGAAAGTGATGAGGAAGACATACCTGGAATTTCCTCCAAAAGGTTAAAAATGGGGTTTAGACCCTCAAAGTGACTGAAATTTTATTCGGTTGAGCAAAACTTACGGTCTGAATGGGAGTTTGCAGAACACGACACCCAAGTTTTATTCTATAAAGACACAGGAAACGCACTCTCTTATTGCAACAATGATTACAAGCTGCGTGGGTTTAAGGAAAACTGTCGTACAACGTTGCTTTTTCTTAGAAATCACAATTTGGTAGTTTCAAAATCTGACCTTAACTGTAGCCAAACAAACGCTAAATTCAATAAATGCGAGCAGATTACGGATATTTTAAACAATAAAAGTCCCAACCCGTTCCGTATCTCGTCCACTAAAAGCAATCATGAAGGCGAAATAACTCCTACAGTCAGGCCGTTTACTATTACAAACAATAAGCCAAACATGTTACTGCGGATTTGTAGTGTTTTCTACTCGTTGCTCTCCAGTAGTTATAAAACCGTATACAGACCCATCAGTATTACAGCTAAATGTAACTAACAAGGTCCCAATTCCTTTGTTTGTAATTTTGCATCACGCTGATTCTTTTCTGCCTCAAAAAACGGGCTGGTTTCCATTGGTTCTTTTAAAATCATCCAAAGCCCATTGATAGATTATTTATCTCTAAAAAAATCCTACCATCGACTCATATTGTGACGCCAAAAAATTGCTATGTTGCCAAAAAAAAAAAAAAAAAAAAAAAAAAAAAAGAACCTGGAGAGAAAGGGAAAAATGCCGCAAGGTCGAATACGCTCAATATAAGCTCTGACGAAATAATTATCCAAAACGTAACAAACAAAATTAACTCCATATATATTTTAATCAATGGATCAACTTGAACGAAGCTGAGAAAGAGGCTGGTATAACTTCGTTTATAGACAGGCTAAGAAACAAGTATAAAAGTCTTCCCCAAGGCGTGTTTTCTTCGGTCCAAAAAAGGCTCTGTTACCATCAATCAACCATGAGTTTTTCAAAAACACCATTCAAGAAAAACAAATCGAGGTTCACAACATAATAACTAGTATGCAATATGTATTAGAGATTCTGAATAACTCCTTGCTGAACGGAAGTTTCAGTTTATGCTTAAAATCAGATGACGATAGTAGTTTTTTTGATTATTCTTCCTTGGGGTTAGGAAACGAACTGAGAGAATCCGCTTCTGATCAAATTGCCTTTATAAAAGAGGAGGTGCATCAGCTAATTAAATTGGAAAACACCTTTTAGCCACAGTTCTTTTACCAGATAATGTCTTTTTGCATCGGCGACAAGAAAAAAGAAAGAAGAAAATCACCGTAAGTTCCTTATGAACTTTTTATTACTTTTAATGTTATATTTGTTAACATCTTTTCTAGTATAATTGATTTTTAAGATCAAAATATGGATAAGTCAAAAAAAAAAAAAAAAAAAAAGATTATAAAACCTCGGTTTTGACTGGATCTGCCTTGAAAACAGTACATACTTCATATAAGAATATGTGGACACTTGATCTTTTTAAAAAGGATTTAAAAACCGTCATCAACACCGTTTTACGCATTCATTTTGCAAAAAACAGGTTTAGAAAATCAAATTTGGAGAAGCCAAAGGATGTGAAGGAGTCAAATATAAAAATCAAGAGTAACGAATCACTAAAAAAGAGAATGTTAAAGCGTCTTGAGTCCGAAGTTTTAAAGAGATCTAAAGGGAGTATGCATGTCTTGTCACAACTCGTAGACTACGTTTTCAATTCAAAAGGTAATTTATGAACACATAAAAATATTTATCTGATTTTTAAAAGTAGATTCGTTCGATAGATACTATGATCAGTGAGCCTTTACCCAAACACTCATCAGTTTCTGAATCCTTGACATTCCCAACTGATAATGCTAAATCAATAATCGAAGATGGATCCGATCCTCCGTCTGAAGGTAAACATCCTGTGTAGTTAGGCATGGTCTTGGATATATAGTTCTAACCTTTATACAATACGAAAGACTCAAAAACTAGCGACTTAAATAGGAGCACCATTAGGGCATTAGCGGCTGTAATATCAATGTTGGCTTGCTCAGACAAAATTAGTCATGCTGTGACGCCGGAGTACTTCAAGAAACAGCTTTATGCGGATAAGCAGAATATGCCTGACAGTGTATATATTACCTGCTCTAAACTAATCAACGCTTTACGTCCGATATGTTTAAAAAGTTGAAAGAATGCTATTGTGTCAAATTGTATACAAATGAAGAAGTTGCGAAATGTCATTGTTTTGTACGCGAGTAATTGTGGTTATCGTATCAGTCCTAAACAGCTAAACTTATGTACTGTATCCCATTACGATGATAAGGAATATGAATCTATCCATGTTACTTCCAAAGGATTGTACAGTTTGTTTAGAGCACACTATCACATGTTTCAAGAAGAGACCGATAATTCCGTTCGTAAATTCACAAGTGTTGCAAGTACAGGCTCCAATGAAAAGGAACTGTTTCGAAACCTTTTCAATGTAGACTACTTGCTAAAAAGATTTAAACAACAAAACCTTGATCCAGTGTGGAGTTTTGAATATGATAAGATATAAAACATTTCTTTCTTGGGCAAGAGAACTGTAAACAGTCAAACAAACGAGAATCTAGAACAAAGAAGGGAATTACCATACACCCAAAGCAGTTACAAAAAGATCGTCTGACAAGAAAAATACGATCCGACATTCTCTTGAAGAAAATGATATCTAATCAGCGGAAGCAAGTCAAGAGTAAGACTGTAGTCAAATTTGTCGGAAATTGGGGAGGATATGCTACTAAAATCAAAGGCATCATTCGCTCAAGCTTGAAACCGGTGACCTCCCGATTAAAGGCAGTCGAAAATGATATGACTTTGACAGTCGATGAATACGGCTCGACCATCCACTGTAATTCATGCTTCAAAAAATGCGTCTCCAGTGCCATCGTCGAGATAACATGTTCAAAAGAATCAAAGGGGCACTAGCTTGCTATAATACAGAGTGTCCTGCAAGATTGCAACGGCATACTACCGTAAATGGCGATGCGAACGGAGCAAAGAACATTGGCTTAATTGGATTTTCAAAACTAGTATCATCTGACGACAAACCGCTGCCGCCGTTTTGTCGCTCTAAAAAAAGCAGGTAAATTGGAAAAAAAAATATGAAAATCCATACCGATCGTAACTATTTTAAACAGGTTCGACCTTGCAAATGAATTTGAAAAGTTTTTTCTTCCTGAAAGGAAAGACTTTAAAACGGAGACTAATTTTTAATTTCTTTATTCAGGTTTTTAGTGGCAAGTATATAAAGCATTATTACAGTAAAAAAGTTTAGGAGAAGATTAGCTAAGATAATCCACAATCAATATTATCTATCGAAACCCCCTGTTATTTGAATGTGACGGCTATGGAAATACATAAACAAAAAATTGAAAAATTCTTTTTCTTTCCATCTTGATGTCAAACTAAATCTACTATGGAGTGCTTGCGTTGTCTCAAGTATTTCATGTATCGGCGGGCTGGCTGCAGAGGCTCTTTGAAGTTCGGGTCAGATGGCTGGTGGGTAGGTTCATGATCGTGTTGTGGTGCTTTTGTTGTCTTGGGGCTGGCTGCAGACGTTGTCTTTACTGGGCTTCTCGGGTCAGATGCTTGACAATGTAAAGTTGGTGTCTTGGGATCTGGGGGATTTTACTTGCTTTGGGGCTGGCTGCAGAGGCTCTTTGAAGTTCGGGTCAGATGCTTAGCATTTAAAATATTGGCATCAATTTTTCTAGTGCTTCATTCTTTGGGGGGCTGGCTGCAGAGGCTCTTTGAAGTTCGGGTCAGATGCCTGAGGAAGACAATGCGACATGAGGTCTGGGGGAGACAACTTGGGATCTGGGGGTTGGGAATAAATAATCTTCACCTTCTCGTGGTTATTCCTGTAAGTAAAAGCGAAACTAAGAGAGATTTTTTAGCTAGTTAATATTTTATTAAACATACCTGAAATGAGTCAAAAAACTATTAGGTTTTGGTTCCGAACCTTAACTGCTCTAAGTGCGCAGCTAAGATCACATGAAAAGACAATTTGGACAGACATATGAAAAATTGCCATCAACCCATTTCCCAACAAGACGTTATTATGGAAGACCCAGCCCAAAACGCGACGTAGGTTTTATAACAGATTCGTAAATTTAGACTCTATATTAATCTATGCTAGTAGTAATGTTGTAAGAGTGGCTGATGGCGAGATTCAACAACAACAACAACAACAACAACAACAACAACAGCAGCAACAGCAGCAGCAGCAGCAGCAACAGCAACAGCAACAAGGAGATCTTGAAGAAGAATACCTCGAAGAAGACTCTCAGGAGGATGATACGGATGATCCCCGGGATTATAGTGGTGATATCTCCGAGAACTACCCTGACGCGGAAGACGAACTTGATGTGGACATTGACATCATTGCGCCAATCCAACATGCTATCTGTAGCAACGTCGATGCAGGTGTTCAATCAGGCTTTAATATGGGCAGTTTTGTTAATTCCATTCAACCTACAATCCATCAACGCGGGGAAAATCCAACAACGAATAACAACGAATCGGCTCCGTTCAGTAACATTTTGTTCTTTATTATCATCGCCTTTTTCGACGGATGCTCTCTTAGCATTTCCGAAGAGAGGATCAAACTGGGAAATGTCTAGAACTCCGTATTTTTTTCAAACGTATTTTTTTCAAATAAACGTATTTTTTTTTAGAATCACGCGATGATCTACACGTCGATTGACTTGCCATATCATCTAAACTTCATAGGATGATCGTTTTCTGTTTTCCATAAAATCTGCTTCGCTGTCATTACAAGCTACTACTGAAATGCAGATAGACAATTACCAAGCTCTGACTTGCTTGGGAGGTTTTTGCAAGTGTTTCTATTTTAAGTAAAGGCTCAAACATTATGGATGATAAAATAGACAAATGAAATCATCCTGACATAAGCTTGTTTATCTATAAATAAAGCTGGTTCACACACTTTATTCTTCTCCTTTTCTTTTCCCTTAACATGCTTCTTTTATCGTATGAAAGTAACCGATCACGTAAAAAGGTTTGTTTAGTAGTGACTCTTGTTTCTTTGAAAAGAAGCTAAATTGAAAAAGAAATATTGTGATATTGCGGCTGCGGCTAGTCTTTACTATAGGAGGGCGACATCCTAGGCAGGTTTCTTGACTTTTGGAACTCAAAAACCGTGAATGACTGCGACTGCACTGTATATAGGTGCGATCATACTGGCTGGCTGGTCTTGGCCAGAATTTCTGCAAGGGACAATGTGGACATGCCATTGTCTGCTACTGATCATGTACTCAACTACCTGGAAAGAACAAAAAACAAAATTCCCAAAATGAGCACGACAAGACACGTAGCTGTTTTGCATGGAGAACAAAATTAAATATAAACCAAAAGTGATACTGTTGGAACTTGGACACTACTTTATCATGGACGAAAAAATATAATTAAAAACGTATAAAAATGTATTTCAAAAATGTATTCAAAAATTGTATTGATGGTCTATGAGAAAAAACTATGGATAGTTATATAAAGAACTGGGATAGTTCTAGGGAGAATATTAAGCGCCTTATTGGATCATGATGTAATAGTCTGGTGATAGTAAATAATCAACATGCCTTTAAATTTATCCCTTCCATACTGAGTATGTAAATATTAGTCAGAGAAATCAACAGTTATAACATCAAATGACAAGAGTAATATTTGTGCACAGTATCTATTAATATTCTATAGTCCAGGCCCATTCGATTGTATTGCTTTTGCAGAATAAATATTTACTCGCCACAGGGTTGTGCCCTGTGTACAGACTCCAACGGTAGGATGAGAACAAGCGGTGTAATGTGTGTATCATGATTAACTTTTATATTTATTATCCATCCTTAACGTGATGTGACAATTAACTTTATTATTATATCTATGATATCCTCAACAGTAGCTACCAACCACAAGACGAAGAAGGAACATACATTCTTTATGAACAAACCTTCCGAGTTTCTTACGCATCTTATGGCCGACCCTATCAAGTGTCCACAATTGAGTGCACTTCCAGATTTTACGGAAGACTCAATCAACTGCTTGCAGCAAGGTGAAAAGTGGAGGCTACCAGGCTGCCCCCGTTTGGAGTTTTGGAGAAGTGCAAGTTATATTCAACAGTAATGGTGACTTTTATTACGATGTTTCTCCCCTCTTATGTATCGATTCGCAATTATCAAAGTATTCGATGTCCAAATTTGAAGGCCTGGTAGATAAGAGCTCTCGTTTTGCCATGTACCTGTATTCAGAAAATTTATTTATCCAATTGTCTTCCGAGGATATTCAGGATAAGCTTTGGAATGATACATTAGCTGATGTCAACAGGTTCAAGAGACGAAGAACAGACGGCTCCATCATGAAGGTAATGAATGTTCCTATCACATTCTTTACTGATGATACATTAGGAAATCTTTCAGAGCAGTATAATCTATTGTATGACACCTGCAGCTATGTCTTTTGATAGTAGAGGATCAAAGAACAATACTTTTATGATGTGTACATCGAACAAGAACTTGTCGGCCGTTGATATGCTCCCTCCAATTGTTGATGATTTGCTTTATCTAGAGAATGGTGTCGAAATGTATTCGGCAGTACATGAAGATTACGTCTTGGTTGTAGCTCCTCTTCTTTTTATTCAAGGCGATAAGTACCGTCAGTCGGAATTGTCCATGCACAGAGGCAGTGCTTCTAATTTCTTCTGTCGTAAATGTCTGATTAAAAAGACTAAAAATCCAAACCCCAAGTTACGAGTAAACGCATCTGCCGCAACAAGGGAGCGTCATGCAACTGCGCCATTGAGGCTCATCAATCCTATTCTCCACGAATGTGCTACCAGATTACGATCTGACCTGGAGAAGGTGAGCAAGCTCGATGCAACTGATGAAGATGGCAAGAAAGCTATTAAGTCATATGAAGTCAGCCATAGCATAACCAAGAATGGCAGTGAACAGCTTCTTCGCTTGGACTCTTATGAGCCCATATTGGATACTCCATTGGAATTACTTCACACGTTACCTTTGGGTATTGGTAAATTCTTGGTGACATTTTTATGGAAGGACCTTCTGAACAAGTAGCAAAAGACAGCTTTACAAGATTGCCTGGCAGATTATCGCAAAAACAGGGCTTTGTCGTGATCGAGGCTATATACTTAATATATGACTCTATCTACACTTCTTAAATCTTCCATTTGATAATCCTAACTATAATTCTTATTGGTACTTTATATTAAATACTGATCATTTACTTTATGTACAGGCTTGATCTCATATCATCCTTCATACAAGTATAAGGCATACATTTAAATAATAACATGAATATGAAAACATATGAAGGTTACATCAGCCACGTTGAGGTGCCACAGCTATCTTTAATAAGAACTACATTTTCCCCTGAATGTTGTGCTACAAGACATACACAGTTTAAGAATGAATGTTATTGTTATTGTTATTGACATCTCATTGTGGTCTTTCTATATGGGATTATTATATCCGAGTATTATCTGGATAAATCTACCCATAACCGTCATCAGCCCATCTGTGATCAATGTCTGAAATAATGTGTATATAAAGACCCCCTTTTATTTGTTTAATAAAGCTTTAGTTTATTTTTGCAGTTTGATAATTTCACTTTGTTAAATTTCACATTTTATTCTTAATTCGCTATTATCACTCTCGAATTTCTTAGGCTTACTCAAGAACTTTTCGAGCAAAGATAGTGCATAATGGTTCCTTCGTCGGAAGGGACTATAAAATCTTATGTCAACTTCTTCCTGTTGTTTTAGGAAGTATTTTTGTTGTGGAGCCGGACAGCATTTTGGACTTGACAGTCAAATGTTTTGACACTTTTGGTCGGTTATGTTCCTTGTTATACATGCGTTCAATCAAGTTAAACGTCGATAAGGTTGCTAAAACAATAAAAATACTGGTGAATGAATTGACTGCACGTGTTTTGGACCTTGATAACAGTTGCATTCAAGACTCGAGATTTGCCACCCCTTTGATATCTTCGCAACTAGTGTTCGAACTTTTCGAGCTTGCACCGATCTTGCGCCAGTTCGAACGAAGCTCGAACCGAGTTTTTGTACTCGAGCTTGCGCCACTTTTTTTGGGTTCGAGCGAGCTTCGATCGATGCTCGCTCGAAGCTCGCTCGGCTAAGATGTCGATAGTAGTCACTTTAAAGTTAAGGTCCTTGAAAGACTACAGATGGCATTTTCCTTGATTTTAATCTTTTCTTCCCTTTACCATTTTTTTTTATTTATGCTCTAATAATTTCAATTAAAATGCTTTGGACTTTTATTTAATTGTACAACCAGCAAACACATTTACCATAGAAAATGAAACAGTGTTGCACACTATACTCAACTAAGCCAATTTTTTACAGCAACCATAGTAACATGACGTAGCAGAATTAATTTAAACTTTCATGTTCACAAATCCAAATGTATTATAATTATAGATGCAGTAATAGTTTGATTTAATTATCCGAATTTGGTGTTAAGGCTGGTGAAAAAAAAATAACTTTTTCTTTTTCCAACTTCTATTTCAATAAATAACAATTTTATTATCATAATTTTCTGTAATTAACATCACTTTGACGTGCACTTTGTGTAATAAAAAGGGCGAGCGAGTTCGAGCTATCGTATTCGCAACCGAGCCGAGCTTAAGAAACTTCGAGCGAGCTCGAGCTGCAAAAAAACGCATCCGAGCGAGCTTCGACTGGAACACGATCGAAGCTCGCTCGAGAGTTTTGATCTTCATTCCGAACACTATTCGCAACCAAAATTACATTTGCTTCATCATCTGCCATTTGATATTCGTCGGTTTGGATTACCTGTTCATTTTGAAACTGAGCACGGCGAACAATTCAACAAGTTTATTCGTAAGGCCATTTTACTGACAAATAGACATCAGTCTGAACGGGATGTTGCCTTGAAGTTTGTCAAACAATTTATGATCCGTTTTCTGTTTAATGGTGGTACTTTCCTTATTGAAGAAGCAGATGGGTCTTCTACTAGATGCCGTGTTGGTCCTGAAATTGCTAGATTCAGAACTGCAAATCCAAAATTCGAAGAATTATTGCTCACTGTTCGTGAAAACTCGGATAACAACGAATACGTCAATGCTCGTTCTGTGTCTCTCAAGGATGGTGTTAGTGGGCTGTTTATGAGTGAAATTACATCGCAATCTTGCTTTGGAAGAATTATCGAGAGGACTTTACAGAACTCTGAAGGAAAACTACAATTAGCTAAGTATCTTTTAACTTATGAATGTATAAAATCCGATGAAGTTAGTGATAATTTTTTGCGTTCATTTAATAGATATGCGTCGTCCAAGTTCCCTTTGTGGCTGACAACCGTCGATAACAACCCTGTGGTACGCCCTGTGTCTCACATATTCGACGGCCAGTACTCACTTATCGAGTTGATGGATCTTGATACTTTTGCTGACATCGATAAAACCTACAGGATTATTAATGTGCACAAATACGGCTCATTCTATTTGATGTTAAAGCATTATCAGGCTACTTTTCCCCAAGGCGATTAGATGTCTGCCTTCTTTGCAAGTATACGGAGTGTGTTTGGCGGAATTGACCGCACTGTTCTGGCTGTAGCTTTGCTTCAACCAGTTCGTCACTCCGAGGCAATTAACCTCGGGGAGGATTCACACTTCGCTCCCAAGAAAAAAAAAAAAGTCTGCCTGCCCACCTGTTGCCTGCCTGTGTACCCACAATATTACCGCTTGATTTGGTACCACTCCCCTTCCATATTTCACATCAAGCCTTTTTGGGTTTAATGTTTTCTGCTGTAAAAATAGACGTGCCTGGCTGCCCAATAGAATGAATCCCATAGTTACACTGCATTCTCCCCACCCCCATATTTTAAAGTTGTACTTTGTGTAATTTTATTTTATAAAGTTAAGTTAATAGTAGCTCCTATATACAGTCGGAGTATCGGCAAAACTTTAAATCTGCTCAAAAGTCTTTGGGTGTGATATATCCTATAAATAAAAAAAACGCAATATATGATTGCCAAGTGTAAATACAGACCGCTTGAAAGTGAAATCAGTTTTGACAATAGGGGGTTTCAGAATCAAAAACCTTATATTTTGCAAAAATATTCCTGGGTTATGATTGGTTAATGATTCTTTCTAAGTTTTTGCAACAAAAGAGTTGCAAAAACATTTTGCAAAAATAAAATAGTCTAAATTAGACAAAAAATTGAATTCAATGGCAAAATATTTTATGATGCATCGACATATTTAACTAATCTATATCCCTTTATTGAAACTTAACATAGTAAACGATACAAAGTTTTACAATTTATTTTTTATTTCATTGAAGGGGGGGGGATTAGGAAGTGATGAATATAATTGGCTTATGGAGTTACACTAACATTTTTGCAAACTTAAGTTTTTTTATACGATTATGTCGGATTGAAGACGCGTGTTGACATTGAAAACGTTTCAAGATAAAACCTCCCCCTTTTTCTTTTTTCTTTCTCTTTTCTTTCTCTTTTCTTTATTTTCTCACCTGCTTCTTATTTTTGTTCTTACTACTATGTCCGGAGATATTAAGTATTTAGAGGGTAAGTAAAGCGTAACTCATTTTGAAATACTCTTTTTGATACTAAATGCTTTCTTTTTTAAACGCGATTTAGCTATCTCAGCAAGTATTCAAAAGCTTGCCAACGAAGATAAAGTTGTCGACTGGGACGAATTTGTAAGAGAGGAGAGAGATTTAATCATCAGTAGCTACAACGGTGACAATTTGAATTCATTTAAAGGCGATTGGAAACGGCGTTTCAAAAACACCTTGTCCCACCTTAACTTAAGTATGGAATTCACTTCAGGAGAAAGAAATGCCTGGAAAGATTTAATTGCTGATAAGATCAAACTGTCAAGAAAGTCTTCTGCTTTGTCTTCTGCAAATCAATCTTCAACATCTTCTACAACAAACTCTTCAAGGCATAACAACTTGATAACTGAAGAACAAAGAATCAACGTGTTAAAGTTGTATGATGATTTAAACAATGAAAACAAATGGAAGCTTGCTTGTTCCGGAAGATACGTCGAAGATATAATGAAGGAAGTAGTACAAACTGCCAAATATGAACACCCTTCCGCCTCCTTTATTTTGGATCTTGCCGACCCAATCTGGTTAAGCAAGTTCACAAGGGATGAATTTAAAGAAATCAAGTATTTTAATAATAAAAAGCCAGAAAAAATCAATAAAGAATTAGAAGAATATATTGATTCTTTTGATAAAGAAGAGCTTAAAACTGCTGGTGATTATTATAACGAAGCAAACAAGAAGAATTTTGGATTTGGTGGATCATATGATCAACGCTGGATTCAACGTTCCATTATTGATGCTGCTGAACTTTTTGAATTCAACGATATTATAAATTTAGTCGACTTTTCAGAAGAAGATTTACACCACCACGTCTGGCTATTTGTATATACTTGTTTTAGATCTGGAGGCATTGAAGCTAAGCTTGGAGAACGCGGAAGCGTTGCATCCGCTATAGGAAGAAATGTAAAAAGAGGCTTAGAAGCTTTAGAAAGAAGAGAGAGAAAAGCTTCAGGGGCCAAGGTAGACATTCTTTTTAAGGCAGGAGGTATTAATGAAGTAGGCTGCTCTGAAATTGGCAAAGACAACGTACTAGCAATCGATGACAAATACTTGGATGATGGTATGATTAAATTGCCCAAGACTCTTCGACATATGTTAAAAGAATTGGTGCAAGTGAATCCTAGTAAAATAAACGAGCTATATACCGTGGGATTTCTGATGATGGGTAAGTGGCATGCAGTAGATCATTTTGTTCTCTTATTGACTTTTTTCTTTTTAGGTCTCGAAATGGAGCTCGTAATCATGGATATTCCAGCTGGCAAGACAATAACTAGAATCAGCAGAAGTAAGAGGTACCCTTTTCCTAGCAAAGCTTCAAATATTGGAAAAGATCTTCTTCCTTTATTACAGGCAACTTTGTCAGGAAAACAACTTATGGAAAGCTTGGTAAAGTTAATTGATACCCGTAAAAGAAAGGCTTTTATATTGTTTGATGAAGACGATGAATCCACCACCACCATTCCTAATTGCTTTGAAAATAATTAAGCAAAGTAATTACAGTACATCTAGATTACTGTGAAACGTATACCTTTTTTTTTTTCTGTTACAGAATGGGTTTTGTGGAAAATAAACTTACGTATGATTTTAAGTTAGTTTCTACCCTAAAATAAACATGTTATAACAAGAATAAAGTAAATTGAAAGTGTAATTAGACCTAATAGTTAATGATCTTAGTGATATCTTTTTTACAAACAAGTAGGGGGGGGGGGCACGTTAAAGTCGGTCATTAATAATTCTCGGGCGAGTATACCGTAGCTAAATGATGCAAATCTAAAATTTTCCGGCTTACATCGAACAGGATTCAGCACGCAAGGGTTTATCCTCCACTAATTGGAGTTGGCCCGTGACGGTTTAGCCCCATATAACTGTAAGTTACCTCAAATAACAAACTTTGCCTTCAACCGCAGTTTCATGGCTCTTTCCGCTAAAAAACAGAAACAACCCCCGCCGGGTTCCCAAATTGAAATTTCATACAGGGATGCAGTAACTAAACGCCTCCCTACCACCAAAAAGTCTCTTATCGATTTAAACACATCTGTCAGTAACGATATCACAGGACCGGTTGACACTGAGATCTCGCCAAGGTTTTTTACTCGACATCTCGAAAGTTCCAACGATCTCGGACGTTGAACATCTCACTACCATTGCCCACCAGTACTCCGGGGCAAAAAATTTCTATGGGATCAAATTTTTAGGCAAAAGCTCTGAGCGATATATAGAGATCTACCCCTCTAACGAGATTTTAACAAAATTTACAGCTGAAGGTGTTTACTACGAGAAATTGAAAACCCGACTCCTTCCATGCCCTGCCATAGAAGGCGATGGAAAGGTAATCCAACTAAGTCTTTCTGAGATTCCTTTATTACCTGAGCCCGAAATACTGGAAGGTTTACGTAAAGCTTTAGCATCATTTGGCACGGTCATTGATATTGGTCTCCGATATTCATCCACTGAAGGATGGTTTTTGGGTACCGGGTATGCGATTATTCAGCAATTTACAGGACAATCGTATGCCACTCTCCAGCATACACTTAATTGGAATGAAGAGGAATATTGTTATGCGACCTCCCCGGATATGCCTACTTGGTGCCGATACTGTCACTCTGAAGGCCATACCAAGTATGGATGTCAAAAAGCCTCTGCTGGTATTTTGTGCTACTCTTGTGATAAATATGGCCACCGTGCAGCTGACTGTCCTGACCCTAAGTCTAAAAAAAAGAGACCCAATCAGTTTAAGAAACCTAGAAAGACCTACAAAGACCAATCCCAAAATGAAGATGCTAAACCGGATGCTTCTGAGGAATTAATGAAATCCAAATGGGCACCCTCAATAGAGACGACAATTAGTGCGACCGGTCACCACAAGAAGCACGTACCTGTAGAACAGATCGATTTGACATTAGGTGAAAATTTCGAAGTGGAAAAAAGGACCGTCTTAGACGAGCAACTATATAGCGATAGTGACATGGACGACTTCGACTATAACCCTAATGACGAAATTAAGGATACACAATCGAATATCGAGGATGATGAGGATGAGTATGGGACGGATACCAGTATGCATACGATCCACTCAGAAATAAGTAACAAGTCTCAGAACGCTACTCAGGGAACTTTTAAAACGTTTAAGACATTTGTGGGTTCTGTCTCCAATATCCAAGTAGAGTCAGAGCCTTCTCCTAAAGATAATAATAATCTTTAATGGGGAAAAAAATCAATTTTAATTATGCAACACTAAACTGTAACAGTTTAGTGAAGACACAATCTTCAACAGTACAGTCGTCTTATATTCGTTATCTTCGTCTTCAACAACTTGATATTATATCTTTACAAGAAACCCATGCCTCTCCTTCTACTATTCCTTCCCTTGATATCCAGTTCCAAGCCCAACAAACCTTTTGGACTCACCACCGTGGTATTATATCATTCTCTCCTGATTTTATTTTGACTCAGATTTCCACTGATCATATATTTTCGTCGGATCGTTTTATTTTGTGCAAAGTTCATCACCCCCACAACTTCTACGATCCTTTTTACATTCTCAACATTTACGCACCAGCGGATTCAAACCCGGCTCGCCGAAGTTTTTTTGAATCAGTCTGTGGCATGCTATATATTCTAACGGACACTGTGATAATTGCGTATATAAAAGTAAACGTGTATAGGTGTTTTTAGACGGAATAAGAAATGAGACTCTTTATCCCTTTATTATAAGTTGGAGAGTTTGTCATAAATAAAATTAGAGGTCCTTTTATATACGAATTATAACTTCAGGTAGATTCTCTGCTTAGTTCTAATTAAGGTTTTACACGAGATAGTGATACCTTAACTTGAGGTACAAATCAATGACAACGTAAGATGGAGTGTATTACTTCTGTAACGTAGGTTCTCCATGTTATGTCTAGAACCTTTATATAAATGAGACAGCTCATGGTTCCTTAACAAGAGTTAAGGATTAGAGTTCCTGATCAAAGTATATGTATAGTAAGATTCCACAGTTACACAACAACTTGGATTAAGTTTAGATTATAATCCCAGAGTGAATGTTGTGTTGTACTGGTATTGTGTCTTTAGATGCTAGGAATCACATTCACTAGAATCGTTGCTACAACATATGACATATTATAACGATCAGACAAATTGAATTGTAATTATATTCGGTTTAATAGGAGTAAATACGACAGACACTATTAATATCAATCAGCTGATTATTTCAGGTGATTTTAATTATGATGTTTCACGCGATGTAACTAGTCGAAAGGGATTGCTTAAAACCTCCGCACAATGGCTTACATACCTTGATTCTCTGTTCTACAACAGTACGATTCATAACAGTATGCATACCCTACCTACTTTCCAACGCCAAATCGGCACAACGTCGACTATTGACTGTATATACTTAGGCCTAACACTGAAGAATAACATCAAAGATGCGTCCATTCAGTATATTCAAAGTAAATGGTCAGATCATGCGCTTCTACAGCTTCAACTAAATGTAGATGGGCTTCCGTCTTGCAAGCTCAAATTAATCGATTAGTCGCTCTTCTTGAATCCTCCTCCAAAGATAATTTGATTCTCCGTCAGGAACTCAAACAATCTAATGCTCGCATCCTATTATTGGAACAGAAACTCTCAGGCACCCGAAGTGCTGGAGATTTTGGCTTCACTGTACCCGAAACATTCCTCCGGGATCTCGGAAGTAACGCTTCCAAATACTCGGATATCAGCAATAAAGACACTCGCAACCAGTCATCCAATAATGCTTCACACACAAGCTTTGCGAAGCAACGGACTACTGCTGGTTCTAACACTAAAGATCCTCATAATAAGAATGAGCCCCTTAAGACTTCCTTCGCAGATATGGCTAAAAAGCCTGTCCCTTTTAACAATAATCGTAAGCGAACTACGTCTAAGCAACGTAAAGCAGCTGCCCGTATTTTTGAAGCTCCTGCTGAACAAACATCTTCTGATACGTTTTTTTACTTATACTTGCCAAATAAATATCGAATTCGCATCAAGGATTTTCGCCAAAAGCTACGAACAATGGGTTTAGACAATGGACATACTTGATATTCATTACCCAGCCCGTGGCGTAGTAGCCCTTTTGATCCACCAAAGCTATAGAGTCGAACTGGATTCTATTTTAACGAAATCCAACATTGCACCGGTCAAAGATTTTAATCCAACTTCAATTGATCATTTGCACGATCCGTCTCTTAATCGTCTTACAGTCGATGAACGCTCAACTAAAGCCATTGAATTTCATCAGAATCGTCTGATAAGAGGATTGAAATTTATTAGAAGTTACCTTCGCCGATCTGTAGCAAGAAATTTCGTTTATCATGGATGGATCACTAGCGAACAAGCACAACAGGTGATTTCAGAGACTAATAATGGGAATAGACACAGCAATACACCTACCAACACATTCGAAACTACTCGTGCGTCCTCAACTAGCCAATCCCATTCTGGATCCAGTGGATTAGGGGAAGGACAAGAATATGTACAAGAAACCAACATCAACAACGAACAAATGGATATTGAAGATGAAACCTATGATAACTCCTTGCATGGTGCCGGTCAACCAGCCCCCCGCCAATAATTGAGTACTTTTACCGATATTACTAACCTTATGCCCACCTATGACAGCCCTATGCCTCATCACAACCATATGCCTACTAACATACATATGTCTCCGACTACTAGTCAAAACAATCTATCTAACTCTAATCCTAATCTACAACAAGCAATCCCATTCAAGACCACTAAACTCAAAATCGGATCCATTAATTGTCGAAGTCTAGCTTCCACATCAGACCCAATAACTCGACGAAAATTTACCCGGTACCTTCGATCTCTGAAATACGACCTACTCAACTTTCAAGAAGTTCGAACAGAAGACAACAATGTAATAGAATCCTTAAATATGGAATTACAAGCTAAAGATTCAATCTGGACTCAACACGTTGGCATCGTTAGTTTTAATCCTAACATTCGAATTACACCAATATTTATCATGCTTAACAAACATGCAGTTTTTGTAAAAGTGCATCACATCAACCACCACTTTGAGCCGATATACATATCTACTAAATGATTATGCTCCTAGCCAACCCGGTCCTAAGAAACAATTTTACAGCGATACCATTGGATTGCCTTTATTTAAGGATGAAACTGATGTCGCACACTTTACTAAATACTCCAACTTCTTGATAACAGGAGATTTTTAATTACCACCACTATACAACATATCGATCCTCAAATTCACATTGTCCTCACCCGATTAGATCCTGGAAACAGACTCTCAACCAACACCTCTATGACTGCATCAATTCAGATGACATAACAGAGACGTATTCAGTGGCAAATTTACATATCACTTTTAGTCGGGGAAATTCACGTACTACAATTGATTACATTTTTGCATCGCTATCAATTAAAGCAAGTATGACCAAATCTGGTGTCGATTTTATCAATACGGACTGGACAGACCACGCCTTAATCTCTATTGATCTTGTATTGGTGAGTAAAAAACATGGGAAAGGAATCTATAGAGCGAATCCGGCATTGGCCAAGAACAAGCGTTTCGTTGAACAACTGTCCACGTTGCTTCAAGAATTGAAACCAGATACAACAAATAGCCCTCACAACTCCCCTCAGAATAAATGGAACTCTATGAAGAGAAAAGTGCGACAGTTCTGTCAGCGCCTTTAGCAGATATTATTGTCACTGGCGACAAAAGCAAATCGAACGACTTCAAACTTGTCGTTCTAAAATTATCGCCAAACACTCCGATCATCCAGCAATTCTCAACCAACTCTTGCCTACCGTTGAACAACAATTGGGGATACTGCAAAAAGAAGTAGCCGAAATTGACGCCATAAGAGCCGGGAGACACTGGCAGGAGCAGGGAGAAATTTCAGCTGGATATCTTAAACGAACCATTACTCAACGGGAACAACAACGAACCATGAACGCGGTCAGCCACCCAGTATCTGGTGAGTTGTGTCATAATGACAAAGACACCCAAGAGGCGGTACGCACGTTCTACCAAGATTTGTTTAACCCGGACCCCATCAATGAAGCGTCTCTCTTACTAGACTCATGTCACACATCACCGAGACGAGTACAAAATAACCAGAGAAACAGCTTCTGGAATACTCGAACCATTTACAATTGACGATATTTTGGAAGGTGCCAAACGATCTCCCGCTAAAAGTAGTCCGGGGTTAGACTCGATACCATATGAAATATTGAAGCGATTTTAACCATTCTTTAAGCGGGGAAAATCACTCTAAAAATTGGCGAAAAACACTTTCTTTAGGTGTTTAAATAAGTGTTAAAATGATCACTCGAATCACACCTATAAACACTTGGATTTTCCCGTGGTGACTGATTTCACTTTCAAGCGGTCTGCATTTACACTTGGCAATCATATATTGCCATAGCAAAGAAACCTTTATTAATATAACGCGTTTTTTTTTTATTTAAAATATATATAGTCATTACTACCAAAAGCGAATACGCAAGCTTATTACAAAAAGATATTATATAACACACACACACAATTAAAATAAATTTATTTTCAATAAAATATTAACTAGCTAAATAAACTGGAAATCTCTCTTAGTTTCAAAGCAGCTCGCTTTTACTTACAGGAATAACCACGAGAAGGTGAAGATTATTTATTCCCAACCCCCAGATCCCAAGTTGTCTCCCCCAGACCTCATGTCGCATTGTCTTCCTCAGGCATCTGACCCGAACTTCAAAGAGCCTCTGCAGCCAGCCCCCCAAAGAATGAAGCACTAGAAAAATTGATGCCAATATTTTAAATGCTAAGCATCTGACCCGAACTTCAAAGAGCCTCTGCAGCCAGCCCCAAAGCAAGTAAAATCCCCAGATCCCAAGACACCAACTTTACATTGTCGAGCATCTGACCCGAGAAGCCCAGTAAAGACAACGTCTGCAGCCAGCCCCAAGACAACAAAAGCACCACAACACGATCATGAACCTACCCACCAGCCATCTGACCCGAACTTCAAAGAGCCTCTGCAGCCAGCCCGCCGATACATGAAATACTTGAGACAACGCAAGCACTCCATAGTAGATTTAGTTTGACATCAGAGATGGAAAGAAAAAGAATTTTTCAATTTTTTTGTCTATGTATTTTTATAGCCGTCACATTCAAATAACAGGGGGTTTCGATAGATAATATTGATTGTGGATTATCTTAGCTAATCTTCTCCTAAACTTTTTTACTGTAATAATGCTTTATATACTTGTCACCATTGCTTTTTATTTAAGAAAAAAAGAAAGCGTAACAAAATGAAACAAATCACCCTTGGTTAGAAGTCTTTTTCACTCTTTGTTGCGCGTTGACAATAGTTAACCAAGCTGATATTGAATATTTCGCGTATTTGTAGATGAAGCAGGCTTTAATACGCATATAATAAGAGGGCAAGCTTGGTCCAAAGTAGGAGAGCCAGCGAATGTAACTGTTCACAAGCAAAGAGGTGCTAATGATGATCTATGATATCCTGCTGATCAAAATATTGTTGGCTGTGTGTTACTTTGGCCAGAATGATACGATTGTCTAAAATTGGGGTATCCACCTGGGTGAGTAAAATGTCAGGATAAAGAGAAACAATACCACAATGTTCAGTCCATAAGGCTGATTTAGTGTAAAATTGTTGTTCAATTGATGTACTGTATATATTGTATTAATTACTTTGCTAAATTGTTTTCAAAGCAATTGGGAATGGTGGTGGTGGATTCTTCATCGTCTTCATCAAACAATACAAAAGCCTTTCATTTGCGGGTATCAATTAACTTTATCAAGCTTTCCATAAGTTGTTTTCCCAACAAAGTTGCCTGTAATAAAGGAAGAAGATCTTTTCCAATATAAATATTGTAGTATAGATTATAACCTATGATTAAATGTTTTATAAATTGGGCGGTGAGAAACTCTGATAAAACGGAAATTCTTCAGTGGGAGATGTTTACTTTCAGCCGCTGAACACCAACAAGCCTCACAAAAGATTGATCGATTCTTTGCCAAGGATGGTTTGGCCAGTACGTTACAACAACGTTTGCATGCTTTGGATGACCAAGAGACCACATTAGGTTTAAACTGGTTGGATAGACTTTGGTTAAAGAAGGGTTATCTCGAGTATCGTATCCCTACCTTACTTAACGTCAACTGGTGGAATCAATTTAGAGACCCCGTCTCGGGTTTAGTAAAAGGTGCACCTGAAGGTCAAGTCTCTATCCATGCCTGTTCCGGGATCTATAAAAAAGAAAGAAAATAAGCGAGCTATTTAGGTTTGTACTTTACAAGCTATTAGCTTTTTTTTTTCTTTACCAACAAAACTATTGAGAATTCGAGCGGCTTTCTTACATTCGCCTATTAGGAAAAAATAAATAAAGGGTTAATGCCAAGCATTCCCGCGCTGCTGAGAAGGAAGGGGGTTTGCGAGAAGACTTGCCTTCTAAACTAGTAGGAATGGGGAATTCATGGCTGAAGACATATTGGAAGCGAAACTGTTGAGTTTTTTTAAAAAAGCCTGTTCTACACAAGCTAAATCACTTTTTTTTTATACATAAAAAAACCACAAGCACATACAGTCGTATAATTCCAAAACAGCTTTTTCCTCTAGAAGCTTTGCTAGTAAAAGGGTACCTCTTACTTCTGCTGATTCTAGTTACTGTGTTGCCAGCTGGAATATCTATGATTACGAGCTCCATTTCGAGACCTAAAAAGAAAAAAGTCAATAAGAGAAAAAAATGATCTACTGCATGCCACTTACCCATCCTCAAAAATCCCACAGTATATAACTCGTTTATTTTACTAGGATTTACTTGCACCAATTCTTTTAACATATGTCGAAGAGTCTTGGGCAATTTGACCATACTATCATCCAAGTATTTATCGTCGATTGCTAAGACATTGTGAATAAGACCGAATTGTCGAAGCGGACACAAAGTAAATGAATAAGGACACGTGAGGAAATCTCGTGCGGCCAATCTACAAGCGATACGGATACCTCGTATTGCAGCACTTGTACAAATTTGTAGTGATGTATGTGATGACTTCGACTGACTTGTTTTTTGAATAAAGGGTTGATGAAGTAAAATTAAGCTACTACAGTAAAACATCAACATAGATGCAATAACAGGTGCAAAATGGCCTACATCTTCGTTAAAATCGGGCAGCTGTATTTTTTTTAAAGCTTTTGGGAATTCGTTTCTCCATTGTGTTAATTCATAATCTAGTCGTGTCACCAAACCATCACTTCCATGCTGAGAACTGAATTTTTTGGCCTTTGGTGTATGCAGTCCTTGTAGTATCCTACCCAGAATTTCGGACAGTTTGATAAACTGCACAAACAATTCATAAATTTGAGGCCATTCTCGGTTGGAATTTGTCTTGTAATTGTAAGGTGCCGTTAGACAAGGAGAGCGAGGAAGAACTTCGTTATTTAGAATACGATCTTTATCAGCCTCGAATGCGTCCAAGACTTCTTCGATATCTGCACCAGGGTCAGGATAAGGAACATTAATGTCCTGTTATCAAGAATATTTAATAATCTTTCAAGTAGCCATGAAAAGCGACAAATACTTTACCTCATCGCGAAGATTGATAGGTCTTCCAAGAATGGCTGTTTGAAATCGATCTGTTATGTACAATGCCCACCAAGCCCGGTTACGAGTTTCCTTCTCTTTTTTTTGGGAGATCCCAGTCTTCACACGATCGATGAAGGCCAAGTAAATGAGCCTGCAAAGATTATGATAACTAATGATAGTACCGAAAGAGCTTTTATGCTTAAAATTACCAACCGAATAGCCTATAAAAAAGAACAGAGAATCAGTTTTTGCTTGTGATACTATTTAAAAGTACTTTACGTATCCTCCCAATTGCCAGCAAGCGGATGATTTTGAGTCTCTATCACCGCGATGATTTAAAATAATAATAATGGCTTGAACATTGGTTACAGTCTGCAGATTAGACCATTTCGAAATTATATATTCTGCTTGATCAAAGAAGTGGTTGGACCAACCAACAGGAACATCCCAAATTGCATCTGCAGGTAATTTCTTTTTTTCGATGTGGCTCCAAACTTTTACATTCGACAAACCGTGCAGCAGCGCATTTAACAATTCCCCAGGCGGATATGTATCAACTCTGTCACGGTGTTGTTTCAAAAATTCGGTCTTGTTGATAACTGGCAAGATAGGATATATATGAGAGAAATATCTGCACAGAAGTATCAGCGTAAACATTGGTCATATTTTTCATACATTTGTAAATTATATTTACATTTTAAATAGTCGAACTGCAGTATACCTATCCACCTCAGTTACTGTTGTATATATGTATTTATGGATATCTTCACCTGAATGCATGTCTTCTGGTAAATGAAATACTGGTATTTTGCTAGGTCCCGGTTCACCGGGATCTGCGACCAGAACAACATTACCTCCGATTTTCTTAATCTTGTGGCCCTGAAATGTGCCTTGTTCATCTATTTTATTTGAAAAGAACTGAAGTGTCGATAGATCGCCTAAATAGTGTATACTATCATACGCTACACCGGATGACCATTGTCTAGGGTCCAAGACACCATATTCCTCAAAAAGATTCGTCAAAATTGGTGCGCTCTTTTTTTTGAAACTGCTATTTCAATGGTTGTTTCCATTTGATCAATACGTTCCTCTAATTCGTTCGTATCATATCTAATTGTTGGCAAATTAATAAGGTATTCTCTTTTTAAAAAGGCACACAAGATTATTGTACCTCTGGGGTCCTCTCTTCTTTGCGCTGTACAAATATTTAGAGGTATGGCTTTACAAGTAATGAAACGCCCTACCCGAATGTAAACTCGCACTTCTCATTGTAAGCTTTGCAATTGAAACATATGTCATCAGCTTGAAGTGTACATTTAACTTTTCTTCGTCTACAAAAATCGCTAAAATATTTCTTTAAACCGCTTGTTCTGCTCTCATCAAGGATTACTTTGTTTGTTATTTTTACCAGGCTTTAGAAACTCGAGATTTTTTAGATTTGGGTTCCATTTTAAAGAAGGAAAAGGCAAAGTTTTTTTTTTTTTTTTTTTTTTTTTTTTTTTTGTAAATAAATTTTTATTAAGGGTATGATTTAATACAAAAAATTTTTTTTTTAAGTCACACATCGCGGAGTGGTGGAACTTAATGAAACGAATGATCGTGGATGGCATAAGCTATAGAATTAGTCTTTGTTGGAAGGAGGATTGATAATCTTGTTGATTTGGAGAATAATTCTGGACACTGATTTGGGTAGGTTGGCAACATCAAAAGGTCGCGGATTGTCGGTGCCATAAAGCCAGTAAAGGTTCCATATTTGCCAGAGGGTGGTAGAAAGTATGGAAAGATACCATTCTTCGTGTTGCACAGACAATGGATGTTTTAGATTGCAGATTGATTCATATAACATCGAAGGTGTAAATTCAAGATATGGGTAGTAGTGGGACAGTACCCTCTGCCAAAGCTGTCGCTTTATGGGGCACTCCACCAAGAAATGTAGAATTGAGTCTTCGGCAGTACCACAGAAAGAGCATTGAGGGGAAGTGACGTTACCAAAATGTTTATACATCAGTTGTTTTGTAGGGATGCATTTAGAAAAAGCCCGATAGTAAACGGTACGTGCTTGTGGGTACATACGGCAGCTCCAAAATTGTTTTATATTCCGTATTGGGAAATTGTGAACGGTTTTATAGTGCTGCTGATAGTACCTGCGTAAGACAGTAGGGTTAAATTGACCCCAGAGTGGCTGAAGTCGCATTTGAGACACTAATTCGTGAGATGTCAATTGTCTTAATGTCTGGCAATTGAGTCGTTGCGGCACAGCTGTACGTCGTGGCCAATATTATTTTATTTTATGCGAGAAAAAGATAATGTTTATTGATACTATGTGAAACTAAAAATATAAAAATACAATTTGGACCCCGATGCTCTCATGCAGCATCCTTCTTTACTCGCTTTAACCTTTTGGGTATTGTTGGCTTAAATCTTCGTGCCGGCTTGGTCCATCGATTCCACCTCTGGATGAACAATGGTACCGGCCCGACAGAGAGGACCATTCTTCGGGTAGTGTGGGAGCAGGTGCTGCAAGAATATGTGGCCATACAAACGCTTCAAGTTTAATAGTACGAGTACATATAATATCATTGGCCAGAGTTTGACACAGCCTTGGAAAGCGAGAGAATTCACTTGGGACTCGTATGCGCAGTCGTTGTTGGTGCTCATCAAATACCAAGAAAGTGCCCGCTGCAAAATTTCGATGTCTGAGTGACCAATGAGAACTATCTGGAACCTGAATGACCTTACGAAGTGGAAGAGCCAAAATAGTAGAAACAGGGGCATCTATCATTTGGAATTTGGTTGAAGATTGAAAATAATCAAACGTATCAAAAATGACATGCCATATTGAAAACTTGTTCAAGATTGGGCTCTTTCGGAATTCAAAGTCATATAATGGGAGCAGTGGATACATCGATGCATTTTAGAAGTGGCTGAGGTGATCAAGCATGATAGGAAACACAAAAGATGGGTACACGTTAGGCGCTAACAAATAGTTCAACCATCGTTTTTGGAGGACTTTGTGTTGGATGACTGGATCTAGTACTTTGAGACCACCAACCTCATGTGGTAAATGTTGTAAAAATAGAAAAGGGAAAGGGCAAGTACTGTTACGACTAAGTCGTCTCTAATTTTATTTAAAAAGAAGATAGAGATAATTCTACAAAACTAATAAGGGGTATTTATATACAATTTGAAAGGTATCAAGAGGAGGGTATTGACAGTGTCCAGCATCGGTGATTCCATAACAAGCAAAACCTTGACAGTCATCACTTAATTGACGGTTCTACTAAATATGGGAAAAGAAGGCAGAAGGAAGAAGGAAAGACCAAAGCCACGTAAACAGGTTTATGGATTATAAAACTTACTTTACCGAGGTCAAGAAATAAATAGATATAAAGAAGTAAATAAACAATTATACAAACAATAGCACTCATTTCCATATACGTATAGCTCAGGTCCTATGAGACTCTTCGCTCGATATACGTTACACAGCATTGTTTTATTGATAGAGGTAAATTGTGGAACAACTAATTCCCACCAGTGTGATTATATGGAATTATGTCCTCAATGGATCATCTCCGATAGTTCTACTCTAGGTGTGTTGTTATCTTATCCTCAACAGTAAAAACAGCATTTCCAAACGGAGACTGGGTTTTTTCTTTTGCCATATAAATTGGTAGATTGTGGATCGAATATCTTTAAAGAATTGTTTAGTCGGATTGAAAAGACGTAGACAGTACCATATTTTAGATAGTAGTAGGATATTTGCGATAGTAACTCGACCCTGTATGGACAGCTGTCGTTGAGAAAAAAACGTAGCTTTGGTGTCGAATACTAGTCAGTAGTTTACTCTCCAGCGATTTTCGTTGTTGAGTTTAGTATGGCAGATAAAAACCAAGATATCTCAGTATCGAAAGTGAAGATTCATGATAGTAGGTCAAAATGGCTCTAGAAGTTAGGAACGTTTCCCAATTGCTATCATGTTTACCATTGAGTGAGAATGCTTCGGATTTGTCTTCGTTTAATTTGGCATTAGACACCCTAGCGTACTTATCCATTCGGTACTCAAGGCCATCTAGTTCGAGAGCGTCTTTTACAATCACACAAACGTCATCTGCATATGCTAAACATTTGATAGGAGTACTGACAGTATTAATAGTTGAAGGCAGTTGAAAGCCTGTAATACTATCATCTTGTAATATAGACATGATGAACGGTTCAAGAGCTAAATTAAATAATAAAGGTGATAACGGGTCGCCTTGTCGTAAACCACGCTTTTGTGAAACTGCGTCAGTGAAATATCCATTGATGTTGACATATACAGTATTATCAAAAAATAGTCGGCGAATGCATATAATGAATGACCTGGGGAATCCAAAGCGTTTAAGAACTCGACACAGGTATAGAGGGTGAACCCGATCATAGGCTTTTTCCTGATCAAGTAAGATCCCAAAACCAGGGCAGTCAAATCCACGTGCTTGATCTAAGATCATGGACAGTGCTAGACCATTATCACCAATAAATCGTCCGGATATAAAACCCGTTTGATAGGGATTGATAAACTTGTTCATCATAAAACCTAACCTTTGAGCGAGTAGTCGTGTAAAATTTTTGGCGTCACAATTGATTAATGAGATTGGTCGCCAGTTCTTTAGTAGACACAGATCCCCTTTTTTTGGTAACAGTCGCACTCGAATATCTTGCCAAGATGTTGGGAATACACCCTCCAAGGCTTGATTATATAAATCTGTGATTAGTCTCTCTAACATGGGAATTTGGAATAGTACTGCGAGATAAGGATAACTAAGTCCATCTGCACCAGGACTACTTTGCTTTGTCAAACGTGAAGCTTGTTCTATTTAATCATCAATAGTAAACGGTTTCATAAGTTTTACAGCATCATTGGGGTCCAGCGTCGTTGAAAACTGAATGTCGTCCAAGTAATCTTGTATGGCGTCGTCACTGACTGGTTCGGCATCGTAGAGATGTTGATAGAACTGTCGGGCTGACGTTTTCATTTGATCCGTATCGTTTGACACTGTTGGAGGGCTATCTGAACTAGACGAAGGAACTTGTATCCCAGACATATATTGTTGGGCGGTTCGAGTTTTATGTATAGCTTTCAAATATTTGGCAGACTTTTCACCTTTCTCCCGCCAAACCACACCAGCTTTTAATGCAGAGATGTCGACTAACTCTTGTTGTAGAGTTTCAATCATCTGATCAATTTTTGGTAGTAGTAACAGGAGCGTGGCTAGCGGTGGTTTAGATCTCAGTAGCCTATTTCGTTTACGCTCGAGAAGTTTCAATGATGATGCTCGCCAGGAGACATGTTTAATACCAAAAGATTTAATACATTGTTTCGTGACATCTTTGATTTTTTCCCACAAAAGTTGTGCATTATTCGTATTAGTGTCAGTTAATGTTTGCTCGATTTTGGTTGAAAGTAGAACTTGAAACTTCGGGTTGGTTGCATAGGCTGGGTTACCACGCCATAAGCGAGGGCCCATTTTTGAGGTACCTAGGTGTCTCATTAATTGGTGAAGTGTTGCTGATAGGTACCTCGGGTAGACTACTTTGAGAGAAGAAGTCCATGGTGGTATCAGCAAATTGAAAATTGATCTCCATTGACGAGTCATCCTTGTCCGTGGGATTAGCGTCCGATGGGGGTTCAGGGCTGGTATCACCGTCTTTATAGGCCGGTGTCAAGCTAATACTGGGAAGCGTGTTGTTTTGTATTTTGTATTGGTCGTGTGGGTGTGGGATAAGTCGAACAACGGTAGAATTACTGGTTACAGTGGATTTTTTGTAGCGGGTGATGTTGTCGCCAAACAGCTTTACAATAGTAGAAGCAAGAAAAGGTCGTTTGATTGCTTGTTTGCAAGTTAAGAGAGCAGGTTCAAGTGTTGTTACAGAAGTAGCGTCAGAGTCGACTATTCTATCAGTGGTTTCTGTGAGATGTGCTGTAGATTCCTTAGAATCTGCACCTAATGGGCAGTTTTGCTCGGTGTCCTTCGAGCGTGAGAGGTAAGTTTTTGAACATCGAATGCGAATCAAGTTAGGTTGAGGAGTCTTTGTTGGTTCTGAAGGCGTAGAGATTGTTATAATTGCTTGATATCTTTTGTGTCGTACAAAACTAAAGTTTTTGTACGGAGGGAAAGATGAAAGTCACTTATTTATTAATTTCATCACTTATTTTTTCACGTGGGATTGATGACGCGTACTGACATTGAAAACGTTTCAAGATAAAACCTCCCTCTTTTTCTTTTTTCTTTTTTCTTTTTTCTTTTTTCTCTTTTCTTTATTTTCTCACCTGCTTCTTATTTTTGTTCTTACTACTATGTCCGGAGATATTAAGTATTTAGAGGGTAAGTAAAGCGTAACTCATTTTGAAATACTCTTATTGATACTAAATGCTTTCTTTTTTAAACGCGATTTAGTTGTCTCAGCAAGTATTCAAAAGCTTGCCAAAGAAGATAAAGTTGTCGACTGGGACAAATTTGTAAAAGAGGAAGGAGATTTAATCATCAGTAGCTACAACGGTGACAATTTGAATTCATTTAAAGGCGATTAGAAACAGCGTTTTAAAAACACCTTGTCCCACCTTAACTTACGTATGGAAATCACTTCAGGAGAAAGAAATGCCTGGAAAGATTTAATTACTGATAAAATCAAAGTGCCAAGAAAGTCTCCTGCTTTGTCTTCTGCAAATCAATCTTCAACATCTTCTACAACAAACTCTTCAAGGCATAACAACTTGATAACTAAAGAACAAAGAATCAACGTGTTAAAGTTGTATGATGATTTAAACAATGAAAACAAATGGAAGCTTGCTTGTTCCGGAAGATACGTAGAAGATATAATGAAAGAAGCAGTACAAACAGCCAAATATGAACACCCTTCCGCCTCCTTTATTTTGGATCTTGCCGACACAATCTGGTTAAGCAAGTTCACAAAGGATGAATGTAAAGAAATCAAGTATTTCAATAATAAGAAGCCAGAAAAAATCAAGAAGAATATATTGATTCTTTTGATAAAGAAGAGCTTGAAACTGCTCGTGATTATTATAACGAAGCAAGCAAGAAGAATTTTGGATTTGGTGGACCATATGATCAACGCTGGATTCAACGTTCCATAACTGATGCTGCTGACCCATAACTGATGCTGCTGACCCATAACTGATGATGCTGACCCACAACTGATGCTGCTGACCCATAACTGATGCTGCTGACCCACAACTGATGCTGCTGACCCATAACTGATGCTGCTGACCCACAACTGATGCTGCTGACCCACAACTGATGCTGCTGACCCATAACTGATGCTGCTGACCCACAACTGATGCTGCTGACCCATAACTGATGCTGCTGACCCACAACTGATGCTGCTGACCCATAACTGATGCTGCTGACCCACTACTGATGCTGCTGACCCATAACTGATGCTGCTGACCCACAACTGATGCTGCTGACCCATAACTGATGCTGCTGACCCATAACTGATGCTGCTGACCCATAACTGATGCTGCTGACCCATAACTGATGCTGCTGACCCATAACTGATGCTGCTGACCCACAACTGATGCTGCTGACCCATAACTGATGCTGCTGACCCATAACTGATGATGCTGACCCATAACTGATGCTGCTGACCCATAACTGATGCTGCTGACCCACAACTGATGCTGCTGACCCATAACTGATGCTGCTGACCCACAACTGATGCTGCTGACCCATAACTGATGCTGCTGACCCACAACTGATGCTGCTGACCCATAACTGATGCTGCTGACCCACAACTGATGCTGCTGAACTTTTTGAATTCAACAATATTATAAATTTAGTCGACTTTTCAGAAGAAGATTTACACCACCACGTCTGGCTATTTGTATATACTTGTTTTAGATCTGGGGGGCATTGAAGCAAATCTTGGAGAACGCGGAAGCGTTGCATCCGCTCTTGGAAGAAATGAGAAGAGAGGCTTGGAAGCTGTAGAAAGAAGAGAGAGAAAAGCTCCGGGGGCCAAGGTGGACATTCTTTTTAAGGCAGGAGGTATTAATGAAGTAGGCTGCTCTGAAATTGGTAAAGACAACGTACTAGCAATCGATGACAAATACTTGGATGATGGTATGATTAAATTGCCCAAGACTCTTCGACACATGTTAAAAGAATTGGTGCAAGTAAATCCTTGTAAGATAAACGAGCTATATACCGTGGGATTTCTGATGATGGGTAAGTGGCATGCAGTAGATCATTTTGTTCTCTTATTGACTTTTTTCTTTTTAGGTCTCGAAATGGAGCTCGTAATCATGGATATTCCAGCTGGCAAGACAATAACTAGAATCAGCAGAAGTAAGAGGTACCCTTTTCCTAGCAAAGCTTCTAATATTGTAAAATAAATAAACACCAACTGATGAATGACGCTATAAAACGGGGTGATAAACTACTTTTGTTTTTTTTCAAACCGTACCAAAAGAAAAAAAAAATGCGTGCCCAGTCCAGGTATGGGGAGAGCGCCAATCACACACTTTATATATTTGCCGCTTATCATATTATGTACTCTCTGCACCCCTCCCCCTTTTTTTTTTGAATATATTACACGCCAAGATATCATTAAAAGAAAACCAAGTCAATTTTACAGAACATGCCATGACGGATACCCATATTTATTTACAATTTGGGGCTCTTGAATAAGAGAATACTATTTGCCATAACTTTCTACAGTGCACTTTTAGTGTTTTCGTTTACATCCTTCGAATTCGATTCAAGTGATTTATCTTCCGGGAAGTATAATGACTAGAACTATATTGAATGTAAGATTAATAAAGAAAAAGAAGAATATGCAATATTACCTGTCCATAATAATTTAAACACAAAAGCCACCATAATATATCAAGACTTCTACATGACATGCGCTTCCAGTAGCAAACGGTAACCTCACCAATAATGCATACAGTTATACTACCTTACTTAGGAACTTGATAACTCCACCAATGATGTGCTAAAAAGCCCTTTGTCACTGTAGAGCACGATAATATATTCAGCGTATGACACACACCTGTTCCTCTCTAAATTTTACCTACAGAAATCATAATGTGAATATGGAGCGTCGCTAATTCTTCATGTTAAATGCAGAGTCTTACCAATCCATAATAATATGAACACGAAGGCAATATTAGGATATGATGTGTTCCACGAGACAAGCACATCTACGTATATTGAACCGGGCTCTTGAGTTAGAGAATAATACTTGCTTTTGTCCTGTAATGAAACAAATTGAGTATATCAGTCATGATGAACCGATCATACAAGCTTCCCTATACCTTTTTGGCAACCAGTTATAATTCATAAACCCAATTTGTCAATATAAATCCTTGCCATTTTTGACGTGCATTGATTGCTGACTCTGATTAGAAAAAAAAAACCTCCCTGGCTTCAATAGTTGTCCAACATAAAAATTAGACGTCTAAAAATTGACTGGGAATCGAGCCATTCATACTAATGTCCAATCACAAGATACACTAGAGGTGGTATACTGCTTTTTAGGGTAAACTTGATTTCTTGTATGACAGCAGCGAGATCGAGTCACTCTTTTTAGAATGAACAGCTGGTAAAGTAGTCATTGCATAGCATGGGTTGTAATGTTTCAGCCACATATATGAACAGGGTAAAGGCACGGTGCGACTTTTCTTTTGTTCTGCTATACGAGACGCGTTAATGGCAGTAGTCTAAATCCCTTGTTCACGTAAATGTCTTTAATTGTCTAAAGAAACACTAGCTTTTATAATAGTTACACATTTTATCAGTGATTCAGGCTATATATGTAGGTGTAAAAAAGACACAGAGTCTCTAAAATATAACAGAGCAAAACACACAAACCTTTTTCTATTGCTTGGAGGTGATTTTGTTATTGAGGTGAGCTGTGGTGATTCTTAAGCGCTCTTTGATTTCTAACTTCGTCAAAACAAGAAAAAAGGCTAACATATGCCCGACCCGACACCGCTAAACTTGTAGCAGATTTTAATTGAAGAAAGAGAAGGAAAGGATGCAGTTTTTTAAATGCATCTTTTGCCTGAGTTTTTATGAGTTTGACTTGACTACCTCTGGTGGGGCGCTTCCAGACATGTTTCAAAAAAATCGGGCCATATGATCTACATGACTACCGATATGACTGCCTCTGGGTGAGTGAATGTGTTTGCGCAGCCATAAAAACAAAATACGTTACACAAAACTACTATTTTTCATGCCACAGAAATTGGAGTCTTCACGTTACCCAACCATCTTTTTTTGTCACTCGATGACCAAAGAAAGTTTAGACCTTGGATTGACTAACTTAATTTCCTTCAGGCAACGTTTTTTGATAAAAGACTGTAGTCCATCTTTTTTTTATTACAATTGAGAGAGTCTCATGCTTTTTTATAAGAACAAGTTGTGGGCTACATATTTACACATACAATTTCAAAGGCCAGCATTGACTGTAATAACTATGCCCCATATTACAGTAATTTATCAAATTTTCGGTAAACTAAATTTCTGGCCAAATGTTTTTTTACGATGGCTGTTAATCCTTCCTTATATAGCAGGATCTCTTTGATTTTTTTTACGATGGATGGCTGTCAATCCTTCTTTATTATTTATTAAAAAGAAAAAAAGGTCATGTATAAAGAAAGGTTGTATGTTATGTAAAATCATCTGCATTAAAAACTTGAGAAACTATCTTCATAAGTTGGACGCATTTTACACTCTTTAGCAAAATGATGTCGCAAGAAAAAAAATTAAAGTATCACTCTTTATTAAAAAATAGCAGTGTCGTATGATTTAAAAAAGAGTGTCGCATCCAAAAAAAAAAAAAAAATTGATAAAAGTGTATCTTTATTGGAGGTAGAAATAGACTAAAAGAACTTTGCTGTTATGAACTAATTCGAACATCGTCAATGTCAACATCATCAACATCGTCGGGTAAGGTACGAGATAAAAGCGATTGCTATTTTTTTATATCAACAGTGCTGATAATGATTAGGAATCGTTTCTCATTGTGTGGTATGTATTCTTCAAATTTAATTTGAGCTGCTTGATAAACCGTTATTGTAAGGCTTTCAATTCGCATTCTCTGCCTCTCTGTCCTTTTTGAACATTTTCATGGCAGCCGAGAACAACTTTATGACAGTTAGGTTGTCCCATCGGTCAATGCCGATGTTGCTTTGCTGACCAGACGTCATAAAATGGGCAAAGACAACCAAAGGGTCCAATTCATTGCTATCACAATTGTCAATAATAGGATCGACACTGTTTTTGGTCAGCATGAAGCAACTAGTGGCGAAAAGGCAGCAAGGTGTTTCCAGGTGATATGACCTGCTTTGGATAGGTTCAAAAAGTTTTCCAAGGGGTTTGGATTCATTTTTGAGTAGGATTAGGAAGAAGTGGAAATGCCTTTACACATTCAGGCAGTACTGAACGTCTCGGCACATAAACTCACGTGTCATTGTGTGCTGTATTTCCGCTACTGTAAGGTATAAGTTGGCAAGATTTGCCGAACGAGACAAACAGAGAATGCCACACTCTGTATCATCGATAAACATACTGTCGCCACTTGTGTAGGCTCTTGTAGGAACGCTCAGAAGTGAGTTGGTAATCAGCTCGATAGTAAACTGATTCTTAGCCACGAATTTGCCAATTCGATCCGTACCAGGTTTATAGCAGCATGGCAATTTGTACTGTATAAGCCCTTCTGGTACTAGAAAAAAAAATTGTTTAATTGATTGTTAAGCATATTTATGGAAAACAAAAATAGAGCATCCTATGGAGTTGAGAGGCTTTAGGAATTATGAGCAACCTCTTTTGGAGAATAAATGTACCAATGTATATGCTAATTATGAAAGCTATCATGGACGTTATAACAATTTTACTGAGACGGTAGACCTTAACATTGATGAGACTGGAAGTCAAACTACCCAAAGAACTGATGATAGTACGAGATTTTCTGTCGCAAGTAAAGAATTTCAATAACCCAAGTCGTCATTATGGGAAAAATACTATAGATGGGAGAGGGGGAAGAGTTTTTCCTGTGAGTTTTTCCTATGGTCTTCCCAGAGTAATAAGACCAGATTTCAAATGAAAAATCTTGACGATTTTTAAATTGCCTGGTGAAAACCTATTTCTTGTTTTTTTTTTCGTTTTTCATAATTATTTTCACAATGGAAAATCAATGTAAAGTTCGAACAACTTGAAGCACACCTTTAATATGCGACTCAATTATATCATGTAGTAACCAGCGATAAACTTGACGAGATATTTTCTCGTCTGCGAGGCTCTCAAAACGAGGTAGTTTTAGTTTTGAAATAGCAATGTCAATACCTTTTCTTATTATTGAAGAGATGATTAGGTACCCCAACGAACGAAACCTTCTATTCAAGACGTCAAGAATGAGTTGGAACATACATTTCTTACGCCTAAAAAGAGTTTCCCAACATCCTGGTTAAGCAAATGTCAAGAGTAAAACAAAAACGAAATCGTTAAAGCATCGCGTCTCTGTCTAAACATTTTCATTTATAGACATTGGGAGGAATTGCCCAATTATACCACCAATGCTTATACTCAACTATCCAAATCACGTACCAACATTGAGGTGGCTCGTAAGGGCTGTGATGGAGATATCATTGGTTTCAAAGAAATCATCAGTGACGATCCTAACCTGGCTTCCAATAATTCAACAAGTTTTTCGAGAGCGTTTGGTTCCACCAAAGATTTTGTCAGAGGTTCTGCTTCTCAATTTCCTTTTGCTCCAGGTGGATTAGAAGCTGAGGTAATCGTCGACGAGGGTCTGTTGACCGAGGATGTGGATTTGGACGCAGATATTGACTTTTTCAATTTCGAAGGTATGAATTCGATAAAAACACGTAACCTCAAATCCTAATATAAAAAACCCCGTAGATTTGTCTCTGATCGCACCTGGATTGGACAGAGGATTAGCTTTTGAAGGTACTGTATGAAGAGAAATGAAGGACTGTGATCAAAATGCTGAGTATTGTTTTAGGTGACGAAAATCAAAAAGAATCGTCCATTATCAAGAAAGATAGTTCTGTGTTTAATATCGAGGATATGATGGCACCTATTGATGACACATATGATTTCTTGAATGTCAAGACAAAACAAGAGGAGACTGTTCAAGATATCTCGACAAAGGAGCAAGATACAAAAGGTTACCTTTTTTATTTTTATGCATCAAAATGAACAGTTGAGCTGACAAATCTAAATATAGAATCAGAAGAAGTGGATGCATTTTTACCTACAACATTACCACCACAAAAGGACCTTGTACCCAAAAAACTTGCTACAGCCAATGAAGCTTTGAAGCGACGTGAGTGGGCACATGAAATCAACGTGAATGAGCCCTTTGATAACTTTTACGACTTGGTGCCCGAAATGGCCTTACAGGTAAATATATATAAAATAATGTGTATGGTGGGTTTACTAATGTGTTGGTATTAGTTTCCTTTCGAGCTTGATGTTTTCCAAAAGCAAGCCGTATATCATTTAGAAATTGGAGATTCAGTATTTATCGCAGCTCATACATCTGCTGGTAAAACTGTGGTTGCTGATTATGCTATTGCTTTAGCCACCAAACACATGACGAAGGCCATTTATACTTCACCGATCAAGGCCTTAAGTAACCAAAAATTCCGTGATTTCAAACACACGTTTGGTGAGGATGTGGGAATTTTGACAGGTGATGTTCAAATTCGACCGGAAGCAAGTTGTCTCGTCATGACCACCGAAATTTTAAGAAGTATGTTGTACAGAGGTGCAGATCTGATCCGTGACGTAGAGTTTGTTATCTTTGATGAAGTGCATTATGTGAATGATCTGGAAAGAGGTGTAGTTTGGGAGGAAGTTATCATCATGTTGCCCGCTCATGTCAACATTATCTTACTGTCCGCAACAGTTCCCAACACCAAAGAATTTGCTGGTTGGGTTGGGTAAGTACGCTTTATTTTGCAGCATGTACACAATACTAATGTCTTTGTTTTTCATATAAAAAAAAAGCCGTACCAAAAAGAAGGATATTTATGTGATTAGTACATTGAAGAGACCTGTCCCACTGGAACATTACATTTATGCCAACAAGGAAATTTACAAGATTGTCGGCGCTAACGAAAACAAGTTGAACACGATTGGGTAAATAAGCCATACCCTGGATAATGGGATACATTGATATTAATTTAATTTGGATAGGTATAATAAAGCCAAGGACGCCATGTTGAAGCGTAAAGAACAAGTCGATAAATCGACTGGAAACACTAGTAACGCTCGAGGAGGTCGAGGAGGCCGCGGAGGAGCTGTGGCTCGTGGCGGTGGACGCACCGTCACCCGAAGCTATCAATCCGGCATGCAAACTGTAAGTTCCATCATGACTGATATACGTCTTTTTATTTAACCACGGTTTTTATAAAGGATCGTAATTTGTTTGTTCATCTTATTGGTATGCTTAAAACCAAAAGTTTGTTACCTGTTGTTATCTTCACATTCTCCAAACGTCGATGTGAAGAATACGCCACAGGCTTATCCAAAACAGATCTATGTAGCAGTTTAGAAAAAAGTGAAATACATGTGTTTATAGAACGTAGTTTAGTCCGACTTCGTGGATCAGACAAGCAATTACCTCAAATCTTGCGTATGAGAGACTTGTTATCACGTGGTATTGCTGTACATCACGGTGGTCTTTTACCCATCATTAAGGAAATTGTCGAGATTTTGTTCGCAAGAGGTCTTGTCAAGGTGCTCTTTGCTACAGAAACATTTGCCATGGGTGTGAACATGCCTGCCAGATGCGTTGTGTTCTCAGGTATTCGTAAACATGACGGTCGTAGTTTCAGAGATCTTTTGCCTGGTGAGTATACGCAAATGTCAGGTCGTGCAGGTCGTCGTGGATTGGATAGCACTGGTGTGGTCATCATTGCCACTGGTGGTGATGAGCCTCCCGAAGTGCCATGTTTGTCCACCATGTTGTTGGGTAAACCCACCAAATTAGAGTCCCAGTTCAGGTTGACATACAACATGATTTTGAACCTGCTTCGTGTAGAAGCCCTCAAAGTCGAAGAAATGATCAAGCGTAGTTTCTCCGAAAACAGCACACAAAAGTTATTACCCGATACTAAGCGATTAGTGGATGAGAACGAACAAAAACGTAGTGCACTTCGTCAATTGGACTGTGCTATTTGTGAACCTGATCTTGAAAAGTTTTACGATATCTGTGGTGAAGTAGTTCATCTGAACCGTTTGATGATGACCCAATTTATTACCATGACACCCGCAGGTAATCGTGCTTTAAGCACAGGACGTCTTGTGATCATCAATACCAACGTGTATAGAAATGCACCTGCTGTTATCTTGAAACCTTTGCCCGTCAGCACTACTAACTCACAACATCGATCCTTCTACTGCTTGGTGCTTTTACCCAAGAATTTGGATATTAGTAATTCGTTGAATTTGGATGAAACTGCGCCTTTACCCATCACGACGATCTGCACTCCTGAGGATGGTCAAGGAAAGACCGAGATTGTGACAGTAGGAGCCCCTGATATTTTGTTTGTTACTCGTTTGGCCATCAAAGCCGATGTGGATGCAGTTATGGCAGGTACAGATTCGCTTGAGACGGTGCGTATTGGGCAAGAACTTGAATCGTTTGGTTTGGATGCCAAACGTGGTGGTTTAATGGAGTACGATTGGAGCAAGATTAAGGATATGGAGTTCCAAGAAATGTTACGATCCAAAAACGGTTTGACAAGACGACTTCGCACAGAGTTCCAATGTACAAAATGTCCTGAACTGGATGAGCATGTAAAGTATAAGCTAAACGTGTGCTTTTTTTTGTCTTCAAATGGTTTTTATTGAACTCCTTTTTATTTTGTAGTATGGATTGATTCATGCACATAAACGTTTATCCAGCCAAATCGATATGTTGAATATGACAATTTCAGATCAAAACCTCGAATTACTTCCTGATTACCATCAACGTATTGAAGTATTGCGCTTATTGAATTATATTGATGATCAGGGCACTGTTCAATTAAAGGGACGTGTTGCTTGCGAGATCAATTCGGCCGACGAATTACTATTAACCGAATTGGTATTGGATAACGTCTTTGCGGATTATGAACCTGCAGAAGTAGTGGCGATTCTCTCTTGCTTTGTCTTTCAGGAACGTAACGCCAGTGAGCCCAGATTAACCCCTAAACTCACGAAAGGTAAGGAAGTAGTTTTGACGTACGCTCGTAAGATTGCTCAGCTTCAAGTGGATTGTGGGCTTGCGATCTCTGTTGAGGATTATGCCAATAATCTTCGTTTTGGTTTGGTTGAAGTTGTGTATGAATGGGCAAGAGGTTTGGTAAGTGGTATGATAATTGAACGCATTTTTAAATATACCTGACATGTTTTTTTTCTTGCTAGCCTTTCAAGCATATTACAGATTTGACGGATGTATTGGAAGGTTCGATTGTTCGCTGTATTAGTCGATTGGACGAGACTTGTAGAGAGGTGATGGGTGCTGCACGTATGGTGGGCGATACCAACCTCTATAAGAAGATGGAGCAAGCTGAGCAAGATATCAAACGTGATATTGTGTTTGCAGCAAGTTTAGTAAGTTTTTTATTATTATTCCTGTGAATATTTCCTTTCTTACTAACACGTTTTTTGTTAAACAGTATTTTTAAAAAGTAAACAAAATAAACTTTTTGAATAATGTTGTAGCATGTAAAATTTTTTTTATTAGATATTTATAGTGCTAACTTTCATTTTGAGATGTTGGTGCCTTCAAATACCAAGTGGGTTTCTATAATAAAAAATTGTTAGTTTCAATGTATCGCGGATAAAAAGTACATGTCGCATATTTACTGTGTCGGATCCACGCTTTTCCTTAACAGCGATATTTTTGATCTTTGCTTCTAATTGTCTCTTGGATACATCTTTTAGCAGATGATTGGATTTGGCTTCTGTGATTAGACTTGGGATAGAATCCAACGATTTCTCATTGATGACCTATAATTTTTTTTTTTTTTGTTCATTAGGATAAAAAATCTTCGGATGTTTCACGGTAGACTTACGTTTATCAGCGCGTTGGTTCTTTCGTCTGTAAAATGTGTTGTTTTAACTTGTGTAGTATTGTTGGCTGTTGTTGGTGCCACTGTGGAAGGGGTAATAGTCGGTGCTCTAGCGACAGGTTCTTTATAAAATGGGTTATAACCTTCTTCAGACGTGTCTTTTTTTTTTTATGAAATCCATTAGTTTAAATATTTTACACAGAATGAAAGTGGCTTACCAACAAAAAAGTTTGTTTCAAATGGCTTTAAAAGATCATCATGGTCGTTGCCTTCAAAGAAGGGACCCAGAACGATTTTTCTGACAGCAATTCGTTTATTGGTAGACAGAGTTGAAGCTTTGGCAATGCCTCTATCATCTTCATCTTCACCCTCCACACCTTCATTATCTGATAGATAACCTTCCGGTACCAGCCATCCAGCATCTTCAGGGTCAATCATATCTGCGTTGGGATCGTCCTCATCCTCATCACCACTGACGATATCCTCGCCTTCGCCCTCAGGCTCCCATTCGGCTTCACTGTCAATGTCATAGTCTAATTTATCATCGTGTATAAATGGACGTCTACCAGAGACGCGATTACTTCTTTGGGTAAAGGTACCATAATATGCGGGTCTAACATTTTCGGAGAAGTGCAGTAATTTCATGCGCAAGATTTGTCGTACATTAGGTACGCGTAAGATATCTGCAGAACCCGGTAATAACAGAGTGCGTATGTCTAAATGAGTGGAAAGACCACGTCTTTGTCTAGTATCGGGAGAGAGCTGATCTACGAAATTACGTTTGGCAGTAGATTTAGGTACGGATTTGGATTGATCGATAGAGTTTTTGAATTGGATGTAATCGGATTCTGTACTAGGTGGAAGAGCGCAATGATGTTTATCGACTATGGTGACATTATCTTTGATATAAAATGCGGGGAATAAGGTAGGGTTGACAGGTTCGAGTAATTTCTCAACATAGGGTGCAGTTTCCACCACGGTTGTCTTTGCAAATAATGAAGTGAGACGCAATTGAGACTGAGAAGAGAGTTTTAATCGTTGTTTCTAACAAATATACATATTTCTATTTTTTACCTGTTCCTTTTTCTTTTTCTCTCCCTCGCGCTTTTTCTTTTCTTCTTCGCGCACCCGTTTCTCTTCATCCTTGACTCTCTTTTCCTCCTCACGTTGTTTCCTCTTTTCTTCCTCGCGTTGTCTTCTCTTTTCATCCTCAAGTGCTTTCTTTTCATCAAGTATTTTCTTTTCCTCGTTTTTCTTTTTCTCTTCTTCCCTTTTTTTACGTTTTTCTTCCTCAGAATCTGCCTGTTGTCTATATCGTGTCTCCTCGGGCTAAGTAAAAGAAGAACTTAGTATCTAAAAAAAAGTATCTCACGTATAAAGTTTTACATCTTTGTGTGTTGAAGGGTTTTTGCGGTGTTTCGTATTTACAATCGTGGATCGTTCTGCTGGCGGCAAACTTTGAATAAATGTGGTGAATACGTCTGTCATCTAGAAATTGTAAAAACATTTTAGTTTGAAGTAATTTAATGATACAAATGATAATTATTACATATTTTCGGTTTTGTCTTCGTAAGATGACGACTTGCTGCATATCCGGTGGAAACATATTTATATCTTTGACTTCCCATCTACCGATATACAAATGCTAATTAAAGAGTAAGGGTATCAGAGAGAGAGGGAGAGAGATAAATATCAAACATTTTGTTTTTAGCTAACCCAAGGAATTTTTGGTGCAGTGTGTTCTATTTTTGCATAAACCTCTTCTGTTAATCCATAATTGACTTTTTGAGCGACTTTTTTTATAGCTTTTTCAATGGCATATTCGAATTTATGAGCGTCTATTTAAAGAAGATATAAATAACATGGGTTAAGATCAAATGAAGCGGATATTACCGGCTTCACTTCTCAAAAATGGAGATAATAAATCGTCAATGCGTGTGGAAAGGGTGGTGAAGGGTTCTTCGCTGTCTTGAACCAAAGCTGCTATCAAGTCCAAAAATTCGGGAGGTACTTCCACCGACTGCTGTGTCAAGTTACCGCCTGCCTCTAACTTTGCTCTGTGTTTTCTATAATATATTATTTCTACATCAAAAAAAAAAAATTGTTTAGATTGTCAATCAACATGCTTAGAGGAACTGAAGCTTACTTTCTGCGACTGCGAGATGACTTTCTGCTCTTAATTTGGGTTCATTAAAAAATAATTTGCCATCCTTCAAGTAATTACACACAAAGGTATTATCAGGCACTTGCACTAGAAAGACAACAAAGAGAGAGAAAAAACGTCAACGAATCGATCCCTTTAAGGGTAACAAAAATATGTTCTCTGTTCATTTACAAGTTTCCATCTTTGCTGATATGAATTGTATAGGAGCAATCTCCATGTTTCCCATTTCTGTATCCAGATTCATCTATTTTTGTGTTGCCGCGTTCAAGAAAGAAAAAAAAAACTCGAATTTGGGGTTGGTTTTGTAAAAAGCGCGTTATCCAAATCCCCGTGTTTGGAAAAATACGGTCACAGGAGGTAGGCTCCACTTTGACACACGGTCAACTCTCTCTCTTTAGTTTTTTTACTTTAAACAATGAGCGAAGAACGACCATCAGTGGAACCAGAGCAAATCAAGCAATTGCTACAAGCAAAGAATAACGTAAAAATAATAATATCTTGTCCATCTTATTTTTTATTAAACTTAACTTTCCTTAGAAACCACAACATCATACCAAGTATGACTATTATAAGTCAGAAACCTTAGAATCCGAGATCAACGAATTCGTATCCTACTCTGAGGTCAGAATAGATCTTAAACAGTATGAAGAAGAGTATAACGAAACTTTTCCTTGTAAATAAAAAAAAACATTATAGTGAACACTTCTTAAAACTGACTAATGACCCCCCATTAATAGCTTGGAAGGAAAGTACTTTACAAGAAAAAAAGAGCATAATACAACAAGCAACAGACTACCTCGACCTTTTAGAAGAAGATAAGCGCATTTTTGCTGCGAAATCTCTCGTGTATATCTCTTTAGGTATGTCATAGTACTATAACAATGAAACCTGTATTAACCAGTGTCTTTCAAATGTTAATCAGGAAGCTACGGTGAATTCATGGGCGAACAACGGAAATCAAATCATATTACAAGTATGGAAGAAAACAACCGACTATTATATGATGCTGATATTATAAGTACATTAAAAAAGACCTTGGACTATGGATGCAATCAGCTAGAGAAACTATCCATGTAATATCTTCATCTTGTATACCTTTTATTTTGCCTTTAACCCTTCTTTTCGCAGTACGTGTCAAACAGATCTAGTGGAAGCGTATTGCAAAGAGATTGATATTTACCTCACCATCTTGTTTATGATATTCGAGTTCAACAAAGACAGATCATTAGAAGAATACCAATTACCCGAGTTTCTTTTCGATTTAGTCGTCAGATTAAAAGAGCACTTTACAAAGACATTTCCCTTAAAAAAGTTAATGTCAACCCTTTTCAAGATACTATCAATTACTCTGGGTGAATTAAATGGCTCTTATGCAGATATAAAATCCGATATTCGAACTGTTTGCGATTTACCTATTATCACTGATAAGGCATCTACCGTCAAATGTACTCCTGAAGATCTATACACATTTTATCACCAATCTTGTGAGCGATACCCTTCTTTTACACCCACCACACCACCAAAGAAAATTGCCAATCCTTTGACCGTTACTGCGTCGACCCAGTTATCCAAAGCTATGGGAATTTACAAGGCCTCCAAACACATTGATTTGCCTTACCAGACTTTATTTCCCTCTAAAAACCAACCTGCGCCACATACCGTGATGAACAAAACAAGACCAGTGGAAGTGACCAATGTCTTGCCGTTCACAGCAGGTAGTAATGAAATGTCACCTAAAAGTCTTGTGGAGGCAAGCTCTGTATGGATGGAACATTTGTATATTTCCGTAGCTAACTATCAAATTATTCACGAACGAGAGAATGCCATTCATCGATGGCAAAAATGGTCAAAAAAGGACGCTGAGTTTACGGATGAGTGGAAGGCTTTGATATACGATCAACTTGAAGGTGACAAACGTCAAAAGATGAATCGAATCGAACAATTGTATACCTCTATCGTACCCAACTTTCAAAGTATTGTTGTGGTTCTGCTCAAACTCTTGCTATCCACAGTTTCGATCGGCAAGGATAAAGAAGCGGAAATTCTGGAAGATATCAATATTACCCGTAACAGAGAAACCATCTCGAAAGCTGTTTCGGGTATCTTGCTATTGCTCTTGAAATGGTTCAAGACGTCTCGTAGGTAGACTGATTTTAGAATGTGCCAACACATATTTTAATATTTTTATAGATGTGTTAAAGTTTGAATATTTATCGCAAATACTGATCGATTCGGGCTGTATGTTGCTGATTTTAAAACTACTTGGACTGCAAGAAGTCGCCTTATTAGCGTCAAAAAGAACTGATGACGATAGTCAAAGGTAAACAAATGTAAATATGAGGGGCTGTATGACAAATTTTTACTGATTCTTTCTTACTAGTTTCTTTGGATATGTTCAACGCGTCAACAATGATATCACAAACATATTCGAGGATGTGGAAGATGAAGAAGAAGAAGAAACTTATACAAACGAACGAAATTTGTGCTGGTCCATCAATTTACTGAGAATACTTCAAATGCTGACAAAAAAAAAGACACATCGTGTATTGTTACTAGTACAATATAAATCATCAGCCATCCTGAAGCGATTATTGAAGGTGGGCCATCCTGTTATGGACCTGTATGTACTGAAGAATCTTAAGAATCAGATTCCATACATGGGAAGAAAGTGGCGATCATGTAAGCAAACAAGAAGCTATTTTTTTTTATATAATTTCTTACTAATGTATTGTTTTGATAGCTAATATGAAGACAATCTCCGCTATTTATGCTCGTTGCTTGACGAGCCTAAATGATGATTGGCTCTCAAGTCCAGAAGGCAACAGTGATATGGAGGAGGGTGCGGTACGTATTTATTTTCTGCAAATGATAATCGGGGAACTGACATACAAAAAATAAAGATGAAGGAAGTCAACCTTCGTCTAATTTCGAGATTGTATAACGGGCAGCGATACTTGCCTGATATATTACCCAAGATGGATGAGGTGTATGGACCGGATAGCACCTTGTTTTACCCGAACAAGAACACAACAAACAACAATTATGAACAACAACAACAGCAACAGCAACAACAAAAGCGACATCTGCCCGAATATAATTTAAATGCGGTCATAGTGGATGATGTAGATTTGGATCCAAACTTTAAAGAGGATTATCGAAACTGGTTGGAAAACACAATTTACTCTACTACAGACGATGAAGATGATGATGAATCAGAAAGTAATCCTGAGCATACGTGGAGCATTGGTACTCCACTTCCTGATATAATACCCACACCCATAACAGCTGATGATTTGGCACGAGAAATTAACAAATTGTATATGGAGGAATTACAGCGTGAATTTATCGAGAAACAGCAAAAGTTGGAGGTCAAAGAGGATGAAACGGATGGCTGGGATAAACCTACTATCGTTAAAAATCCATGGGGAGACATTGATTTTGAGAATACGGGAGAGACTAAAACTAAAGAGGTACCGTTTGACGATGATGATGATGATCCGGATGAGATTGAACCCGAAGTCGATCCTTTACAAGGCATTAATTGGGGTAGTCTAACCGAAGAAGAACTCACACAGAGACTAAATCTTGTTCAGGAAAAGACCGTACAAAGATGGCTTAACGTCGATATGGATGACCCTCGCTATCTAAAAGTACTCAATACGTTTGAAGGTGAAGTATTAGAAGATGATGACGGTTGGCCAATCTAACCACTATCACATGCCAAATAAACCTTCTTTTTTTATCTCCGCCTCGCATAAAAACTTTACAAAATTCCGTTTTCCTTTTTTACACCTTTGTTTCTTTACCTCTCACTATCATGTCAGTAATAAAAATACCCATTCTAGATCGCTTGACATTCAGAGATTACCAAAGGTAAAAACAAACCACAATGGCAACACGATTTAAATAAAACATGCTAATTGACTAGTGCAGTTTGATCTTCACTATTCTCTTCTTTCTGTTTGAGAGCATCATAAGAATTATTGTCATGATTATGCCAAAGTTTCTAATTCAAATAATTAATGCTGCCATTGGCTCGTAAGTTGTTCTATTAAAAAAGCAAGCGAGAAACGTCTTGTTTACACCGTCTCTATAGTGTATTCCCTTGGTTATCTCGGGCTGAAAATGAGCCACATGTAAGCCCACTGGAAAAAGCAGAAGGTTTCGAGCGAATGGTCAGACACTGGTAATATATATATTGTCATTTTATTATATTTTAAACAAACAAACAAAAATACGAATGAACTTAACACGGGAAACAGGAAAAACTATAATTGCGAACAGCATATTGTACGTACACAAGACGATTACCTTTTATGCGTACACCGTATTCCATCTGTGAAACCTCAACATTATGACAACGTAAAGCGGAATAAAGAATTTCAGTTTAAAGAAGGCATCGAAGTAGTGGATAACCTGCACAAGTTCATGCAAGAAAAGAGACCGAGAGAGAAGGGTGAATATAAGGGGAAACCCGTGGTCTTACTATACCATGGCTTTTTGATGTCGTCTGAGGTCTGGGTATCCAATACTGAGGAATACAGCAATTTACCGTTTATTCTGGCAAAACAGGGTTATGATGTTTGGCTTGGTAATGCGCGTGGTAACAAGTATTCTCAGTACCATGTTCATATCAGTCCCAATCATCAATCATTCTGGAATTTCTCGCTAAACGAATTTGCAATGCGTGATATGCCTGACACTGTTGATGTAATATAAAGCACATTGTAAATCCTTGAATCACCAGACTAATACGTCCTTATTTAGTATATTTTGGCAGAAACAGGTGCTCCCAATTTAACTTACATTGGATTCTCGCAGGGTACTGCTCAGGCATTTGCAGGTCTGTCAGTCAATTCAGATTTAAACAGCAAAGTCAATCTGTTTATTGCCATGGCTCCAGCAACAACTCCTAAGGGTTTACAGCACCCCTTAATTGATGCTTTTGTCAAAGCAACACCCAGTGTGATATATCTCATGTTTGGAAGAAAGACACCTCTCAAATTAGCCCTGTTCTGGCAACGTATTATTAGCCCTCCTCTCTTTGTGAAAGTTATTGATGCAAGTGTTAGATTCCTGTTTGGATGGACGGGAGCCAACATGACTAGCGATCAGAAGGTCGTTAGCTATCAGCACCTGTACAGTCTGACCAGTGTTAAGTCTCTAGTGGTACGTAGGAACACATTTGCAGAATTTTGTATGTGTATATACTGACCATTTATATTTTTTTTAAATAACAATAGCATTGGTTCCAAATCATTCGAACTGGACAGTTCCAAATGTATGATGAAATGCCTAGCCGACTTCCTTATCACACAGTTAATTCTGTTGAAGATCATATACCACCTCGGTTCCCTACACTTCAGATCACAACCCCCATTGCTATATTTTACGGACGTTCTGATTCGCTTGTAGATTTTAATGTATTATCAGCAGACCTGCCTTCGCCTTTAGCCTACGTCAAGTCCATCGAAAAATGGGAACATCTGGACTTTTTATGGGCAGAGGGTATCGAGAAAATTGTATATCCTGATGTTTTAAAGCTGCTGCAAAAATTCAATCCTCACTCTAGTTCTCAAGTAAAGGAAGGTCATAAGAATGATGATATAGAAGAACACGTTTTATTATCATAAATAAAAGAAACAATATTGGGAGTGATTTATATGTAATTAGAGTATGTGCTAGGATGAATTGCTGGTTTTTTTACCGCTTCAGTATAATTATTGTCGTTGTTATGGTAAGCATGTGATGCATTACTGTTGAATGCATCATCATGCATGTCCTCTTGCATCGGTAAATGCGGATCATTTAGGCCCTTATTAAACGATTCTTTTTGTTCGCTGCTATTGTAGGTCGAATCACCCTGGTTGATAGCATTGGAATAAATGACCTTGTTGTTATACACAGACGTATCAATGCCATCGTTATATTCATGCGGTTTATTATAACTGGTGGTGGCCGGGGTGGTGCCGGTAGGAGCGTTTATGGTATTACTATATTGTTGTTGGTATTGCTGTGAGTAATAATAGTCATTTGTGGACTCTTGTGTGTAGGCACCTGCTGGTTGATACATCTGCGACTGATACGATGCATCATTATAAGGGCTGTATTTGGTTGGATTTCTTGTCAGAGAGTAAGAAGATTCCAAGGGTGTCATAGGCTGACTGTCATAATAATTACCGAACGAATGCTGCTGTTGAGGTTGTTGGTACAGCCAAGAGGCGTCAGTCTTTTCGCCAGCGTAAAGAGCGACATTAGGAAGTGTAGGTAACGCAGGTATCGTTTCGTCTATTGGCTGTTTATTGTTCTTCTTTTGCGATTTGCTCTTTGATTTCTTGCTACTGATACTGTTAGAGTATTTCTCGCGTTCTCTCAAGCGTTTTTTACGTTGTTTTTCTAATAACTCGTCGATACTTGTGATTTATATGAGTAACATTCCTTTTTTCTTCTTCTTTTACTAAGCTTACCGCTTGTCAATTTTGTGGCAGCAGTACTCCTTGAGATTACCTTGAATTTGGCAAAGAATTGGAAAATATAGGAATACCGCGAGCACAATCTGAATAGCAGAGATGACCCATAAAATACAGGTAAAACTCATGAGAAACAAAGCAACTCGTTGGGGCCAATCTTGGCCATATGTATCCCAATCAGCAGAAAATTGAAATGAACCTGTCCAAAAGAATTTAATATGGGCGAGTGAATGAAAGTGCAGATAGTATATTTGTTACCATTTTCTGCTGTCCAGGCCGACTTTAGCAAAGCGTAGACGGTAACGCCAGCAATAATTTGTCTAGGACCTTGGGCAATAATGACTCTCTTCCAAGCTATAATAAAAAGATAAATGCGATTTAATATAAATCATGCGACCTCCCCTTTACTAGAATACATGTTTTTTTTACTTTTTAGGGTATAAAAGACATAAAAAATAATCACATCACTCCATTTTGTCGAACTTTTAATTTTCTGTAAAAGGCAAAAATGACTGTAACTCTTGATAGAATACGTTCGATAAGCTAATGGATTCGTTACCGCTAGAGAAATATCTCTAGTTTCCATTACTGTTCTAGTCTTTCTGATCTCCCACGCCAATAACATAAAAGAGATGACAATACAGCCGACATAAATCCATTTACTGATATAAAACGGAATTTTTGGCTGTGTTGAAAGTGACCAGTGCTAATTATAAAAATAAAAATATATTAGCCCTATTATTTTGAAATTAAACTCTAAAAATTTACATCGTAAATTAGCAAAATGCCAGCAGACCATAAATCAGCACCATAAACAAGTGTGGATACAACTACTGAGCATAGCAAAATGAGGTAACGGATGGATAAAAGACACGTTGTTTCTCGAAACGCTTCCACATCCATGAAATCAAATTTATGATCCGAGACCAGCTCACGTTTCCATTTGGGTCCTTTGGCTTTCTGCAGCATCAAACTAGCTCTTTGATATGTATTATTAGCCATAACAAAAAAAAAGAGAGGGAGAGAGAATGAGAGAAAGAAGAAGAAAAAACGTCTCTGTGTGTGTGTTTTACTATATAACTCAATACCTTTATTCGATTTTTTTATCTCTGTTTAACGTAGCACCATAATTATGAATGTGCTACCAATGGGGACAATAAGCTCTTTTTAAAAGTTGTAGGCAAGCTTGCATTTTTTGTCAGTTCTGGTCGTGTTACAAAGTGGTTGTTGATGTCGACGAATAAAAGTGCCGCTGCAGCCTGGTTGACTCTTTTAATCTGCGCTTTTTCAGTCACCAAATTACACCTTATTTCTTGGCAACTATCAAATAAATGAACACAAGTACGCTCTACTATGCAACAGGGCAATTAAGTTTCTGTTAAAGCAGAAAATACGGCGATTAATTGGGAGGGATATTTTGATCCTTTCAACATCGCATCTTTAATAAAGTTGACCCAGTATCAGAGGTTCTCCAGCAATCAGATCATGAAATGAAAGAACAGCTGTAGAAATACAGAAATAAAGAAAAACAAGACAAATTATAGTGCATATTCGAGCACTTTTCTATTCTTTCAGCAGAATAAAACTGCTGAAAGTTACCCATGCATGGTTTAACGTGCGCACCGGGCAAAAGATTGAATATCCGGAAAAAAAAAATACACCAACACGGTCAACCGTAAGGAATCTCAGCTAGAGCATAAGCAGCATCTCCTTGAGTTTTTTTGTATAGAATCCTCAGTCAACTAAACGCGATGCAGTCGTTGGTTTGAATAAAGCTTTTAAATGATCCAATCTGAAAAGAGAACAGTTGGTGATTTTATCTTACAAGGTTACAGTTTGATTATCAAAAATTCACTCTTCAACCAATCAATAAGAATAGCCCTAATACTTGAATAAGCTATATGACTGTGTTATGTCTGGTCTTATAATGGGCATTAAGTTTCTAAGTAAATGTGTTTGTGTAGATGAGGCAGCCTTCAATATAAACATGAGAGCCAATTTTGTCGATCAGTTTCAAGTAATCCAATATTTAGGCTGATCCATCTACTCGTGTTTCTTAAGCTGTATTGAAAAAATATCCATACTTGAGTTAGTCAATGTTGATATAAAGAAAGCGACGGGTCTCGTTGCTTCTTATACAAATTCCTTTGTATGTTGAGAGAAGGGTTCAGTTATAAAAAGTCGGTGTAGGTGAGTAAAACAGGTTCTGAGCTCCTCATCACGGATGTTGGATTTCGTTGAAGTGGCAAAAGAAGAGGCTATAGGAACTTTATCATAAAATTGTTTATCGAAATAAATAAAAAATTAAATCAGTTACTGATTTAATTTTTGCAACTATTTGAAAGGTCGGTTCGCTTTCTTGATAGCTCATCCGACTGAAAAGAAGAACTTGGGATTTATAAGGTAACGCTGTTTCCTCAGTATGGCAATTTAAAAGAAACCCTTATTCGGGGCTTTGTCGCTGTGCCAATCAAACATACTGTGTTACATCTAAAACTATGTCATAATAATGAAGCAATTAGACAAACAATAAGCATCCCCTTATACATCAAGCTTACTATATGTACGTTTATTAAGAAGGAAGAGTTTATTTTATAATCAAGTTAAACGAATATTTAAAGTAGATTATATAAAATCGTTCAATCTTATGAAATCGATCCCCAAATACTTCATTTTAAGGTCGATACAAACTCAGGTGACATTGAGCTGTCTTCAGCTCCGTGATTAAGACTCAGTAACGAAAGTGTCTGTGCTTAAGCCGACTTACAAAAAAATCACATGTTGTTTTTTTATTTATTTTTTAATATATAATCGTACTTCCTATTTGACATTTTTTCAGCTTTCTTTTTTTCTTTGCTTAAATCAAACTTTGTACGATGGAATATGATTTGATTATTGTGGGTGCTGGTGTGGTAGGCTGTGCCGCTGCAAGGGCATTTGGAGAAGATGGACGTAAAGTGCTCTTATTAGAACGTGACCTGTCTGAGCCGGATCGCATTGTAGGTGAGCTAATGCAACCAGGTGGTATGCAAGCTTTAGAAGAACTAGGCATGAAAGGTAACAAAAAAAAAGTGGGTTTAATGAAGATAAATATTCAACTTAATAAATAATAATAGATTGCACCGAGAACATTAATGCTGTGAACTGTTTCGGCTATGGTGTCTACCGAAATGGACAATACGTTGAGCTTCCTTATACAGATAACCCAGCCAGTGGTAAGCAGTACCGTGGTGTCTCGTTTCATCATGGTCGTTTCATCCAAAGCTTACGAGCCTCTGCCACACGTACTGCTAACGTTACGGTGCAAGAACGAACAGTATCTCGCCTGATTGAAAAGGATGATAAAGTTATAGGGGTAGCTACGATGCAAGGGAAGAAAGAAGAGGAATTTTATGCGCCGCTTACGTTAGTTGCGGACGGGATTTTCTCCAAATTTCGAAAGGAGTTCACTGATATACAAACCGACGTAATGTCCCATTTTGTTGGCTTTATTATTCACGATTATCAGTTACCATTTCCACAAAAGGGCTTTGTATGTATCGCCAAACCATCACCCATTTTGATGTATCAGATTAGTGAACATGATACCCGTATTCTTGTGGATGTTCCCGGTCGAGACTTACCGAAATCTGGCGAGCTTAAAAAGTATATGGAAGAAATTATCTGTCCTCAAATTCCTAGCGATATGCAAGCCAAATTTATGGAGGCGCTTCAAACAGAACGCTTACGGCCTATGCCTTCAGGTTTTTTACCACCGACCATCAACCAACGTAACGGCACTATTCTTTTGGGCGATGCGTTAAATGTAAGATCACCGCTGACAGGTGGTGGGATGACAGTGGCGTTGAGGGATGTGATCACATGTCGGGAATTATTGTCAAGAGAGAATATTGCATCCTTTGAGGACTCTGATCTAATTTTGCAAGCTATGGGCGCATTTCACTGGAAACGCAAACGTTACTCAACCTGTATAAATGTGTTGGCTATGTCGTTGTATGCACTATTTGCAGCTCAGACACCCGAGATGCTGGTGCTTCAAAACGGCTGTTTTGAATATTTCAAGCTGGGAGGTGATTGTATTGATGGTCCTATTGAACTCTTATCAGGCATTCGACAATCACCATTATCATTGATTTATCATTTCTTTCGCGTGGCTTTCTATTCTATTCACATCATGTTTCAAACTGGCACCATCTATCATAACCTGATTCAAGCATGGTCTGTTTTTTATACAGCCTGTGTTGTGATCTTGCCCTTTCTATGGGGCGAGTTCAAGCTTTAACATATATACCCCCCCCCTTATAATAAAATCAGGCCATTTTTTTTTTACATGTGATTTATAATTAAAATGTCGTTGATCCAGAAATAAGGCGTCGCTTGCCGAGAAAACTATTTCGCAACTAATTTTTTATCGAATAGACAAAGCTTTAACGACAGGTTGGATTTGTTGAAAAAAATAGATCATCATTGTAATGTTTAAAGATTTTGTCAGACTGACAGAGGAATTCTTATTAGTGGAATCAGCAACTGTAATTATATCTTCATCCAAGACTTGAGAAGGAGCATTAGGATGTGTGCCCATCTAAAGCCGGGCATAAGGCATAGAAGCAATAATATCAGTACCAGAAGACTTAGCGTGTGCAGCAAGCTCGGATAAATCACCAGTGATTTCCTAATAACAATTCATTGTTTTTCTAATATAAATAATAAACCTATGTTTTTTCTAAAAGAGAAGACAGAATGTACAAAATTTTGGAACATTCTAGTCATATCGCACTTTACTTAAAGAAATTGATCCTCGCCACTTGTATTATTAACAGTACTCTTCTCTTCGCATGTTCATCAATGTAATATTTTATATTCAGACGGTCTGTCCTGTATTATTTATGCCTGGGCACGCTACCTTAAAAACAGTGGCCCTTTCCCTTAACCTTGTTCCTCATAAAATCGATGTAAATATAAAAGCGAGAAGAGCAAATATGAGCAATAAATAAGAAGGATAAGGTTAAAAACACAGTGGATCAATTACGAATTATTATAAATTATGGATTTTTAATTCAGAAAAAGGAAAGGTATTTATAGGAAAGATCACGCTCTGTGTAACGTCAAGCCATATCAGATTGGTTGCAACAATAGCCTCGTCTCTTTTGTCCGCTGTCTTTTGCATCTTCATTGCTTTTTCGTTTCCTTGTGTTAAAAAAAATCAAATTGCTTTTGTTCATTTGCTCAACTGGATATTCAGTGACCCTAACATTATCCAAGCAATTCTTAACTTCATGTTCGTGGATCTTCTCTCGCAGACGTGGGATCAAAGCCATTTAGAATTCCTATATTGATATAAAAGATGAAAAAAACTGGTAAATAACCTGAGTATGTGTAGGATATGAAATGTAAAAGCGGTCACCTTAAACCTAAAAAGCGATGTGATCAGAGTTTTTAAGCAATTAAGATCATTAAACTTCAGCGGAACAACAATGGTGGAGTGAGGTGTCGCTACAAAGTAATCATCGTGTTTCTTTAACTGGTATAGGTACCCATTTGTGCCTATTTTTAACAACAAAAACCTTAATACGCATGTAATCATGTCACCTTTCATTTAAAAACACTTACCAATCATGTCTATTGCCATAATTGTATCAAATGATGGTCCATATTGGGCTTGTAGGCTGTCCAGAATCAATGCATTTACACGAAGGTTCTTCGATTGCTGCTTAATTTTTAATTCGGCGTTTACTTTACTGCGCTTCCATTCATTTGAGCACAATTCAACAGTCTTGCGATCATTGTACTTAAGAATCAGATCAATTTTCCTTGAGTACGTGGGTGATACATCATCGACATTGAACAACCGTTTATTCACTTCAATGGGGACACGGGAGCTATCACAGGCGGTCTCGCCACTAAGAAAGAGGTTAAATAATGATAAGATAAACTGCACATTTTTTACGTTTCAATATAATATATGGATGTACTCACTCAGCCAGCTTAATTTCGCTTTTGTTAAACAGCGAGTCCAGCAGGCTTGCAAATCGGCGGTAATATGTAAGCTCTTGCTCATCCTGTTCAGTGGACCATCTTTCTGTATCCTCGATGCTGTTATGGAACAGTAATAATATTATGATTAACAAAGGAGTAATACATCGCCATTATTTAATTATAGCACTTACATTTTTTCAGAGATTGACAACATTGTTTGTGTAATCCTGTGATTATTAGAGTCCAACCACACCTATTTACAGGCTAATTCCTGCTATGTACATAAGCATCAGGTTGCATTCCTTTCCCTGACTCAGAAAAGCTTTTTGGTTCATATGAACGCAAGCATATCATCAATGTTAGGTTTGGATGTGACATTGCTTAGTAACGTTGTCAGGCTTGGATAAACGACAGCATATCATCAATAATTACAAATGACGTAATTTGCTCGATGATGATTGGGGGGTTTGGTTCAAGTGAAGAAACCGTGGTGTCGTCAAGATAGCAGGGAGGGTAAGTGGAAAATACAACTTTTGTAAATGGGTTGATCAAATTGTATATCCCCGAAAGACTGAGCCTATATATATGAAAGCTAATTAATAAACATCATTAAATATTAACCTCTGCACTTACGCCAACAACGCCTCCTCCCGTACAGTGATTTTTTTAACTAAAAGTTTTGCAGCAATTTCGAACAGTCTGCCTTTGCAGGAACTGTCCGTATAATTAAGCAAAAAATCAGTCTCCTCCTCATTAAGTGGGGTCTATTTTTTATACATAACATTAATAAAAGGAGTTATATGCGTATTTAAGAAAGTACCTTTTTATGAGCAATGAAATGGAACTTAAGCTCATCGTCATTCCCAAGATTATTGAACGACATTTCTTGACCACCGACGTTAAGACCGCTGCTACTGCTGATGCCGCTTGGACTATCGCTGCTGCTGCTGCCGCCGAGTCCACCACCAATGTTAACTTTACCGCTGTTGCTGCCGCCGCTTGAAGTACCACCACCGCTGCTGCTGGGATCAGCAATGTTGCTGACGCTGCTGCTGCTGCGACCACCCATGTTGCTGTCATACGTGTTTTGAAGCATATCGATGGCATCGATAGTAGCCATTTTGGCAGCTCCAATTGCATGAATGGTTGTCTTCATTTTTGCAGCATGCTGGTATTTCATTGAGTTGATGATACGAATTGAACAAAACTTTCTCAAACTTACCAATTTGTGGGCCCCGTCATAAATGCTTTGCCACAATCGTTTGTCAAACGATTGCTTTCTTTTTTTTTAAAAAAAAAAATGAATGGGTGAGTCGCGTTAAGTATTTATAAAGTACATTAATTTCTTACTTTTCCCAAGCAGGCACAGCAGTTTTCAAATTGCATCTGCCGATTTCTGAAAAATGTTAGCAGGATAAGCTCTCCTGCCAACAATTTCTGAATACACCATGGGATTCACGAAATCGGAAAATGTCGACACCTCCGTCTATTTTTCTTTGTCTTTTTTTGAGTCAAAATGTCTTTTTTTACCTTGTATATTTTGAGATAATAATAACAAGTATGTGACTTACAACAACCCCAGCCAAACCCTGAGAGGCCAGCTGGGTCTTTATCTTCTAAGGAAGACTAGCCTCAGCCGCAATTATAGCGAAAATGGAGCATATCTATTAAAAAGAAGAGGTAATATTTTAGCATTTCTGGAAAAAGAAAGTCATCATTAACCAACCTTTTCGCAGTATTTATATCTTCTCTCATACAAAAAAGAATGAGATAAGTGTGTCTCAATAATAATAACTTTTGGTTCGGTGGGAAAAGGAAAAGGAAAAGAAAAGAAAAAAGCTTTATTTATAGACTGATAAACAAGAACTGGTTTATGTCAGGATGATTTAATTGCTTATTTAATCACTCATAATGTTTGAGCCTTTACTAAAAATAGAAACACTTGCAAAAACCTCCCAAGCAAATCGGAACTTGGTAGTAGTAGTAGCTTGTAATGATAGTGAAGCAGATTTTATGGGAAACAAAAATCGATCATTCTATGAAGTTTAGACGATATGGCATGTCAATCGACGTAAAGACTGATGTGTAGACCATCACGTGATTCTAAAAAATACATTTGAAGAAAATACGGAGTTCTAGACATTTTCCCTGCGGCCCTCTCGTGTGATTTATTTTTTTCTTTTTTTGCCATTCGTAACTTACAGTCTCCCTCTCCCAAGTGTACATTAAATCATTAATGCTAACAAAGTGTGTGTGTTTTTTCGCCGTTTAGGACTTACAGCCCCTCTCTAAACTCATTTGTCAATTTTTATTGTGACTGTGAACCTTAAAATGATAACACTTTTAAGCACTCTTTTTCGATGACACAGGCAAAACGGTATAAATCTCTGTGGAGGTTGGACTTTCCTTGGGGATTGCTTTACGTCAGGTTAGACAACGGGTCTAATAAGAGAAATAAAAAAAGCAAAAGGCTCATCAGAACTTTGTATGAAGCAACTGATAGTAAACCACCTGACAGTATTGATGAAATTTACGGTAAAAAACTTGGTATAATTATTAAGAAAAGAAGTTTGGATAGTACTGCTGAATAAAGCACCGACTTTGCGAGATTTTTAAGGTAGATTAAGATTCAAACAACTGTCACATTTAAGAGAAAACCAATATGGAAGATGGTATCATGGCTTTTTTTTTTTTGACATATCACGTTGCTTTTCCGTATGAACCGGATAATCTTCAACATAACGACGACCAACATTTAAAAAATGTCCTCCAATACTATCTCGTTAAGTTATATGGTCATGATGTTTTCATTCGCCAGAAACTGAAAGTAGCGGTCGGTTTTCATGCTAAAATGGACCGCGACCGCTGGTCCAGGTACAAAATAATTACCGCGACCGCTGGTTCAGGTACAAAATTTTGTACCTCGACCTCTGGTCTAATTTTTTCGCGGTCCAATTAAGACTTCTACCGCAAAAAAAACTTTTCGGTGGACCGCTGAGCCAGACTAATACCGCAAAAAGTTTTACGCTGCCAGCTATCCCAATTATCTAATATAGACTTAAAGCTCATTTCGCGTACCTAAGGTCTTTAAATCTTACAACATGCAACATACAGAGCAATTACTTAAAACCAAGTGTATGCAAGAATATTTGATTTATTGATATAAGTGTGGGTATAAAATAAATAAAAAGAGAAAAGAGAAAAGAGAAAAGAGAAAAGAGAAAAGAGAAAAGAGAAAAGAGAAAAGAGAAAAGAGAAAAGAGAAAAGAGAAAAGAGAAAAGAGAAAAGAGAAAAGGGACCAGGGAAAACCTTAGAATCAAAACGTCTGTTTGATCACAGATACAGTGAGAACGGTAAAATTTACCGTTCTCACTGTATAGTCTCCAACATAATATCTCGGATATTAATTTGACGTACTCAACAGGAAGTCTTGGCGTGGTCGGGACTTGGAATGAACCATGAACTTTCCTAAAGTAATCATCCTCAACAGCAAATACCTCCTCGAAAAGATATAGTCATCTGGAAAGTATTAAAAATATAACAACGTATCAGTGCTGCGTTGATAATGATTTATTCTTGTTATTCAATTACCGTAAAACCGACAAAATTAGGCCTGTCACCGCTTTAAAGTAAAAAAACTTGACACCGGTGACAATTTTTTTTTTTTTTTTTTTTAGCTTTGTCAGCGCTACTTGACACCTGTGATTCAAGACCTCTATATATTACAGTCGACAAAAAAAAAGGCTGGGCACCTTTAAATGTTTCCATAGGCACATGGACAATTATATTTTGTAAAGTCTGACAAGTTTAATAAATCCATATTTGGCGTTTGTTGCACAGACCTTAGACCATTTTCTTTGTTCGTTTTTATTTGTATCGTTAAAACCTTATTAAAATATAGTTATTTTTTAACAGCCAATAGTATACCATACCCCTGAGAATAACGCCATATGTAAAATCAAGTGCAGTGCCTTTAAATGGGAGGAAACAATTTACCTGGATCAAAGCGCATTTCTTTATTCATTTTTTTATCAAGTCTTAATTTACACTGTTCTGTTTGTAATATCTAACATGCTCCCTACCGAAGTACTGCTTCAAGTGTATCAATGGCTAGACAGAAAAGACATTCAACAACTAATGTACGTATCCAAGCAATATCGCCTATTCTCGGCCCCATTCTATTTCCACAAGATTCAGATCAATGAGGAAGGCGTCAGGTTAGATAGCAATTTCTGGTATGGTCAATTTACTCAAGAGGTCTCTATAAGCAAGAGGAACACAACGAGAGGGCATCCTACAACATTAGAAGAGCCGATGTTTTTACGATTATTATCCAGTCTTCCTAATTTAGAAATAATCCGCGTTCATTCCTCCTGCCCTTCCAGTCTTTTTTACTTGTCCTATCTGGATGAGCCCACAGACGCAAGCATGTATTCAAAAAGTCTGCAAGAAATTTGTTACGAAGCACCGGTTATAAATGATGATTTGACGCACTTTTTTGCTTGCTTTAATTTTCGTGCATCTATTACACGGCTTGCCACTTGTGCAAGCAATCGAGATTTGATATCAGCTACATCAAAAGACTTATCTTATTATCTACCTCAATTTACCAACTTAACAACACTAGTTTATCGAACGTATGAGACTAAAGATCCAGCGACAATGTTTGATATTTTACTCTTCTGTCGAAATATTGTAGACTTACATTTCGGCGATAGTATAACCCCTTTACGAGCAGCTAATCAAATAGCAACTACAAGTAACCAATGTCTAAAACGACTAGAAATTTCTTCCGAGTTTTCGATATATGCGTATATCGATTATCTTCGTATTGTACAGCCTTTGGACAGATTGAAGATTAATGTCGGAAAACATTTGCAATATCAGATATTCCGTGTGATTAAGCCTTTTGTTGAAAAATTACAAAAATTTACAAATTTCATTATCGCTGTGGATTGCGACTATTATCCAACGATTGGAACTGCAGCTAGGGATGTGGTATACGACTTTTTATGCAAACTAAAAGGTGACAGAGATGTCTTGTACGACTTTTTCTTTGATAGTCCGGAAGACCAATCCTTTGTTGACATTCTCAGTATTCGTGAAAACAGTCTAAGGTTTACATGGATCGTCAAACACTGGTGGGGAGACCAGTTTAAAGCACATCATCGAATTACCGACAGAAGTGAAATTGCAAAAAGCCTAACATTTAGAAAGGAATGCCCTGAATCTTTTTTCTTTATATTAGGGTATGCTAAAACATTCCCTCGAGTCAAAACTCTCAACATTGAATTTTATGGGGGTAATCACTTCAAAGCCACTAAAACAGAAATTATCACGAATCATACTATACCTTCACAAACGGTATTGGATCAATTGTATGACTATTCACCGGATACCGAAATCATCACCTTCAAACATGGACATCCTTCTAAGGGCGGAAAAATGTTTGAAACCATATGGGATCTTACATCCTTCGAAAGTCTCAAAGAATTCAACTTTCACGCTACTCATCTCGACCTGTCAAAGAGTAGCAATGGTGTATTTCTTAAGTTTGATTATGGCGATTCTTGTTATGACTACAAGACAATCTGTTTAAATAAGGAAGGCAAGAAAAATATACCTATCACGATGAGTTTCACCCCAATGCAACCAGAAGAATATACTTTCAATGTCATCATCAAGGTACATAGTCCATCAGTCGTAATAAATTGTAATACGGACAATCATATTCTGTAAAGTCTGTAGTATTCTCTTATCTAATACATGATTACTGTCAAGTTTAATAAAACCATATTTGGCGACTTTTGCGCAGATCTCCGACCATTTTCTTTGTTCGCTTTTATTTGTATCGTCAAAACCTTGTTTAAATATAGTGTTTTCAACAGCTAATCGTATTTCTTGCCCCTGAGACTAATGTCATATGTAAAATTAAGTGCAGTGCCTTTAAATGGGAGGAAACAATTTACCTGGATCAAAGCGCATTTCTTTATTTATTTTCTTTTCTGTCTAATTCTTCTTAATTTATACTGTTCTGCTTGTACTAGCTAGTATGCTTTCTAATTCTTTCCCAAATGAAATACTACTTCATGTGTTTCACTGGCTAAACAAAAAAGACCTTCAAGAACTGATGTACGTATCCAAGCAATGTCGCCTGCTCTCAGTCCCATTTTGTTTCCAGAAGGTTCGGATCAATGAGAACAACACCAGGGCGGATAGCAACTTCTCTTATGGACACTTTACTCGAGAGGTCTCTTTATTCAAGAAGAATAGAAAGAGAGATCATCCTAAAACATTAGACGAAGCAACGTTTTTACAATTATTGTCAGCTCTTCCGAAATTGGAGGTTCTTCGCCTTCCTTCTTCTAGCCCTTCAAGTCTTATTTACTTGTCCTATCTGAATGCATTCACAGACGCAGGCATGTATTTACAAAATTTGCAGGAGATTTCTTACGAATCACCGGTTATGAATGATGACTTGACCCACTTTTTCGCCTGTTTTAAGTTTCATAAATCGATTACACGGCTTGCAACATGTGTAAGCAATCAAGGCTTGGTATCAGCTACATTATACGATTTGTCTTATTATCTACCTCAATTTACCAACTTGACAATACTAGTTTATCGAACGTATGAGACTAAAGATCCAGCGACAATGTTTGATATTTTACGTTTCTGTCGAAATATTGTAGATTTAAATTTCGGCGATGGTATTACTCCTTTCCGAGCAGGCTATCAAGTAGCAACTACAAACAACCCAAGTCTAAAACGACTAGAAATTTCATCACAGTTTTCTACAACTGCGTATATTGAATATATTCGTATTATACAGCCTTTGGATAGATTGAGGCTGAATGTCGGAAAAGATGCGAGATATGACATTTTCCGAAGAATTGAACCGTTTGTTGAATTTCAGAAATTCAAAACACTCATAATAACTATATGTTTTGATCATTATCCGATGATTAGACCTGAAGATAGGAATATGGTATACAACGTTTTATGCAAATTAAAAGGTGACGGAGATAACTTGTATGATTTTTTCTTTGATTATACAAGAGATTGCTCCCCTGTGAAGGTACTCAGTATTCGTAAAAACAGTCTACATTTCACATGGCTCTCCAGAGATTGGTGGGGACAACTGTTTGAAGTAGAAAATCAAATCATCGACAGAAGTGGGATTGCAAAAAGCCTGACGTTTAGAAAGGAACGCCCTGAATCGTTTTTCCTTATATTGAGGTATGCTAAATCATTCCTTCGCGTCGAAACTCTCAACATTGAGTTTGAGAGGGGTTCTCACTTTAAAGCCACTAAAACAGAAATTATCACGAGTCATCTTTTACCTTCACAAATGGTATTCGATAAGCTGTATGACTACTCACCAGATGCCGAAATAATTACCTTCAAGCATCTTGAGCATCCTCCTAATATCAAAAGAATGTTGAAGGCTACATGGGATTTTTCAGCCTTCGAAAGTCTCAAAGAATTCAACTTTTGTGCTTCTCATCTCGACGTAATAGATGGCTATAATTCGTATGTACAGTTTGATTATGGTGATTCTTCTTATGACTACAAGTGTGTTTTTTCGAATAAGGACAGCAGGAATTATGTATCTAACACAGTCAGTTCTTCCTCGAAACTACTGGACAAATATGGTATCATAATCATCATCAAGGTACATAATCGATCGGTCAAGATAAATTGTAACGCGGATCCTTATATTATTCGGTAACATCTGTAATATTCGCTTCGTCTAATATATCACTGTGTCAAGTTTAATAAAATCTTATTTGGAGTCTCTTGCACAGACTTCAGACTATTTTCTTTGTGCGTTTTTATTTATAAAGAACAATTATATCATTAAAACCTAGTTTAAATATAGTTTTTTTTTCAACAGCCAATCGTATACCATACCCCTGAAATAATCACCTTGAAGGCTGAGTATTTCCTTAGTAACCAACCATATTGAGGTACTACTACATGGGATCTTACGGCTTTCAAAAGTCTCAAGGAATTCAACTTTTATGCTTTTCATTTCAGAATGGAAGAAGGCTGCGTCTTGTTTGTACAGTTTAATTAAATGGTGATTCTTGTTATGAGTACAATGTATTTTATCGGAAATCAAGTGACGAGGAAGATGAACCTTCTAGGAAGCAATTCGACAAATATTGCCCACTTCTCATCATTAAAGTTTGTGATCGATTGGTGGAAATAAACTGTGGCACGAATGATGAATACACAACGTGTAACCTAAATTCTCCATAATAAATTTAATAAACTTTCCATTTCTCGCTATTATGTAAGCGTCTATTTCGACTGCAAAAAAGAAAAAGTCTTTCCTCAATTGATGATTGGATATCACTTTTAAAAATATCCTAGATCATTGTAAAAACCGATAAGTTTTCGGTAATTAGGTTTCAACAAATCTAAATTTATTTGCTAGCCGATAGCTCCGGACAAAGGCGATCGTTTAACCATGACGAGAAGGTAATTTTATGTTCCCATTGACGCTTTTTGACATCAAGATACATTTTTATGCCGGTGAGGTTGTGGACCATTTTTACCCACAAGGAATAAAAATTAAGAAAGAGCACTTTTGTTTTTATTTGTACAGTGAGTTTAATCTTTTTTTTTTTTTATCTGCAATTACGTAAAATGCATGATGTTTATGCGACACTCCCGTCATCTTTAAAAATAAGGTTCAAGTGTATATATATAAAAAAAAGAGTGCTAGTGAAGCAAAGTGAAACCTGTGTACATGAGATTATGAAAATATTTTGTTTCATCTTTAAGGAGTGAAAAAGGTTCTAGTTCCCAAATTTTTTTTTCTATAGATATATTTATGTCAAGTGGCATGATTAAAAAAAAAACGTGGTTGAGCTTTTTTTTTTTTTTTATATAACCGATCAAAAAAAGGTGGCTTCATATTTAAATGAATGTAAACAAATATGCGATATGACGAGAGCTGATAAAAAGGGTTCTTGTATATATGTTGCTTTCATATGATGACACAAACCAAATATATGCATATGCCAAGGCATTTAATTGGTACCACATTACTGGTGATTCACAGGATAGTACCAATCATTTTAAACCAGTTTAGAGGGAAACAAACAATGGATTGCCCATCTATTTTAGGTAATTCCTGATAATTAGGAGGGGCTTTTTGGACGCACTAAATTGACATTGCTCAAACTTCTTGAGTCCCGCATTGTTCATTACCAAATAAAGTCATGCGTATTCTTCTCAACAAAATAAAAAAAAAACAAAAAAAAAAAAGTTTTTTAGTCTAGTAGTAAAAGCATATGAAATTAACTAAAAAAAAAAAAAATGATAAAAAAAAAATGATGAAATGGGTGTGTGTGGGTGTGGGGGGATATAAAGAGAATAATAATAATAATAATAAGAATAAAAAAACTACAAGTTTTGGGATATGTGTATAAGAGAGAAAAGAAATAATGGTGTAAAGGTGGAGGGGAGAAAAAGGTGGTTCTAAAATTCATCTTCTTCCTCTTCTTCTTCTTCTATAATGGTTTTCGAACTCATGCCTCTTGGTTCTTGCATACCGTAAACACTTAGACGTGATCTTGGTGCAAATTCAAACCGATTCGATCGAGGTCGTGCGAGCTATTATTATTATTATAATTAGTCTTTTTCATACACAAAAAATAATTATATATATAATAAACAACTTACGGAAGGAGCTGAACTGCTGCTGTTGTCGGTAGTGGTGGTGGTGGTGGTGGTGGTGGTTGGCTCTTCTTCAGAATCACTCATACTACTACAATCGGAAGAATCCGACGAGAAATCAGACAGGTTGTTCTTGATCAAATCATCTGTAGAAGGAAGGGGAGTTAACACCTTTTCCTCCAAAATCACTTGCTCTTCTTCTTCCTGAATAGCGGGTGGAGAAGGAGGTGGTGTAGCTTGGGGTGCAGGTCGATACATTGAATATCGTTTTTCACACATATCAATTTCTTTGGGCTGACACGATGCGTTTAAGATTGAGAAGGAATCTGCCACTAGAGAACGTGTGGTTAAAGCAGTAGGAGGCATATTTACAGCATGCAGATTCAGTGGTGGTTGAGGGGTTTGATATACCTGCTGCTGTTGCTGTTGTTGCTGCTGTATGTGTTGTTGCTGCTGCTGTTGTTGTTGTTGATGATTCAATGTCGTGCCATTGTACGTCAATTGATCTAATTCACTGACGGCAGGTTGACTTAATTGAAGCACACGACGACGATACTTTTGTGATCCAGTTCGATAAATCGGTGGTGTCATCATCATACCGTCTTGTTCTTTTTGTGAAGTATCGAATTCTCGGTAACTGGAAGGTGAAGCAACGGGTGAGGAACATTGGGATAAAGGTCTACCTTGACGTTGTCTTTCTTGGTGTTTCAATATCAGTTCGTTCTGCTGTTGCATCATCTGTAACTGTTGTTGTTGCTGTTGTTGTTTGGATCCAAACCAGGACTTGACCGAAGTGAACCATCCGGATTTTTCTCCGTTCATGGATGTGGAACCGAATCCAACTGTCTGGATCGGTCGCTGAGTGGTAGCAGGTCTGGGATAAGGTTTGGGCGCAGTATCATAATCAAATTTGGTTGTGGTAGTAATGGGCTCCATGGCAACCGGCTGGACTACGGGGGTGGTCTGAACAGCGGTTTGTACAGAAGTTGTTTGCACTTGTTCTTCGACGCCAGTTTGAATACCCACGTCAATAGGATGCTTCTCTTGTCGAGACTGAAGAGCAGAAGCCAATGCATCAGGTACAGATGGCATGGAAGGATCTGTGGTGGACATATTTTCGAGCAAGAGATGCCACAAGGTACTTGAGGTATCACATTCACCAGTTTGCATTTTAATGAGAGCATCTTTATCAAAGCCAGCCGCGGTTAAGGCAGCAAAGAGGCGTTGTTCGATGGGGGACATGTAAGAAACATCATCTCTTGTTTGTTGAAAGGAAGATGGTAATGAGGAACGATAAGAATTTTGAAATGGATTGGGCGTACGACGATTCAAGGGAGCGGAGAAACGAGGAGACTTTTGTTGTTGTTGCTGCTGCTGTTGATGTTGGGAGGGTCTGAGTATGCCTAGACTGGATCGTACTTGTGGCGAAAACTTTAAATCGTGTGGTAAGAAAAGGGGATCTTCATCGGGAAAGGAGGAGACTGAGTCCATATCGGAAGTATTTGTGGTTGTAGAAGAGGAAGGCGTTAAACAAGTTTCTTCTTCTATTTCGTGTGAGTGCATCCATGGGTGGTCAATAATATTATCAATGGTGATACGTTGTGCTGGATCTAATTGTAACATGTGAGAGATTAAATCGCTTAGATCGGCTGCAAAGTAAAAAGGCATTTGGTAATCCACTTGTACAATTTTTCGTTGCGTCATGATTTCTGAGTCGTCGTCAAATGGGTATTCACCTGCTAATAGTGTGTACAAAATTACGCCCAATGACCAAATATCCGTTTCTAATTACCCAAAAAAAAAAAAAAAATAGTCAGGTTAATATAATTTCTCGCTTCTTCTCCTTTGTACTACTCTACCTGGACCAGTGTATTTCTTTCGCAGAATGACCTCTATGAGATGCAAGTTAGTATGGGTTTGGTATGAATGGAAAGGATGGGAATGCGTACCTGGTGCGGAATAGCTAAGACTACCGCAGAATGTCTCGAGATATTGGTTCTTTTGGGTGAATCGAGCAAAGCCGAAATCACAGATTTTTACATTATCTTCAGCGTCGAGTAAAATATTTTCCAGTTTAAGATCCCTATGTGTTTATATAAGGAGTTAAGTTAGGGAGAAAGAAAAAGAGTTTAAATGGTGTTTTACCTGTGAACGATTCCACGCGTATGACAATAATTGATTGCATCTGTCAGCTGACGAAACCATTTATGTACTCTAATTTCTGAACAACGACCTGAATCAGTCAATGCATCTAATAAGTCGCCATTAGGGCAATATTCGGAAATGATGTGGATACAGGATTCGGTGGTGATCATTTCATAAAGCATAACAATGTTGGGGTGTTTTAATTGTCTGTGGTGGTGTATTTCTCGTGCCATCATCGGTGCGTGTTGTTTACTGATTTTCTTTATAGCTACAAGTCGGCCTGTTAATTTGTGAAAACCCTTTTTGACTTTGCCAAATGTGCCTTCTCCAATCGTTTCTCCTATTGTATAACATCCAACGGACGTCATTTCATGGGAGGATAACTCCTTGAGTAATTCATTATAGTCTACTGCTAACTATTTTTATATAATTTTTTTTTTTTTAGTTTCTTTTTTTTTTTTCTCGGCCTGATTTTTTTTTTAATACGTTACTTTGGCTTGTTGGTTGTGTGTGACCGAGTTTCTTGGTGAACTAAGCATATTGAATGAGTGGAAAGTGGTTGAGGTTGAGGTTAATTATATAAATGTGGTGAGTTTGAAGAGGTGAAAGGTTGGAATTAGTTTTTTTTTTTTTTTTAAAGGCGTCGTGTCATGAAAAGGAAAGTAAAGGGCTTATTTTTTTTTATAAAAAAAGTTAATTTAGAAAAAAAAAAAAAGATAAAAAAAATAAAAAAGAAAAAGAGATGAGGGAAACACAATAATAAATTAGGTCCATTAAAATAAAAAAAAAAATAAAAAAGGGGGGGCAGGTTTAAGAATAGATCGCTTTGGGGTATATTGGGAGGCAAAGAAACACAAGCTTTTTTTTTTTTTCTTTTTTTTCTTGTACGACTTTAATCTTTAAAGGCAAATCGACACATTCACTGTATGTTTGCAAACTCCGCCTATTTTAGGTTGCTTTGTGTGTGAGGTGATCAACATTTTTTTTTTTTGAAGCATTTCGGGAATCATGCATTCAACATTACATTCAGTGGCTTCTCTTATTGACAGTCATTGACATACATTTATCGATTCACCATGCTTACGAAATCATCATTCTAGGTATAGAACAAGTGTAATTTTCCCTGTAGAACCTTCTTATCAAAGATGGCATATGCTAGCTTAACAAAAAAAAAAAATCATTCCACAAATAAGATTTTTCTTGCCTTCTCTTATAAATCATACATTATCTAAAGAAAGCATCACGGTGCATTCAAATCTTCTTGTGATTCTCGTACAAACATTACTGCTACTCTTCATAATGAAATTCCGCTGTGATTACAGTTTCGATTACTCACGAACAATGAGTCAAAAACATCCGTGCTAATTTGTAATTGGGCATAAGATTAGCCTGAAAGGTTTGCGCCTCTCCATGGAAATAAAACCCTTTTTTCACTGCAGGTCCACTGACTCACTTGTAGGACCCTCTATTGTCCTGCAATGAATATTGATTGATTTGTTACATTAGCTCACAAAAACGAGCGGGGTTTTCTCTCCCCCACTTTAATTTAGCCTTTTGACTGCAGTAGAAAACGTTTTTTTTTCCTCCCCCCAAAGGAATTCGCAACAGCAAAAGAAAAACACTGAGGCTGGCTTTAAATGGTCCTCTTTCCATACAAAAACTTTTTTGATTATATAAATGGCAAGTTACAGTGTATTTGTACCTGACTTTGAGCAAAAAGAAGAATTACCTCTCATTAGCTCCACATTCGACCGTTACAATGATTCGATTAAAAACTCACTTGGAAAAGACAAAGATCTCGTCCAACAAAAGTTCGACTCGAATCTTCAACCCGACAGTAACAATTTTTTCCGCAACGCCAAATGGTAAAAAAAAAAAAGTAAGACATTAGCCTTGTTTTAATCTAATCCTGATCTTGAAAAAGGTCGCCCGATGGATCCTGTTTATTAACAAGTTCTGCTGACGACGTTGTCCGCTTATTTCAACTGTAAGAAACACGATCAACCTTTTATATATATATATATATATTTTTGCATAACTGACACCTTATTTTTTTTTTTTAAAAAAAAAAGACCAAGTAATGTGTATGAGGATACAGAGAATGCTGGTACAGTTTTACCCATGGAACCCACCCTTGGTATTCGTCAAGGTGAATCCATTTACGATTTTGTCTGGTTTCCCTCCATGACTGCACAAGGTAAAACAAGAAAAAAAAAACATATAGAGGTATACATTGATTGACGCGACCCACTTAGACCCTTCCACTTGCTGTTTCCTGACTTCTGTGCGTGATCATCCTATCCAATTATGGGATGTGACAGGGGCCGTGCGTGCATCCTACAGCGCTGTCGATCACTGTGAGCGATTTATTGGACCTAATGCATTAGCCTTCAATCTGGACGGATCCAAGTAAACACCATTGAAAAAAGATACACGCATATACAAAACTAATCCCCAAAATCAAATAGAATCTATGCTGGCTATGAAAACATGATTGAGATATTTGACGTGCATCGACCTGGTCCCGATTCGAAAAAACTGCCAACGATCACCAAGCGTAAGAGTAAAAAAGGACAAAAGGGTATCATCTCTTGCTTAGATTTCTGTCCCGATTATTCGGGTCTGTATGCGGCGGGATCTTACAGTCAGTCGATTGGAATATATGATGAGACCAACAATGAATTATGTTTGAAATTGACAGGGTTTGAAGGCGGTACCACTCAAGTCAAATTCTCCAAGGATGGTACCCTCTTATTCTCGGCATCACGTCATTCAAATGACATCCTTTGTTGGGATATTCGTGATTCCGCTAATATCTTGTTTCAATTGAATCGTCCCGGAAAGACAAATCAACGTATCTCCTTTGATATGGATGCTACCGGAAAATATTTGATCACTGGCGATCAAGAAGGCCATGTCCTTATTTACGATATCACGACGGGTGAGTCGGAAGATGTGGAGACAAAGGAGAGATTGGTTCATTCCTTCAAAGCACACAATGGTAAAGTTGGAATATATTTTTTAATACACACAAACCGTAACTAATACAATTCCCCCCCCATTCCAATTATGGTGGCGTTACACTTACTAGATGTTACTTCATGTGCAACTTTTAATCCAGTTTACCCCGTGATTGCTTCTTGTTCGGGACAGCGTAAATTCGTATTACCTCAGGACGAAAGTGATGAAAGTGATGATGATGAGGACGAACAAGTGATAGACAACACATTGAAAGTGTGGCGTGTATCTGGCCAATATCAATGGTATACGTATGATGTGGAAAGCACGGATATGACGACTGGAACCACGGATATGGTCACGGAAACCACGGATATGGTGACTGAAACCACTGAAATTACAACGGTTGATATGGTAACCGAAACAGGAACGCATGTTATGGTGACCGAAACGGCAACTGATATGGTGACCGAAACATCGACTGATGTTGTTTCCGATCAAATGACAGCAGCAGCAGCAGCTTTAGAGAGTGAAGCGAACAATATACCCCCCAAATCAGTGTAGAATAAACAACAAAATAAACATTTCCTATTTTCTTTCTTCTTTTTTTTTTTATTTCTTTTTCTGTTTTTTTTAAAAGGATAACTCATACTCAGGATCAAACAAGGTACTAACACTTTCACCAAAATGAATTCGTCGAATGGCTTCAGCGAAAAGTGAAGCGACCGGTAAGATCTTGAACTTGTCACATTTTAACAAGTGTTCATCTTGAGGTACGGAATCACTCACAACCACATGATCCAGATAACTTTGTTGAATTCTTTCCACTGCATCGCCTGATAAAACTGCATGTGTAATCAAGGCGTAAATCTTGGTGGCCCCATTCTCGTGCAAGAGTTTGGCTGCCTTAGTAATAGTGAAGGAAGTATCCGCAATATCATCGATTAGAATACACACCTTGTTACGTACATCGCCTACCAACATCAAATCGTGCTTTTGAGGCTTGTCAGGTCGTCGACGTTCCTTATGAATCAATGCAAAGTCCATATGTAATTTCTCGGCAATTGAAGTGGCTCTGTTGTATCATGTCAGTCTAACAAATCTCTTTATACATATGCTTTTCTTTTACCTTTTGGCTCCACCGGCATCGGGAGAGACAATCACTGCTTCTTCATACCCAGGAATGCTACGGTAAATATATCGACCCATGGATGGCAATGATGATAAATTATCCACAGGACAGTCAAAGAACCCTTGGAACTATCATTGGATATATTCTATGAATATACAATCTAATCACTGGCTCTTTTTTTTTTTCATTGTTACCTGAGGATCGTGCAAATCCATTGTAATGATATGATCGGCACCTTTTTATCACAGTTAACAAAAAAAAAAAAAACCTCATAACCCAATGATTTTCTCTTTACCTGCGCATGTCAATAATTCAGCAATTAAAGTACCTGATCGTACGACCCATTGTTTATATCCATCATTGACATTGTTATTTGACACTTGTTTATTATTGCCTTGAACGGAAGTACTGATGCCATGACTACGAACACTGGGAGCGCCCAACTTGATTTGCTGACCAGCGTCCAAATCATTTGACAATCGAGAGAACAAGGCGGGTGCAATGGCTGGTTCAAATGGGTTTTCCGCTACTTCGTTTTTGGGGGTAGAGGGTGTAGTTTTAGGCGAAGAAGGTACGGTCATGGGAGGGGGACGAATGAAAGGTGCGCCCGAACGTTTAAAGGGTGCATCGGGTTGTCTGGAATAAGGGAAAAAAGGAATGACGGCAGTGACTTTACGAGCAGAGGCAGTTTGACAAGCTTGAATCATGATGAGAAGTTCGAAAAAGTTGTCATTGACGTGTCCACAACCCGATTGAATCACATACACATCTTGTTCACGTACACTTTCATATAATTCGACACTGGTTTCGTTATTGCTGAATTTGCTGAGACGGGATTTGCCCGCTTCAATACCCAAACGATCACAGATCTCTTGTACGAGCTTTGGGTGACTGGAACCGCCTAAAATAACAGGTCCTTTCATTGAACGGTTTTTTGTAAAAGAAAAAGGTGAAAAAGAGTGAGAAGAAGAAAAAAAAATTAAGGGATGGGTATTGGTGTTACCGTTATATCTTATCTTTTTTTATTATTATTTTTTTGTAAAATATACACGCTATCTTTCTAGTAATAGAATGCATCAGTACGGTATTCATCCCGTTGAACTGTCTTGTCCAATAGCAACAATATCATGATTCCATGACATTTTACATAATGAGCTTTCTGTAGGCGCTTTTTTACGTCTACATTAAAGACCCGGAACCCTCACCATCTTTTTGATTGGATCAGGTCTATCAGGCGAAACAAAATGACATCTCATCTTTAGCTCTCTGGCTTGATTAACTCACAGGTTTAAGAAACTAAATTTTTTATTATTATTACTAACTATTACAATTTGCTTTTTCCAACCAATTGCCTGAATATAGCGTCCAACTTTGTCGCCAGCATCATATGGCCCTTGATTTTGAGCTTACCCAGTGTATAAGCTTTCTGACCTTTTTTTGTTTATTTTATATTTAATATGTAACAGATGTAGTAATCACGCACACACACACACACACACTTTACCGCTTAGTTTTCCTCCGGCAAGACTCACAAAGTCTTGGTCGGCAATCATGATGACAGTGTCTGCTTTATCGGAACCTTTACCTTGCAGGACTGATCCCTGATTGTTTTTCAAATCAAGGGTATATATGCTGGGCGTATCGTTACAGTCTTTAATATGGAACTCGAATATCCCTTTTACCTTAATACGTAGTTAGCGTACATATTCATTCAAAAATAAAAGACGCGTCGTTTTGATCATATCAGTCTTACTTCTTTCACCAAGCTTTCTCTCGTCTTCTCATCCAAGGCTTCTATGGAGTTTCTGACTTTATCAAACACGGGTAAAGACATGAGTGTGTGTGTGTGTGTGTGTGTGTGTGTGTGTGAAAACAAGGAAAAAGGGGGATAGAAGCTATTTTTGTTTACTATTTGTACAATTTTTATTTTTCTCACATGATTTTTTTTTTTAAATTCGAGCAGCAACCCAAATAGCAGATTTGCATCCTTGTGTAATCACTGCGCTTAATGCGGCATGAAAGGGAGCCTGGCGTGAATTATGCTCAACTGCAATATCATGGTGTTCTAATTCGTCGTCTCTGCAACTAGCCACCGTCTTTTATTTATAGAATATGCTTCAGTACAACAACAACCAAATAAAATAAAATAAAAGACTTACTTTGGAAAGATATTTCAGCTGTTCATTAGGATCTTTGAATGCATGAAGTTCACGGAGCTGGTCATTGTAATGGTTGCCAATGACTGTTTCGACAGCCTCTGTACAAGCCATGGCAGCTTCTTTTCCCATGAGAGCCGTACCAGCACCCACAGCAAAACCAGCCACTTCCCAAATGGGTCTTAAAAGACTAGGACGAACACGATGTTCACCGACCAATTCACTAAATAGCTTTAAATGCTCCTTTTCTTGTTCCCACATTTCGTCCAGAATCGGTCTTAGTTTAGCATCGCCTCCTAGAACTGCAATTTGACCTTTGTAAATGTAATAGGCCCCGACTTCACCCGACTGATCCACGCGAATCATGGGTTCAATCACTTTCTTTTCTTCCGCTGTCAACTCGCGGTGGTTGCTAGGACTGTTGTAAGTACCTAAATAACGAGCATGGTTCTTGACCAACGTGGGTGCAATACGCTTAATGGCCAACATGGACAATAAAATAATAATAAACAAAAAACTGTTTATATTTTTTTTTTCTCCTTTCGGCCCAGTCCAGTCCAGTTGGGTAGGGGGATCTGACTTTTTCTGGCAATTACCACCCAGAGAGAGACCTTATTTATTATTCATGCAGCTAATTTTTTAATTGTTGCATTGTTTCATTATGTGGGTGTTTCTTTTCTTTTCTTTTTTTTTTGTAAAAGGGGAACTCCTCCTATCACATCATATTTCGTACATCTACTTTACCTGACCCCCCTTCTATTTTAAACAGGCGCTCCTTCAAAACCCTTTCCTCTGGTGATCATAGCACTGACAAATGGCGTAGTATGACTCCCAGCCCCTAATGGGAGCCTCATGGGAGTTTTCAAAGTAGCTCATAGCGTCTCTCCCCATAACTCTTTGTTGAAACGGAACTGGCTTTGGGGGTTAAGGCAGGGATCCAAGATATTAAATGCATCTACAATCTTCTACTAACCTGCAGTCATTATTCGTTCCAGCAAAACACAATAAGACGATTGCTAGAGGGAGTGGAGCTGTCTTCGCTAACATTAGTTTATAGGTTGGTTAACGGTGTTGCTATATTTAATTTAAATTATCAGCTGCATCATAAAAATATACTCCTGCTAGTTATTACCAGTATCCATTGTTTCTTTTGATTGTAAAGACTAAACTAGTCATTCCCTTCTGGTAATTATGACAGGTAGAATTCCTGTCAACAAAGAGGTGCGTGACACCAGAAAAGGCCTGCTTCTTATGCGACACAAGGAAATGTGTGTGTGGTTTTTCCGATCTAGATTGCTTCGAGTCATATATTTACATGTATGTTTGAACATTGAGTCTGTTCTACAAACTATGAAATTTTGATTTAAAGACTTATGTATGTTTTAGATATTTTACATAGTGCTTTTTATACATGATGCTAGAGCAACTGTCTTAAAGATATATCAGATAGACAAAAGGATGTGCCAATTAGACAGCAGCTCCATTTTGAAAAAGAACTCGTCTATTTCAATAGAACTATGAAATGTCCCAGTCAGTATTATATCTATACAAAGCGTTACTGAGATAGTTGACTGTTCCTGAGAATTGGGAATGCATGTTGAGGTAATTCCACCGAACAAAGGTCCTTTATCCAATGAAAAACGAGCCAATTTTTTTTTTTTATTTGACAACCCCGGTTGATTTCAAATAGAGGGATGGAAAAAACAAGTCATTTTTTTCTTTCTTTTTTTTTTTTTTAGCCACCTTAATTAAAGAAAACCTTATAAAAGATGCTTAGAAGTGCTCTCAGTCATTCTAGACGTGGTTACGCCACTGCCAGTCCCTTGATTGTAAAGAACAACCGTATTTTGGCCTCTGTTATTTTGTCACGTACACCTCAAATCACCCGTGATGCCACCCCTTTTGAAGAGGCTTATTTCGATTACCGTGAAAAGCTTGAACGTCAAGAAGCCAGCGGTACTCCCACCGATTTTTATTTTAAGAAGGGTTCAGTTGCAGAACGTCGTTGGAAACACGAGGAATTAGCTCGTCAAGAGTCCATGAAGAATACAACCACTTCATTGACCGATGCAGTTGAAGACAGTCAAGTCACATGGCAAAAGGCCAACGAAGGTCTTGCTGCCATCACAAAGGCTGAGAAATTAGATAGATCCACTGAAGCCGATAAAAAAGACGACAAAAAGAGCTTAGATCGTTCATTAAAGCAGACATTGTACCTTGTTGTCAAGAAGGACGGTGATAGCCTTAACCCCTGGCAATTCCCTCAAGGTCCCGTTGACACTTCAGAATACTTGCACGAGGTACACATTAGCTGTGATATTTATATTCCCTTATTTTAACTTTTTTTTTTATTTAATTAGGCAGCAGAACGTACTTTAAAGGAAGAATGTGGTGTAGACATGGATACCTGGTTTGTTGGACGTCAACCTATTGGACTTTATAAGCAAGCTTCGACTAAAGGACAAGAGGACACTGGTTTCAAGGTAAAAACACATAATAAAATTTAAAAACTCTTAAATAGCGATTCTAAACAAGCATGTTAGACATTCTTTATGAAGGCTCGTGTGTATGCTGGTCAAGTCAAGCCCAGTAAAGAGATTACTGATTTTGCTTGGTTAACAAAGGACGAATTATCCAACACTCTTTCACCTGAATACTACAAGGCTGTCAAGGATAGTTTAGGAGCTATCTAAAAGAAACACAAGGAAGAAAGAAAAAAGAGAAATAGTTTATTCCTTTTTTTTTTTCTTTTTATAGAATTTTGAATTATCACTATGTACATAAAATATACAAAAATGAAAGAAAAATAAGGGATTACTACAATTTGTATATTTTGAATGGTATAAAATGGAAAAAAAAGGGGGGGGGGGTTTGAGTGTTTCTTTCTAAGCTCTTAGTAGCTGGCTATTACGTTGTTGCTCGGGAGAATCGTATGAGTTATTGCTACTGCTTCTTCGCTTACCACCTTTAAAGATTTGCATTACTTTCTTAAAGCCAGGCTTACTACTCATACTGGTCGAACTTGAGCTAGAGGCAGCAGTAGCAGTAGAAGAAAATGACAGGGTGGAGCCACCGGGAAGCGATAACAGTTGTTGACTTCGATCCATTCCCATCTTCATCTTCTTTTCCCAGATCATGGATGTACGGGCCTCCTTATAACAAGTGTCACACAAAAGATCGGCAGTGCGCACTTTATCAGGTGTTGGCCAGCCCACATGGGATGTCCTACACTTTGCACAGTCATATTCCACCTGCAATCCATCCCATCTTGACTGTGCATAACTCTCTGCTTGACCATATTCAAACAAGGCCATCTTCAAGATCTTTACAAAATCATTGTTGGGATCCATGATTTTATGAAACGTGTTGTGGCTTTTGGCGTGTTTTTGGATGGTCTCGATAAATGTGTTGGTTGCCTTAGCAGCTGTGTCTGATTGATACTGGTCAAAGCCCATCCAGAATTTACAGCCTTCGTGTAAATTAAAGAGTAAGTCTTCTATTTTTTGTTTTTGAGTTGAAAGTTCCCCCTGTTGCAAAGTCAATTCCTCTCTTCGTTTTTGACAATCGCCCAATGACTTTGACAATTCACCCATGGCGCGTTGACAAGAATCTACGGTAGCTCTCACCTCAGAGACTCGTTCTTCAGCGTCTGAATTCTTATCACGCGCACGAACATACTTTTTCTTGAATTGAGTGGCAACAATGGGTATATTGTATAGCTGATGATATTGTTTTTCTCGCTTAGATTTCTTGTTTCTTCGCTGTTCAGCGTAGTCTCGAATCTCGTTGAGTTGGTCTTCATGTCCTTCCAGTTCTTGTTTTAAATTAGCACGACACGAAGTCAAATGATCCATATCTTGCTGGATATGTTGCATTTCCGCTAGTATGCTTTCAATCTGCTGGTTATTACCCTGTACTTGTCTTTTGTAGCGCTCATCCACCACCTTCACCACTTGATAAAATAGTCTGTTCTTCTTTTGACGGAGTAAGAGTTGTTCCTCCACTTCTCGCAATAACTGCATCATGGGCTTGAATGCACCATTCTTTTTGGATGCTAGTGATATAATATATTCTGCTTTATCAATGTTTACGGGCGATAAACGCTGTTCTTCTTGTAGTGTGTCTTCCATCAGCATGGGTTAAATTATGAAATAGGTGAGAGGAAAAGTTTAAAGAGAGATATAAAAAAAAAAAGGGCAGCAGGTCCGTCCCTTTTTATTATCAAAGTTGCCAAGAAAGGATAAAAATAAATAAAAACAAAGGCCCTAATTGGAGTAGCACCGAGGTCTGGCTTTCCTTTTTGTGTCACAAAACGAAAAAAGTATTTTCATCCTACATGAAACCAATAACACAGTATAACAAATGAAGTTGAAAGCAACCACATATACACTATTTTCAAATATTATAGAGACATTTCAAAAAACAATCTGGTAGTAACTCTGAGACTATCCATGATTAAATTTGGGACAAACCTTCAGCTGTTTTGGAGCACTTGCCCAATTAATCTCTGGAGAAAACATTGAGACGTTTTCAGAGAACATGGTTAGAGTTTATTTTTTTACAAAGGCTTTTTTGCTACACAAACATCGATCTTTTCACAAGAGTAGCGAGTAGGACCTTCAAGATCCACTGTACAATCCATCATTGCATGTATCGCAAATCTTGGCCCAGAGTCTTTCCGTTTTTAATAACCCCTTCCTTTTGACCCTACTCTTGACAACATGCCAGAATTGCTCGATAAGATTAAGCTCAGGGGAGTATAGTGGGAGATACATACATCTGTAACATGGCTGGATTATATAATTCTCAATATCCTTGGTTGTATGCATGGGTGCATTGTCTGTAATAAGACAAAAATCCTTTGATTTGTTCATCCTGCTCTAGTGTTCCGAATATTTGCAGATGTTTCTATTTTAAGCAAAGGCTCAAACATTTTGGCTGATCAACATAAAATCATGTAATCAGCTTGCTCCATACTTGGCAATAAAAATGGTAACTTGCAGTAAATGGATTTATCTTTCAGCTTCGAAATTTTGTAGTGCGTTAGATAACATTCCGAGTCCTAAATGATTTATGTCGTTGTGGGCTCTCAAATTAGAAAAATTCTCAAATAAAATTAAGTCTTATTTATTTGACATTTTATGATTTAATGATAAAATAGTGAAGTCCCCCCCCCCCAAAAAAGAAAAGTTTTAACAAACACCGGGAGCCGTCTTGGCCTTGCCAGCTTTACCCTTGGTGTTTGGAGCTCTATTTGGGCTAAGAGTGGAGCGATGTCTGTGTCTAGCACTAGAGCGGCGGTATTTACTACATTATAGATAAAATGTTAGAAGGTCTTATATATCAAGCATTAAAGGGGTGGTTCACTTACCGATGACTTTCAAGGGCCTTTTCATCCAAACTGTCTAATAAAGATATGGCTGCTAAAATATCACGAAGTAAAATCTCGGAGCGATTGCGTGAAAAATCTTCACGAACAACTACACGGACAAGTTTCATATCTTCCAGTTCATGAGCCATAGTATAAGCAGGGACAATCCAGCCACGTTCACGAAGTTTGGACGAAAGATCGAACTAGGAATATATCAAAATTGTTACTACACACTATAAAGGATGGTATTAAAGGGGGGAAAAAATTACCTCGTCATAAACTTTTTTTGCCTTAAGACTAAATGCTACAAGTGGGAGTCCTCGGCCGCTTTTCTCGCTTAATATATTGAACTTTCCGGTAGCTTCTAACTGATCAGACAGGTAATCTGCATTACTGATCAAGTTCTTCATGATGTGTGTAAATCCGAGCTTTCCTAGACGAATAAGGACATAATACTGAGCAATAATGTTGGATGCGCCTTTACTGAAGTTAAGGGTAAAAGATGCCTATAAAGGTATCCTTAGTGTTAGTATAACAAAAAAAAAATTACTGGATCCTAGTACATACCTGATCTGAACCAAGATAATTGATTCTGAAAACAAGATCTTCGGGGAGATAATCCTTTCCTCTCCATACAGCCCAACCAATACCGGGATAGGTCAAACCATACTTGTGGCCGGAAACATTGATCGAATGCACTCTTGGTAGTCGGAAATCCCAAACCAAGTTTGGGACGGTAAAAGGAGTGACAAATCCACCACTAAAAGCAAGTTAATCATTTAAAAAAAAAGCCATTTGTGGTTTATTCTTACCTGGCAGCATCGACATGGATACCGACATCATAACCATTCTCCTTACATTTGGCCTCCAATAAAGAATCAAGAGTTTGAACATCTTCATAATGCCCAGTGTACTGGGTGGTTTTGAGGAGATTAATATGACATAAAAAAACAGTTATCAAATTAAACTTACCGTTGATCCTAAGATAGCACAAACACCAATAGTGTTTTCGTCAACAAGAGCAACGGCCTTTTTAGGGTCCATATACAATAACTCTTTGGTGCATGGTACTTCACGACCTTCTATTTCGAGATATCTAGATACTAATGTTAATTTATGACGCACGAACAAGGACATAAATGAAAATGTTTTACCTCATGGCTTTATGCCAAGCTACCTGACAATTTGCTCCCATGATAAAATTGGGATTTTCGGTTGATAATCCCTTTGCTTTTCTGGCCAATTGCCATCTACGCTTCATTGCTAAAGTAGCTAAGATAATGGCTTCTGTAGATCCTACAGTTGAGCAGCCTAAAGACTCTGCATGAGCATCGTCCATGGGTGCATTAAAAAGACGGGCAATGATGTTAACACAACGGTTCTACAACGAAAAAGACAAATATATATATTAGCGAAACAAATAAAACTGATTAATTACTTACAGAGATTTCAGCGGTTTGAGGATACTCTTCAAAATCAATGAAATTTTTTGATAAATTTTCCGTCATTAATTTTTCAGCTTCGTCTTCCATAAAAGTGGTTACAAAACTAGCAAGATTTAAAGCGGGAGTGCCATCCAGCTATAAAAATAAAAAGGGCTTGAGTATGTAATAACAACACAAAATCTGGTCACATACGGCAAGTTCATCTTTAATTAATCGATATGCAACATCTGTAAAAAAAAGGGGGGGTCAACAATAGCTACATTGTATGGATTCAAATTTCACTTACTTGCAGGCATATTTCCCTATCAAAAATAAAAAATATCTAAGGTTGTTAATAAAGTTTGATTTTCTATTTACATTTCAAAAAATTATAACGAACTTCTGGCATTTCATATCTATACAAAAAAATTAGTAAGTCGATAGAGATGGTTGATAAAAATAGCTTACGTTGGTATATCGTTTGCTGCCCAGCGAGTTCCATAAATTGTTGTCTCTACAGGATCTGTATATTCCTCATCGTTCATGCGAGCTATAAGAAAAAGTCAACATAAGTGCTTCTTGCCATGTAAATGTGATCTCGTACCATCAGAAACTGCGTGTGAAAGGAAAACCATGTTTTGTTTAGAAAAGGGTGTGAAGCGAACTAAAAAGGAGATAAGATAAATCAGTTTATCATTTTGTAGAGATGACTTGTTTTTTCCGAGATATCATATTGTTATTCAATCCGGTTTTAAGAAAATCAACTTTGTTATTTTATTAATAAATATTTGTTAAAAAGATATATTTGTTGCGTATGGTTTAACGATCAGCACCGTTATAAGCAAGTAGTGCGTCACGACCTTGATCTTTGGGTGAAGTAAGACTGTTATGTGTAGCAATACTCATCAATGCTTCATAAACCTCACTTGGCGAGTGAAATTCATATTCACTCATTAACATGGCAGCGATACCTGTGACATGAGGGTTGGCCATACTATAATAAACCTTTTGTAAATAATGGTTATCAAGTCAGCTCATAAAAAAAAGTTTACCTTGTCCCGTCCATTGTATGTGTTTTATCACCAAGCCAAGCACTTGTAATGTCGGTTCCAGGTGCATAGAGACGAACGCACTCTCCATAAGACGAAAAATCAGGAACCACATCATCTTGGTTTGAAGCACCAACCGCAAACACATCTGGGTTTGCTGCAGGAGAATAGCTACATGCATCGTCGCCAGAATTTCCGGCGGAAACAAAAACGGGGATTCCATGATCTCTTACAGCCATAGAGAGAGCATCGTCAATTGTGCGAGATCGGGGGCCAGTGAGAGAGAGATTGATGATACTACGGCCAGGCTCGGCAACACGAACAATGTGCGATATAGCTAAAATTAATTGTCAGTTGGAGCTTTAAAATTAAATATACTTAAAGTAGACTACCTTGTATTAATGAAGCGGTAGAACCGTCACCGTTACGGTCAAGGATCTTTACACCATGCAAAAAGGTATTTTTGGCCACACCATACGAATTACCACCGATAGTACCAGCGACATGAGTACCTAATATTTTATTTAGTTCGAAATTCAGATTCTTGTCATCAAGATATTTACCATGACCAGCGTGATCGATATCATCTTCATAATCAATGAAACTGACTTCCATGCTAGCACGGCCACCAAAGTCAGGATGATTCACATCAATACCGGTATCGAATACATAGACATGGATACCGTTACTATTGTAAGATTTTAATACAAGCACAATATTTCGACACAATTGCATATTTACCCAGCAAGATCGTCAGAAGTATAAGAAGACAAATCGTAATGATCACGTCGGTTAATACGGGCAATTCCCCAGCTTGGCACATTGACTTGCGTAAATATATTGCGTTTGCTAAAAGAAGATTTACGACGTTGGACAGCAGGTTTAATTTCTCTTGGAGAGTAAGGTTTTGGTTGAGCCACTGAGGGTAATATCGCAGCCTTGTATACATTGTTGGGCTCAATATATTCGATATCATCTAAACTACTAAGGTAGGTCATGAAAGAAGGATTAAATGATCCAGAAACAGCTTTAAAGTTTTGACCAATATCGATATTTTTTATAGCCGCCATATCGGTTGCTAACTTTGATCCCATAATTTCATGTTTACCACCTTTCATGCCTTGAAAAGTGTTGTAATGATTTCTTATAAACGATGTGGATTCGAAGCCTAGTCAAAATGTGTGAGTTTCATAAAACGACCAGTCCATTTTATTAAGTATTTACCTGTCATATTTTTAAGATTGGATGCCTTTAATTTGATGATATGAGAAGGAAATTTGCTTGCACCTGGTACTGCACTGCTTCCATCTGTGACTACCAAAGCAGTACTAATGCTTGAAAGGAGACAAATGGCAGAAAGGGAAAATGTAACCTTCATTGTTGACTATAGATAAATAAACTTATGGATAAAAAAGAAATACTTGCAAATAAATAAATAAGCTATTTATAATACTTTTATTTTAAAACATTATTCCATTTGGTTTCATTCCTTTTTCGTTCTATGATAGATGTATTTGGATGCTGATACGTCCAGCCCCCCACGATGGGGGAAAAAGCGACTCGGGTTTGGGGTAAAGAGCTTATTGTTTGCTACGAGCAAATAAATTCTCTGCATATAACACAAGGTTTGTTAGGAGATCTCAAAATACAAAAACCTTATTTTTACCGAATTACAGTATTTCTCCTTGCTTGATTTTACAAAATGAAAAAAAAAGGTCTTGATTCTCTCTGTCGTCATTATTTTCAACCTCCTCATCTTCAGCTTATTCATCTTACTCTAAATAGCAAGGATTGCACTGTAACTAGATGAGTGATGAGACTGTAAATAACTGAGATCACACTGTCATCTTCTTCCTTATCACTATCCTGATCATCTGTTTGGTTTCTTTGTATAAGCAGTTCTGGAGCATTTTCTGGAACGTTGGAGGCAATTTCAATAATCAAGTCATCTCTAAGTTTGGGCCAGATGACTTGTGTCGTGCTGTACTTTGGTTTTCCCTTTCCTTCGCCACCAATCAAATGTGCAAGCTTGTTTAATGAGTTCTTTTTTTTTCGGTTTCAATTTTCTGTCGTTGATGCTTGACACATAGCACTTCAAAACACAGTCAATTTATGTTTGATACTTTCAGTATTATTAACTTACCTAAACACCATGAACGCGCTTTATTATCCTTTCGATCCCTCCTTTATCGACAGCCCCTTTAGTGATGGGGAAGCAACAGTGATCAATTTACTTCATTACATATCATCAAATTCTAAGCTCATAAATACAAAGTCGAATCCCATTATCATCATCAATGGATAGTGGCTATGGACGTTATCATTGTCAATAAATGAATTCACATGATGCTTTGCCATTAATGTAAGCCTCAATTTGTCCTGATAAAACTTGGTTGTTTCAGCTACTTTGGAAAATTCACACATCGAATAATCACCCTCTTTGCAACTCATGGTTGATATGATTCTTGGATCAACCTTTGGTGGGTCTTAAGCATATTTAAATATGAATGACATCGTATCCCCCTTGACAAAAAGCTTTATGTATTGCAAAGGCTTCTGTGTCAGGGTTTTAAATCAACTTACCAGTGCAAATAGGCCTTAGATGTACTGAACAGCTCCTCGAACATATGGCTCCAAAATTTCAATTAAAATCTTCTTCGGAGTAAAGAAGTATATTATTGGAATTGAGACTGTACGGCTTATGGACATGTAAATTAAGATGACTAGTAGAAATATAATAAAGTTAGACATATACACTAAAAAATAAATGAAAAAACACTACCATAAAACGTGAGACCTCTTGTTGAACTCGTTGGGTTTTTATTGCTGGATCAATTTTTAAATGGTTTTCAATTTTCCAGACAAGCTTTAATCCTTCCTCAGTAAATTTAGATAGTGATGATTTCCAAAAAATTTGGAAACTTACGGTCTTTAATATTTTGATAATGAGATAGTCAGTGCTACAAGGACAATTTTTACGCGAATCTTGTTTTGGCATTTGTCTTCACTGCTTTGGGTAATGGACTGTTTGGGAAAAACACTGATGGAAAGAAAATTATGGTGATAACTATTTATACTTTATGACTACCCTTTTAATTTTACATTGTTACCTAATAACTACAACCCTCTTTATCTAAAACGAATATCGTATTAGAAACGCTGAAGTAAATTCCGGCTTCCAGCTTAAAGCTTCCAGTCTTTATTTTTTTCTTTGACGGATATCTAATAAAGTTTTGCATGCAAAACTTAATATTTGAGGGTCTTTCTTTTGTGTCCGTCTTTTATACCCCAGGTTTTTACCCGGAATAAGATATAGATGGAGAAGGAAATAGACATATTGTAATGAATTGATGGGGTACCTATGCTGCCGAAAGATGGTAGTTAGGAATGTTATTGGACACGGGAAAAAATCTGGAAATGGATTTATTTTCTGGAGCACTTTTTGCGTCAGCAAATTTAAAAGCAATCAGTTTTTTAGATTAACTCAAAAATTTTGTTTAACTACAAACAGTTCTGCAGCCAAGTAACGGCTATTTAGGATTAGGCGACAATAATTTTTAAGTTTGCGACATTTAATCTTTTGCAAAACGACAAATTCCACTGTTCGCTCTGTATCTAATAAAATTTGGAATAGATAGATTTCGTCTAAATATTTTTTTTTGTGTATGTCTGAAATAGATTAAATTTTTAGAAAGGTCCAAAAACCAAATAATTTGAAGGTTAGATACATCTTGACATAATAACATACGGGCAATTTAATGTCCCTACACCAGATATCTTGTAATTTATATTAGCCATGAAGTAATAAGCAACAAAAGATTAGTTTCTCTAACTGTGCACTTTAAATGTATTGATATCGATGTATATTAAAGTGAGTACAACATTAACATAGGATGATATAGATGAGACACGCATCCCATTCCCTCGTTTATTTATTTTTTTGTTTGTACAAAGGATTGACCTTTAAAAGGTTTCAGAAACGGGACATTTTGGTTTTTTTAATTACTAGGAGACTTCTATGAATCCGCCAAATCTTTCTGTCTCCACTTGGAGCCATACCGTGAAATGAAGAATATGCAAATTCCACTCATTACACTTAAGACAGATAGTAAAGTCATAGACCAGCCATTACCTATCTTTTCGATCAGTGTTGGAGCTATTAAAGGTGTACACCCAGCTGAAATACATCTTAACAGATTAGCAGCACTCATGACCGAAGCTGAATGCTTTTGATATGCGTCAACAATATATGTATTACTTGGCGTTTGTACTACACCTACACCAAGTCCCACTTTCATAAAGGATGTTAGCCTATTGTTGCATGCTGCTATTTCTATTACTTACATAAAAATAGGCCTGAGAGACTGGCCATAACATGAATATTTAATTGAGTGCACCATCCATATATGAGCTGCCCTGCTGGAAGTAGTAATATACCGATCCACATTGGTCGTAATCGTAATTCAGGAACCCGATTTTCTGGATTTACAACTTTGCCGAGCGCTCTATCTGACATCTTTCCAGAAGCAAGAGCACCCAGGGCATTACCTACCCCATTTGCTAGAAACGCAAGTCCAATTTGGTAACTAGAAAAACCATAATGCAAAGCCAGTTGATGGGGTAGACTTGAAATTACGAAGTACATGAAACCATATGCCATTGAATAGGGTGTAGTGGCTAGAATAACAACAGGCTTTGTAATAAATTGAAATGGTCTGGCCATACTTTTTAAAATACTTTCTTGTGGGTCGTCATCTTCATCCAGATATCCTTTCTCCTTGTATTTTTCTCTTTTCCTGAGAATTTTTGCTGAAGTTTCTGGTAAACAAACCAACATTAATAGAAAGACAACCCCTCCCATAATTGCCAAAAACCAAAAAATATAACGCCAATCATATACTAATTTAGCAGTTAACTTCTTTTTTCTTTCATGATTATCTCCAATTATGTATATTTTACACATACATTCGTTTATAAAGCCACCGGCAATCGGGCCCACAACAGGACCAATAAGTGGACCTAATAGAAACAACCCCATTGCATTACCTCGCTCATGTATATCAAACAGATCCGTGATCGTTCTATGTATATATTAATGTTTTTTGTTTGTTAAAATTATGAAATATGCATACCCCGCACCCACGGCTTGTGCTGCACTTGCACCGATTGCTTGGAATGCACGCAAAACAATAAAAGGTATAACAGAATATGTTAGTGCACAACCAATTGTAGCTATAATATATAGTAATGTAGATAACAGGTATATTGCTCGGCGACCATGGCGCTCAGAAAGTGAGGCCCAAAGCAATGGCTTAAAAAAAGTTGATTAGTCACTGATTGAATGCGTATAATTATAATATTACAGATAAACCCATTGTAAAAACATAGAGTGATATAGTAGCATTTATGGATGTATTTGATGCACCAAATGATTGTTTTACTTGCACAATTGCAGGGACCTATTGTAAGTAGTAAGTTACGTGATATATATTGTAGTTATCTTGCAATACGTACATATATCGAACTGCTTAAAGGCCCAAGAAATCCTTGCAAAGCAACAATTAACAGGATGAACCATTTTTTCCTTCGAGAAATAACATTCTTTGGGGCAGTATTAGCAATATTTGACAATAATTGAGTAAAAATTAACCTTTATAGAGTAGATGTCGACGTTTTTATCACTAAAGCTGTCACACACTGTTGTTTCGCATTCCTCTTTACTGAAAAGTGTTGTACTGCTATCATTAGCAACGTTGTGGTTTTCTTCATACAGCCTGTTTTTGTAAAAGGCTGAATTCTCTTTAATAGGCGGATCCACAATTGTCATGATATAATCAATCAAAAGGAGGGTAAGAAAAATGGTAAGAAATAAATTTGGCCCTTTAACGGGAATTTTTGAAAACTTGGTAACAAATAAACATTTGGCTAATTTTATTTTGAGCCAGAACTATAACTCATGTGCTTATTTTTTAATTAGACACACTTTTTTGGTATAATTATGTTAAGGGTTGGCTTTACAAAAAACAAATCGCAAAAGAAATGTTTTAGACAGTCATAGTTCGATTTTCATAAAGTATGCAATGTTTTGCTAGTACAGGTATTTACAACGAATTAGAAGACAGACAAAATGTCTGATACTAACGCTCAAACCCAAAGTAATCCAACCTTTGGTGGCGCAATACTGTCCAACTCATAAATAACTATGTCTTGGCTCGATTTGATCATTGCAATAGCTTGCTTACTAGATAAATCTTAGATATTCTCGATGTACGTAATGTGATTTCTTTGTTGTTGTTTCGATTCAAAGTGTCAAGCAAAATATTGATAATATTATTGAATATTGAAATGTAGATATCATATTTGTGTCTATCTAATCGTGAAAATCTGTTTTTACAAAACAACTAATACGTTGTATAATTCTGGGCGCAAAAGGTAGGAGTCAAAAGCAATAAGAACAAGTTTTACACTTTTACTGTGATTACAAAAATACGAAACATATTGGCCAATGAAAGTCAGTCTAGTGTAATCCATACACACTCCGATAAATCTATTCAACTGTAAAAGGACCGAGTATAGCAAACGCCATATTTTTCACCTCTTTTATTAAACAAGTTGCGTGAAAATGTATTCATCTGGAGGCAATCCCAATTATCAATATGCTAACCAGGGTTATGGTGCACCATCGAAGTCTCCTCCTCCACTTCAACATCCTGTTCCCCAACATCCCATTCCCGATTTCGGTACAGCGGTTCATCAGTCTACGCCTTCTCCCAGCTTACAACACCAACAGCATCAATATCAGTACAACCAAAATATGTCACAACAGCCCATGATGCAGCAACAAACTCCCATGATGCAACAACAGTCTCCCATGATGCAACAGCAGTCCCCCATGATGCAGCAGCAAACGCCTAAAATGCAGCAGCATCAAGCTTATGACCCTAACGCTTATACACCACAACCTCAACATCCAGGACAACAAAACAATAATCTTTATACTCAATTTGGATTCAACGATCCTGCTGCTCAAATGGGTATGCAATTTGCAGGAAGTGCTATGGCTCAAGGCTCTGCTTATGTCGAGAAAAATGTAGGTCGTGTTTAATGATATAGCAAAAGAGCTCATTTAATAAGCTTTTGTAGTTTAACAGATGGGTAAACATGCCAGCACTGAGGCATTACTTCAACGTGAGTAATTCTTATGTCATGACAAAATTAAGACTGTTACTATTCCCTTGGAGAAACTCTGTAAGTTAAAATTTACGCGTAAAAATGATCATATTAACCAGAGATAACATAGTCATGGAACCGTTTAATAATGAGATCAGAGACAGGCCAAATGGAAGGGTTTAAACCACCTAGAGAAGACATCAATTCGCCTGATTTATATATTCCAGGTAAAAAAAAAAAGAGGGGCTAGTTTATCTATCAGAAAATGTAGTTAAGACTTCTCAAACAGTTATGGCGGTTGTCACATACGTTTTGCTTTGTGGTTTGGCAGCTGGTCTTCATAAGAGGTAAGTTTTGGCTTGGTAGTATGTATGACAGTAACTTACATTTATTGTATATAGCTTCCATCCTGAAATGTTGTATATTGCTGTATCGACATCTGTAGCTGTCGTGTTTTGGGAGATTGTTTACACTAGATTAGGCTGTTACTTTTTGAGCATACCTTTCGAGGCTTCCATGCTTGATTTGGTGTCTTATTATGGTTATAAGTTTGTTGGTATCATCGTTACTGATGTTGTGAAGTTGTTAGGAGGAACTGGTTATATCCCATGGCTCGTCTTTTTCTATACTGGTTTGTGTGTCAGCTTCTTTTTGGTAATATACTTCACAACAAGTAAACAGAATGTTGGTTTAACTTTTTTTATTTCTAGCTTCGTTCTATGCGATACGTTATTTTACCTGATGCAGCTGCGGGACCATCTACCATGAATCCTCAACGCAAAAGACGTTTGTGGTTTTTGCTTACTATCGCAGCTCTTCAAATTGTTTACATGTTTTTCCTTGTTAACTAAAATAAAAAAATATTCATCTTATCGATACTTTAAAAAATAAAGCAAAATAGCATCAAACAAAAAAGTGTTTATTTAATAATCCTCTTCGGGATCCTGCTCCCCCGCTGGCATAAATTCGGCTTCAGGCTCACATTGGCGAAAGATTTTTTCAGCTTCCTCTGATGCGCTTTGAAAATTCAGTGATGCATCTGGATCACTGCATGGTATAATAGTCTTTGGAAGGGCCCATCCTTCTCCCTTTGTACTATGAACACGCTGTTCATAAAAACAATTGAATACACATTCAATTTGTGTCTCATCAGTTGTTTTCGAAAGTAATAATTTAGCAGCCTTCTTAAGAACATCACTTTTTTGGGATGTGCTCCACAAATAAGTCACATCTGATAAACCGTCAGCGTTTTTCGAATCAATATTACGTCTTGGATATAAAACTTACATTGGCCTTTAGGACAAGCCATACTCTCTTGGCTTTGGTGAATACCATAAATAGGTCCGTCTGAGTTCCCGGCCTCACTTCCAGGAGGAAATACTGAATAGCTTAATCCATCTGCTGTAAACGCTTCAATATTAGCACTTGCGAGAGGAGAGTATGTTACAAGCATAGCTCTCGATATCCAGGTACTATGATGAATCACGTCAATATTTGCCTATAAAAATCATTTTCCGCATACCCAAAGTCTTTTTCCTGTGGTGTCCATGATGAGTTCAAGTAATCAATACCCGAAATTATCTTTCCTGACTTGTATTCCTGTCCTTCCTTCGTGACAATTCCATTTATTTCTTTTGTCTCATTATCCACTGTATATTTCATCAAAGATTGATCTAAAATGTAAATACCACCGTACACAGCACACACTCTACAAAAAGCCTGAGCAATTTCACTACCACCACCGTAAAGTGGGCAGAGATAGGCACCTTTTCCGAATCGGCCCATTGATTGTACAAATTTTTGTGTGTTCTGAAGCCCGTTTTTAGCTGAAGCTATGACAAATCATTCAGACAACTTCCTTATGGTATAATCCTCATGGACTTACCTTTATCATCGACCATGGCGATGGCATAGATAATAGCCTCCCCTAATTTCCCTGTAATTTTAAATCTTTCTTGAAGAAGATTGACAAAAGTCATATTCTCTGTCCCTTCCAGTAAAGCATCGGTTACATCATAATCCATGGCGAAAGTAAAAAACTTCATCAACTTTCTCTTTTCTACAAGACTAATCGACTTGTTGGTAAAAACATCTTCTTTTGAGCTCGGAACCTGCAAACATGTGTGAATTATCTTAAAACTGACATACATGTTGTGTGGATCTTTACTTTTTCTAATGTATTTGAGGCTTGTTCATATATATAGATGTCATCTACGCTTTTGAACTCCAAATATCGTCCAACACCGCTCGTAATCAAAGTCTCGACCATTGAATCCCGGGACCCTAATAGCTTTGGGGTGGAATCCAAATTATATGATCTTGAAGTCTTAAGTAATTCCGTAAACAGTTTCATCTCAGCTGTAGCTTCACTGGAGTCTTTAAAAAAAGATTTGAATAAATCCTTATCAGTATCAGATATCTTTGCACATAAATCCTCCTTTGTGGTGTCCTCTTCCGAAACATTTTTAGCAAACAAATTCAGCTCGACGTTACGAAAATTGGAAGCATAGTTTCTCTCATAGTCCACACTCAAGTCACCTTCTACAATGAACGTTAGGTGTCCATGAACCTCCCATTACTTTTAAGTTGCTTACCAATCAATGATTCTCCCATCACTTGATTTATGAAGAGTGAGGTTAACGTTGAGTATTATGAGTTTATTTAGTCAATTACCTTTTTTCATATCAACAAACCATTGTACTAATTCCCTGAAACCAAAAACTCTCCAATTGCCACCGTAGCTTTGTTGGCTATCCAAATGAAGTATCTTTTTACCGGCTCTTGCTAGTGAACTATAAACAGATGAGACAATCTCCTGGAGTTACAATAAATGATGAAATTTACCCAGCCAAAATAGACTCAATCAAGCCAGTTCCTAGCACAATGTAGTCAAAATTTGTTTCTTCCAAATTCTCAGACATTTATACCCAAAGACAGAGATGTACTGTTTCCGTTCCCGTCAGGACAATAGTTTTGGGAATTGTCATGAAATTAATGGTCACGTAAACCTTAAATGTTAAGTTTTTCGCATGATAGTAATGGCCGACCTATGAACTTGAGTACTATTAAGACTTATACCATAGAACTCTGGTGGCTGAATTATTACAACTAAATGTATTTACGGCTGTTAAGATCAATAAATAAAGATAAAAACCATTGAGAATGTCTTTGAAGTCTTCAATAGAGACAATAAATTAAGTTCATACTAGCTCTTAGCAGAAACAGAAATCGTGTCCAGTTCTCCAAGATTGGTATGAGATGAAGCTATTCTCTGTCTATAAGGATAAAATTTTATAATCACTTTAAAACACACGAATCATTATTACGCTTTATACAAAATATCATTATGTCATAAATTGTTTAAAATGACGTAAAGAAAGAAAGAGTGATATTGAGCTTTCGAGATAGATAGCTCCGTCATATATATAAACTTGAAACAATATCTGGTATCCGATCCAAGATCTAATTCCTCAAAACCACTGGAAGCCGTAAGGTATACACCCAAAGAGAATAGTAACTGGGATTAAATTGATCCCAAAAAATTGTAAAAAAAAAACTGCTTTCCCTTTTTAACATTTAAAAACCTACTCTCCTCACACAATGAAAAAAACTACAAGACGCCCAAAGAGGAAGGCTGCTGCTAAGACAAAGCCTATTAGTGACGTGAAAGAGGAACTTAAAGAGCCCTCTGTGACATGGACGCCACTTCAATTGGAGCAAGCTGAATTGGCAAAGCAATTAGAAACCTACATTAATGAATTTAAACAGAAGTTACAATGGCTTAATTTCAAGCCGACCAACAGAGAACTTGTAACATTATTTGTTATGAATTTGCACCCTCGTTTTAAGCGTCTTGTTGAACCACTTGTACCTACCTACGCTACCTGGGAAGACGCTGCCGAATTTTCAAGGCTTCATTGTACAAGAATTTCGGTGATACTAGGCTGTGAACGACATGATTCGGACATGATTTTTAGATCTCCAGAATCAAAGGCTTTGATTAGCTCGGGATACTTTATTTCAAATGATAGTCCTGCAAAAAGTTTGTATCCCGGAGCGGAAGCTGTAAAGCATCTCTTGACAGCAACGCCGTCACTACCGACAGACCCGACATCAGAATCAGAATCATACTCCTCCTTAGTGATAGCCGCAGAAGATTTGTCGACAGGAGAACAGACAGGGAACATAAGTGGGGAACCCAAAGAGAAAAAGAAAGAGGCTAATGATGAGCCAGTGAAAGATGAAGAAGCGTCCAAATTAAACGACGAAGAGGCTTCTAAAGTAAATAACGAGGAATTATCCAAAGTGCCTAACAATAACACTTTCGAAGAAGCCAGCGAAGACGCATCTAAAGTAGCTATTGAAGACGCATTTAAAGTAACCATGAAAGAGACTTACATAGCAACCAATGAGGAGATGGACAAAGCAACCAATGAAGAGACAGACAAAGTAACCAATGAAGAGACATCCAAGGTGGTCGTTGAAGAGACATCCAAAGCAATCATTGAAGAGAAGTTCAAAGCAGACATTGAAGAGACAGATATTGAAGAGACAGTCAAAGCCGACATTGAAAAGACAGACAAAGCGGACATTGAAAAGACAGATAAAGCAGACGTTGAAAAGACAGACAAAGCAGATATTGAAAAGACAGACAAAATAGTCATTGAAAAGACAGACAAAGTAGTCATCGAAGAAACAGACAAAGTAGTCATTGAAGAGACATCCAAGTTAATTACCGAAGAAACTTCTAAAGAAAACAACAAGGAGACGTCCAAAGTAAATGAAGGGACTGGAGTATTCGATAATGATTCAAATCAAACCAAACAGGAAGAGACTCGAACGGATGAGGCTGTGCATATTGATGCAAAGAAATTGAATGATACAGGGACGTCTAAAGATATAAACCAAGATGTAGAAGAGCATAAGGAGAAGCAGAGACAAGATACCAAAGTCATTCCAAAAGATAAGAAAACTGATGACGAACATAAAAGTAATACGGATACAATCCTGAATGAAAAAACAGATGACAGACCGACTAAAGAAGTAACAGAGAAGAAAGATCACCCATCATCTATGACTAAAAGTGCAGTTCAGGCAAGAATCCAACAGGCAGTAAAGAATAAAAAGGAAAGAGAAAAAAAGCTTGCGCTGCCCAAAGGTGCTACATCTAACAGCTCGACCAATAAGAGTATATGTTATAGCGTGCCGGATGAACATGCGGCAGTTAATTTGGCTTTCCTTGAATTAGAGGTGAACGGGAAGAAAGTCAAGGGACTATTGGCTAAGCTACGCTGGGGTGCCTCCGCTATGTCTATACCTTGTGCCAAAAATCTCGGTCTTACCATTAATGAAAGTAGTAGCTTTTGTATCCAAACGGATTTTGGGATCGAAGACACCATTGGCTATCTAAAGATGCCTATTATTCATCCTGCAGACCCTGATATCAAAGCAGAACTGAATGTACATATATTGCCGATGATTTATGGTGGTAAAGTGGATCTTGTCCTTGGTGCTGATTTCTTTTATATCTTTAAACCTACATTGAATATCAAATCAAGGGCGATTCGTTTTCTTGAAAAAGAAACACCCTACATCGTTAGTAAAATTGAATAAATCATTGTTTCGCATACCTAATATGTCTAAGCGATTAAAAATCGGGTTTGAGATGATAATAATCGTTGCAACGGGTGTCGTGTCGTTATAATTTAGTTATGGGGGCCATCTGCCACTAAAGAAAAATGAGTTCTAATTATGATTTTTATTAAAATAGGCATTAGACAACTATTTCCAATCGTTTTAAACTATGCTTTAGATTTTATTAATGACGTTTTTATTTAAGGATACCTTGTTCCATAATGGACGCCCGTGTAATTAAATAATTTATCAAGTAGATTACAGAAACTGGTAAAAACCAAACTGCTAATAAAAAATCGACGATCCTTTTATTGACTTACCATTATTGATTATTCCTGATCAGTGTGCAGAGGATCTATGACACTTGGCGCAAGTAGTTGCATCCTGAAACGAGATTTCAAACCTAAGAAAGAAGTGAAAGAGTTGATTTTCATCAAAATCCAGTTGAAGACGGGACAGCTTTCGAATGCAAATCATAGTTATTACTTTGTTTAAAATACCTTTGAGGCGGGTGTTAAATGTGGGAGGAGAACTGCTTGTTTGGGCCTTCAGGACACATCAAATCAACTCATTGCATTACATAATAGTGTCTATTTTTTATCTTTTCAATTCAAGAGTTTGGCTATAACCTTTACCTATGATGGGTTTTATTATACTAGTATGAGGGCCGTGAATATTCTAGATAATGTTTGAAGTCAACATTTTCCAATGTTTGCAACGAAAGACAATGCTTTCACAATGCACATCTGGGAAAAAAAGTGAGAAAAATTATATAAAAAAAAATATGTTGCTTTATTTTTCTGCCTTTTTCTTTTCTTTTCCTTTTTTTCTCCTTCTTCCTACATAACATGTGGAGATCTTGGGTCGATAGAATAAATACAATTAACAAGATACCTGAGGAATCTCAGGTATCCAAGGAAGACCTGATAAAGTATGACTTCATTCTCTTATATCGCAACAATACTCAAATTTTGTTCCCCTTTTGTAGACAGGAACAACAGCGGGCACGTTTTCGTGACATTTGGCAAAAGTGTAATGATTTGCTGTCTAATGAACAGGTACTTGAATATTATTTCAACCTCACCGCGCTTCGAGTAGACGTACTAACCAAGGACTAGGAACGCTCTGAGGCATTTTTATTGGAGCTACTTCCATTGTTTTGTGAGACTTATGAACAATTCGGCGTCAGTTTTACATTTAGCACCATTCCAGATGACCGTACTTTTATTAGTCTAATAACCAAAGAGCTCATAAGTGGAATACGTAAGGTCCCCGAGCATAAAAGTAAAGCGGAATCAAGCCAAGGTATATAGCATAATATACAATTTAACGGGATTGAGGCTGAAGAAAATACTTTATAGCATTGATGGACAATCTAAGGTCGAAATCCCATTTGTACAATGTGATACGAGCTATCCAAGTAGTCTCTTTTGGTCCCGTAAGAGTGAATTTAAAATACAGTTTTTTTTAGACTACAAAAAGTGCTAACCCTATTTATAACTAGGAATCTATTGTCATACTCATGTTACAACAAAGGATTCCAAATGTTATCATTAAACTGTTTCGTTCATTCATTGATTTATCGCCAAATTATTACCAGATTCAATACGAGGATGATATGGAATTAGCCACGATTTCAGATACAGGGGATATTATAGCAGGTATTTTGAAGCAATTTGTTCAGAATCATTCTGTATTGCATCGAATGATTACAGAAGACACGTTTTTTATGATCATACGTATTATGTCTGCCAAACCTGTAGAATCAGTTCCACAAGACGCCGAGCCAGCCTACATGATTTGGAAATACAGGTAAAACAAAAAAAAGTCAATATGTTAGGAGAGCTTTATTCAAAAGAAAAAATAGAACTGTCGATATTTTAAAATCAGTTGATATGAATGGAGAAGTCGTACAGTATCTTCACAGTCGTCGATGTATTGATTTGATGGTTCGAACTTGGAAAGAATACATTACAAAAGGATATTTGACATTTGTGGATCACAGAGAAATATTGCTGGGCTTAGATTTACTGTACTACCAATTTCGTGGTTCTGCAAAAATACAATTTCATGGTCTTTTTGAAGAAATGAGTCAGGCTTGCGGTTATGAGGAACTATGCAAAGTATTGAATACCGGCCCATTCAACGAAAATGTATTAACTTTAAAGGTAAAAAAATGGCTTTTCATATAATATATAAACGCCAATATACACTTAAATATATATTGCCGATCCTGACAATCATCATAGATGGAAACCGTAAATAGACTTATGGAAATTTCCTATGTTGGAAAGATTACCCCCATCCCATCTATGTCTGATGGACTTCCATACCAACATGAAGGTAAAAATAGATATTAATTGCAAAACCATAATAATACTCACACACTATGGTAGACTTCTCAACCCCTCAGCCAAAGGGTCTTACAGGTAATTTATTAAATTTGCCTTTTCCTGAACAGTGTTAATTTGTGTCATTTTTTTTATAGACAAAATAGTCAAGAATATCCAAGCTTTTCAATGTTTATTGGCTTCTTTTTTATACCCAGCCTCAGCCGACCCCCCGCTCAGGCACCAACTACTAACCTTGTTGCATATCAAAATTTTTAATGCCATCAAAGATATAATTGAAATTCACCCTTGTAATTATTTTGTCATCGAACGTACAAATGCTGTACCTCAATTCATTGAAAGCATGGAAAATTATGAATCCGAAATTCAAGAAGGGATTATGAAATTATTGATTTTTATTATGGTGGACCTTAACTTTGTTCCCTTAAAAGAGCTCGCTGTTTTGTCGCTTCATCTTCAAAGTAAGCATTATAGAATCTGAATCACTCTCATGTATTAAAAAATATTAATAATAGGTAGCTCTTCTGGTAAAATGATTCCTCTAATCTGTTCTAACTTGACGGAATTATTAAAGGCGTCATCCAAATTCTTTGTTGTTGTACAAGAGGCTGGCCTCCTTAATATCATGAGCTTGATGCTTTCAGACATCACAGAGAAACTGCAAGAGAATACAGTATTACAAAAACAAAATGACGAGTTTTTGGACAATGCACTTAACCATTTTGATCAAGTCATCGACTGTCTTATCGCCATGACATCTACTCCAGCCAACGTCACCATCTTCAGAAAATCGTAAGTTCTTATCATTCGTCAGATACAACTCTATCTAACGTGTATTATAGTTATCGTGGTAATCTTTTTGATTTACTTCAATACCCAAAAACGAGAATAGGCGCGTTAAAGTTATTCGAAAATCTTTCTAGTCATGCCAACGATCCCAAATCATCGTCCGACAATTCACCCGTAGCTGAAGTAGGAAATGCATTTGGTAGAATTATGGAGGCCATCCAGTTTATTCCTAGAGACGATCTCGAATTTCGTTTAGAAGTATTAAAGACCATTCATCGCATTTTTAAAGCACATCAATCAACAAGAGATATTTTCAGACGGGTAGGTGGATACGTCAGTTTGGTCTCCATGATTGTAGCATTAGAAGGTGCATTCGAAAAACCAGAACGGTTTTTTAATGAAACAGTAAATGATTTGGATTCGGTACGTGTTAAAATTGTCGCCGTCCTGCAGACTATCTTTTCAGTACTTGCACAGTCTATGCATAATCACGAAGTGAACAAGAATTACTTTATGAGAGATGTGGGTTATGTCTCACTCGAAAATGCAATTACGCTGACAGGTGCTTTGAACAAGAACTGCATACCAAATCAAGTTTTTGGTATTTTATTTGCATTTGCAATTGACGATGAATCTATCTATGACTTGTTCATTGATAACAATACACAAAACGAAGCTGAAGGCGAGAGTATGACAACTATGACTTTGGATTATTTTCGTCGCCTAGAATTAGTATTAAAAGCGCCCTCCGTTAGACTTGTCAACTCTGAAGTCACGCCTACCATTCTTCATCTTCAGAAGTTTATTTCTTCCGACGATTCTCAATTATCAAGGGCTATTCTTTGCGCACTGAATGCGCTGGCTCAAGCAAGCCGTAGAAATCAAGTAAAAATGAACCGTAGTGGATTGATTTTGGAATTATTAAAACGTGCGTTTTCACAAGACACAGAAGATGCTGAACCCACACCAGAGAAAGAAATGATGATTCAGATAGTGAAAAAGCTCATGAGCATGGGTGTCAGTTTTGAAGAACTTCAATACATGTTTAAGAGGTTTGATGTTCAATCAGAATCGTACGACCTGAAGAGTCCACCTGGCCTGATGGACCTTATCTTACAAGGCGCTTCACGTAGCCGATGGCCTAATTTCATACAATTCGATATGGGCCTCAATCAATGTACATCTGTAGAAATACCTCAGCTTACAAACTTCCCGCCAGCCAATCCTGGTTACACGTTTTTAGCTTGGGTCCACATTGAAAGACAAGACAACACTTCCAATCTTTTATTATTTAGTGTATGGGATGATAGAACCTTGGTTTTTAGAATCTATGTGGATGCTAAATCAAAAATGTTACATGTATACAACGCTTATTCCAAGCAAGATATTGTGTTTGGAAGTTTCGAATTCCATGTAGGGTTTTGGTATCACCTTGCTATTGTACACCATAAATCTCGATTGTCTATCAAGTCAAGTACCATGACATTGTACGTTAATGGCGTGTCTATTGAACAAGGCAGCTGTCCCTATATTCCGCCACCCTCATTTCCTGGGGTTCCTCATAAGGCTGTCATTGGCACTCTTAACAATGAGCAGAGTAAGGATCCTCAGTTGATCTGGGATTTAGGTCCTACCTACTTGATTCAAGACATCTTAGAGAAGGAAGCCATTAATTTGTATTTTAACTTGGGTGCACGATATAAATCTCTCTTTCAAGACTCTTTACGACAATTCCAAACATACGAAGCCGCCACATCACTTTTTCTAGCTTTACGTAGCATGTCAAAACCTCAACGTCGTGAGTCTGCCCAGCAATTAACAACGGCTATAAAGAACGCAGCAATACAATCAATTCCTGAAAGCAAGATTATTTTTGCATTTTTTGCAAGTAATACATTATCGGAGGGCACAAGAACTGGATTGACTTTGACCGGAGTGAGTGATGCCACTGCAATAACAATTGCAGCTGAAGTAGATTGTTCTCGGTTAATCTTAAATTCGGCTATACCAAAGCTTGATACGGCGGTTTATATGCCTACCAACATGGGCTATCTTGTAGGTGAACCAATTGTTGCGTCTCCGTTTGGTCTCGATGAGTCTATTTGGAAAATTGGTGGATGCGCTATTGCTTTAAAGCTTATTGAAAAGTCACAGGTAAAAATGATAAAAAGATGCAGAGTCAGGAAGTAACGTAAGCTAACCAAGAATATTAAAGACTGTTGAAAGTTTAAGCAAATCAACTGCTATTCTTTTCGAGATTATTCGTTATTCTTGGCGTAATTCTGAAGACATGGAAAGGTGCCATGGATATGAAATCCTAGCCTATCTCTTGAAACAAAAGAGAGAATTGATAACAGTTGAGTTGTTCGAGTTGTTATTGACGTTTATTGGAAAAAACCCTCAATCGCCAGAGTAAATGTTTAAATCCTCCTTTCCCCCACCCCCCCGCTTGCGATATACATGTAACTAACAAACACTGCTAATTATAGAGATTCAGTAATCAATAATCCTTTAGCGTACCGCTTTGTTATTTTGAATTTTGAGATTTGGAAAAAGACCTCGATTCCTGTTCAAAGAGCTCAGTTGGATCAATTTATTTTGTTCTTGAATACGAGTAAAATGAGAAACTTCAACTCGAGACGTCTTCCGAAAATTCGTAAGTTCTCCAAACAAGCATTTTTTATAATACATATTAATAGTTGATTTCAGATCTTGTGAAAAAAGTTCTTTTAGCCTTCAGAATGAATATTTATGCCAAAGAGCTGATTCCTCACCTTGTGGATTCTTTAAAGGCAATCATGTTGAGTAATTGGAATACAGAAAGTATTCGAGCTGTCGCTACATTTTTAGCATCTACAGTTTCTAAAGGTAATATGTTTATAACCCGGGGTCTTATTTTGCATAAATCCTAAAATCTGTTCCTATAGCTCCTCCTGTACCATCTTCTGCTAGGCCTTCGGTCTCTGTGAAACGATCCGATAGTACCAGCTCTAACTCAAATTCAACTATAGCCGATCCTGAAGGCTCAAATACAGCCGTTGAGATTATTACTGACACAAAACACAGTGGACAAACCAACAAAACCGTTCAAATGCGTAATATTGTACTTGAAATGCTTCACGATATTTTATGTGATAAATCCATTGGACCCGACTATGTCAACAAATTTGCTGTCACCATCACCAATAAATGGCCCCTTCTTTTCTTTGCCTCCAACATCAACTCTTTTACTGTCGTTTTGGCATCAAGAATTCTAGCTCGATTATGTATCTCACAAGGTCCTACGTACGTCACCAAATTTAGAACGGTCTCGGAAGGGTTTTTAGTGATGAGAAACTTGTTACCTGAATACTGGAATTTGTCACAACTACATGAGACTTTAATGATTATGATGATGGGCATCGATATTGCAGATTACCCTATATATAATACGTTTGATATCAACCATTTACGTACGTGTCTGCATGATAGTCAAGAAGGTAGCAAGCTAGCCATTCCCGATGTTTTACCTATCATTATAGCGTTATGGGACGAAGGCCGGAAAATTGTAGAAGGGCCTAAGCCTGTATTCCCACCTATTCTCAAAAGTCCTTTACGTCAGCGAAGTGGTAGTGTAATTGTTCGGCCTGTTAAGACTAACAAAGAAGCAACTCCAGCTAGCAAAGCCTTTATTTCTCGGACTATGGATGACTTCATCCAACTCTTTGATGAATTGTACAACTCTCGACCCGTGTTCAAAGAAGCCTGTAATAAGCAGGATGTGGTGGATTGCATAGTTCACATTCTGTTTTCTTCCGTGTGTCATACCAGTAACATGACGGCAGAATCTGAATTAAACTCCAAGGATGTGGTTCTTAACAATTTTGATCTGGATCATTTGGCATCGCCTTCTTCTGCTGTTTCATCGCCCATTGATGGGTCATCGCCCTACCTCGATCGTCTTCGTGATATGGATGATACTGCATCCATTGAAAGTGTTAATACTGGAAGCAGTATTATCAAGAGAGGTGGCACATCGTCATTGATGACAAAAACTTCGCCTCATGTTTCTAAACGTGGCCAAGCCTTTATGACAAGATTAAGGTAAAGCGGCTTTTTACTAAACCGAGTAGGAAAGTAACAATATCATTATATAGATCGGCTTCGTGGAGTCAGGGCAGTAATTTAGCTCCTCCTATGACCTTACAAGATCCTATGCTGGAGTCGTTACTGAATTTTGTTGTTAACATTTGTGTACAATCTATCGTAGATCCGCATAGTAAGAACTTAAATGGCCTTAGTTTGGTTTTTTCGGTAAGGGATCATATCTTTATCAATTCTTACATAATACAGTATTGATAAAAATTACATAGGCATTTCCACCTAGTACACATGAGCAACAATTGGTATTTGAAAGCTACTTGATGACACATATTGCCCAGAATATGAAGAGCACATTTCAATTGGATATGGACTTAATGCATGATCAAAGAATTTTGAGTAATTTATCAAAATTTGCACAATTGGCGGCAGACACTGTAATTCAAGGTCGATTCAAAGAAGGAGGAGCAGAGCAAACGTATGATCTCTTGGCTACACTTTTAGAAATTTTGCATACAGATGAATTCAACGGGCGTTATGGAATCCATGACAACTCAGTTTCGACATTGTATCGTGCATTTAATCGCATGATCCTAGTCAAAATTTCTGATTTAGAGCATGGAGAGCTTGATGCGCTTAAGACAGTTGCTTTCTTAGAATACTGTATTCATCACCAAAAGATTATTTTGAGTCCCAAAAACAATGACATGGATTTTTTGAGGTGTTTCTGTTATCATCTTTACCGCTATTTACTTTCAAATGATGAAAAAATACGAGATGCTGCCGCTAATGTAAGTTTTCTTTTCAGTCGAAACCTAAATACTCAATTTTTCGATTTGTTCTAGATGTGGAAACTATTGATTCTTCAAAAGCCAGATAGTGTATTTTCGATATTTAATGTTCGCGTCAAAGGAATTGAATCTGAGGAGCTTATTGACGGGTTTAAACAAATGCTTGAGATGGTAATTGCTGTTTCTTTTGCTCGATTTTTTGTACTAAAACCTTATGCAATGGTAGGATTTCGAGTCATTTTATAGATGGCTTGATTCGCGCAAATTTGAGCTGAACATATTATTTAGTGAACATATATGTAAAGCATGGGAAAACACCATTATGCAAGAGCACAAGTACAGCAGAGAAATGTTCAAGAACTATGTGACAAAACGTATAAACAAACTCAAAAAACTTCAAAAGCGTGAATACTATGAGCAAGAAGTCAACTTGGATTACACCAACAAAACATTGGCTTGGTCTCAAAGTATACAAGAAGTGGAAATGAGTCGATTCACAAAAGCGTTACAGGATTCGGATGGTCATGAAAATTTTATTCAAAGTGAATGGACACGTATATCAGCAGACCTAATGAGAGAAAGAGCCATTTGGGGACCTGAAAAATCAACCGATCTTAAATGGAGATTGGATTATACAGAAGGGCCAAACAGAATGCGTAAACGCTTACAATATATTTCGGATAATGATTATACGTCGTATCTTCCTAAGCAAACACACTCTCCTTCGGAAATCGCTACTAAATCTACTATCAGCTCAACTTTAATTGATATTGGCATGGAGGTTACTGATAAATTGGATGACGAAAACTCGATAAACAATGACCTGAATAAGGAGGATCAAGAAGAGGAGCAACAGATTGCATATGAGGAAGATAAAAATCGAAAGGTGCTCCGGCTATTAGATCAAGGCGACATGGTGCTAGACGTTTACAACATTAGTCAAATAGCTGGGTTAGATGCTAGTGAAGGTCTCTTGTTGCTTTGCAAAAACAATATATACTTGGTGGACAATTTCTTTCAATTAAGTGATGGCGAAGTTGTGGAAATTTGGGATGTACCTAAAGAAGAGCGTGATCAGTACCTACTTCTAGTGGCTAAAGCGGCTGGCATGGATACAGAACCCTTTATCAGTCCTTCTGGTGATTTACATTCCTGTAGAAAATGGGCGACAGCCGACCTTCGGGATGTATTCAAACGACGCTTCTTATTCCGGGATGTTGCGCTTGAAATCTTCTTTACAGACGGTCAGAATGCATTGATAACACTTGATCTCTCCGAACGTGACGAACTGTATTCTAAGCTTGTAAGTCGTGTATCAGTTCAAGAAGATGCTGGGGCAAACATCTTTGGGGAAAACAAGGATAGCGGTATTAGCAGTACTTTTAAACTATCAAGTATTTTCGGCACCTCCACATTACATGATTTGACACAACGGTGGGAAAGAAAAGAAATTACTAATTTCCAGTACCTCATGTATTTAAACGCCATTGCTGGTAGATCATACAATGACCTGACTCAGTATCCTGTTTTCCCTTGGATTTTGGCTGATTATCATAGTGAGGAACTCGATCTTGAAGATCCCAAGACTTTCAGAGATCTGACTCAACCGATGGGTGCTCAAACTGCAGAAAGACGACGTGAGTTCTCGGATCGTTACAAGCAATGGGGAGAGACTGACGATCCCACACCTGCTTTTCATTATGGTACACATTACTCATCGGCCATGATTGTATGTTCATTTTTAATTCGTCTCGAGCCATTTACACAACATTATCTCAAACTTCAAGGTGGTACTTTTGATCACGCCGATAGATTGTTTGATTCCATCGGCAAAGCTTGGGAATCTGCTTCTGAAAAAAACATGGGTGATGTCAGAGAACTGATACCCGAGTTTTTTTATTTACCTGAGTTTTTGACTAATGTTAACAAGTTCAATTTTGGCGTCAAGCAGGGCACTGGTGAAGCTATTGATTCTGTAGTATTACCACCTTGGGCTCATGGTGATCCAAAAATATTTATTCAGCGCCATCGTGAGGTAAATAGTTAGTCAACATGACTTTTATTATTCACGTAGACTTAACCCCTTTTTTTTATTATTATTATTACAATCATCCTTAGGCTCTTGAAAGCGAATATGTGAGTGTCAACTTACATCATTGGATTGATTTGATATTTGGTTGTAAGCAACAAGGACAGCCTGCCATTGATGCACTGAATGTATTCCATCACGTCTCTTATGAAGGCGCGGTTGATTTGGACTCGATTACAGATATTGTAGAGAAAACGGCGACGATTGGTATCATTAACAATTTTGGCCAAACACCTCGTCAACTTTTCAAAAAACCACACTCGTCAAGATTACCTTCAGTCATTGATTCTATGGCTCTAGGCTCGTATATTTTCCAGGACAATCTTGATAAATTAATGCAGTCTCTGATGCCCCTCCGTGGTAGTTATATATTGCTGTTTCATTACAACTCCATACTCATATTTTTTTCTACCAGATATCAAACAGCAAATAAGTCGTATTGATTTATACAATGATAAACTTGGTGTCACTTCTTGCCAACAGCTATTGATGCCTCCTGATGGTCTCCGATATATAGAGTGGGGTTTTACTGATAATAGTCTACGACTATTTTCTACAGATACGGGAAAGGTAATATTAAAGTTGTTAAAGAAAAGATGAACGAAAAGCTCTAACTTTTTTTAAAGCTATTAAATGTATTTGAAAATATGCATGTTGGATACATTAGTTCTGCGTGTTTTCCTGATTCCCGTACCTTAATTACAGGTGGTACTGATAATGTAGGTCTATAAAAAAGTATTCTTAAAAAAAGTTAATGTACTGAAAGTTTTCTGTAGCTTGTATGTATGTGGAAAATCAAAAACGAAAAGACTACAGATTTTGCACTTCTGGAATGTCTTAAAGGTCATACTGCTCCTGTTACTGCGATTGCGTCGTCTAGAACTTACAGCGTACTAATCACTGGATCTGAAGTATGAGTTTTATTTGACAGAAAAAATGATGTATTAACACTATTCAACAGGATAAAACAGCAATCATCTGGGACATGAATCGCAAAATGTATATACAATCTTTGACTGGACACGAGAATGGAGTCCAACATATCCAAATTAATGAAACTACTGTGAGTACAGTTTCAAAATTTATATCATATCTATTAATCTTGTTTTTTTTTTATAAAAAAAAAAGGGTGACATTATTACCTGTTCTGGTCATGTTATACGAGTTTGGACAATAAACGGCGATCTTTATTTAACCAAATCAGCGTGTCCAAGTTCAGAATCAATTTTGTCATGCATGTTTTATAAGGTATGTAATATTAAAAATAGAAAAAAACAAGCTCGACTTTTAACTAGTTTCTATTCAGCGCAAGTTGACAGAATGGAATAGCAGAGACTTAATCATTACTGGCCATAGAAGAGGTCTAGTCAAATTTTGGTTAAAAGAGGTTGAAATTGATCCCAAATCAGGTCATCACAAATGGTCTTTAAAGTTGGTTCATCAAATTCGTCACAGTAGTCGCGTTGATAACAGCCTCGACGATTCAGATATTGTAGCATTAACAATATCAGGCTCGAAGAAAACATTATTTACGGGCAGCAGAAATGGTCAAGTTTATACATTTGTTTTACCCGATACATCCGATTCGTATCATTTGTTAAGAGAAGATAAGTTTAGGGAATGTATGACCTGTAAAAGACCCTTTTCTGTTTTGGAGAGAAAAAACAACTGTCGCACATGTGGAGGTAAATTATAATTATTCCGTTTAAATCGATAATGACTAATTTTACTTTGTTGCTAGGAATATACTGCTCTAGCTGTATGTCCAATACATCCTTTCCTTGCCCAGATAAATCCGCTAAATTCTGTAAATTGTGTTCGGAACATCTTTTAGCAATTTGCATCAAACACTAGTGTAAAAATTTTATGTACATGTAACAAATTCCAACATTTCGCTTCAACTTTATTTTCATTACCCGTGTACACTTAGTCATTTTATCTTTTAGTCCAAATATGAAAATTATTTATTAACAGCCAGTTTCACTTGTGAAGCTCTTTCTTTATGTTAAATTAAAATCGTCTTTATTTATATGACGTCTTGCCCGACGGATTATTTTAACAAACAAAGGCTAAACTTTTTTAAGACACAATCATGCACTTATTGTAGATTTTAGACACATCCTGCTGGTGTACTGGTGTTATGTTGTACACGCAAATTAAGCTAACTTTCATCATGATAGTACTCATTTGCACAACCAGACTCGGGGTTTCTCAAAAAAGCTATGTGAGTAAGCTGCAGCAAACACTTTACGATTCAGTTACTATATCACCCTGTTTACTTGCCAAACATCAAATCTTCCTCCATCCGAAATCTCTCCTTGTAAGCCCAAAACTAAGCAACGTAGCTTTTTTATTAAATTTCATTTGAATAGGCTACAATATATGGAATCATTTCATTAACTTCGATATTCAGGAACGGAAACTCGTGGTCTGAGTTAGATACCAAGAGGAATAATGGCCGGGTTCGGGTTTTTCGAAAAGATGTACAGAGAGACATCATATCCGCCGATACCAATGGTAATAATATCTTCTGTCTTCCACATACTTTCACACCAGTCATACTTTAATACGTATGTCATAATTTTATGCCCCTGTGTAATAATATAAGCTTTTCCATTCGGCTTTAAGACATTCCACATTTGCTTCATGAACTTAGGATAAAGCTAAAAAAAAAATAAGAGCATGTGAGTAAAAAAAAGGCAGTCTAACCACATACATGTGTGTAATGTACCGATTTGATTTGTGAGTACGAGTTCTCTCGAAGTCCCCATGGCCAATCTAAAATCATAAATGAGTTAGGGTGCCTGAAAATCATTAAAAGCGAGGGAATATTCACCTGAAACAATTGAATCAACAATGCCTGGTCTATAACACAACTTTCGTCCATCACCAATTGAAAACTCTGCATTTTGGATTTTACAATGCATCAGGTTTCCTTGAGCCTTCTCGGCTATGACTTTGGATTTTACCTCACTCCCGAGCCACAAAGTATTCTTAAATCGAGAGGCACCTATGTGGTATGCGTGTTGAATAGACTTGATTTTACTACGTGTAAATACAAATATATACCTTCAATAGGAATAGTTCCGGTACCACAACACATGTCTAATATTATTTGACCAGGTTTGGGATCGGCCAGTTTAGCTAAACAATAGGCAATACAAGGGTTTAAACTGGTTCTGCCGTAAAAAAGTCTGTTTCGTTGTTTTTGATCTTTAATAGGTATGCCTACACCTAGAAGTAAAATGACTGATTTTTCGGAACAGTGGTTCGAGATTCGAGATAATACGTCTATGTCTGTAGTTTGGTACCAAAGAGACATGATATTATAGTTATAACCAGTCATCTTAACTTTCCAATGTTTGTAAACGTCACTAAACGCATAACCAATGTAACCTGCAATTTCTTGGCTGGGTGCCTTATGTTTAAGCTGTTCCTTTTTAAAGGTAGCTCTAAATGTGATGTCATCGGCACCTTCCTTCTCATCAATCACGCTTGGCCATGGTGCTCCCTTTGTTTGAGCTGTGATAAAGTCATAGGTAGGTTGTACTTCAGAAAATACGTCAGCCGGTATGACAGATTCTGATGCAACTAAAGTCACGCTGTATATACAAAGCAATTCAATTCTGTTTGTAATATAGTCTCTCAATTCATTGAGATTATCTACTTTACAAAACAAGTGAACTCTTCCTGTCTTTTTTTCCCAACTGTATTTGGTATGATGTATAATCGTAACATGTTTCAAAGATTCTTCAATGTCTTTGGCGGCAATGAATTCAAGGCCTTAATAAGTACAGGTTTTTATTTTAGTTTTGGGTGTCTCATCCCGTTGGTCTGCTTTTTCTTATACCTTCAGGCACATGAAATAGTAGATGAATTTCTTTTGAATCTAACATTAGTCAAAAAAAGTTTTTTGTGTCATTTGAAACACAGTCAAACTTGACACTTGCCAAAGCTTTGTGTGCCTGAAAATGAAAGCAGCGATATTCGGACTTTAAATGAATACAGATTGTTTATGCTGTGTTCAACAACACAACACTTTTTTTTTTTCTCTTGTTTCATAAACCATAATGGAGGTAAATCGTACACCATTTCTTAAATAAAAAACAACAGCTTCCTAAATTATTTTTTAGAGTTTATTTGGAATAACAACACCAGTCGACATTGAAGTTTTGTTTCACAACGAGGAACAAAGAAAGCATATTGATACTAGAGTTGAAAAGGATAGGCGGGAAAGGTACCCTGTGTATCTTGATGGTGAAACTGTTTCTGGCAAAGTGAGCAATAATTTATACTGTGTTCTGCTTTTTTGTTCTGTGTAAACTGAAATAATTTACGCGTATTTGTAACATATTTTGAAAGGTTATTGTAAAGTTGCGTGATGGTAGAAAACTTGAACATTACGGCATCAAGATTGAGTTCATTGGCAGTATAGGTAAAAAAAAAAAAAAAAGAAAGAAGCCTACTTTTTCTTGTTGTTAAGTGTCTCTTTATAGACCTGTTTCATGAAAAGAGCAGATCATATGAATTTTTGACTCTATCCCAGGATGTGGCCTCACCTGGCGAGCTTCGGCAAGCAACAACATTTGATTTTGAATTCAAAAATGTTGAAAAGCAATACGAGTGCTATAGTGGAATAAATGTTAGATTGAGATACTTTGTTTGCGTAAGGATTTCTAGGAGATTAGCAGATATCGTTCGTGAAAGAGACATATGGGTCTATTCTTATAGAATGCCTATCGAAGTAAACAACTCTATAAAAATGGAAGTTGGTATTGAAGACTGTTTGCATATTGATTTCGAGTACAACAAATCAAAGTACGTAATTTAAGAGTCTATATTATTAAATTTTAACGCTATCTACTAGGTATCATTTAAGAGATGTAATTGTGGGTAAAATATTTTTCTTACTAGTACGAATCAAGATCAAGACTATGGAGTTAACAATTATTAGACGTGAAACAACTGGCTCATGTAAGATCGTATTTGTTTATGTCTATGTTTTACTAATATTAAATAGTACCCAATTTGTATAATGAAAGTGAGAATATTATCAAGTTTGAGATAATGGATGGTGCTCCTGTAAAAGGAGAAACAATACCTATTAGGTTATTTCTCGGTGGATTTGAATTGGGACCTACATTTAGAGACATAAACAAGAAATTTTCGATTAGATATTATCTAAATTTAGTATTGATTGACGAGGAAAATCGACGTTATTTTAAGCAACAAGAAATTACAATGTTTCGTAGAAAGAGTAATGTATTCCATGTATAGTTGTACAAAGACGCAAAACTAATATTATTGTCAAACAGTTGACGATGGGTATCCACCTGACGATCTTGAGGAATGAGCGTTTAATTATCATGGGATTAGAATTCAATATATATAAATTATAATGTAGCAAACTTGCACAACTCCACTATGCGGCAATTAAATACAGTACAGGGTCAAAAAAAAAAAAAAAAAAAAAAAAAAAATTACAACAGTGAGCTGTTTTATTTTTTTATATGGGGTGCTTATTAGCATTTATAAATTAAATAGAGCGCCCAACGCATAATTTACATTTATTATTGTCATCATTTTCGACATAATTGAACACATGTGTTCTACTATCTAGTTTTGTCCTGCTGCGGCAATGTTAAATAGACAACCCAGGCCAATATATATTTTGTTTAAGAAAAATAAGACTAAACTGTTAGTAAAATGATGTATTATTTACTATTATTGTACAGTATGAAACAAGTGATTATCATTTGAAATGTAATACTGCATCATCTTATGGAAATCAATTGTAATAAAGTTTGACCCAAATAAGTAAAAATTCTTTTTTATCACGGAGAGCAGCGGAAATCTTTTGTGTGCCACTACACACAAATACTACAGGCTGGCGTCGTTTCTGCTATTGGATATAAGCCACTTCTTTTTTTCTTTTTTGAGGCATTTTTTGTGTTCGCCCAAATAAGGTTCTATTTCCTCTGCGTGACAAGACTTAATTCCCTCCCCTACTCTATATAAGATCCAATCCTGTCGTTTCTCTTTCTTTTTTTATTTTACATTAACTTTTTTCTGTCGGCCATAAAAATGACATCAACATTTTCTTCTACTATTCACCGATTATCGCCTGGAGATATGTGGTTACCCGATAATGGGGTATCGTCAATTATGGTGAATGAATTAGCAAAACAACAGGCTGAGCTCCCAACATCCAACATGTTTGATATGAGTCAAAACAGCTCAACTACATCATCATGTAATTCATCCATTGCATCAATAAACGATAAGCAAATCACCAGTATAAAAGCAACCAATATAATCGATACCAAACAATCAAATAGTAATTCATGTCAATCATCTATAAAATCGGTAGCCAGACGTCACCGTGCAGACACTGCAAGCTTAAAAGAATATGGTGAATGTTATAGAAGATTGGGTCAAGGTACAACTGCAGTAGTCATGGTTTTGCGAAAACTTGGTGAAGATGGTAGATCAGAGAAATTGTATGCTATCAAACAATTTCGAAAAAAGCAAAAGCAAGAAAACGAAAAAGAATACATGAAGAAGCTTACCAGTGAATTCTGTATCTCATCGACATTTACACATCCCAATATTGTTGAAACAATAGATTTAGTTTTGGATAACAAAAAGAGATACTGTACAGTTATGGAATATGTAAAGTTTTTTTTTTCATTTTCATTTTATTTGTTTACATGTTTTCTGACAAAATTTATATATTTAGTGTCCTGGTGGTGATTTGTTTACTAGTATCATGGCTGAACGAATGACTGAAGTTGAGAAGGCTTGTTGTTTCAAACAGATGATTCATGGGTTAGCTTATCTTCATTCCATGGGTGTAGCCCATCGTGATATCAAACCTGAAAATTTGTTACTGACCATGGACGGCAAACTCAAAATCACTGACTTCGGTGTTTCGGATGTGTATAGGTTTCCTTGGGAAACAAAAGGTCGCCAGAGTCGGGGTCTTGTTGGTTCTGAACCTTATATTGCTCCAGAGGCATTCGAACATAAAGAATATTGGGGAGCCGCCGCTGATGTTTGGTCGGCTGGAATCGTCTTCTATTGTATCTGGCTTGGCGGACTTGCTTGGCACAAGGCTAAAAAATCTGACTCCTCTTATTGTGGCTACATCCGTGCTATCGAACAAAATCAGACCTTTGATCTTTTTCGTACATTCACTCTCAATGAGCGTCGTATTTTAAGTCGTATGCTCGATCCTAATCCCAATACTCGTATTACTGCTGCAGAATTAATAGACGATCCTTGGTTTAATTCTATACCAATGTGTGAAAATTCAATCGATACATACGGAAATACCCACAAACACACCGAAGGTGTGCAACCTGTATGTACAATCACAACAAAAAAGTAACACTATGCATACAATAGCAGAAAAAAATCATACTATACCACCGCTCAAACCCATCTTTCTTTTCTCCTATGTAAAATAACATCAAAAAAAAAACTTATATGCTTATTATGGCCAACCTAACCTATGTAGTTTTCTCTTGTAACAACAGAATTTATTCATCTGTACATATTAATTATTCGAATAAATAATACAATCTTAATAATTTTAAGTGAACGAGGCATTTTCAATTTTTAAATTAGAAGTTTAATTGTCTCGTGTTACACTATTGCAATGAGCACTGTATTTTAGCCACAGTTGACTGTTTCACCAAAAAAGGCGATGTACAGTCTTGTCCAAAATACCTCATTTTTTGCAGAAAATGGCCTGAAAGATAAGAGTATAGATGTGCATGTGCGTGTATAAATAAACTGGGATATCAAAGCTGTAATGGTGGAGTCTAAACTTTATGCTTCGGGTCACCAATTTATTTATTTTTTTCAACAAGTAAACTTCCATGCTTTTTTCCATGTGGTTTCGCATACGAAGCGGATGCGACTTCATGACATAAATGGTTTTATTATAGGTCTATTAATAAATTTATATATATATATCCTGTTTACACCCGCCATTATTGGACTCTTGTCCGAGATAACATACTTGGTTTAAGCTTGAATTATAACTTCAGGGGAGGGCTTATTCTAGCGTAATTAATCTGGTGATGCACTATATATAGACTGAATGCATCCCGCTGCACAAAAGCTGGTCAATTATGTTGGATGTATATTACCACGTTTCTAATGAATATTCAATGTGAAATGTAAATGTCTAGTGATTTTTTTTTATTATTATTATAACTTCCCACCCGGAGAAAATACATGCTGACACATCGTCATAGTTTACGCCACTCCTTCGTACATGGTATTATTTTTAGCTTCCTGACACAGGCTGGGGACAGATTGCCAGATAATGTACTCATATCTGTCTTTTAAATTTTCTCACCTGAAAAAAAAACGGCAATTAGGTACGATCCCCACTTCGTTCCCTATTTAGCCATTTTTCATACATAGTATCACCATATCGTTCCAACCTTTCTTATGCATAATTTATCCGATCTCCAGGCCTTTAAACTTTCCATTTGCATTTGCTTTTCCGATGACCTGTACAGTCATTTTATTCTCTCATTGACAGGCTTTTCCTCCAGCCCGTATTAGTGGGGTGTATATGAAGCCAAGACGAACGTCGAGTGGAAACAATCTAGTCGAGCAACAGCAACCAAAGGAAGAGCATGGTCAGCTTTCCCATGATAAAATACTTCTATCTGCTTCTTTATCTAAAAAAATTATGATAGCTTTATACGAAATTAGGTTAGCGATAGACGCTTTCGCGCAAACAGCGAATACCAACTTTCTTGGAAATCGTTTGTTTACAAATATTGGAGTCTAGGAGCTCTTTGAAGATATCTCATCTCTGTTTGTGCTCTTTAAGCAGTGTCTGTACATGAAATAAAGCCTGTTTATTTTTGAGGTTCGCATTGATTGAAAAATGTAAAACACGAAAACGCAAATATTTATGTCACTGCTAACATTGCTCAGAAAGGGGGAGATCTAGTTTCTAGATTTAACGTAGATAGAGTTATAAATAATACTCACGGTTTAAGATCTAGGCAAACTAAAATTCAAAATTTCATCCCTGGTTCCGAAATTGGTATCAAACAGCTTATTTAAATTTTTTGTGTGTGGTGATTTGAGCTGTATTTGTACAGGTCCTCTGTGCAAGTCAGCATGAACATTTAATACTTCGACTTTTTTTCTTTACTAATGAACTTGAAAACTTTTGTGTTATAATAATTGGGTGGGCATGCAGATCATGCTAATTACACTGTTACCAATTAATTAGTTGTCTTTTTCACCTTTATTATTTTATTTTAACCTGTTAGTAGTTTTTTTTTTTTTTTTTTTTTTTTTTTTTTTGCTGATTTATAAACAGCTTCCTTATGCTCTTCTAACCTCAACTACAATACATTTTTAGGAAATTCTGGAATGTAGTAGGTCTTTCTTATTTATATCCTTTAAATATTATAACGACTGTAATGGCTGACTTTTTATGATTTTTTATTTTTGTGAATTACTTTCGCTCCCTGATAACCTTTCTGGCGCGCCATCATACTAAACGAAATAAATGCGCAATCATTAATTATAATTCAATATCACTATTGTGAATGCCTAGTTTGGATGCACATAAAATATTCCGTGTATATACTTGATATAAGTGTTAGAATCTAGACTCGTGTTCCAAATAACATTTGCCTGTATGATATTATCGCACTTTCTAATAAATATAACGTAAATTTATCCGTATTCTATTTCATTATGTTATATTTTATTTGCGTAATGTCTAAAGACTTTGATCAAAAAAATTGACATGTCATTTAATGAATAAGTTCATCTCTGCTAGTCTCTTGCATTTTTTTGTCTGTCATATCATTATTATATCGGTGTTGAGCGTGGTCTATCCCCTTTAATGTTGATAAATACATGGATAATAGTTCTCTAAAAGTTATATGTCGTTCACCGAGGACTTTGTCCGTCAGTCCTCTATATTTACTACTAAGGGTGCCTTATAATAAACCTTTTAAATATGAGTACAATCGTAAGGAAATTATAAGCAAGCTCAATTGAAATACAATTGAAAATTTGCAAGTCAAATAGTCCTAAATCCGTGGCATTGATAAATTGGTAATATTGGGATTTTGAATTAAACAGGCAGTCTATGACAACTTTTAATTCCCTAAACGATCACAGTTGTCGATTTTTCAAACGATATTTTTTAGTAACGAATTCCTAATTTATAAAGTCAATAAGTCATAATTAATTAAATTGATTCTAAACAAGACGTTTACTAAATCATTATATTTGTATAAAGTATATTAACGACTAGGTTACACTACTTTTAAGATAGATTGATCCATTCCAAATACTTTCAAAAAGTTTAGAGGCCTCGAAATGATAGTACATATAGAAAATGGATATATTATATTACATGAGAGTTAATAAGAAGTATATTTACTGCTTTAAGTTTGTTCGAGAATCGCAATGCCATAATATCTCCTTTTCCTACATATACTATTTTATAAGCAGCTTATACAAAAATTTTAAAATGATGAGTTGGAGCCATTTGGATGTTACATTGAAAAACCGTATAAGTATTTTCATCGTGGACAAATCTGATTGGAATAAAACGCATCCGTATTTTTAGAAAAAAAAAATACTTTTGTCAAATTGATAGAGTATGGTGGTGTCCTGAAATTGTCTTGCTGACAGTTGTGCCTTAGGCTCAACCTAGTAACAAGCCTTTAAGTCGAGTCATAAACCCATGATATAACTTAAATTGCTTACCATGGTTTTTCTGCTTCTAAAGCTATCCACGGAAGGAAATGGCTGTCAAACTGTCCGGATACATTTTTGATGCCAGTGCTGAAATTTTACCAAACCACAGCCTGAATGTGCTTCAAAATTTATAAAAGGTGGACTACTTCGAGACAAATAAATCTCTTCTGGTTTATAATCATTACAAACTGCATCCGTAAATAGCATATCATCCGAATTTTTCCAATCAAGTGTAATGAAGCTACCCATTGTATTAATTCTCGCGATAAACATATACATTGATTTATTAAATTTAAACTTGTCCATCAGCAGAAAAGTCACCTTCCAATCCTGGCTCAAGAACGGCAGCGTGTCCCAAAATAATTAAAGCAGCAGCGCCTAGATAAAATATTTAATGATCTATCATTCTCACATGAGACTTCTTCCTATACCTATAATCCAAAAAATAGCGCCTGTGGCTCCCGAGAAAAGTAGTAAAAGCAAAGAAACACCTGCATATGTAGCATAGAGAGATGATGGTGATAAAGCGGCTCCTCCGATTGTAAGAGGCCCGTCTAAACGAGAAATCAAGTAAAATCCACCGAAAACAAATGCAATAGTAAATACCAACCACCAACTTGTGATACTATAGCCATGTGTTTAGTATCTTCCCGTTCCTTACTCATCCTTAATTATACTTTACATTGCATAGATGCCCAAACCCAAGATAATTAACAAGTAATTTGCTGAAAAGTATTGTAAATTATAACTATGTAAAAATAGATGAGTTTTATATACCTTATAATAATACCGCATATACTTACTTCCAACGTTGACTAATAGTATGAAAAGAAGATGTGAAGCTGATTCTGTTTTTATCAAAAAAATCGCCAAGGGGTCTGAGATTAGCTAAACGCTGTTCACGGAACTTCTGAAGGAAAGAGAAGCGTGCATCGCTTGTCATGGAAGCTGCTGCAGCTCCGAGGGTTTGTGCTGTATTACTTGAAAGAAGTGGTGTAGACATAGTTCTTTGGCTCGAGTGTGAAGGAAAAAGAAAAAAAATTAAGTTTTCATTCTTGGCTTGCTTGGCCCTTCTCCGTTGCATTTAGTTCTCCGCTAATGGTAGGAACGAACGGCATCTTCGCTGTTGTGTCACAAGCTTACCTTTAGGTTGCAAAGTCCCGAGCAAATATCCTTTGTTTTTTAATTATCTATGGTTTAACAAGACAGCTTTAAATAAGAAAAAAATATTTACGATTAACAGGAAGCTACACCGAATTCTTGGCTTCAGTAGTGCTTTCTCTTGCTTGTAAGCCCGAAAGCACGTAACTATGTATTTCGTTTTCGTAAGACACAAAAGTTGATTTATAAGACGTTTACTCTTGAAAAAAAAAAGTTAAGAGGCATCGTCTACAATAAAAAAAGCAGACGTCAGGAATGCACTATGATAACATGGCGCTGTTAAGCCATGATTGTTTCCGGATGCATTGTACCAGGTCAAGTGTCACACATATTCAAAGAAGAGATTACAAAAGAGATTATTTATTCAAAGATAGGTAAATCAAAGCCATACGTATTTGGCAAAAAATCGTTAAAGCGAGCATTAGCATTTAATGCTTTCAATTCTTTGATATCGTCCGCATCTAATTTATAAGAAAACAAATCCAAATTGGACTTCATGCGGGATTCCTGGATACTCTTTGGAATAACAACTATGTTTTGTTGAGTAGCAAATGTTAAAAGCACTTGTCCATTGTTTCGGCCGTGCTTTTGAGCAATTTTTGTTACTGTGGGATGTGTCAGGAGATTAGGCAAATGGGCAGTAGTAGGAGGGACCTCTTCAAATACTGTGTTACCGAAGGAGGCATACGCAATGACTTCTATGCCCTGAGATTTTACCCAAGTAATAAGACGTTCTTGTAAAAGATAAGGATGAAATTCAATCTCCAAGATGGCGGGGGTAATTCTTGCGTAAGTCAATAAATCAAGGATACTTTGCACATTAAAATTAGAAAGCCCAATGTTACGAACAAGACCTAAATCAACTAAGTTTTCCATTGCCTTCCAAGTCTCATGGATAGGAGTACGTTCGAAAACAACTTTGTTGTCATCATTAAAGAAAGCTAGATTGGTTGATCTTGGATCAACAAATTCCGTAGCAAAAGGGAAATGGATGAGATAGAGATCGATGTAGTCCAAACCAAAGTTTTCCAACGTAACATCAAATGCGCGTTTTACGTTGTCTTTACTATGAAAAGAATTCCAAAGCTTACCGGTAACTATAGTCACATCAGAATATTGCTACATCAGTCGAATTTGCTAAAAATAACGTCTTACCGAATAGTTCTTCTCTTTTGACAATACCGTCATCAATAGCTTTTCTTATACCTTCACCTACTTGTGCCTCGTTTCCGTAACATAATGCAGCATCAATCAAGCGATACCCAGATTTGATGGCAGTGTAAATGATATCAGCGGTATCTTCGAGTGCAATCCCTATTTATTACTTGTCAATCAATTGAAAATATGACTTAGTCGTTTTATTTATTTACGAGCAGTGCCAAAGCCGACTAATGGGATTTTATCGCCTGTACGATTTAATTTGAGAAATTTGGTCATTTTTTTAACTGATTAAGAAGATAAAATTTTCATAAGTCAACCATTAACATCATCTTTATATATGTCCTATGTACTGTTTAGATTTCCGCCTCCTAATTTGTAATCAAGTGCGTTACTGCTTTTTGTTATGTCACTATTTTTCTAAGTCTCGTGATGTATGCATCCTGCTTGTATTATTCAGCCGCTATTTGTCATCCAACAATACTTCTAGAACCAGAAGCAAGAGTTCGCTTTTGGTAGTGAGGACACGTAATCCAATGTGTATTTCTATCATTTGCAGGAAGGTTGAGGGTAAATATAACCCCGATTTATATGGTCATAGCGATATCACTGCATTGTAGTACTCAGAAGCCTGAAAGTAGTCAAAATATGACTTTCCTATAGCTCGTTATTTCATAATTTAAAAAACTAGAAAGAAAAAGAATATCTGTTTATTAACCAGAGACAAAGATGTCTAATACAAATTTAGCACTACAGAGCTACTTTCTTCCGCCAGATCTGCCCCTTGAAAGTATTGTATCCTTTTGTTATTACCTTGTGTCGAAATTCGAAACAATAAATATAAGGCGCCCCCGGCGGGGAACCGACACCCGGTTTGTACGTATTGTTGTCATGTGTATTTCTATAATAAATAGCAATAGGATTATAGTTAATCTATTGCTTTAAATATACACGTTTGAGTAATTAACTTTTCTCTTTTGAGATAGTGGAAGTCCAATACTAGACCGAATATTAATGATTCAAGACCGAAAGCTATGTGATGAAGAATGTCATTGTGGTTCATTGTACGACAGTCGCTGAATAAGTTTTAGTGAATGGCTGAGTAGGGTTACTTTCCATGACTGGGTATACCTATGTGGCCAAATATACAAATAAAATATTTACCAGCAATGGAATCAAGAGTTAAGGTGACATTATACTTTTTTTTCAGTACATGATAATAAATTCGATGTTAATCATTATTTGGTGACACTTTTGCAGTCTCATGGTATTAGTATAAATCATATTATATAATCTACAGAAATAAGATGGTTACTTCGAAAAGTGGTGGCATTTATAATTACATAGCATCAAAGGTTTCTCCAATTACTAAGTAACTTTTGCGCGCGTTTTTGGTTCAATAAAACCCTATAAAATAGAACGCCAGAATCTGGCTTTTTCAAAATGTTGTCCGAAGGGAAATCAAGAATTTACAACAAGCAATGTGAATAAATCCACAAATGCTTGAGAATTGTATAAAAGCCTAATTTTTAGGTTTTCCTAACCGTTAAAATTGAAACGGAACAATATTCGCTATAGTGCTTTATAGTCGCAAATAATATCTTTAAAAATGAAGTCAAGCATCATTTATAATGGTCACACCACGATATACTATGTTGTTTTTATGTAGTTTTTTCTGAACTAGTTGTTATTTATGTATCAGTCAGACCAAATGGATGATTTAACTATTATTTTTTCTTTAAAATATACAATGACAAAGGAAACTTTATTTAGAAATATGCAAGTTTAAATGCGATACCTTCCCTGATCTTATTTTTTTCCTTCTCCCATATCACAACAATGATGACTATTCATTTTTTGGTTCTCTAAGCTGCTGCCGCAGATCCTCTTCCTCATCAGCCTAAGTTAAGTCTGAATTTAGTTATGTGGCAGACTATAAGCAAACAATTATTTACCAGCATTTTTTGTTGATCGATAAACCAAGCTGGTAATTGTAAGGGCAAAGTAACTAGGTCCAAATCAAACAACTCTATAAATTGCTCATTTACATATCTCGCCTTCGTGCCAGCATAAGATCTGTACTGTTATGCAAACATTTTAATCTCTATTTTCAGTCACTTTCATGCGAGAGGTTCCCTTACCTCTGTCACAATCGAACTAAAATTCCATCCTTCCAGTTTTCTTAGGCAACCAACCAAGGTACCTGTTTCGTGAATTCCAGATCTGCAAACTGTAAATATTGACCGTCCTTACGAATCTAATGGTAGACTTACGTGCACATGATCAAAATGGGATGTGTATCTACATCTAGAATCAACTCAAGTCCTTCTTTAATCAGCTCTTCAGAAACTGGTCTCCATGTCGAAGGCTGTGTTGGTTTCCATGTAGCCATTCCCACGTGAACTAATTTAATGTCGCCCTCTTCGATGAAATTAGAGGTGACTCTATTAGGTAATTCAGGGCTAAGCATAACTAAGGTTTTAAACCCAAATTGCTTTAAGTATGTAAAATGAGGTTGTTGTAACATGTCTGAACGGTAGATTCCTGGCGCTACAATGCCAAATTGTTCTGGTGGATTGACCAGATTCAGGTTATTTGCTCCCATTTTTTATCCAAAATCACAGAGTTATAAAGAAAGGAGTGCCCTTTATTTCAATTGTCTACTAGATGAGAAGTCACTCCGAGATAGTTTTGGAGAAGCGCTTCAGGTCGCATGGAGTAATTTTTTATACAATTTGCTAAAGTCTATACGTAGGTCTAAAACAATTTGCGTGCATTAACATATTAAATTATCTTGGCATATTCTAAACATTATAGAATGATCCTTTCAGTTTTTTTTTTTTTGTCATGAATTATGTTTAACTATTGTCACATAGTACTACTGAAACTCTGATAGACAACTACCCAGTTCAGAATTCGTTGTATATATATATATATGTAGCCTGAACATAATGTAGTACCTGTGCTTTCGTATGCAGACTTCACACTCACTCCAGAAGCAATCAAATCAATAAAATAATTAATTCGTTCATCCGTATACTTTCGGTAATGTTTTCCCCCTTCGAATTCAATTTTAGTTCAGGTTGATTAGGGTGAGTCTCGCGAAAAAAACATTTACTCTGGCTTCAGTCTCTGTTCAATATTCTTCGTCTGTTACGATCTCGCCAGCGGTAAAGCCTAATTCCTCAACAAGCTTATCGTCACACTCCATCTTATTCATTTAGCATAGATTAACAAGAATTGTTTCACTTGTGAACTCCACTTCAAAGGTTCATGTCGCTCATGAGATTGTCGATGCTTATTTCATGGTAAAAATTTATTCTTAATCTTTATTTTGGAAAAAATAGCTGTAGCTTTCTGGCTTTGGAAAACCAGTACGAAACAAAGCACAACTCGCGTAAAAATAAAGTTGAATTAGATGAAGTCATTCACATGAAGGAAAGAAGAAGGCATTTTACCAAGATCCATTTCAAAATAAGGCATTTAAAAAGAAAAAAAGAAAGAGGCGATGGTAGGCATGGACAACAACCCTTTCAAAAGTATTTAGAATTGTTTATAAAAGGCAACAACGTATATGACTAGAGTTTAATTACTCTAAATGTTTTTCATTTTCATTATTAATAAAAAGGGGGTTGGCGTCACTTTGCGGGTAGTGTAAGGCAAAGGACACCGGTGGATTCCAAAGGTAGCAAGCCAGAGCTTTAGATTCCAGGCGGAAAAAATTAGATTAACAACGTGAGGGACAATGTCCCTCATTATAGTTGTTAAACTATAAAGAACAGATACTACACTTGATCTTAGCCAAAAGGCCTGAGAGGATAAAGATTAAAAAAGTTTCTGCCTTTTGCTCCTCTTTTTATACTTTTTTTTTAGAAAATTTTTTTCACCATTTGTGACCTTTAATTTAGCAATTTGCAACTCATTCGCGGGTTCTCAAATGCGGTTATTGAAAATCAAATTTTATCCAAAAGCCACGATTTTATACCTTCAAGGCACTCGAGGTGATAAGATAGCTGCAAATGTTTGTATTTAGGTGTAATTTAGCTCATTTCAGTGGCAATTACACGAAAATTTTATAACTATTATAGCTGTACTTTTTTTTTTCAATATATGCCCGAGAAATTCAATAAAAATGCATTGTTTGCTAGTAGCAGCCCTAAACACAATCGTAAGTTTTTTAACTTAAATCATTTAGCCATGTTAAAAGAACCCATGTTGTGCAAGTAAATTAAAATCACTGCTATAACAGTACGACGGGTTAGTAATACTATGCTATTTATTAATCATGTAAAATTATATGACAATCCCATTGTGTTTTCTACTTTTTTTTTGATAAAAGCCTTTCTTTTTTTGGATGACTCTTGGGCTGTTACCACTATGATACAGTTTTATATCACTATTATTATTTATATTATTGTTACTTTTTTTGGTCGATTTGTGATAAATCGTACTAAGCTTCTTTGTGTTAGTTGAGATAAACTGTATACACTGACTTAGGGATGATTGCTTAATGGCCCTGAGCCAAAATTGTTCCTTTGTCTCTCGGTCGATCAGAAGCATAAATGAATTCTCTCTGCTCATTTTCCGTTTCATGTACTCTTCTGGTGTTAAGTTGGCAGATGATGAAGGTGTCAGCTGTTGACTAAACCGACTACGTGGTGTCATTGTATAACTTTGCACTTGAGAGGATAGATAAACTTCTTCGTCGTCATCATAATATCTTACTTGACTAGTGCTCGATATTGGAGATCCAGAAAATAAATTTTGTAGTATGATTTGATGCGCATTTTTCTCGTTGTGAGATTCCTGATATCCTCGTTTAAACGATTCTGCCTCAGTTAAATCAGGAGAAGAAGTTCTTCTCAGATATATGTCAGTGTTTTCGTCAATCGGAGAATGTGATTCGGATGAGCTCCAACTATTACTATCGTCCGCTGCATGATATGTTTGAGCTTTTGTTGCTTGAAGTGGCTGTTTTCCTAATTTTTTCTTGGACATTTCGGGAGCAAATGAATGTATTGGTGACGGTATAGATCGTATAGACTCTAATGGTGTGCTATATCTACTGTATATACTGTCTTGTTCTGGTAAGTCTTTTTGTAAATTGTATAATTTTGGGTTCACGTTAAGCCATTTTGATTTCTGAGGTTTTGTATACCATTGTTGCTGTTCTGATAACACCTTTTTGGCATTCTCTTCATAGTTGTGATGAGGGATAAGACTAGATATATTGTAATTGTTGCTATTTATATTTGGGATTGAGTAATTATGATCATTACTGATGACGCTTATAGGTGAGTTCATTATGGCAAGATTAAGCCCAGGACTGTATATTTTAGGCTTATCGGGTGTGCTACTTTTTAAAGAAAGACTTTTGACGCTTTTTGTCACATCATCATTTTCCTCATTGATAATGGTTTTTGAAACCATTTCAATTTTCCAAATATATTCACTCGGTATGTTATCAATTTGTAGAATGCTTTCGATGAACGCAAGTGGGCCTTGAGGTGACTGACTGATGCTTCTATTAATCTCATAACTTCTATTTTTGCTATTCGGTAACGACCCTGCCACGTATACTGAGTTTGATGGGCTGGTAGGCTGTGTACTATTTGATTCTGATAAATTGCAAGAAGAAAAATTGTATTGCTCGCTAAAGCTTAGGATGCTGTTTGGTGACAATACGGTGTTTATGGCTGCGGTACTTTTATTGCTATTGATAGAGTTGGGCTTGCAGGTCGATGAAGAACCAGGCATCAAGGCCGATCTAAGATACAATGACTGCTGACTCAGAGTAACTGTATCACCGTGAACTAAACATCGAAGTTTTTTGATGGAGTTATCCAAGTCAAAAAAAGTGTCGTCATGCTGATGGTAGGCTGTGCCTGAAATATCGATTTCCCATTTCAAACCAATATCCGTGTCATATGATGGGGTCAACTGATTTTTGGGTTGCCTATATTGAATCAAACTGATATTGGCACGATTTCCATCAAGGGAGTTTTGTTGTTTTGATTTGCTTAAGAAGGTTGGTTCAGTGATATCAAATTGGCCTGAACATAGTAATTGACTATCCCCAGTAAATATATATGGAGATGTCTCCTCTGTAGATGTATTGAACTTCCAAAATATGTTGCTATTACTTATTGCCTTATTGCTTGACGCTGGTACAGTTGCTACTTCAGATAAATCTAAATGGTAGGATTTTTGCCTACTGAGGTAGTCTCCCGATCTGATATTCTTTAATCGAAAGAGGCTATCATGAAACACCAGATTTGAAAATTTGTGAATAATGTTGTTGATAAAATCTCTTGTTTTAGTATATTGAGCTGGGAAAAATTCGTGCATTGGTTTGAGGCTTGTTCTCCAAATGACTGAGTAGTTCTTTGGGTTATTGTGTAATATATCCTGTGACAATTTCTCCAACTACTCGACGTCAAATGAGGAATCATTAGTAAACAGTGCATTTTTTTTTTTTTGCGGAAAAGAAGCTACGTACATCTCTTTTTATATTTTTTATATCCGTATCTTCATTTATACTAAGCTTTCTGATTGCTTTGTATCCTAGAGTAGATAATTTTTAGAGTTTTGTTTAAAAAAAAAAGTGTTTTGTAACTTCTTACCAATTTGCACTCGCTGAGGCCACAAAAAACCGAACTTATCCCAAATTAGACACAATTTGTCCCATGACTTCTGCGGACTATGAGGCCAATGCTCCTCCGCTTTGCTTAATTCATCCACGAAATCCTGAGTTAGCCTTGCTATATTATCCACAATGATATATGCTTTTACATTGTATTTCGCCAAGTGAAGAGCCGTCGTATTGAGCGAAGAGTCAGGATGGAATATGGATTTGCAGACAGAAAGTGATTTTATTGTGTCTGTATCACATGGATTAGATGTATTAGACTCAAGTAAATTAGCGGTCCATTCAGATTTGGTACAGATAAATGTAGACTCAGTTTTGGTGTTCTGCTCGTATACGATATATGGCACTGAATTTTGAACGAAACATGGTTCCATAGCCAACTTTCCATGAGGCGTGATACCAATGTTCCAGTCTCGTAAAGTGCTTAATATATGTCGTCGTTCGTTCTTATTCGACTCGGTATCTTGCATTAAGGGTTGTTTTAAGAGAGAATTTGGCTTCAACTATATTTTTTCAGTTTAAGAAATTAAGAAAGAGAAAGAAGAAAAAAAAAGAGAAGAAAAAAACACAGCTGCTCCATAACAATGGTAATGTGGGACCCATTGGGACAGTCACATTAGACATGCTCCTTTCACTCGCAAACACAACGAAGTATTGCCATATACAGCCGTTTACCGCAAATTACAAAATCAAATTTCAAACATGTCGCATTAAAAAAAGATAAGCTTTCGATCACTTTCTATGAAACTTAATGGAATTAAAAATGATATTTACTCCGTGTCACGTTAATAGGGTCGGAAAGCCTTTTATGGAATTTCCTTACGTATTTCTAAAAAAGACGTAGAATAAAAAATGGGACTCCCCTTCGGATCGCACCTACACTTGCGCTTATATAAAGATAAATGGTTAAATCAATGGGCATAAGGCTTACCAGTTTCAATGATTGCTGTTCTTAGGGACAGGCATGGTGTACGTAGTTGCGGTGCCTTGGTTATCCTTCAGACCTGGAAACAAGAATATACAATCAAAGACAATGCAATAGTTGCGAATAAATGTATATTAAACAACTTGTACTTCTTCTTTTGATTAAATCATTACTCTTTCGTCCTTGAGTTCGTTTGATCTTAATCTTACGCAGAAATATTAGGGTAAGGTCCAAAGGAGAAGTTAGAAGTATTAAAGCTTCAACACACGCAGACAGGTTTATCACATGTTAATTTTGATAAATCTGCATCCAGTTTAAGACGATGACTTATATTTATCTCTTGGTGTCAGTTAAGGTATCATAATTCGATATTATAACTACGCGCACCCTGGCTTTCCCTTGGGGACCTGTGAAGTACTGAACTGCCCTTTTTTTAAAAAGCCTCTCTTTGGCGTTGGAACGACCATAAGCAATTTTCACAAGATATGGATTATTTGAACAGCGTTAGACTCGTTTTTTTTTTTTTTTTTTTTTTTTTTTTTTTTGAAAATCAAGAGCTATTTGTAGAACCCTAAATTTGTCATTATTCCCCAATTCATTCTTCTAAAATAGACAAATGATGAGAAGGTTATGTCATATGTTGATTCGTGAGAATATCATGAGCTACCAATTGTTTGTCTGTTGCTAATACAGGATCATATTTAATATACTAAAGCAAATGAAAGCTCAATACTTCATAGTTCTTGTGCAGAATCAAGTCGCAAACTGAAGCATTGATCGGAGGAATGGGGTAATATATCACAAAGCATTTGGTACAAAGTTGCAAATAAATCTACGGTTAGCTGGACCAAATGATACGTGATTGTAGAAATGCTCATCTCAACCTTAATCAAACAGCCTGTTCCACCCTCTGATCTTGTCAGGGCACACTTTGAAAGCGACCGGTGCAGGCAATTGATTGGGTAGTTACAAAAAAACCTGCGGTGAGCAAAAAAAAACACCTTGTTCCCTTTTTTAAAAAAACTTCATCAAGACATCAAAAGCAAAACGATATGATGGAAGAGTGTAATCTTGTCCATTTCGACCAACAGGTAGCCGGTCACGACAAGCTGATGTTGATGTCAACCAATGATCTCATTGTAGTGAAACCTTGTAAAAAACGGGAATTAGACTTTTATCAAGATGCACTTAATTTTCCTGATTTCCAAGACTTTATTCCCGAATGTTATGGCACAGTTCGTGCAGCCACCGAAAAGGATTTGAAACTGTTGGATAAATCTGAACTTGATGATGGCACAGTAAAACTTGATAACAACCAAACTTCGGATCATATCCTTTTTCAATCAAAAATAATAACATTTAGGCAAAAATTCAAGCCACACTTTAATATCCCTAACCTTATTTGTTCACAAAATCTTTGTTTGGAAAACGTGTTGCATGGATTTACTAAACCTTGTATTTTAGACTTAAAAATGGGATCACTGTTATATGATCAAGATGCAACAGAAGAAAAACGTAAAAGAATGATCAACCATTCTGTAACAACTACATCAAGCACTCTTGGGTTAAGGTTTAGTGGTTTAAAGGTACAACAGAAAACAAAACAACATAAACAGCCAAACTAAGAACGGAATAGGTATATAATTCCGTTCAAAGAAGATATGCTACGTTTGAAAAGAAATACGGACAATCTCGTACAGCTGAAAACATAATTGATGCATTACTTGGATTTTTGTTTCCAGTCTCAATATATGCAAGTAATGCTGAGAAGGATGCCAAATATGTAACGGATAAGACAGATCAGGACGATGTAAAGAAGGAGAAAATACCAACAAAATATTCAAAATGGGTGATTGAATGCTTTATAGATACCATCAAAGAAATTAGAGAGTCCATCATCGAACATCCCAATTTACAGCTTATTGGTTCCTCACTGTTGTTTATTTACGAGGGAGACCGAGCTGCGGCAGACAGTACTTGGAAGCAGATGTTAGAAGAAGACGATATACCAGAGAACAAAGAACTTAAAGCCGACGACGATGAGTTATCTCCAAAAATGTGTGATATACGCTTAATTGATTTTGCCCATTCAGATTGGCATGCTGATAGAAAAGATCAGGATCCAGAGTTAGTGAAGGGCTTTGATAACATCATTGCTTTGTTAGAAGATTGTTTAAAAAGACAACGTCAAGAAAAATTGTAAATTATGAAATAAAATCGCGTCGCGCTTTTAAAGCCTTCAAAAAGATTTGAGGCCAACTCTAATTCTGCAACGCGTTTCTTCCTCTCTTTTTTTTTTAAAAAAAAATGAAGTTAAAATCAAGAGGTTTAAAATTGAAAGAAAATGACAACAATGTAGAGCCCGACATGGAAGCTTCACCAAAACGTAATAGAAGGCTCAAAAGAATTATCATTGAAGAGAGTAGTAGCGAAGACAGCGACAACAGTAATGACGAGGACGACACCCCTTTGTTTCAAAGGAAAGCAGTAAAGCAGACACTTGACAAAAAGGGAGCTATTATAAAAAAACCAAGGATCTCGGTTGAGGAAGAGGAAGAGGTTTCATTCTCGGAGCTGGACAAGGTGGATACCAAGTTAAAGTCTACAGAGTTTGAAGCACCTTATAAATTCAAAGCTCCCATTACACCGCCTTCTAATGAGTTTAAAGCGCCAATGGCGCCGCCTACGACTGCATTTAAGGCACCTTCTGACACCTTTAAAGCACCTTTTAACGACTTCAAAGCACCTTCTAACGACTTTAAGGCACCTTCTAACAACTTTAGGGCACCTTCTAACGACTTCAAGGAACCTTCCAAGGACTTTTCAAGACCTTCCGATAACTTCAAAGCGCCAATGACTGGAGTTGAAGAAAATCAGCAGAGCAATTGTAATAACAAGGAATGATGTTTATATGATAGTGACATGATATTAACTTTTTACTGCGCAGTGCATTCTAGTAGATTAGCTCATTATATGACAAGTATTTGTGAAGATTTAGACAGTTATAATTACAGTAAAGTTAAATCGACAGATTCGCTACTTACGTTCAGGGACGACGATGACATGCCCACTTTGGATATTACTGTGATGAGAAAGTTTACATTGCTGACAACAAATACAAACAGACACTTCAAAAATTTGGACTCAGTAGATATGGTTAAATTTGGGAAGATCATAAAGTTAATGGAAAACACAGTGATTGTTTCTACAGATATCGATGTCATTGACCATTATGCAAAGAATACACAAGACAACAGAGAATCTACGCTAAGTAGATTATCTAATATCAGCGATGCCTTGGATACATGCTCAATGATATTTGAATTATTAACAACATGCAAGTTGGATAAAAAGTTTCTTTCGAGAAATCTTATCACCAATTGTCTTCATTTTATCAAAAATCAACTAGACTACACCATATACCCTCTTATTGATTTAAACGGAACCGAAGATGAAGCCACCACACGTAAGTAGATCCTTATAGGTATGTTTGTATATGTCACATACCAACACCCTTCCTTTAATAGTATCATCCGATGCACATACCTTTCTTAAACTTGTCACATCACTACCTAAGGAAAAACAAATCGTTTCAGCATTCATACCACACGTCATTCGATTTTTCAGGCGCGCTTTTGCATTGATATTAGCAGAGGATTTAGATGATGATGTTCTTGTTATTGTAGCGTACATTGGAATGGCACCATTTTTTCATGACTGTTCCGAAGATCACAGATCCATTCTTCTTTCAAGTCAAGAAAATGATGGAACCTTCAATCCATACGAGCAACTCAAATTCTGTGCTTTAGATATCTTGAAGCATATCTTTAGCAAATATCCCAAGCACCGTCGATGGATCTTTGAAGAAATTCTGACTAGTCTTGGTACCCTCACTACCATGGATGGCAAAAGAAAGTATAGATTGCGTGATAACAAATCCATCAATGTCATTAGTGCTTTATTCATGCAATTAGTTCAATGCAGTGCATCCCTTAGCGATTTGGCATCACACAAGAGCTGGTTTAAAAAATGGAGCATCCGCTACCAAAAGGTATCAAAGAACAAAGATATGGATCAAATGAAGCTCCTGGATGATAAGCTAGTTCGTCGTGCCGCAACGGCCTGGAGATTAGGTGCTGAAGCAGCTGCAAATTGTGCTTCGTTCTTTTTGGAATTTTTAATGTCGAAATGTAAATCTAGAAAGTCAGACTCTTACTCCCTTCAGGAATACAGACAAATTCTTTTCGCTACACTGGAGGACATCATGAGTGTTTTTAATGATCCCGAGTGGCCTGTCGCAGAACTTATCATGAGAGTCTTTAGCCGTATTTTGGTAATTATAAAGATTATCTTTTACCCACATTGATTTACTAATGTTCTCTTTTTAAAAAAAAAGATATCCCTTTTGGAAGAAAACCACTCTGATATATTCCTAAAAACTCTCGCCATCAAATGGCTTGGAATCATAGCATGCAAGATTAAAACAGGATACAATAGACTAGCAGGGGAAAACAAAACATATACACCAGAATGGATTTCCGAATTGAATGAAACCCTTGCTATAAAAGTTGGTATGGAGACACCAATCACCTCGATCTCTCTACTGGACCAATGTCGTAAAAAATTGTTAGACAACACTATAGAGGAAAGAATGAGTACAAGTGTCTCTCAATTTTATTTATGTAATTGGGGTTTTATCGAATCTGTTATTTGGACCAAGGCAAATAAAGGCTGGGAATTAGACGATAAAAAGAGTAAACCAAAGCCTGCATCAATATCAACTGCAGCAAGTACAGGAGTAGACGCGAATGATAAGGAGGAGGAAGATCTCGATGGAGATAGTACTATGACTGACACTCCGGATAAATCAACTGATGAGGATGAAGTCAAGTGGCCGAAGGAGACAGCTTTATTGCTAGGAGAAACATGTAAATATTATTGGTTGACGTGTTTGGGTATACAGTACAACTTTCCAAAGTCAAGCACCAATTACGAATTCCCTGAAATGTCAAGAACGGATTACACATTATTGACAGAGCTTTTGGCTTCACGCCAAACATTATACACTAGTTTCAATTTTATCCTGTCAGAGATCTTGACTTGCATTGAAAAAGATGGTGTTCTATACAGAACAAATGCTTTAAAAGCAATTGGGAAAATCGCTTCTGAGGTTCCCGAGATTCTGGATGAGGTATTCATTGATACATGTTTACTTATATTGTAAATATAACATGATTTATTCTGCTTTAGATACGTGTACGTAATTCAGTACTTCAAAGAATTCATGATCCATCTCCTTCTGTCAGAGATGCCGCAGTGGACGTCGTGGCGAAATACCTGGGTCGTTTGGATAATGTGCCAATTAAGCTTTACGAAGCTGTCAGTAGTAGAATTATGGTAACACTTTCTTCGTGGTCATATATCTCGAACGGCACTGACTTCTTAATAGGATACATCTTATATTGTGCGTAAGCGACTTGTCAAGCTTTTACAAGATCTCTACTTCAAATTTTACGATCCCGAGATCAAGATTGATATCGCATCCAAATTGATTTTACGAATTGGTGATAATGAAGTAGTGATCAGTCAACTGGCTCTTAAAACCACTCAAACTATTCTATTTCAACCTTTTGAGATCATCGAAAAGGAGGGAAACGATTATTTCGGCTACTCGTACGCTAATTCCCCCAAGGAACGTAAACGTAAAATCACAGACTTGACCAAAGTCATTACAGGTGCTGTTTCTAAATTGGATCCTTCTATTACTACTCAAAATGCAGCTCTGGCTCAAATCATCCAGAAGGTAGGGTCTATATATTTATGTGGAACTACATGAGTAACAACTACGTCTTTTCTTTTTGTAGACCGTGAATTCAGCTGATGAAAAATCCAAGATTTGGTATGACAAAGTATTTCAATGGATTGTCGATTCTCTGTTTGATCGCATGATAACGCTTGATGAGGAAGAGAATTCCGAAGAGTTTATCCATTGTTTGGCTACGGTGTATTCCTTCACTAGATCATGTCCCGAGTTACTTCGTGAAACGCAAATATCTATGCTACAGCCGTATTTGTGTATATCTTCAGATGTATGTATTTAAAAAGTAACGATAATAACATGATATTCATCTTTTAATTGATAGGAGGATTGGACAAAGGCACGCTATGTATTGACAATTTATAGAGATGTATTACCCCGTATGAAGTACCATGATCCAGCTTTTACTCAGTCCGTTGAACGGGTATTGATGCAAGTATTGAGAAACTGTCCTCTGGATATTATCCCTTATGGTATCTCGTGTCTTTGTGTCATCATTGATCGCATTTCATTCAGGTACAATATTGTCATCAAAATGCTTGGATCGTCTGTTAGTAAGTTTGTTACACATTTAGTTGTTTTCTGTTGTTGATTATTAATGCATATCATAGACAGACTTCGACAAGTTCGAGAGTTCATCAGCAATGGTGGAAGTACAGCCAATGGGTCTTTCTCCGGTGTATTAAAGATGCTCCTCATCTGCGGTTTACTTTGCCAACATTTCGAATTTGATAAGAGGCGTGAAAAGGAGCCCGAAGAAATGCAAAGCTTGAACCTGGTCTACAAGGGAGATATTAGTACATTGGTGTTTGATTTATTGCAGTTTTTCACAGGTCAAATTATGGAGGAGCTTGGTGAAGAGGGAATAACCATGCGCATGACTGCTTTACAAGGATTGGGTTATTTCTTTGCTTCTCATCCAACCTTTATGATTTCACAATCAAGTACTGCTTTGATGGATAAAATCTTTGAAGAAGGCACGCCTCAATTGAAAACGCAACTTATGCGTGTATTCCAAGAGTTTTTGGGCGCAGAAGAAAAAAGAATTGAGAGACGAGATGAAGTTGCTGGTGAATCGACTATTGTAGAAACAATTGACGTGGATACACTTTTAGGAAATACCGAAGAATACGCTGAACTCGGGGTAAATGGATCGCTGATGCAACGATACCTCAAAAAGATTTTAGTATGTGCACTTTCAAAAACAGATGATCTACGCTATTCCGCATTCGAAGTTGTGTCTTCGATTATTCATCAAGGCCTAGCTCATCCTGTGTTATGCATGGCTGTAATTGTGGCAGCAGAAACAAGTCCAGACATCATTCTCCGAAACAAGGCATACTATTTACATAAATACACCCACGACAAACATGGTCCTATTCTATATACCAGAATGAACGAATACTTGTCCACGTCCTACGACTATCAAAAAATGCTGTTTGATGATGGATTCGTTAAAGGTAAGCAATAAATAAAGTTTGAAGAAAAGATCACTAACTTTGCCGCATAATAGGATATGGTAAAAGAGGAGGAGACTCTAAAGTGGATCCAGTATTGGGACTTACGTACTCTGTGTTAAAAGACAAGAAGAGACCTAAGTTGGACTTCTTAGGTGCACTCGTAAAGCCATTTGCATTTGACTTAAAAAGTTCAGATCCTGAGGATGTTGATATCAATTATCTGAAATATTTGGCAGAAAATACTTTTACACTTGACTTGGGAAATACCGAAGAGGTCCTTCATATAGTTTACGTTATGGATCGCATATTAATGACACTTGGTGCTGATTTATTATCCTATATTCATTTCCTTAAAAAGCAAGGTATTGTCACATCTGTTACTGGTGATGAACAAATCCATGAGGATGAAGAGTTAGACCGTGATTTCTTGGTTGCATCTAAGATAGCGATTGCTTTGTGTATCCTCATGTACGTCAAAAACCTACTTGTGGAGCTTTATGATATACCTGATGAGTACGTATATGTCAATTTCTAATTATATTTTGCAGTTGAAATTAATTTTTGTTTTTATTAGTGAAATCCGTGAATTTAATCCAAACATGAAAAAAAAAAACCGAGAAGTAACAAAAGATTTGGAGATGAATGGTTTAATTGAATGGGATCAGTTATTATTCTTTAGACACGGCAAGTTAAATAGAATAACAGCCTCAGATGCTTGCTGCAAGTTTGAATATTTGATTATGAACGACACCACAGCGGTTATTACAGAAGAAGATTAAATCGAATAATATTGTATGCACCATGTAAATTAATGTAAATAATAAACGTCTTTTTTAAACGTAAATCATAGTTACGGAAGGTTAAATAGCTTTAAAACTGATTTAAAAAACCAGTTGACTTTCTCAAAAGCCAAAGATATTATTAATGTTTCTATTACGAAGTGCTCCTAAGTAGCACTAGAGCTTCTCATTCTTCGCTTCAAGATTAAGGAAAATAGCATAGCATATCAAAGAAAGATAACAGATGAGCATTCAAACCCACAACGTCTCACGAAACACGATTTTCCCCAAAAAATGAATGCCTTCTATCAGAATTGAACTGATGACCTTCTGCTTACTAGGCAGACGCTCTGCCAACTGAGCCAAGAAGGCTTTTTTGATGATTTGTCATATGCTTTTCTGGTTTCGTCGGTTGTTCAAATTGAGCCAATCA